TAATTTCTTATGGTCCATTAAAATAAGAATTATATTTCGTAGTTAATAGGCTGAATAAATAAACTGCTGAATCAATATTGACAAACTTTGATAGAGACACGGAACCTATTAGAACAGAGAGAGGCGGCGGTTTGTGATTAATTGTGTTCCTTCACACAATTAATCACAAACCGCCGTCTCTAAAAGCTAGAATTTTCTTATTATGTGTTTTTAATATACCTATTTCTATATAGGTAAAGGTATTTGTTTTAAGGGGGAAAATCATCGATTGACTGCTCCCACCTATGTGGCAGATTCTTACTGACTAAAAACCACCCCGTTCCTTCTCCTGCTCGTCGAGCCGGAGCCCCGGTAACCCGTTAGGTTCTCCGCGACATGGGTAAAGGTATTAGATCTATCATCTAAGTATCTATAGTTACCTAGTAAGGCTTGAAGTATAAAAGGGTTTACTAATAAATTAAAGAGGAACCCATAACATGATCCCTTAATTGATTATATGTATAAACAAATAACAAAAAGTTCCCTACAAACTTATCTTTTTTAATCTATTCTTATATGAACGAATGCTGCCATGGAAAAAAATATTCTTTTTTTCCATGTGCTAACACGGATTATAGTCGTAATAGTAATTAAATCAACCTATTTATACGGTCTAGTGAATTAAGACGATCGATGCATGGGAAACTCGTTGTGTATCGATATTTTTTCATTTCAACACTGCATTCGGTATTGGGAAAAATATTTATGTTCGATACGGTATTTGAAGATACTTACATAAAATTATTCTTTGAAAAAATGTATGTAAGATGTTTTTGAAATTACTGGTTTCGAAATTTTTAGTGGACAGTTTGAAAATTTGTAAAGGTGCCTATGCTATCGATAGATAGTTGTCTGTATACTGATACCAGGGAACTAACAATTTTTGGCCTTATATTTTGCCCTTAATATCTAGTTGGCCAAAAGTGGGACTAGATACCATTCTGTCACCATCTTTTAGAATACCAGACGATAAGGTTATTTAATATCTCCCCAGTTGCCGAATGTAGAAGCCAAAGTGTAAGAGTTACTACATTAACAACTGTAGTCTAACATTTTGCCGCGGAGAACCTAACGGGTAACCAAGGCTCCAGTTCGACGTGCAGGAGAAAGAACGAGGTGGTTTTTAGTCAGTAAGAGTTTGACACTCCCTTCCGCCTCACCCAGGCGGGAGTAGTCATTCGATGATTTTCCCACCTTAAACAAAAACTAACATTTTGTTCAGTATTTAGGTATATTTGCATAGCCACTCTGCCACAAAGCAATGCTTTGTTATTGGCAATTTACACAGCAAAACACGTAAGTCACAATCAAATTCAATTAGGTAATTCATAAATAAATTATATCTACGCTAATTGGACTGTTTCCGTCATTTTATCATAAAATATTAATGCATTCGAAAACTTATATTGGAATTAGAAAATTAATCGAGCAATTGTGTAATTTCTACCTGTCTAGTGCATATATGTACAAGTTTATTGGCATAAATATTTATGTGAACAGTGGACATACAAACATAACTCGTTACTTTATAATTACCTGACAATCAATTGTGTGCTTTATTGTACCTATGCCAATTAGGTACTAATAGTGCTTATATTTAATAGCTGTTTAGATTTATTGTTAGACAACACATTTTTGTAAACATTGTATCAAACTGTCCTTTTTATTGGCGTTCCTGCAATAAAAACAACTAAATTACCAAACATTTTTACAGTCGGAAAACTCAGCACCTTGGTGATAGGTACAGGTATTTAGAAGAAAGATTATAATACTGCGACAACAAACATCAACAAAATGTGCCACTCTAACAAAAGTTTAGCTGTAACTTTATTAACAGTGTCTAACTGCCTGCCTTTCTTTTTTTTTTTGATAGTAGTAATATCATCCATTGACTTCTCTCGCCCGGGAGAGGCGAGAGGGATTGTCTGACACTTAACGATCAAAAACCACCCCGTTCCTACTCCTGCACTTTGAGCGGGGGCCCCGTCAACCCGTTAAGTCCTTGCCTACGACTGCTAACTACTAAGCTTAGGATATTTAGAGAGTAGTTTCAAAAAAAAGAAAAACGCTGCCGGATATTTACAAACTAAAGTTACCCAGTTACTCACTTACTGTTAAAATATTGATATATCATCTGCACATATCGTAAATCTACTTCCCGCGGTTCTAAGACTTACCTACAGAGAAAAACGAGAATTCTGCGAATATTGACATAATCTACAAGTCTCATCTGCTTGCATGAGTTGGCGGAATTCGACGCCAACGCCAACACGGACGGCGACGGTCGTCAGGAGAAACGGAACGGAATGCGTCGAAAGTAAAATTACAATGATTTAACGAAATGTGAACCGTCAGTCATGCAGTCTTGGTCAGCAAGTGAACAAATGAATGTACAACTAAGTACCTAGATATTGGCAGACGATTTCCGACTGAACGGCTTGAATGGTTACTTGCTCACAATTTTCAATACTATCAAGTCTAGATCGTAAAGAGAATAATATTAATGGTTCTTGCTTGATGGTCTTCTTCAATCGTAATGGATATCGTTCATTTGAAATCTTTATCTATTTGTCCCAAAATACTAATGAGCACGAATGAAAAGTACATGATAGGAAGATACATTCCTATAGTTAACTTAGTTAAAAATATTGATGTAAAATTATAATCTTTGAGCTAATCACGCGTTATCGTTGGAAAGTAAACCTACATAACTCTCATCGCAACTTTGAAAGTTTGGGCAAAAGTTGGGACTCAACAGGTTTAGGGACAGAAAGCCAGAATCTTGGCAGTCAACAGTAATCAACACGCAAAATTATAGGTACGATGAACTAACTATTGATAAATGAAGAAAATGTAGTTAAAGTTATCCAAATTTAACACATTCATACTTCATACATAATAGGTATCTACATAGATAGATGCCTTAAGGGAACTTAAATATTTACGTGTGGGACAGTGCTTCGGCACGATTGGGCCGGTTCGACCGGAGTGATACAGCCTCACAGAAAACAACACATAAATTATATTTCGTCATGTGACTGAGGTTACCAGAGGCCCAGTTACCCCTTCCCCAAACTCCGAATCCCCAACAATCCTCAAATACCTAATCCCCAAAAGGCCGGTAACGCACTTGTAACACCTCTGGTGTTTCGGGTGTCTATGAGCGACGGCGATTGCTTACCATCAGGTGATCCGTCTGCTCGTTTACCGTTTAATTCCATAGAAAAAAATTACAGTGATCAGTACAAATGTACTCCATACTAGCCCTCAATAAACCTTGTCCCGTATCTCAAACCGAAAAAACACTCAACAAAACTGTTATCTTTAAAAATAACCTGCCATAAATATCGAAATCCATTTAAAACCCTCCCATTTTAGTGAGACCCATCACTTAGCACTTGATGTACTGCTGAAGGGATCGCACTGTGTTGGTGTTTTAAGGCGCCTCTGAGTCATTGAATACGGCGCTTATGGTCACGGACCAATTACGTTGTTATTTTTCATTTTGTAAAACAAGTTTGATACAAAACCGCTGTCACTTGTGTACTTTGTAACAAATTAATGGCTTACCTGTCATTATATTTATATTACTGAATGTTTTTTATAGATTTTTCACATTATATGGTACCTTTTTAAGTCACAGTTATTGTATACTACCTTCAGCCAGCAGTTTCGCGCCCGCGATCCTAAGAGTAAAGAGTAGCCTATGTATTAGGTACTTTAGACCATACTACCTCTGTTCCAAATTTCATCGCGGTTTCCCCACTCGTTTTGATGTCACTGAGTAACAAACATACACACAAATTTCATATTTTCGCATTTATAATATAGGTTCAAGCTAATTTTAATCATCGGCCCTACAATTACAGCGTAAAGTCCACTGCGCGCAACCTAACATTCGACAAACTTACATTTGCGTTTGGTACAGCAACTATGTCTAGGGATCGAGCCGCACAATTAAGTTTGTATTATTTGGTGTGTCTTTTTTATATAGTAGAGAGATATAAAGTACCCAGTGGGATGCACAGGATATTAAAGTATAACTATTACTATACCAAGTTTCATCGTAATCGGACCAGTAGTTTTTGCGTAATACAGATAGACCGACGGACAAATTTTTGGTTCAGGGTCCATCTAATAACACCCCTACTACTTGTTTGTATAGAATTTACATTTCTACAGTTTTATTATTTTATATGTATAGATCGAGTACTTCGGTAATAAATAGTGCGTACAAAACAAAATGTTAGTGCTACGTTTAGCGCCTTTAATAGTTGCATTAGCAATATATCTTACTCGCAGCTGCTGTTTTGCATAATGATATCAGATCACTTTATTTATTAGACTGTCTGTCTTGTACTGTAGTCGCAAGTATGATTGGCTCGTAAGTGGTATCCAGTTATATTCTCGAGTCAGTCTGATTTTCAAAATTTTCAGCCTATTTGATAATTGATATTTACATTGTGTCGTGGTGGCCCGGAGGTTTAAGACACCCGCTTCTCATGCATGAGGGTGCAGGTTCGAAACCTCCCAACAGCAAGTACCAATATGACTTTTTCCGAGTTATACTTTCTAAGATTATTCAGACACCACTGACAAACGGTGAAGGAAAACATCGTGAGGAAACCTGGGCTTATAATTTCTAATTATAAGTTTGAAATAGCCAACCCATTGAGCAAGCGTGGTGATTAATGCTGAAACCTTCTCCGTGTGAGAAGAGGCTTTGCTCAGCAGTGGGCATTATGGGCTGTTAATGTGATATTTCTCTGCTAATATCAGGGAGTCTCGAGTCTGAGATTGTGTCTAGTGTTTATTGTATGCTTACGGGCCCTATTTTGAATTTACTATATTTATTCTAAATAAGAAACTTTACATATTGCAGCACTGCTGTCTACCTACCCTTTACAGCCACAATAAATCTCTTTTATGCCATAATATTTTTCTTAATCGTACTATCTTGTTTTCAGCACGAAAGCAGTGACCACTAATGTTTGGGTGGGCGGTGGCGCGATGCGAGAGGAGGACCTGGAGGTGGCCCTCAAGGTGGTGATCGTGGGCGACGGCGGCGTGGGCAAGTCCAGCATGATCCAGCGGTACTGCCGCGGCACCTTCACCAGGGACTACAAGAAGACTATTGGAGTCGACTTCTTAGAAAGACAGATTGAGTAAGTCCACAACTTTATGGTGGTTTTCCAGTCATTTTCCACCTCCAGTCAACAGCTTCGCCCGCGTTGTATAAGGTTTCTCTCGATGAGGCCCTGATCCTGTAGTAATACCGTTATTATAGCGCTACTCCTTGAAAAATGATAGTGAAGTATTTTACATTTCTCGCATTTTCTTAATAAATAGGAATTGAAGTTATGGGTCCCATGCTAATGTGGATAGATTCAGTTGATAAGTAGAGTACATATTTAGTAATCTTGTGCATTAACAATTAGTTTGTTAATGCGCATTAAAATAATTCAGATAATTCAAACAAAAATAATATCTTATTATGGCTAATTAAACTGTCAAACACCAAGCGGTCACCGGTGACCGCGACCTATTGTTCTTTAATTGTGTCTATAAAACCGGTACTCGACGAGTTAAATTAAAAACTGGCTCAATTATCTCGTATGCACAAATATTATTGTGACCCCGAACTTTTATACAAATAACATTAAAATATAATTTCATTAATCTTATGCGTACGCACACACGACATAGTCATTGCTGTTTCAGTATCATTTTTTAAAAATGTGCCATGCTATCCTGACTAGATAACCCCGAATGAAACCTAACCTCTTTTCTAGATTGCCAAAACAAAATAACTCATTTATTATCTGTGAATAAGCTAGCTATTAGCCCGTGGATTTTGCGATTCAAATTCAATTCGATTTATTATTGTCTACGAAGAGTCTGGGACTCCAGCTGGTGTACATGTGTATGGCAATAAGTCTTCGGCATGTATGCTTTATCGTTGACATGACAGATAATGTTACATTTTAATAATTAGGCCCACTTTTATTTACCCCTCCGAGGACTAAAAGACCTAATCCATATTTTAGAAGAAAATGAAGAAACCTTATTCTGTTCGATATGAAAATAATTTAAGCTATAAGTACCATCTGGTCAAACTTTATGAAAGTCGATGCATTAGTTTACAATGATACCTACAACAAACTTGCCACCGCATTCTTTAACTTGATTAACAACCTCACAGGAATGATGATTAAAATAATGAAGTGATCACTGAGAGGAAGTCTGATAATTACACGTGATGTGCCTTTAATTACAACTAAGATATGCTTTGATGTCATGTAGATGTGAAGTACGGGGTTTAATTAGAGTAATCAGGCGGGCGTCGTGGCGGTGGTCCCAGGATTGATGCTATCCTGACATCGGGTGAAGGAAATGGCTGGTAATCGAATTAATTGAACGTGTCTCATTAAGTCCATGATAGTTCCATTAAATCAGACAGTTCCTTCCTCAATTGATGACAAAGTCAACAGCCATTAATTTCTGTACTGTACCTACAGATATTCTGCAGAATGTACATTCCATAAGTATATAAGTAGGTAGAGATGAATTATTAAAAAAATAAGATTAACGTTATCAGTAACATTGCAATAATAAGGAAATTGAAGTAATGAGTATGAAGTATAAGCGTGAGCGTAAAAATTATCAATTCAGTAGTACAAATTAAAATTAAGCTTCGATTTCCATATCACCTATCGTTATGTTACTGGTAACTACTGGTTTGAGGAAAGAAAACGAGACAAGTCTACCTTTACACGTCGATGAACCATGCTTCGGCACGGGCGGACAGGCTCGACTGGCGTGATATTAGTCTCACTGAAAACCGACGTGGAACACGTTGTAGATCTATTGCCGTGTGAGTAAAGTTACCGCACCGAAGACCAGTCGGTAACGCACTTGTAATCGCTCTTGTATTGCGAGTGTCTATAGGCAGTTTAGATTACTTACCATCAGTTAATCTGTAGTTTCATTTAGAAGAAAGAAAAACAGTTTATTTGCACCATTACAGAAAAAAAACCAGAAAATTAGTTTAGTTTAAAAAACAGAACAGTGTACACGGTGCAAAAAGGCCAGTGCTCAGCTAAAATGCCGTGTCACGAGCGCAATTCAGAACTAGCCTGATGACAAAATATTATACAAATTATAAAAAACAAATTGCCATACTATCCCTTACAAATAATTAATTCTTCTTTTATACCCATCTTCAGGATCGACGGCGAGGAAGTCCGATTGATGCTATGGGACACGGCGGGACAGGAGGAGTTCGATGCCATCACGAAGGCGTACTACCGCGGCGCACACGCATGCGTGCTCGCCTTCAGCACCACGGACCGAGACTCCTTCCTCTCACTACATTCATGGAAACTCAAGGTGAGAGACACAGCATTTAGCACTGGAGGTTAAGCATCCCCTAATGTTATGTGTAGGATTCTAGGATTTTTTTCGAGTGTTCGTAATCAGAAGATGGATTGGTTGTATGAACCTAAAAGCTTCTGCGTAGTAACTTTGTGACTGAATAATCTATTTAACAATCGATACATAGCCCAATAAAGTTCCAAGATAATTGATTCAATTTAGCTCGGCTTACAAGTAATATAAATGTAAATGTGGCTGCCCTGCGAGCATTTGGCAAGAAAAGATAATCTTATGCAACTTATACGATAGTTAGTGTAGTAGGTATTACACGCACATTGGTCATTGGCCGCATCTGACCCTGTTAACTAGCTGGTACATACTACACACATAGTGTACCTACATACATGCTAATGTTTCTCGTTCTGCTTATTATACAGAACATTTTTTGCACCACGTTTATAGCGACCCAGTCATGTAGCCGGAGAGTATGTTAATATTTCCTACTTATATTACCAACTGCTGCTGTCTTATCAGATCTCAGTATTAAGGATTAGAACTTGCTTAAAAACCAAATAATCAGAACATAAATCTTCAAAGCATACATTTTAATGGCTAGCTCTTAAAATTCAGTCCCAACTTCTTAGGTATTTAGTTAATTGAAGCAGCACATTAAGATAAGAGTGAGGTCGTGACTCGCTCACACAGCCGCCATGTACCGACACCGCGTACTATCTACTCATTGCTATCAAGTAACGCACATCGACTGTTTACATTCGACCGGCTATATTTGGACCGGATACATTCAGCTCAATTCTAATATTTAATTGTGAAGATGCACGGGTACCACGCATTCATTCTCACGTTCCTTTATTTGCTGTGTGGCGTAAATTCGATAAATTATGGAAACAGGGAATTATTCTGCATACGGTACTATGCGACCGGAGAAAACTTTGACTTAAAGGAGTTGCCTGCACAAATGCATGGAGTGTACTACTGGCCACCAAGACAGAGGCAACGGGACAGCTGCGTAATTATCAATTTCGCGGAGGTGCCAGAAGATGAAGAAACATCGGATGATTGCAGTAACCCTTACGACTTGGATGAGACTGTGATAAAGGCTACTTATACCAACAGCACCGGCAAGAGAGTCAGTCTGCTTTACTACGGAGAAGCAGAAGTGAAACAAATGTATCGCTCCTGTGATAAACCTGTAGCCAAATACATATTTAAGAAAGTGAACGCAAACTACATTTTGGGAATCAATTGCTCAGCTGGCGGACGAGGAATATTGTACTCAAAGTTCCTGCCGTCATCATCTGAAGTGCAATCCATAGTGAACAGCATAGAAATCATGAGTGGACGCGAAGGGAGCCCGGATTGTCCATTAAGATATTAATTATAAATATTTTAATTCCATAATTTCATAATTACACTGTTTACTTATTAAAATAAATTTAAAATAAAATGAATTATTGTAACGGGGGTTTTAAAAATAAAGATAACCTAGTCTATGGTATTAATATCTGTGGTAATAACGTAACGCTAGAAGCCAATAGGCGCGCGCTCGCGACCGCCCCTTCCCGCCACCCGCTACCCCGCGCGCCAGCGCAGGGGTGCGAGTGGAGGAGGAGAGAGAGCCCCGACCACTGACGCGTACGGACGTGTTGAAGAATCCTCCGCGGCTCTAAGTCGCGTCGCCATTTTTTTAATCTAGAACTTTCCTGTACCGATCTGTATTAGAGTTTAATGTGGATAATGTAACTTTCGGTGATTTTAATGAGCAATAAATGTACTTTTGCCTATTAAACTGGCGCCCAAGCTAGTGGCCGAACCGTATTCGACCGTTACGAATGATCCAGTGCCTACGTGACCGCGGGTAAAGTACCTACTGACCCGAATCCACTCGCCACCTTACCGTTGTCATCAATAACGTGAAGATGCCGACAACGAGGAGAGGTGAAGCCCTCCGGCAACAGCACGGAGAAGACGAGGGAAACGTCACGCTCACTGAACAGGAGAGCGTCGCCGAGCGCGGCCACGCGGACGCCGCCGCGAGTGCCGGCTCGAGGTCGACACATCCAGCTCCCCAAATTACCCCAGACTTTTTATCCACGCTAATCGAGACGATTACGCGTGCGCAAGTGGAAGCTAATAGGAGTCTCGTTAGCACGCTGATGGGATCCGGCGGCGACTTCAGGGCATCCACTCCAGTCGGGCCCTCTCCATCATCGAACGCGACCGGCGGAGATACCGCCGTCGCGGCTCCGCCGTGCAGTGACGCTAACTTCACAAAGTGCACGGTGAGATTCAACGGGACCTCCCCGGACGCTGAGGTCCTGGAAGCATTCCTGGACGCCGTCGAGGTCTACAAGGAGTGTGCAGCGGTGAGCGACGAGCACGCCCTGCGTGGGTTACCCATGCTACTGGAGGGCGAAGCCGCCGTGTGGTGGCGCGGCGTAAAAGCGTCGGTACCTACGTGGACGGACGCGATCGCGCGCCTCCGTGCGATGTACGGCGTGGCGCAGCCCGCGCACCTCATCCTGCGCGAGATCTTCGCCAGGGAACAACAAGAAGAACGTGCAGAGACATTTTTGTGTAAAGTGCGCGCGTTAATCGCAAAGTTACCGTATTCTTTAGATGAAACTTTGCAAGTTGACATTTGTTACGGATTATTGCATCGACGCGTAGTGAAACGAGTCCCGCGTGATAGTGTTCGTAGGTTAGACGACCTATTATATAAGGCTAGGATCGCGGAGGATACCTACAAAGCGTCTAAGGTGAATAATACCAATAAAATACGCGAAAGTAATTCGACCACTATCGCTACTACCGACCGTGTTCTCACGCAATCGAATTGCGCTGCCACGAGTGCGACCGCGTCGCGTTGCAACAACAGAAATAGACCGCGTTGTAGTTATTGCAAGCTTTTTGGGCATGTTAGTGACGAGTGTCGTAATCGCGAGAAACCTATTTCCAGTGGAAGTAATAATACAGCACCCAAGGAAGTACGTTGTTACGGGTGTGGCAAGCAGGGCGTCGTGAGGTCGAAATGCGATGTTTGCTTAAAGACAACGACGAAACCCGACGGCAAAACATCTTTCAACAATGTTGATATAGATTTTTGTATAAATAACGTCGATGTTAGGAATAGTAGTCATATTAATAGTAGGGTCGATACTGATTCATGCGTAATTATTACTAACGCAAGTATGTGCAACGACCATCCGATGGTGAATATAAGTGTTATGGGCCGTAGTGGTGTGGCGATAGTAGATACCGGCGCCACGCACAGCATTGCGAGTCCCCTATTATACCGAATTTTAGTAAACTCGGGAGTTACATTTACCGAAACAAAACGTTACGTGCGCCTGGCCGACGGCACACAAGGATGGCGGGACCTGCTGTCAGCCGAGACAGAGGTCATCATTGCAGAACGGCGGGTGACATGCCAGTTCCTGGTGTTGCCCGGCAGTGATATCCGAACACTTTTAGGCGTAGATTTTTTAGCCCGGGCCGGTGTAGTAATAGACGTCGCCCAACGTACATGGTCGTTCTCAGACAGTCTGGAACGCTATGAGCTGGTATACTCCTATACTTTGAATCCTGCCGATGGTGCCGACACCGGTCTACTACATACTTGGGTCCTCCGATGACATAGCGCTGCGACCGGACGAAGGTTGTAAGTTAAACCCCGAGCAGCGACAGACCCTTAACAGGTTCATCGGAGACCGCGCGTCGCAGTTTGCGCGCGACGGCCCGGCAACTGAGTTCGCGTTGCATCGTATAAAGGTAAGTCCACAACAGGAACCGATCGCTAGTCCACCGTACAGGATGTCGCAAAATAAGAAGGAGGCTTTGCAGAAGGAGCTTGATAAGCTGCTGCGAGACGACATCATTGAAGAATGCGAGTCACCTTGGGCCTCCAATGTCGTACTCGTAGGTAAGAAGGACGGCAGTTGGAGACTTTGTGTGGATTACCGGAAACTCAACGAGGTAACCGAGCCCGACCGGTACCCCCTGCCGCGTATCGAAGACATACTGCATGCCGCCAAAACCAGTGAGTATATGACTACTCTTGATCTTCGCTCAGGGTACTATCAGGTGAGCGTTTCCCCAGAAGACCAAGATAAGACGGCTTTTACAACGCCACTCGGTACCTTTAGATTTAAGCGAATGCCGATGGGGTTGCGGAATTCCGGAGCTACCTTTCAGAGGATGATGGATCGGTTCCGCTCCAATCTGAAGGGAGTAGAGCTCCTGGCGTACCTGGATGATCTTATTTTGCTGTCACCGGGCCCTTTCGAGAGGCACCTGGCCGATCTGGAGGCGGTCTTCGATCGACTTGCCATGTTTAAGTTACGAGTTAACAGGGACAAGAGCGTCTTTGCAAGGGAAAGTGTAAAATTCCTAGGACACGTCATCGTCCCAGGTGGAATCCAGGTGGATCCTGACAAGACTGCAGCCGTTGACAACATGGCCGCCCCTCGGAATGTTAAGCAATTGAAGTGCTTCCTACAAACGTCGAGTTGGTACCGACGTTTTGTTAATAATTACGCAGAAATCGCGAGACCCCTAACTAACCTCCTGAAGAAGTCAAGTGCTTGGCAATGGGGCACTGAACAGCAGGAGGCGTTTGAGCGCATCAAGTCCCTTCTCGTTTCTGCTCCTATTCTCCGCCAGGCGGACGAATCAAAACCTTTTACCCTTTGCACTGATAGCAGCGCCTATTGTCTCGGAGCTGTTCTCATGCAGGGGGAGGGTCATGACGAGCGGCCGATCGAATACGCGAGTCGGCTCCTCACTAGCGCCGAGAGGAACTATTCCACGACCGAGCGAGAGGCACTCGCTGTCGTGTGGGCACTTGGCAAGTTCCGCGGGTATGTGGAGACCGCGAAGGTCATCGTTAGGACGGACCACCAGCCCTTACGGTGGCTGATGAGTCAAAGGTCGCCTAGCGGTAGACTGGCCAGATGGGCTTTAACTCTGCAAGAATTTGATCTCAGCATTGAGTACACACCCGGCCGCTCAAACGTGGTCGCAGATACCTTGTCGCGACCAGTTTGTGAAGGCAACCAGGATGAGTGTGACCTGCGGATGACCGTCGTGGATATGCCGAAGAGAAGCAGTGGTGATATCCGCAGCAATCAGCTGATGGACCCAGAGGTTTGCAAAATTATTGAGGATATGGAATCCGACGAACCCTCCAGGGGGAGACCGTGGTCTGATCGCGGATACACCATATCTGACGGTATCCTGTACAGGTACAGCTTGGAGTCTGACGACGGAGAAGACTGTTGCCTAGTTGTCCCTGAACATGAACGCAAGCAGGTTATGGCTGATCTACACGATGCGCCGACAGCTGGCCACTTTGGTGTGGACAGAACTTTAAGCCGCGTTCGTGCTAGGTATTATTGGCCCGGCATGCGAACGTTCATCGCCAACTATATAAAAGAATGCGTGCCTTGTCAAAGATATAAGGCTAATAATCGCAAACCTGCAGGTTTACTGCAAACCCCTGCCGTATCAAGACGTTTCGAGGTGGTCTCAGTAGACCTGTTTGGGCCACTCGTAGAGACTCCTAGGAAAAACAGGTGGGTGTTGATTGTGGAAGACGTCTGTTCGCGCTGGGTAGAATTATTCCCATTGGAGAGCGCCACCAGCGTCGAATGTGCTCGGACGCTTGTCGGGGAGGTCTTCCTCAGGTATGGAGTGCCGCGCCGCCTTATCAGCGATAATGGCGTGCAGTTCGTGAGCGACGTCATGCAACAGGTATGTCACATCCTAGGTATCAGCCAGTCGCTCACACCCTACTATCACCCGGAGGCCAACCCGATAGAGCGGAAGAATCGCGATTTGAAACCGCAACTAGCCATACTTGTGGGCCAAGACCATGCAACCTGGGACTTACATCTCGCCTCAGTAAGGTTTGCTATGAATTCAGCTATCACTAGTAGCACGGGACATTCCCCGGCGTACCTCACTTTCGGGAGAGAGTTGAGGGGCCCTACTGATCCCAAGGTAGACATGAGAGCCGTCATAGAACATGACAACTTCGTGCCCAGTATTACGCCCTATCTACGGAAGTTGGCCGCGACCCTAGACGAGGCCAGGGATATACATGAGAAAGCGCAAGCCAGTCAGAAGCAGAACGCTGACCAGAAGAGACGGCCATCGTCAAATTACGAGGTAGGTGACCTTGTTCTGTTAAAAACGCAAGGACCTAACGACGCAGCCCGCGGACAGTCCGCGAAGTTTATACCTCGTCGCGATGGCCCGTATAAGATAGGGAAAGTTTTTAGCCCAACCACTTACGGTTTGGAGAGCGTACAAACCGGGTCGGACTTAGGGAAATATCACGTTTCGCACCTCACGCCCTTCGCGGGTCAAATAGAACATCCGGTTCGCGAGAAACGCAAGCGCGGCAGACCGCGTAGATATTTAGACTAGCCCAACTGCGGGGACACTTAGTTAGGCTAGAGGGGGAGGATGTAACGGGGGTTTTAAAATAAAGATAACCTAGTCTATGGTATTAATATCTGTGGTAATAACGTAACGCTAGAAGCCAATAGGCGCGCGCTCGCGACCGCCCCTTCCCGCCACCCGCTACCCCGCGCGCCAGCGCAGGGGTGCGAGTGGAGGAGGAGAGAGAGCCCCGACCACTGACGCGTACGGACGTGTTGAAGAATCCTCCGCGGCTCTAAGTCGCGTCGCCATTTTTTTAATCTAGAACTTTCCTGTACCGATCTGTATTAGAGTTTAATGTGGATAATGTAACTTTCGGTGATTTTAATGAGCAATAAATGTACTTTTGCCTATTAAATTATTATTTTTGTTATGAAATCTTCGTGGAATAGGTAAATAATGTGATCGTTTAATTTATTTCCAGTGAAGTGCAAAGAGTAAAAGTGTATTTTTACGTGTTCCAGGTAGAGAATGAGTGCGGGGAGATACCCACGATCATAGTTCAAAATAAAATTGATTTAATGGATCAATGCGTCGTTGGACCGTAAGTACATGTATTGTAATCAACTAAAACGTAATAAACGTACATGTGTAAACATGTTTTTTTTATATTAGTGAATTGTTGACGATAACAATATTTATGTAAATAATTTGACTACGCTACAATGCGGATGTAATTTAACTTGCTACTGTGGGTGGTCCCATTATAGCGCCTTGGGAAACACTCATTGATTTGGACAGTTTTAACTAAAGTTTAGTAAAATATTATTTTTAATACTCGTAATAAATTAAAACGCTCTTTTATTCCACATTACTTATTTGTTCCCCTGAGATCCCACGAAAAATGTGCAATACCTACCTAATTTGTCAAACGGCTAACCGAAGTCGCAAAAGCGGTGTAGTAAGTAGAGACAACTGGTCTGCATATTTAAGTATAGCAATTATGACTAACTACAACGTATATATTATTTCCCAGAGATGAAGCTGAGCTAGTAGCAAGAGCACTGGGCTGTCGGTTAATGCGTGCGTCAGTAAAAGAAGACGTTAATGTTGGAGCTGTGTTCAGAGCTTTAGCTGCACGGTGTCTGTCAGATATGCGGCGTGATGATGCCGACACAATGCCGCCGTGCCAACAACCCGTCATAGGTAATATGCTCCTTTTGATTAATTAAGTAATGTTATTTTGAAACAAGGTATCATATTTTATGTCCAACTGCCGAAACTGACGACAGAAAACTATGAGGGCAAATCCTCTGTGGCTATTATTCATATGGCTTTAACGTACTAAAAAGATGCTTTAAAAGCCAACACATTTTAAATGTTGATTAGGTGATTAGGTTGATTAGGACTAAAACTGTTTAAATCATATTAACTATACTCGGAATTTTAATTCGATTCCAGATTTGACAATTTCAGTGTGGCAACGTTATGACAATACTAAATAGTGACGTTGCGAAATTATTCGATATGGAAATGCAATATTTCTGGATCGATTCTTCTCGTTTATAATAATTATAATTTTACTCTTGTGAACGAAGTATATCAGGAAATTAAATATTTCTGAACCGATAATTTAGTTTTGACGATTAATTAACGATCTGAGACGTTTCTTTTATAATTGTGTATAAAATAAATAAAAAAATGTAATCATGAAGGAACATGACAAATAAAACAGATAGATGTATTATGGTAATAAGTTATTTTATAAATTGTCGCCGTCATCGCTATCGCTATCCTGTCACTTTCTGTAACATTTATTATAAAACACACGCACTGATTGTTTATCGATTTTTGTGTGCATCACTACACTATTTTATGTGGTATCATTATTTCACAAAATGACAGTAGCTATTGTCAAATCTGGAATCTAATTAAAATTCTGACTATAGATAGATGTATAATTTTAATTTGGTATTAATAACATTATAGCTGGAATCGTTACGCAACAACTAATTGAAGTCCAAATTCGTTTTCAGGAACATTTACAAACCACAACAGTAACGGTACAATCCTGCTGCGGCCAACGAAACATCGGCCGGGCGGCAAAAAGAAGAATGTCCTAAGAAACGCTTGCAGACTACTGTGATTATCAGACCCTTCTTAAAACCTGCTCAACACTGTATTTGTAATTATAATAGTGTTTCAAAAACCTCTAAAACCGATGAACAAGAAACTGTTCTGAAATTGTTAAGTCCTAGAAAAGATTTTTCCGTTCGGCATCAAGTTGTTGGTTACAGCCTCATATTCGAAACTAAATTTAAAAATACTAGAATAAAATGTAAAAAGAAGTATTTAAGGCCACTAAAAGGAAGAAAGACCTAAGACCGTAACACCAAAATCAAGTTATTGGCATCATAACAAAATTGACACGATTTTAGTCACATGTGGCGCCATCTGCTGATCGCAAAAATGTCAAACCTAGTTCACAGTCTTTTAAAAATCTTTCATTATGCTTTTATAGGCAAAGACTTGCAACAAAGGATGATGAATTTAAAAATAAAAATGCTGATCCTACTCAAATCTGTAATTCCAAGTGCATTAAATGACAACCTTAACTTAGTCGATAGAAAAGCTGTTTAGTCATATTTTAATGTTTTTAGTTAGTTGATATTGAAATAACAAAGCTATGTAAATATTTTGTACTTATCTAACTATTCATTTTATAAAAAAATAAATTATTTGCAAATATTCTTTTTGTTTTACTGTAATCAAGAAAAGAGCGTACTCATTTTTAAAAGGCTGGCAACGCACCTGTGGCTCATTTTGCCGTTGGGCGGCGCTGATCGCTTACCATCAGGTGATCCGTCTACTCGTTTTCCTCCTATTCCATAAAAAAAACGATACACGTATTTATCATTCTATGTGACAAATTTAAATTTCAAAGTCTGCTTAATCTAAAATTAAAAACAACAAATAAGATTATACATTACGGTATGTATTCAAAAAGAAGCCTATGACATGTAAATACCTAACTGTTCAAGAAATTGCTAATGTACTAAAAATGCAATGAAAAATACACAATGACGTTACATTACAAAATCTTATGACATTTTACGAAATACAGGATGTGTGAACCTGGCGAATACAACCAGCACCACTGCATTTCACGACACCCTGTAGATCTAAGATGTCGTTTACAACATCAGGCACTATATAATGATTTTTTTACAAAATGTATGAGTGCCTGTACACAAGAGATCTTCAGATTAAGGTTAAATGTCTATTACTAAACGGCTATAGTACATGACAGCCGTATTTGTTCATATTTGTGGTCTTCCACTATTTATAATAAGTGCACATCCACCTTAAGCTGACAGGCTAACCGTAATTAATTAAGACACAGTAACCAGCAGGCCCTTGCAACCAGCGAATCATCCATCAATTTGTAGGACCATTTATAGATGATATACTGGATGGTTCATGGGCCATATGTAGACGAGCCTGAGACGAATCGGATAGCTTCCACTTAATTTATTCCTGAATACTAAACCACAATTTCTCATCCATATATCGTTATTTACGTGCCCTCTTATGATGTATAGAGAAGGCACTATATAACCGAAGCTATCCGATTATCTCTTTCTAAAACTCGATCACTGCCGACTGTCGGATTGTACTTAAACAATAGTAAGTACTACAGAATAGTTTACATTGGGAAATGAACCTTAAGCACTCATACACAAGCAACACATTAATTTGTTTGATTATCTACTATCTATTGTGATGGTGATGATTTACGAATATAAAACCAATATAAAAGTAAATAAAGTAGATTTTTGTATAACTAGAATGTTGAGGTTTCGGCGATTCGATGTAGGTGGTATATGCTGGGGCATAATTGACGATTTCATTAAAAGGACGGGTAAAGGGGGCGTTATACTTTCATATTGTCATAAGGACTTCAATATTAAATAAATTATTATGTTTTCATCTTACTCACGTAATAATTTGATGAGGAACTCGACTAGACTAGACAGTAGGAACGCGACAGTCACCGCGTCGCGGGTCGCAAAATGCTGCTCAAGAATATGAGCCTCTAGCATGGCTTGAAACTAGTCGAGTTCCTCGTCAAATTATTACGTGAGTAAGCCGAAAACATAATAATTTATTTAGTATGTCTCACGAAAGTTACAATACAAAGACAATAATATTCAAATATTAGGCCTTTCACACTTTGAAAAAAGAAATGTTTTGGAATATAAAGATATTTTGGCAATGACATTTTAGAGTTAAGGTTAATACCGAACAAACCAATTGTAGGTAATCCAGATAGATGCTCTAACAATAATCTACAATTTAGTTTATCTCAGTGTGCCAGCCTGGTTCAACTGTTACTTCGGAAGAATTTTGCCTCAACAAAAAAAAAAAAATTTTAGTAATTTGTTAATTAGAATCTTCATACGCAATTGAGCATTGTTTCCATTCAGTGTAGTAAGTACAATACAATATTATGTACTAACGTATATACTTTTACAAAGTCATATCTATCCTAATAGGATTAATTTTTTAAATTAAATACAGTTACATATCAAAATATACCTACTAGAGTAGTAGATTGGATATACAGAAGCTAACTAATAACGATAATTTACTATACACATGAATTTATTATAGATAATGTGATAAATAGTATTAGGTACTATAAATTTTAATAAAAACTAAAAACAATCAACATTAATTTTTTAAATTATCTTTTTATATATAAATCTTAAAAAACGAACTCACCAGAACCTTCTTAAGGCTTAAAAAAACTTATTTGCGAACTGCAAGAAAAAAAACATTATAGTCAGTGTCAAAAACACTGGCCACTTGAAAAAATGGCTACAGCGATCTTGATAATTACTATATTTTTTTTTTTATAAACCATTGAAATTGAGCCTCTTATTACACGGTGCAAAGAACTTAAATCCTTATCCATTTAAGAACACATATCAAACAATCTGTTTACAACATTAACGCAATCAAATTTGATTTCTATTCCTTTAGTATAAAGATAATAATTAAAAGCAGAACCAAATACACATTATCCAGAGGACTTTGAGTTTTATACTGAAGGGTTTAGAGTTCAAAATCGATTGCATGATACGTAGGGAAAGGATGGTAAAAATCAATCTTAAGTAATAGTTTCCTTTACAAAAACAGGAATGTTTAGATGGTTAGAAGTGTTTTGAAACATGTGCTATATGGAAAAGGCTTTTAAAATAACTTTACATGCACTGAAACACTGAAAATTCGATAATCATTATTATTCTGATATTTGTTTAAGTATTATGGTACGATACCATACAACTAATATATTAAAATAAATTGACGATTCTCTTGCAATCAAACTAAACTATTGCCATCTCTTTCTAACAATAAAGATCGGTCTAGAGCAGAGTCTATCACTCTAGTCTTAAAGTAGAAAGAGAGGAATATATGTATGTGACATACAAGAAGTGACTACTTCTTGACTGACTAGTCATAACAATAATGGACACTAAATGGAATATAAAACAGATTATTGACAACTTGTCATACAAGAGAATTGACCAATTTGACAGAACAACTCAAAGAAACACTTCACACTAGTATGTGAAGCGCGCATTCAATGCAATATAAAACTTATGACCTAAACAAAGGGTACAAATTATAATGACAGCGATATAGCGCGTTAGACGCTTCAAAACCTGGCCTAAATTAAAACAGAAATATATGGAACTACTAAGCGTAAACAGTAAATGTACTAATAGTAATGGTCCATTTAAGTTCGAAATCCTATTGTAACAGGCAGTGGAACTAAAAAAACACAACCAAATCCATAGCACAGTGCAATACCGACCTTACATTTATGCAATAAGGCTGATACTGGAGTAACAATGTACTATGTATTAGTTGACTGCAATTATAATATACATATCACATTTAAAAAAGCTTTAAATCAAAACCTAGGAGGCCTAAAGAACGGAGGTGCCTTTCATTGAGAGAATTTTACATAAATCGTAAATGTATTACTTAATATTATATCATCTGTCTTTATCGTTTAATATGCAGTTATATGAGACAGAAATACACTTATAGCGATTTAGACACATACATACATTGACATACATTCATAAAAAAAAATAAGAAACATGAATTTATTGATTACTTAATCATCAAACTGTATATTACCATTAATCTACAAATCATTAGTTTGCAAGTAAATAGTGTTTGTATAACAAATCCTTTTCTGTCACGTGGCAAGAAAAAGAAAAAAAAAGTAACAAAGGCAAGACCAATTACAAGAAAAAAAGGTATTACTAACAATACTGTTGAGTTCAAATTCGATTACAACCTACCTTGAAAATGCCTAAACGAAAAAAAAAACACAAAAACATGTTTCATATTATTTTCATCATAAGATCCAGACTATACGTTTTTCATTTCATGTATGAACATTGTAATATTAATAATAGGACTTCTTTACTTTCTTGTATTGTAGGTTATGGTTGAACTGTTTTAAGTCAAGCGGAAAATCTTAAGTTGATACAAAGGATTCATTAAAAGCATTTAAATGCTACTTTACCAAGACAATATTAACACTAGCGTATTTTTATGAAGGTTATGTAAAAGGTAATTTAGAACAATTTTTCCTATATGAAAGGAAGAACTCTAATCAGAATCACAAACAAACGACGATACATACAATTCGACAGTGACAGTCTTGCAGTTACATTTGCACGATAGGCACCGCGCTCTCAGGCAGTCTAAATAAACGCGAAGCTGGTACAGACTCAGCGAATGACAAGTTTGCTGTCAAGCATAGCGGTTACTCACGAACAGGTGGTTACATTCAACTTGGCGAAGTAATCCAGGAGGCCTTGGAGACGTTTTTTTACTCGTTTCTGATCATCTAAAGTGCAGCCCAAGATGGCGCTCTCGAAGTTCTTATCTGTACCCGACGATGGGTCTGGTTGAGATGTACAGGCGTTCATGAAGGTCTGGCAGCGAGTGTGAGCGATGACCGCGTCGTCGTGCACCGTCATCACCAGCTGGTCTATGTACATGTTCACCTGGAATGAGGAGAATGATTGGTTAGGTTATGAAGTCATTTTAGATTATTTCGAGTAGATTTAGTGGATTTCTTTTAAACGAACCTCTGTTTACTCTCTCAAAGAATAAAAGGCTCGGAACTATGATATTTTAAGTCATAAAATATGAAAAAAAAATAATAAAATGATATGCTGACTACTGAGAACTGAAAAAAAAAAGTTTATGGAACATTAAGTTTATTACGTTTACTGCCAAGTGCCAATATAGCGACTTACGTAAACTAAAAAGAATAAAATGACGTATCGGAGCTAATTATAAAATGTTATTTCAGTCACTCACAATGAAGCCATTATTTTATAAAGAGTATATTGTATAAAGTTGTCATTGCGTTGTTATAAATCAACAGACGGAATCAAATTATATTGCCTTACTTTTGTAATCATTTGTTATACTGCTCAAAAGTTGCCTGACCTCCTAAGATCAGAAGACCGCAAAAACCGACAATGTTGTGGTTGGAACTGTTGACTATTTTGATTATTTGTTATTTCAAAACGGCAAAATCGTATAATACATGCGTATATATATTATACAATAATATGTTCTAAAAACAATGAGCTTTTACAGCCCTTTTTCATTTACAAATTTTTTAATCATATCCTGTTTTTGGATCGAATATTTTACTTCATCTGAAGCCTTGTGTTCAAAACATAGCGATGAAACATTGACAAATAAATAAACATCAAATCAGATATTACAAAGCCAAAAAACATCTAATTTCTTAATGAAATAAGTCATCATCATCAGCCAAAAGAGCCCATAGCTGAACTAACTCCCTCCCTTAGTTATCCACACACTGAATGCATCAAATGAAATAAGTATCATTTATGATTTAATATTAAGCGCCACTGTAAACACGCAATCGTCTAATTTGCAAATGTTCACAGATAAACAATGGTCGACTGAGTTTGCAGAGGACATCGCACCCGTACAAGTATTATGTCATTGTTGTTCTGTTTTTTGTTATGACTAACGTATTATTGCGTAGACAACTGCAGAAGGTACATTCGCTGTATAGAATCTTAAGTGCCTAATATGAGATGAGGAACATTACTGCAAACGAGGCACCATGTCGAGTATTTCCTAGATATGCATCTAGTTACCTGCAGTTATACATATACACGTTAATACGCAAATATTTCTCAACGATTCCGAATAGGTATATCATGCACATTCCAATTTAGTGCATCTTGCAAACTGTTCTTATTGTTGTACGAAATACTAAAGAGAACGCCAGTTCCTTAAAATTACTTTTGGTAAAATCCTTCATCAGCAAAAGGTTTGTCAATCGAAAATTTAAAAACTTCGAAATGAGCCTTCTGATCATTTACGCCTTTGTATAGTCGGTCATTAATTAATAATTAGGTAGGTACTAAAAGCTACAGTCGATTACCGTTCACGTAGACAAGTTGCCAATTAAAATTCAGTGTAGGCAGTTAGAGGCCATTCAAGTCAATCTGCACCAGACTATATCTTAGAACAGCGACTACCTACCGAGACGTATGCAACAGTATCTTTTAAATTTTCGGTAACCTGTGATCCCCAAGTCGCACAGTCGAACTCCTTAAGAGGTAGGACTTACATATGTTCAGTAGAAGAAGTCTTTAGACTGATTATGACGGTATAACTAGGTTCATAGCTAAGTAAAAGAAAAGAAAAGCTTCTGGCATTCAAGGTCAAAAATATGTAATTAAGGCTGGTGCCTGGTAGAATGTTTCTCCGTCTTATTTATAATGGATGTATCTAGGCGCCTGCTAGTGGGCATAAACGCGATCGTTAAGTAAGTACTAACACTTTAATCGAGTTCGAAGAACACGTGTTCTTTAGTCAATTCTCTATGAGTGTTTGGTAGGTATGAAAAGTCATACCAATTGTGTATATGTGGTATAACGATACCACAGTATTTCTTAAGGTGGGAAAATCATCGAATGCCTACTCCCGCCTGGGTGAGGCAGGAGGGAGTGTCAGACTCTTCCTGACTAAAAACTACCCCGTTCCTTCTCCTGCTTTGACTTTTTTGTTCTCTCCTATCAGAAAAAGGATTTTTAAGTGTAAAACATTAATTATATTGTATTTCTTTTTCTTTCATATAATTATTCGCACAACCACCATAACATGTATGTGTTTATATTCAAATATTTTTGTCTGTTTTATTTGGATACTAAACTGCATAAATTTGCACTTTACAATTATAAGTACGACATTTTGCAAAACATTTATGTTTGTATCCATTAAAAACATTAACAAGATAGTGATTAGATTAAATTGAGGAAAATATCCTACAATCCTAGACATTTCGATAGACACTAAACAGACATTTGTTCTTACGCAAACTAATCTACTTGTAATTGGAGTTGCATGTATGACGTTAATTAGTGCCATAAAATGTCCATTCCGTCCATATTGAACAGAGGACTTAGTATAAGTTTTACAAGTAATCGAAACGCAACTTCGTTCGGCGCTCCTGATTGGTTGGTCCATTGGAGCCGGCCAATCAGAGCGCCGAATGCGTACTCGTTTCGATTACGTTAAACGTAAGACAAACTTGTAATAAGCCCTCTGTTGTGTGTTGTTAACCATTAATTGATTAGTTAATGTTGACATCCGAGCAATGTCGTGACATATCGTAAATGGTTCGAATGTTAATTCTTCTGTTAATTAAATACAACCGTGACTAGTAGGATAAATAAGTTTAGATACGTAACTTGGAAAGTATTTGTCAAGTTCAATGATTAGATTGCTTTAGAGGTCTTTAAACACATAACACTGGCCATCAATTTCGAACTCTGTTATTTACTGAGTATCGATAAATCTTAATTATACTTCTTTTTCACCCCAGACATTGACTAACAAACAAGGTAATTCCTCTTGGGCATAAAAATGTTTTTGCTTAGAACAATAAATAGGTTGATCAACTTGTAGTGTGTGATACCTTGCCCTATAAATATGTATGTAACCTAGTTAATAAGACACCTAATTAAAGTTATTCGTACGAACAAGACGTCGCCCTTATTGCTCAAACATAACATAACATATCATCACGCCTTTTTATCCCCGAAGGGGTAGGCAGAGATGCACATTACGGCACTTAATGCCACTGTACAATGTAACACCCACTTTTCACTATTTATGTTATTAATCCCATGTAATAGGAGGTGAGCCTATTGCCTTACACCGGGCAAATTTACAGACTCCGTGCTATCACTGAGATTTTTAAAAACCCAGTAATACTTTGCCCGACCCGGGAATCGAACCCGAGACCCCTTGCCCAGCAGTCGCACTTGCGACCACTCGGCCAACGAGGCAGTCCTTATTGCTCAACATTACTTAATACGATTAAACCAGAGAACCAAACATGCAATGATGTTTTAAGATATAATTTACTTATAAAAAACTCTACCAATATGATAAAATCTAAATCTTAAAGTCATTGTGTATAAGTGCTACTTAGAATTGCAGTTCAGTAAAAAAGAGCTCGGAAACCACCTTGATATATTATACAGACATTTTGTTTTATTGCTCACTGATTGAACAATCGAATGACCCGGCAAACGTTGTTTTGCCATATAAATAATTTCGTAGAAGGGTGAAAATTGAGGATTGTATGTATTTTTGTATGTTGTATCATAAAAACATAGACATAAAAAAATAATTTAGGGGTGGGGACTACCCCTAACGTTTAGGGGGATGACAAATAGATGTTGGCCGATTCTCATAGATACCGGATAAGCACAAAAAATTTCATCAAAATCGGTCAAGCCGTTTCGGAAGAGTATGGCAACGAAAACTGTGACACGAGAATTTTATATATTAGATATGGTAGGCAAAACAAATTTTTGGTCTATGATCTCCAAACCAAAGCGTGATAATGATACAACAAACAAAAATGTAAAACTCTCGGCTCAGCTCTAACAATTACGTGTGAACAATAAAACTCAAAAATAAGCTTAATGGTATCTGGTTTAAAACAAAAAATTGGGTGACCTAAAGTTGTAGAGTAACTTCCGTGGTGTAACCGCTGACATTTAATACTGACCACGAAGTCGAAAACTGCCAGTAAGTCAGGGACAATTACAAATACATGAGAACGTAATATAGCGCACGTTTAACGTGAGGAAATTAAACATTTTATGTGGTTATACTCCAAAATTAAATTTAAATAATAATGAAACGACACATTATACAATGAATCCACTGAAAGCATTGCATTATCTTATATTATTTAATAAAGCTATACTCAGCTGAAGAGTTTGTGTGTTTATTTGAACGCATTTATCTCAGGAACGACTGGGCCAATTGAAAAAAAAAACATTTTGGATTGTTCATTTATCGAGGAAGGCTATATAGGCTATAAAACATCACGGTACGATCAATAGGCGCCGAGCAGAGTGGGTGAAACCGCGTTGTAGTAGCTTGTAAGTTATAACTACCGTAAAATGAGAGACTCAACGACTTTCAAACCACGTTAGGGGCCCGTAATAACTAATTTATATAACGACGCGAGCGTAATGCAGCTGTCAGATGTAATATTGTATGTTACCTTATATCCTATCGTATCGCAAATACCTTTTAATGCGAGGACCGCCCTGAGGACACGGTGGAACACACGGTGGGAGAATGCCCTTCGTGGGCTGAGCACCGCCGTGTCCTCAGGGAAGTGATCGGCGATGGCGACCTCTCGCGTCCGGGCCTAGTGCAGGCCATGATGCGGAGCGAGGGGGATTGGGATGCCGTCTCCTCCTTTTGCGAAGCAGTCATGCTAGCTAAGGAGGAGGCGGGACGCGTGAGGCAGCGAAGCGCTGCCTCCTCGCAACCCAGCCATCGCGAAAGACACACCGGGCGTCGGGGATCGCGGGACGATCTCCGGCCACCGTAAGCGCGGGCCTGCGGACGGCGAGCATGGGTGGCTCCCCGTCCGACCAGAAACAGACCCGAGCGTACGGCGCGTCGCGTTCCGCGCGCGCCTCAAAGAGCCATCAGACCACCACAGATGGGGCCCAATAGGGCCGATGCCGATTCGGAGTCGCGGAGAACCTAACGGGTAACCGGGGCTCCGGCTCGACGTGCAGGAGAAGGAACGGGGTGGTTTTTAGTCAGTAAGAGTCTGACACTCCCTCCCGCCTCACCCAGGCGGGGGCAGTCATTGGATGATTTTCCCCCCTTAAAAAAAAAAAAAAACCTTTTAAAGTCTTCTAGAAAAAAGCCTAAAAACAGCAATTAATTTTTCGGAAAACATTATCGAGGACAAACGCATTAAAACAAACAATCAACCCAACTCTTCCGCTTTATACAATTCATTCACACAATGCTTCATTTAAAATTGCAAATTTAATTAATTCCTTAGTACAAAAAAATACAATTTTCCTCAACGGCTGTTAATATTTCCTTAAACAAAACTAGTTAAATAAAACTATACCTATTGGCTATTCAAGTAAGAACTCTGTATTGTACACAATCATTTAATAGTCCATGAATTTAGTCGTTCAAATACCGATTATTAGCACAATTCCCACAATAGAAGTTAACAGACCGATATTGGACTGACTGTGGTCGAGGCATTGATAAATTATGGTCATTGTACATGCGGTACAGTTGGGCGTATGTACAAAGGTTTAATTGGGTCTAAAAGTAATGTAGAGGTAAATAAAATTACTTTTTATCCCAATTGACTACTGAATATCATATGGTATGTATGAATAAGACAGTGTATGAATAAAAAATGAAAAATATTAGACACATATTTTTTTATTTTGTCGTGTAATAAAACAACACTTTGATAAAATGAAGTTAAGTTCAGGAGTGGGAGGTCATTACGTCACGCTACCCTACTTAAAATGTAGTAAATCGTGACGTCACATCACAATTGAAATCAGTATATCGTCGAAAGTATTTAATTTTGTAAGAAAAGAAAAAATACATGTCTAATGTTATAAAATAATAATCATCAAAATAAAATTTAGGATACTACCCTAATTATATTTAGGGTTTTGGTATTAATTATGTTTACCATAAATTATGTTTAGGGCTTACTCAGTTACTCACTTAACTATTTGACGAGGTAACTCGACTACTTTCGAGCATTGCCGGGGACCCTAGTCTCTAAACGTAATATAATTAAATTAATATAGCGTAATTAATCAAATAGTAATTCATTCCCATTAACTACGTTAGCGTCAGGTACTATTACAGTACAAAATTGACAATTTTTTAAACATGCATTGAGTTTAATCTTAAGTTAAGCTCGTTACAACATTAGTAGACTATTCTGCCTCAATGACTGTAAGCTCTGAATCAGGGATTTGAATTTATAAATCCATGAAAGTACCTTATATTTCGTTTTCTAAATCCCCAGCTCGAAATCTGATTACATAAAACTAATAAGTGTCGAGTAGCAATAACATATCTCATTATATTTCGATCAAGGTATAAGATATTTTGTTTATTTTTTTAAAAAAAACGTTGCTCTGCACTATAATTTTCTCCTGTGTCGTGGGTGCGTTTACAAACATACAAGTTCACACACACATGACACCCAAAACAATAATCTGTGGACTACACGAAGAGTTGTTCCGTGCGGAAACCAAACCCGCGACACGTTGCGCGGCAGCCAGTTGCCCAACCACCGCGCCAACCGTGCAGTCATTTAAAAGCTACATTACTGCTGAAAGAAAGATTATTGATAACCTAGATGTGCAACTTCGTCTGCGTTTTTCTAAAAACATAGGCTATTTTTAGTAACCTATACACGACAGATACAACCGACACGACAGATGCGACCGACACGACAGATACGACCGACACGACAGATACGACAGATGCGACCGACACGACAGATGCGACCGACACGACAAATGCCACCGACACGACAGATACGACCGACACGACAAATGCGACCGACACGACAGATGCGACCGACACGACCGACACGACAGATACGACCGATACGACCGATACGACAGATGCGACCGATACGACCGACACGACAGATACGACCGACACTACAGATACGTCCGACATGACCGATGCGACAGATGCGACCGATACGACCGACACGACCGACACGACAGATACGATTGAAACGACCGACACGACAGATGCGACCGACACGACAAATGCGACTGACACGACCGACACGACAGATACGACAGATACGACAGATACGACCGACACTACAGATACGTCCGACATGACCGATGCGACAGATGCGACCGATACGACCGACACGACCGACACGACAGATACGATTGAAACGACCGACACGACAGATGCGACCGACACGACAAATGCGACTGACACGACCGACACGACAGATACGACAGATACGACCGACACGACAGATGCGACCGATACGTCCGACATGACCGATGCGACAGATGCGACCGACACGACAGATGCGACCGACACGACAGATGCGACAGATTCGACCGACACGATAGATACGACCGACAAGACAGATACGACCGACACGACAGATACGTCCGACATGACCGATGCGACAGATGCGACCGATACGACCGACACGACCGACACGACAGATACGATTGAAACGACCGACACGACAGATGCGACCGACACGACAAATGCCACCGACACGACCGACACGACAAATGCGACCGACACGACAGATGCGACCGACACGACAAATGCGACCGACACGACCGACACGACAGATACGACAGATACGACCGACACGACAGATGCGACCGATACGACCGACACGACAGATACGTCCGACATGACCGATGCGACAGATGCGACCGACACGACAGGTGCGACTGATACGACAGATTCGACCGACACGACAGATGCTACCGACACGTGTGTCTGTCGTGTCGGTCGTATCTGTCGCGTTAAAGATGTCCATTATTGCAAGATGGCAGCGCGAGTGGCGCACGTACGAGGAGAATACAGTCGACTGGACGACTGAACTACTATTATACATAAGTACATACATAACCTCACGCCTGTCTCCCATGTAACGCCAATTGCTAGGATGCTTACATACCTCTTTCGATGATGATGATGATAATAAAAACTTAACTTAAAAAGTCAAGTACTTATAGGTAATTTCATAACGTATATTTTATTTTAACAACATAATGTTTTACATTTTAAATTTCGTAGCACATAAGTATTCTTAGTAGGAAATCCAAATACATAGGAATGTGATGAGCAAAGGACCAGGTATGTACTTGGTCCAACTTCCAATAAAAGATTAAGCTCCTATTTGCTGGTAATTCTCCGAACGATTATCATCTTGAGAGCTCGCGTGGGTGTCGCAAAGGCGATTATGGGTTAGAATAGGTCATTGTGGGTCGGTCTGTTCAATAAAAACTCACAAACGTCGAATAAAATTGATTGAATAACTACCTACATTCTTAGATGATATGAATTCGTTCTTATATGGCAGACACACAATACATAATAGGCACATAGCTGTCAATTTATACAAAGAGGCACAATTTCGGTGACTAAACTTTTGTCATTTTTATTTTTTATTTTTTTGGTCAACTGCTCATTTTCTTTCTCTTGATCTATTTCGTAAAACAATAAATAAGGTTTAAATTATCTCAAGTTGTCGTGGGATGATGAATTGTCTGTTCAAAATACAAGCACCACTTTTTTTACATAATTTAATTTGTTGTTCTTTAAAGATGTGCCAAAATATTGTTTAATCTTTAGGAACGATTAGAATCCACTACCAAATGACCAGATAATAATATAAGAATTTAAAAACACTTATTCTGGTTATAAACCTTCAAACATTGTTTATGATGTATTTTGTTGTAATAGTATTTTTGATATTGAGTATTAAGTTTAATAAGTAATAATCATACTTAGCAGATAACTTCTGCTTACCCTTGTAATGAATATTTATAGAAAAAAAATAGATTCTGTGCTCACCTGATGCAAAGCCTCCTCCTGTTGTGCATCCCTATCTGTACGAACGGCCACCTCGACCGTCATGGCGCGCGCCAGAATCCGCTCGGCATACCGCGTTATATCTTCCCTGTCGCCTGGGCAAAACATATTCATGAAACACAAGTACATAAACTATATTCCAAATTACATTTTTCATTTTACAATAATTCTTATTCCGCAAGCGTTCCCAGGAGCGCGCGCTTATATTTTCGTTTGGTACAGTATCTTTGTCTAGGGATTGAGCCGCACAATTAAGTTTGTTTTTTCATATATATACTTTTTCGGGAAAAAAGTACCCAGTGTTGTGTCCAGGATATTAAAGTATAATTATACGAAGTTTCATCTTAATAGGACCGGTAGTTTTTGCGTGATGCGTGAACATACAGACAGACAAACAATTTTTTAAACACATATTTGCGTTCGTTGTGTATATTTAGTAACATCCCCCACAATTTCTTTTTTATGTTTTTAAAGTACAGAATTTACATTTCTAAAGGTAACAGGATGTTGTACCTATAGATAACAGGAATATATGCCTGCCTATCTTTTTAATAATCACAAGAAATATAATTCACAATGTACACAATTTACTAGGCTTCTACCCGCATGCCGCAGCTGGTACATAGCAATAATATCATATCTACCTACATAAATATCTTTCAACAGGTAAAAACTTCATAAAACTCTATTTAATTATTTACTAGCTTCTGTCAGCGGATTCTCCCGCGGTCCGTTGCCCCTGTGTAAAATTTTAAATTGCAACATTTTTTACCATAAGACCCTTCAAAAAAAATTGTGCAATCGGTCCCGCTTTACACACGTGATATACATAATATATACATATATAGATTTAAAATTACACTTGCACTTACATAAATTGAGAAATTGGCGGACCTTTTACCACAGACATTCTCTGACAGTCGACCGGGTGGTGCAGAATGTTAAAGCAGTAGGTGCAGTATTTTAGTTTATCAAGCAACGGACTATTTTATAACAAGTAAGAATCATAATTATACTTTATTGAATTCAATCATCAAGAGGTAGGTACCTACTAAAAAGGTTTGATAAATACTTTAGTGTAACTTACATTCAGACACATCACCAAGCAGTTCTGAGTGTTTGATACTATCAAGGGTGGACAGCAAAGAGTCACGCTCTTCTTCAATGCGAACTGTATCACGCCGCAATCGCTCCACTCGCATCTCCACTTGGTCCAGTATTGCAATCAATCTGGCGGGAACTTTACATGTCAATATTTTCTAATAATATAGTTACTAGATTTTCTTATCACTGTATACAAATCACATTTTTATATAAGTAGATGATATACCTATTGAAACTAAATGCCATCTCCATTGCTTGGACACAGTATAAAATTTACCCACAAGTTTAGCAATGACTTTTGAATTTGTAATATTTCAAATCAATACTGAGGAAACAAGATATAATAATTTGCCACGTTATCAGCAAATAAAATAGATTAAATAATAATTTTGTATAGGCTGTTGTTGTTGTCTTGTTTTGTGACATTTAGTGTTGATAAGATTAATAAGTCATGCCATAACCTTACTTAACAATCAAGGAACAAATTGAAAAAAACTACTATGACAGAATGTTCGGCTTAAAAGCTCCAAAATGGAAAAGCCAATAAGAACCCGATTGGTTGGTTATGAATAGTGTAAAAAATTATAAATACATTAATTATATATAAGGAGGTTAAATATTCCTCATTTGAAAGAAGAATTAATATTCTTATAATAAACCTACAATTATCATGGTCCAAATATAAAGCAATAACACTTTTGCGGCCCTTATCTGTATGGAACCAAATAAAAGATAACATAGGTAGTCTGCTGTGTCATTTTTATCAATGAAATTAATTTTCATTTTGATATTTTCCTAACTTGATAAATTGTACCAGTTAGAAAATGAAAGAAGCTAAAGTAGCAGTTATTAATTGTATACCTACACAGATTTCTATAAGATTAAATGAAGTGTTCTGTGAAACTGGTATTATTGAATTATGCTCCAGACGAGCTGGCTTATTACTGCCTGAAGCATGGTTTTAACACATTTTGATTTCACTGTTAGAAACCAAATACTTATTAATTGAAAATATGGTGAATATTATTGCTACTATGTCAATAAGATACAAACTGTATCGGAAAGTGTTAAACGTAAGTTAGAAGTGGAGCAATTTGCACCTAGTTGATATATCAGAATGGAGTTGTAATTTATTCTAATATGAATTGTAATGTACTAGTCAGACTTTAGGTGTGTAAACTAAAAACTGGAATGAATGTCGTATTACTCCTATAAGGCCCTGAAGTGGGTATAGCTTGGTTACTGAACCAGTCATTAAGCATTTAATTGACTAAAAACGCGATCAATGAGCATAGAAATCTCTCGCTAGTCTCTTCTACTTCCACCTTGTCTTTTGTTACAAATATAAGCATCACCTTTAATGGAACACTTAATAGATAACAAAAAAGGCCAAGTACCTTTGCTTGTCGAAAAGCATCGCAATATAATTAATTATATGCCATAGAAACATAACTGCTGCGTGGGTGAGCTCGTAGAGAAACTTTTTTTATATCTCACAACGATGGGCGATGACCATTTTTGGACGCTCACCATGCGTTTCGCAATCTAGGAATTGTCACTATGTCTTTACACCTGGATTTATGTACGCACTATTCGCAAAAGGTTACCTACCTGTCCTTCGGTGCCTGTGTCCCGAAAGCCGACGATTCGTCGATGAGAGGCAGCCGCGACCCCTCACCGGTATATAAATCGACAGCAAACTGATCCACTTCCATCCTGTCGAAATCGTTTCTCTTCAATCCGGCCAGGGTTTTAGTTTTATAACCGCAAAGATTTCGCACAAATGTACAATTGTTACACAAACAGCAGGAACAATTTTCACCCAAGACGTCAAAATCAAACTAACCAAAACAAATTGAGTGACGTTTACGTTTCTCAAAATCTCTTGAACTTTCCGAAAAAAAAGAACTGTCATGAAGTAACATGACATTTGCACAATAGCATCTTGTATTTTCTGTTGTAGTTTGAACTTTATTTCCAAGTAGTCAAGAGCTATGTTAGCTCTTGATCATATCGGTATTACGTTCAAAATCCCACCCACTTCTTAAGATCGAACCATAAACAAACGCATAGACTAGTTTATTTTTTATCAATAATAAGAGACTTGGTAAAGTATTACATCGTACGATTATGTATTAGCACTTATTTAATTTTAATATCTTATTTACCTTTCCTATAGAAAGTTTTGAGACGTCGGTGTATAGACACCGACTAAACTTTACATAAATTGTTTGATGTTGCTAGCACAGAAGCCAGAAGGATTACCTGCACAGAACATATAAACCTGCATATCAATAATACCTTATGGGCGTGCAGTAGACTGTAGAATTGACAAGGGTAAATAATATTTCACAAATCATATTATGTATAACATAACATCACGCCTTTTATCCCCGAAGGAGTAGGCAGAGGTGCACATTATGCCACTGTACAAAGTAACACCCACTTTTCACTATTTATGTTGTGGGTCCCATGTAATAGGGGGTGAGCCTAGTGCCATATACCGGGCTCAATTCCAGACTCCGTGCTACTACTGAGATTTTTTTTAAACTCAGTGATTGTACTTTGCCCGACCCGGGAATCAAACCCCGAGACCCCTTGCCCGACAGTCGCACTTGCGACCACTTGGCTAACGAGGCAGTCAATAGAGGCGTATACTAAAATAACGAATTGGACATCTATGACAAGGATTGGCCGCTAAAAGCTTTACATAAAAATAAGTGAAGGAGAGGCCTTTGCAGAAGGACGATCATGGTTGAAAATATATAAAATAAAATAAAAAAGATAATTTACAAATAGTTTATTTGTATCTTACAATAATAAAAACTGGAGTAAGCTATAAAAACGTAAATAATGTTGATTAATTTGTGTTTAACTACAAGCAAATAGGATTGCTCGTTATGGCTTAACAACACTGTCTTAAATAAAAAACAAAGAAACTAAACAATAGTAATCTATTTTGTTTAATTGACGGATACAATCCAAAGAGTGGTCGAGGCAAAAGGGACGGATACTTACTTACCATCAGGTGGGCCGTGTGCTTTTTTGCCACCGTCGTGGTATAAAAAAATAGTATTAAATGTAATTAGCTATGGCCATATTTACTCATAAGAGTGTTAAAATTTAATCGATTTTGATTCTACGAATAGATCTCGTCCAATTTTATGGCTTCGCCACCTTCCTACTTGCTGAACCCTAGGATTAAAATCTCAAAAAGATATCGGTCTCATTAAATTACGTCTAGTAATTATTACCAGAATGTATCTTCTTAACATTCCAGCTAGCGCAATGCGTATGGTCATACGCATTGCGCTAAGTTTTGCGCAAAATTGCGCATTAACCGCAGCATAGAGTTTAAACTTAAATAAGCAAGCCAACACAGCTCGGACCACAAAATTCGAAGAGAACTGTAAAAGTTTTATTACTAAACAAAAACAAAACAATGAATGATAAAATCGTATTCTAAGTACAAGTATAACAATAAATAAATCTCTGATTCATAATGTAGACGTAACATACAATACTGACAATAATTTGCGTTAAAAACGAATCATAAACTAAAGATGCACATTTATTATATTTTCTATACATTATATAACTAATTTAAATCTCTTACAACTTACTCCTAAAAGGCCAAGATGAAATATTTAATTCTGTATTGGTAACTTTCAAGGAGTAGTTGGCACTAGTTTTAAATTCTAGTATTGTTCATAATTTGTTTGATTTCAAAATGACCTTTTAGAAACAGGATGTTGCTTTCTTAGAAGTTTAACTTTTACATTAATTTGTTGTATTATTTATAACATTAAATTAGTCTAAATATAGTTAGACTAAATTAACATTAAATTATCATTTTTATTGCATGCAAATAAAATTAACTGTGATTAATCACTTTAGAAGTTGCATAAGTCATCATTTTTTAGTGTATTTGAAGTCACCACTATTCATTCATTGCAGCCTCCCAAAAATAATAAAAGAAAATACTTTTTTATAATGGCATTTTTTCTAATTTCACACATACAGAACTGATAACTTCTTTAATTTAAAATTAAGTTTTGCCACTAACATTTAAATAATAATTTTCTTTTTCCTAAATTACAGTGACTTATTTTAATATTGGAATCATTACTACTTCATAAAATTAAAAGTTATTTTTATTTATACCATGCAGGTTTTATATCTACTCATTTTTTATCTATGACCTTCATATTTTTCACAGACGCCCAGTTTCTTTTTCGAATGGTCATTTTGGAGTATTGGTAAATAAATTAGGGCCTTATACTTACTGATAATAAAGCTTAAGTTAATGCGATTGTCCGTAACATCTGAAACTACTGGATGCATTAGCAAAACTCTTTTGTATTGGATTCAATTCCTGAAATAGCATAATGCTAAAATCACGATTGTGATAATACAATGAAAACAAGGCATGTACCAATGCTCCAAAGCTCAAAGCAAAAACTTGCTTTAAAAATCAAAATTTATGTAGATGTCCTTCTTTCATCAATAAATAATAATAAAAATTATGTTAATACCTTTTGCCCACACATTACTATTTCTATTTTCTTTAGCTCAAAACAATTACCAAGAGAGAGAAAGAGAACCTCTGTCTTTTTTGACTAAAGCTTGTGGACAAAAGCATCAACTTAATGAAAATGCTATGTCACATTGAAACCTAAATTAAAATACTACATTCTGAACAACTCTTTACAGAAGCTTCTCAATCGCAATACTCATATTGTACTGACAGTAGACTGAAGAAAATGTACGGGAGAATCCTACATTACGTTTGTCACGGAACATTTAGTTTTTTTTTTTTTTTTTACTTTAGCAATTCTATGAATTTTGTCTTCACAAGTTTAGTAGGACTGATATTAAAAATATCAGAGTGCCAATCGTAAAATGGGGTGGATAGGGATCGAGAGGTAAATAGATATTGGGAAATTCTTCATAGTATCGATTCACCCCCTCTTCTGTCTCTATTCACCTCTCGATTCCCATTCACCCCATTTTACCGTATCGCATTCGTAATGCGAATACATGCATTCGTAATCGAGCGTGTTCGGCGTCTGATTGGTTGGTTCACTGGAGACGCCACACTCGCCGCACTCAGAGTGGAATTCGGTAGCAGTATGCGGTATTAAAATCGCACTAAACTTTGTGATAGGTACATTCATTTAATATTTTCATCTTATCATAAACAAATAAATCTAATACCTTTAGACGAGCAAGTCTTTTAATTAAGTAATGGTAAGACAAGTTCGGCTAAATTATTACTAATAATATTTTTTAAATTCCCCAAACATTTTCCACATCCACTTCTAGCACAAATAATTTATGAATTCTCTACATAACGTCTAGTAAAGCTCAACTCCGGAACAACAAACATACATATGTCTGTCTCTATCGCACTAATAGTAGATATGGCGTGTGCGAGTGAGACGGCGTTCATTTGCCTGTCCACTCACTGATCCTGCCGTTCTCGAACGCCAGATTCTTTCTCGGTAATGGAACTAAGGAACCACGTTTTACTATTCCCATATCTTCGCCGGGGTAGTACTGGTAACATGAAAGAAATATAGGTATTAGATTTATACAAGTGTCAACACAAAAGGGAAAGTTTGAAGTGGTTTCAACTAATGTGCTAGTATAAAAAATGCATAAACGTAATGGAAGCTAGAGGAGGATATAAGAACTGTAATAAATGACGTTCTGTACTTTCTTATACAAAGCTATGTTCTTGGTACAAAATATAATCTGGACTATGGTCAGAAAAACCATAGTTCTCAACAAAGGACTTGGGACGATCAATTAAAAGTGTACAGCAAATAATAAAACTCACCTGACATTGCGACACAAACTTCAATATATCGGAACGTATGAATTCATTATCTTCTTTCACCTTCTCCAGTCTGCAAGACATAAAAGTATTAAACAAACATCCTGATATTCGTAAAAAAGCAAATTAAACCTTATAATCAACAACTTACAGTTCAGGTTTCGCTATTCGTTCTACTATACACTTGCAAATCTTCTCACATAGCGCTTCGTCAAACAGCGGTATGCCGAACTGGAGATCTACTATTGTCCATCTCTGAAAATATATTTAAAAAATAGACCAGAATGTTCTGAGGCAAAAGTAATAATAAAAATAACTAGGTATAAAACGACGTACCTCTGGTCTACAAGTTTCATCATCAGATACATAATGAGCAGTGTCCACGCCACTGTCGCCCTGCGCGTCCGACATCTCAGTCAACTTGTCGTTCAACTGAGTAAACATAGAGATCGACTCCTCAGCCGGACTCAACAAATCCTCCAACTGGTTGACCGACCGGTCGCACTTTTTGTTTAAATTCTCGCTACTGACAGACGAAGAATGTATCGGAACGAGATCGTCGGATAACGCGATGGATTCTTTGCTTGTGGAGTGTTCTTTGGAATGCTTTTTATCAGATTTGAGGTCTTCGATGCTGGTGGAAGAGGAATGTATGGGGACGAGGTCATCGCTGTTAGCTATGGACTCCTTGCTGTGGGCGTGTTTCGTGACGTCATCGAGCGCTAAGTTGTCTAGTTCGTCACAGAGTAGTTGTCCAGACTCGACGCTGGTGAACCCGTTGGCTGGGGAGGAGTTCTTGCTGTCAGTGGTGGGGGTGACGGCGAAGTGGGACTCTATGGGGGACTGCAACCTGGTCAGGTTCTTGGAATACTCCTCCGTGTACCTCTCTGCGGATTCCGTCGATGATAACGATACTTCGCTGATAGGCTTCGCTATACCGCATATATCTTTCTTCTTTCTTTGTTGTACTGTGAAACAGTTTGTGATATTTGGGTCATCGACAATCAGTTCTCAAATAATAAATAGAATATAATAATGTGTATATTTACCTAATTGCACGGTAGCCGGTGGTCTGGCACAGCCTAGGTCTGGCACGCCGATGTCTGCCAACGTGACGTAGCCGACGGAGCGAGTCAGTCGCAGTCTCTTCAACAAGCGACGCAGACCAGCGTGACGAGACCATAGCGCTTGTGATTCTGACCAAAAAAAATTACATTAAAAACTTAACGTTCAACAAAATTTTGTTTATTTTATAATTTCTGTGTTGATTCTGCATCACAACAAAGTTTTGAATAATTAAACAAGTTTAACCAGGAAGTAAGAAGTTAAAAAGTACATATAGTTATACGGCCATTACAGATGAAATACTGGGGAACATTTGGTAGAACTTTATAGATTCCTACAGCGAAGTATCATTCAAGCTGTAGGGAATAAAATATCTCCCGATCCAGTAAAGGTAAAAACTAAATAGAATAAGAACCTGTGCAGGTATCAGCTTCAGGCGGGAACATGAGATGTCTGAGCGGCGCGGGCTGGCGCACGCCGAGCGCCTGCAGCAGCACGGGCCCGCGGCGCAGCGCCGAGTTGGCGGCCGTGAGGGCGGGCGCGGCGGGCAGGGCGCCGGCCGCGCTGCCCGCGCCCTCCAGCGCCGCCTCCGCGCCCCACCACGACACGCCCAGCCGGGAGTACCCCAGGAGGAGCCGCGGTACTCCACGCAGTTGAGTGCCTGGGTAATATTCACTAGTTAAACCACATTATTAGTATTGCTGCTTAATAAATATAAATGGAAATAGTATATATATTTTTGCAAAGCGTAAACTAGATGGCACTACTTGTGTGACAGTAAATTCTTTCGGTTCAATAAGAGAAAATATATACTACAGATTTACACTAGTCATTATAATAACATTGATTGCCTCGTTGGCCGAGTGGTCGGAAGTGCGACTGCCTGGCAGGGGTCTCGGGTTCGATTACCAGGTCGGGCTTCGGGTTCGATTATCACGAAATTTAGAATTGTAGCTGGTATATGGCAATAGGCTCACCCCCTATTACATGGGACTTATAATATAAATGGTAAAAAATGGGTGATACATTGTACACTTGTACAGTGATATAATGTGTACCTCTGTCTGCCTTTTCGGGGCGAAAAGGCGTGATGATATTATGTTATATGAAACTCATCATCAACTAAGGAGTATTACTATTATGTAGTTACGTTTAGGAAGATGGCAATCAGTCTAAAATAGAACGTACTTAGGTTGAGAATTATTGCCGATCGATGAAACTTCAAACCATTTTATCATAATAATAATAAAAAAGAACCTAAAATGTCACTAACCCTTAGTCAACAGCAGTGTGGGTGGTCCGTACCCGGCGACATGGTACAAGTAGAGCTTCATCCAGGGAGTGTGTGCCTCGGGCGGCGCGGGCCCTATGTGGGGCAGGGCCCCCGCCGCCGCGCCCGCGCGCGCCTCGCGGCACAGCGGGGCCGTCGACACTGCTAGTCTGAGGGGGAATCAAGTTGTTTTATAAATCGTCCGTACAAGACTGATCGAAATACTTCAACAGCAATTGATTAATTTCATGACAGAAAAGTAAGGAAAAAAAAAACCTGAAAAAACGGTGTATTCGGAAATTTGAGGAGAGAAACGGCTAAGACAAATGGCGAAATCTCGTGTCACAATTTTTTATTTAAAATATTGCCCCACATTATTATTTTTCTCCTGTGTCGTGGGTGCGTTTACAAACATTCAAGTTCACATACACATGACACCTAGACTCGGAACAACAATCTGTAGATCACACAAAGAATTGTTCCGTGCGGGAATCTAACTCGCGACACGTTGCGCGGCAGCCAGTTGTCCAGCCACCGCGCCAACTGTGCCGTCAAGACAGAAATGAAGGTTCACTTTGAGTTGCTCAGCCAACTTTATCGTTTTCGATATTTGAATGGTGGTTCATCATCATTATCAGCCAAAAGATGTCCAGTAAGTCAACTTCTGAAAAAAGGTATCTCTTTAAATGGGGCTAATTTAATTAATGTGTCACACTAACTTGTACTTAGTAGCCAGCAGTCTTGCCCTCGCGGCGGCGCCGAGCGCATGCAGGGCCTCGCAGCGCAGCAGGTCGAGCGGGCGCAGGCGCGGCCGCAGCGTGCGCAGCGCCGCGCGCAGGCACGCCGCCGCCGCCAGGTAGCGCCGCGCCTCGCCCTCGATCTCGGGGTCCGCCACCACCTACACCACATCACAGAGTACATTCATACTGTACTAAACAACAATCGTCCTCACTGTTTCTCCTCAGAAAGAGGGGAAGAAGAGAGTTGAAGATAGAGGTAAGCGAGAGAAAGAGAACTTTGACTTTATAGGGGAAAGGTTTCGAAGTATCAATAAAATAACAATTTTGAATACAAACAATATATTTTTTTGATTTCTGTACGCCACTCAACTTACCTTATCTAACTCCATGAGTAAGCTGTCCAGACTCTCATCAGGCAGCTTACCGACTTCAAACAGCGTTACCGCATGACTCTTTAGATCCTGGAAATATGTATAATCAAAACAAAGTTTCAATCCAAACCTACCCAAATAAAGTATTCCACCGTGTTGAAACATAGTGGTCTTTATTTCTTGAACAATAAAGTAGATTTTAATAATATTTGAGACACTTACTGGAGACAGATTTCCCATCATAAGGTAAGCTGCTAATGTAGAGTCGAACAAAATGGCAACTCTTTGACCGCCGTTGTTTGAAGGCTCCGTTATTTCGTCTGGACTCTGGAAAGGGACAAAAATACATTAAACTTATTTTTTGTGTCTAACCAAACCCTGTGCCTTTAGCCAAACGCCACTTTAGCACTTGTCTACAGAGAGAGAGTAGAAATCAAAATGTATGGGGATGACACTGACAAGTGTCAAAATTTATGTCAATTCCATATAATTTGGTTTTTATTCTACATGTTAGACACGCGTTAAATGGCATTTGGCTACAGCTGCTTTTAGTGACGATTGAGTCTTACCCCTCTTCCCATGGGTTTAGTAAAGCTGTCTAAGGAACTTAAGACTATACATCACTTTCTGATAAACCTCAATCTATTTAAACTACGATCTTCAACCCCACTAAATGTAACGTATAATGGTTTCCATATGTAGAGGAGGCCGAAAGACAAGTGGATTGTCCGCCGAGTGGATGCTTTGATGTTGTAACAATCATTATTTTTGCCTTTCCCCTCAGCGATCAAAAGGCGTAATGTTATTTATGTTTTCTTTTTATTTATTTTTTTATTAGTTATATATAAGTTTGTGTGATGGTGTTTATGATTACACTAGCAACTTGCGCAGGTTTCACCCACTCTGCTCGGCTCCTATAGGTCGTAGTCAGATGTTTTAGCTTATAGCCTTCCTCGATAAATGGACTATCCAGCACAAAAAGAATTATTCAATTCCAATCGGTAGTTTCGGAGATTAGCGCGTTCAAATAAACAAACAAAAAACAAACTCTTCAGCTTCATAATATTAGTATAGATTTATATTCTGTGGCAAACACCGTTGGTAACACATTTGTTCGAACTACCTCTGTATTGTGTCATCATAAAGTATCAAGTAATGTGTCACTGTTTGTTTTCCCAAATAAATTAAATAAAAATTAACGAACACATACCTGTTTCGAAGTAGACGGCATTTGATGATTTTTGATGAGGATCGGTTCCATTTGCAGCGCGTCGTCATCCATGTTGGGGTCGAATGTTAATGGGGCTATCTGTCTGTATCTGAAGGAAGACGAAAATAAAATTGGCTGGTTGGTGATCGCTCTGAGTTTCCGAGTCACGATAAGTTATTATTGGATTTTAAATTTTTAAACTGAATCTTGAGTTGAAAAACACGACTGGTATGCAAGAGACCTCGGGCTCAGGTCAGGCAAATGTAGGGTTTCAATTTATGATTTTTTTATTAGTGGCACGAAATTAGAAAGCGATGGAGAATGTAGAACATGCTAAAATAGGCTACAAGACAGCCTTTAGATACACGAGAAATTCGGCATTACATTTCACCCTCCTCACACCCTTAATATAAAGAGCAAAATGCTTCATATAATTATAAATACTAACGGCTGATGGTTATGTGTGGTGACGGCGTCCCTCCAGGACGGGTGTTGCGGGGACACAGGCGGGGGCTGCAGGTTGTTCGCGAACCCCAGGCGGCAGTACAGCGACACTGCTTGCTTTACTAACTCGCATTCCACCTGGAACAATGTGACAATGTGTGTTACTATTTGAGTTGATAGTGATAAATATTAGCTAAATATTTCAGGTAAAACGACCGAATTTTACAATAGTTCGTCATAGTCGTATAAAATATATGGATAAAATAAGCGTATAGTGATTGCAAATTGCAAAATGCGTCAATAGAGTATTCAATCCTGTTTTAGCCTTCAATCCCCAGATCATAGATAAGCTGGCTTAATTTGTAATGAGGCCTGCCGAATGCGTAATGCTCTTAAGATGACGCTAGTGTGAATCTCTCGGTCTTTTTCCAATATGGAATTAGTTAGTGTCATACCATTACACGATACATATTTGAGAGTTGCTGTGATTGGACAAAAAAGTCCTTGCTACATTGCTTGCTATTTGGTGACTAAAAATTCGTTAGCCTCCATTAAAACTAAGTGAGTGCACGGTTGGCGCAGAGGGTGTATAATCGGTATACGAGCAGACGGATCACCTGATGGTAAGCAATCGGCGTCGCCCATGGACATCCTGAGGCGTTACAAGTGCGTTACCGGCCTTTTGGGGATTAGGAGTTTGAGGATCGTTGGGGATTCAGGAATTAGGGAGATTGGGGAAGGGAGGGTAATTGGGCCTCCGGTAACCTCACTTACACGACGAAACACAACGCAAGCGTTGTTTCACGTCGGTTTTCTGTGAGGCCGTGGTATCACTCCGTTCGACCCGGCCCATTCGTGCCGAAGCATGGCTCTCCCACACTTTGTCACAAACTAGTTTTTTTTTTATCAAGAGGAACAGTAAACGGTTACATTATAAAGTCTTACTAACTACATAGTTTACACAATGTACATTTTGGGCGATAATACAACCCACAACACTGCCCACAAAGTTTAGTTTGTAAGCATAGATGGCGAAAAGTGGCATACCCATACTGTTATACTCTTCTTATTCTTTCCACGCACAAACATAATGTAGGTAATCTAAAACTCCACAAACCTGTAAAACAGCCGCCAAGTCAGCGACACTGGTATGCTCATCAATAGAGACGAACACTTTATACAGCAGCGTCTCGAAGTAGTCGCCGGCGATGCGGTTCATCACGAATCCTTTGAGGGGGGGCACTGACACCTTGTCAGCGGCCGTTATTGGCACGTCCAGGTAGATTAGACCGCGCCTATTATGTAAAAATAATTAAATAAGGAAAACTATATAAATGAGTCAACCAAATTATTTGGTATGCAGGTATGAAAATAAATCTCATTGGTCTGCAAAGCACACAGTCTGGAATTGTGCCCGGTATATGGCTATAGGCTCACCCCCTATTACGTGGGACTCATAACATAAATAGTGAAAAGTGGGTGTTATATTGTACAGTGGCATTAAGTGCCGGAATATGCACAACTGTCTACCCCTTCAGGGCTAAGGCCGTGATATTATGTACGAAAATAAAAAATGATTCAGTACACACATTGACACAGGTCATCAGTTGGCTACTGATCCTATCAATAGTAACAAAGAATCTTCGCTTCATTTAAAAGCAAAGAATTTCGGATAGTACAACAGTAACAGTTAGTCTTCGTACTTATAAAATATTTTTTCCCCTGCATACTGAATTATTTGACGGACTGTACATTATATACTAATTTGTTACAGTCGTTGATTCCTCTTAACATTAAATAAAAATATAAATGAACACTTCCTCAATTAATGTGTCACAGTACTAATGGGGTCGGTTTCACGGCTCACTGTACATGGATTCCCCAAAACTGCGTACTATTACATAATAGAAATATTTTAAAATGTCATAATCTATTTTCATTTTTTTATTCTTTTTTTGTATCATCAAAGTATTTATGGATACAGTCATAAAAATTCAGTACTACAATTTCGGGGTCTTTTATACAGAAGCACCATTGTCTGTACTAAAAATTCATGGTTTCGATGCGTTCAGATATTTTTGGTCGTCACGCATCGATTTACAAAATCTTACGAAATATAATAAAGTTGTGTGTTTTATTTATAGGTAACATAATGAATACATTATAATATTAATTATGTATATTCAATTATTATTATTATGTTACAAGTTATTATTTATTTAACACTTGGGAAACCAGCAGCTATGCAATTTGCTTAAAAAAGAATGTGACATGCAAAGTGGTCGCAAGTGCGACTGCCCGGTATGGGGTCTCGGGTTCGATTCCCCGTTCGGGTAAAATATTACTGGGTTTTAAAAAAATCTCAGTAGTAGCACGGTGTCTGGAATTGTGCCCAGTTTATGGCAATAGGCTCACCCCCTATTACATGGGACTTATAACATAAATAGTGAAAAGTGGGTGTTACATTGTACAGTGGCACTAAGTGCCGTAATGTACACCTCTCGGGGCCTACCCTTTCGGGGATAAATTGCGTGATGTTATGTTATGTTATATTTTACCTGTACAGAGTCTTGACGACATAGTAGTCTAGGGTGCCGGCTGTCTGCGAGCCGCGGTCGATTAGCAAGTCTATTAGCGCTCTCTCGCTCTCGCCTAGAGGCTGGTAAGAACAAGCAGACGATTAGCTTATATAGAAAATTATATCTTACTTAAAGATAGATGTTAGAATCTATGAGGATAATTCCTGAAGAAATATTTGCATAAGTAACAAAACTGGTTGATAATCGAATTATTCTCCGTCTCATCTGTTTTCTGTCTGTTTGAAAATACAAAGCCAATTCAAAAGAACTTTTTTTTTCAATAACTTTGTCTAGAATAATCCAATATTCATTCATCCAAGCTATAAACTCCAAATGATATCATGGATTCAACCTAAACCCAGTACCTACACGTAATGCGATTATTTTACCTCTATCAGGCACAGAATAACTAATATTTGACCAAAAATAGTTCCGTACCAAGTTTACATAATGTGTGTAACAAAGCGATCGTCTTTTGTTTCTTACGACATATGTACGTCACTCACAAGAGAACTGTGAACTGGTTATTTAGTATGACAGACATACGGGCGAAAGTTTAGCATACTTTAGCTCAATGAACGACTTTCTCCTCAGATTATATTAATAATAAATTGTATAGGAATACATATGAAAACCGAGGATCGTTTAAACATGTCTATTTTAAACTATTCAGTAACATTTATGTTAATAAAACACTTTATCACACACCATTTTAGGATAACAAAATTAGGAAACAATGTCCGTTCCACTATAAACAAATTACTACTCCAATCCTATAGAATAAGGTTTAAAATAGATTAACATCACCTTGAATGAATTTCAGATTTTAGAACAAAATTAATCTTAATATTAGTGGGATACAGTTTATATTACCTTGACATCATCTTCTAGAACATATCCAAGTTCGACTCTCCACCACGGTTGCATGGGTATATTGAGAGGTACGCGTGGGAGTAGGGAGCGGATGGCCTTGGCACGTCCTCGGCGACCTAGAGACCTGGCTTTGGCCACCAGCTCTAAGTATTCATTCCGGCCAATACCTAGCAATCGGAGACCTACAAAATAAGTTTTAAATTAATTTTTAGTCACAATTATCTGACCTATGTTGTAATATTAAGTAACTTTTTTTCCTGATTACATCTCATCAGCTTCATTTTACTGTTCGCAAATTATATTCATGCACAGTGAATAGTCTTTAGACTATTCTCCGTTTAACATTTCTTGCAGAATAAACAGATCGAACTTTATTAAATAAAACAGTCAAACAATTTCATTTTTTCATGCATATAAGACACAAATAGTATATAAGTTCCCATCCTATCCCCAAAAGGCCCAATTGCCAAAACATACGTACTAGTAACTTGTCTAGTGTTACAGTCCATGGGCGGTGCCGGATACCGGATTTGGGCCGTTTTATACCATAAATAAAATAGATATAATAGTAAACGTTTATTTTCTTTTATCCATAGCTTTGTGTGTTAGTAACAATATTACTCAAAATTATGTTAGTATTGTTAGATTATACATGTTGGTAACTTAAATAACGCACACTCTGAAAAAAGTTTGTTCAGAATCGTTAACTGAATCAATTTCCTTATATAATTTTTAGTATAGGTAATTTTTTATCCCAAAAATAATTAAAACTACGGAAATTATTGTCATATTAACCCTGTATTGCTAAAAGAAATCGAAATGGACCGTAAGTCAAAGCAATAAGACTTTTAAAATCGCAGTTTTATTTGTATTCATACAAATTCTATCATTCAATACAAAATAAAGAAAAATAAACCTTATGACAAAACCAGTAAGGATGCATATACATGTTAAATTAAAAATTTAGTGTATGTATTATGATTATAACATAATATTCTAATTGGGGTGTTTGAGGGTGTGCGTTAATTACGTTACATGTTGTAGAGGTATATTCAGGGTGTTTTTAATCCACCGTCATATATCCATCTCAGCTCATATACTCACAGTCAGCAGCAGTGAAGTTGGGCATAGTGTCATAGCTCTTCTCCAGCTCAATGAGGAGCGCCACCACCTCCACATAGTAAATGAATGGGGTTATTCTCAAACCTATAAACAAAATGTCAGCTTAATTATGATACTTGGACCAACTTAAACTGAAATTTCAATTGCGAGATCTCTTTGCTCATAGTCACATTTGCGATCACTCAATCAAGTCTTAGTTGGTACATGTTTAGTTGATACAATTATGTTTTTTATTTGTGTATATGTTTCGCATAGTCAGTTTCCTCGCCGTTTTATCAGCGATTCTATTCAGTAATTTACAGTGTACAATTGTACATTTATGTATAAAATACAAGTTTGCTAATCAATAAATATTATAAAAGTGAAAGTAAATGTTGATTACACTTTCACTTATAACTGTTGACCAGATTTTGATGAAATACAGCATACAAATAGTACAGAAAATGAAAGAAAATTTGAACATTGCCCCACATTGGATTTTCTCCTGTGTCGAGGGTGCATTTACAAATATACAAGTTTACATACACATGACGCCCAGACCCGGTACAACAATTTGTGCATCACACAAAGAGTGCTCTATGCATGAATCGACCCTGACACGTTGCGCAGCAGCCAGTTGCCTAGCCACCACACACCACACCCACCTTATCATCAGTTCGTGGGAATTAGCAACTTTTGCTTTAGCTAAATCGAAACACTATAAATATAGAATTTTATTGAAAAAGTCAGGCAATATGATGATTGCCTACCCATTTTAGAATAACAAATGTGATAGGTATTCATGTTATGTATGTATTTATTTCATTATTAGATAAATACCTATATTGACATTACTTGATAACAAATGTAATTGATAAGCTGTAATTGAACTTTACAGGACAATTAATGAATGATTCACTTTATAAAATGTAAAGACAATAACTTAATAGGCACTTGTGGTTAATCTTGTCACACAAGATTTTTATATATTGCTTTAACACTTTCGATTTTCAAAAACAAAATAAACTAACATAACACTATATAAAATCAATTTAACAATAAGTTATTAATAGTCTATACTCTTCCTCATGTCTGCCTTCGACCACTGGTTTAGCATATAAGTATGGGGGAGCAAGAATAGAAAACAGTGACCTATTTTTCCTTTTTCTAACCAATATGCAAGTTTAAATAATTGTAATGGTTTATCTATTTATTTAATACCAAAGCAACAGACTGTACAATATTCTTTTCTGTCTCATATAGCGGCCGTCAAGTCAAGTTAAGAGGTTAAAAAAAATAATTAGGTAAGTATAAAAGAATATTAAAAACTAACCTTTCACAATCATATCTGCTAAGTGATAGGGGTAGAGCATGAGCCTCTGTATGCTGCTCTGCACAAGTGTCTCATAATACTTCTTCTCATCTTTCCGAACTGTCCTCACTGCGATACAAATCATATTTAATTCATACTTGTTGATATTTCTTTACAATTAATTCATTTAGCAATGTAATTAAACACATTTATACGCAAGATAATGTTATTGTAATTTGATTAAAACACATCTGCTAAGAAGGTCAATAAATTAATGTTTATTCAAGAGAGAAATGTCAAATCTATTCCAAGGAACATTAAGTTACATTCCATAATATAATTTAATAAATAGATAATTAACGATCAACACTCACCAAGGCTCCCTCTGTACCTCAATTGATTTTTAATACTAAATTCGAATATGTACCTTTCATATTCTTTTGAAGAATCACCCAACAGCTGAAACACCAAAACAAATACTCAACTTGTGTGTCACTCACTTCATGATAGGGAAACAGTGTATGTGATTAATTAACCACACTTATTCCATACTCTCGCCACTGAAGATAAACATCATTAGCATTGATAATTTAAAACAATAACAATACTTATAGTTTACCTTTTTTACAGTCGCTGGTAATTGCGACCACTGTGTCTTTTTTCTGATACATTCCTCAATTTCGTCTTCCATGGTACTTGACCATTTAAATAACGATTAAATAATTACATTGATAGCAAGTTACTCGCAACGGCCTTGGATAAATGGATAAACTGCACAAAATATTTTTGATGATAATAGCAAGCAAATACCAATGTTGCGTTCAAAGCAATCACTAAAAAATCGTTCAATGTAAAAATGTAAATAAGCTAAGAATAAAAAGAATAAGTTAATTTAATAACTGAAAAGATATTGTTTAAATTAAGATATTTTATACCATTAACTAAACCATTTATTCAAATTAGACCAAAACCAACCTAAACAGTTTTTTGTGTGCATTTTTAAAAGTATCAGTCCCTGTGCTATGACTAGAACCGTGTATTTGAACGTACTTGTCACTTGTCATTAAGAATCTGACGCAGAACTTGCAAAGTTGCCATATAATAGAAAGTCTAATCGATCGCTTAAGATTCACTTTAAAAAACAAAGAATTAAATAAGAAACATATTATTACAGGAAAAGGGTACGGCCTTGTAGCCGATACAAAAACACCCAATGTAATTTAAAAAAAGTTACATTTTTCCAATCCGATGTTGAGACTGAAAAAACCTGAGACTGAAATATTACACTTACAATTTTAAGTTATTTACTGAGAATAAAATCTCTCAATGAACACGTTTTGGCAAAAAACTAATGGGAAATTAGATTTACGACACTAATAAACCACATTTTAGGTATAAAAAACATTTGTAACATTTGAAATTGATGATTAAATAAAAAAACAAAATTATTTAATACTTCATTTTAATTAAAAATAACAGTTTACTTGTTTGTGCTGCTCGCTTGCTTTTACATAAATCTTTTCATTAGGTGGGTATAATATTATAAGAATTCTATCAAATGTATGTGGTATTCGTATTCATATTGTTGCACTCAGAAACAGAACTTGATATTAATCCCAATGAAAAAGTTGATTCAAAAGCCGTATGGATTTGATTAATCATATCTGATGCCAACATTGATTGTCCGTGAATTAAATAGGCTTTATAATTACTCGTTCTGGTTATCTTTGCTGCTGCATATGCAGCAACACTTTGAGCGAGTTGCGTTTGGCTTTCATGTTTACAGAGTTCTTTGTTCAAAGCCCAATGGTAAAATGTGCCCAGAGCTCCAGATAATATATCTCCTTGTCCTCCGACTCGACGCGTTGAACCACCTCCTGTAGCTATCCAGCTGTAGGATGTCATATTTGAGTAGAAGTGGTCTTTATCACCTTTTACCAAAACAGCTACACAATTTCCCCAATAATTGTACCAGTTACTATCGTTTTCAGAAACAGATTCCATTAATCTGTTCGCCTCTCGTAAATTCGGTGTCATGATCACTCCAGGACATGGATAATCTTTAATTAATGATGTATTTTTGGAAATTGCAAAAATACCATCCGCATCAATAACTAGGGGTTTTTTCAGTCTTCTACAATCTTGAATAACATCAGATATTAATTGTATTGTATCAGGCTCTCTACCTAACCCAGGCCCGATAATGACGACATCCATTTTTGGTAAAAGTGCACTGATTTTAGATGCATATTTAGGGCTCAAATAAGGGTATACTATGAGATCTGGACTATAAGTCTTTATAACGTATGCAGCACTATCTGTAGTTATAATATAAGCTAAGTCTCCTCCAACCTGAAAGACAAATTACATTTTAATTTTTTCAATCGACCATAAAATCAAGACTATATTAGAACTAACATGTACATTTTTTTCGAAATTATGTGAGACATTTTTGTGTTACAATCAATTACCCTAAAGGTATGTTTTACAATTGTACGTTGCACCAGATTATTTATATTTGGAAACTTATTAAAAAAAGAGGGGGCTTGCGTCAGTGTATATGTGTGGTAGATAATGGTCATACTTAATCACCTCCACTGTGTAAACTCCATGTATAACAAAATGCCACTGTTATTACTATAACATTACATAGTTTTCATGTTTAAACTGGTTAAACTGGTTTCTGAATAATATATTTACCTACCACATGAATTACTTTTTTCTTCATCTATCTTCGTTATCTATCGTCATCTATCTTTTTTTTCTTTTATGTTTTTCAACTCATTATGTGATGTTAAAGTGCTAAATTAAACTAGTGAATAAAAAAATGCCTACCTTTAATGACGTAATCGCTGAGAAATACGGTGCTCCTGTATATTCTATAGAACCACCAATTACTCCTATTCTGCCTGCATCTCCTTTAACTTTTCCAACTTTATCGGGTACAATTGCTTTACTAAGAAGTCTAAAAGTATTTGGTTGAAGCTTACTGTCTAAGAAATTACACCGGTCTTCAATTTCATCACACCTTATTATAAAAATTAATTCGAATACTACAAACATAAAGTTAAGTTTCATATTCAAGAATTTAAAAGTCAATAACCGATCACTAACCTAGTGTACTGGTAGTTTCTCACTTGATAATGTCGTTAAAACTTTGTTATCAACTGGTTATTTGTGTACAGTAACTTTTATTTATATACATACGGCACACGTAGGATTCATAGGGTGAAGGTCATGTTAAAAAATAATAATTTAGAACAATTTAGATACGAAAGGCTGGAAAAAAAATCATAAGTACTGCTAAAATATTGTGCATTATACATTATAAATAAAGTACATTATCGCAAATAAATAAAAATAGATTGTGATATAAAAAATTAAATGCGCATCTAAGTCGATTTCAGAACGATTGTATTATAATAAATTTTCTGAATTACAAATTTGATATTATGGCAACACTTTCGTAACTTGTCAAAATCAGTCGGCCGTGGCTCTGAAATAACAACAAAAATTTTGCTCCTGCTATTTTGGTGTAATATTACATCAAAATGGACGATATCGATAATTATGAAACTGTAAAATTGTGCTATACGGTTCATCGATACTCCAGCTACAGCAGTAATTATATACCTGAGTATGTGTTTGTTTTATTGTGTGTTATGCATTTTCAATTTCGTTTGTTAAAAAGAAATCCCGGTTCGAGATATTTATTCGCGTTGTTTGCCAAACATTTGAGATTTGATGCGATAACTTATTGTTTTGTGTATGTTAGAGTAAATATACTTTAGATTGGTGAGTAGTTTTTGAGATTATATGAAGTAAAATGAGCGCTTGTATTTTCAGAAATATTATGGTAAATAACCCTACTGACCAGCTGTCGAGATGGTTTACTGATAGCAACTCGCCATCTCAGTATATAATGCTGAAATTAAAGAGTCCATCTATTGTGGAGTCAATTAAATTTGGCAAGTACATAAAAGCACATGTGAGTGACCTGAAGAAATTTCAAATATATGGTGGAGCAGACGAAAACAATTTATCGTTATTACTAACAGCGTGAGTGCAGAAACTTTTATCTATGTATTTAAATATTTAAATGAAATAAGTTTACTGAACTGACTACCCCAATTCACGAATCTACATATGTATTTATAGTAGAACTTATTCTTTAATCTTATTATTTAAAATTCAAAAATTCAATTCATTAAATAGAACAACAATAGTTACTAATTTCTTTATAATTATATGCATATTACTAAAACTAAACTTTATGTTCATGTGCACTTAAAAGGTTACTCGTACACCATGGTCACTACCCACGGACTAGAGCAATCAGGAAGCATGTAATAGTATGACAAAACATAATAAATGCTTCTATAAAAATACAGTTATTCAAGGTTACAAAATATTTGTTTCTAATAATTTAAACTGTCAAACACCGAGCGGTCACCGGTGACCGCAACCTATTGTTCTTTAATTGTGTCTATAATGATGGTACTCAACGAGTTAAATAAAACTGTGGGTTAGATTTTAGATCTTTGACAGTTATGATTTCAACATTTTTCTACCCACTTAAGTAAAACAACAACTGTAGCAAGGTATATTTCCAAAGATAGTTTTTCAAGGTCAACAAAACTGTATATTAGATTTTTAGATGGAATATACAACAACAACAGAAAGTTGCTCGGACTTGCCAACCACATTTTATTCAAGGTCACAAATATTTATTTCTAAGTATCTAAACAAAATAATGTTCATAACATTATTAAATCTTTTAACTTATTCAACTCTTTGAGTACCGTCATTATAGACACAATTAAAGAACAATAGGTTGCGGTCACCGGTGTCCTCGCGGTTGTTGACAGTTTAAATTATTTCTTCGACTACCCTAATTTAAAAAAAATATCTTTGTTACTCCAACTTACCAAAATATTGATTAAAAATTAAAATAAAAAAGTTGGTAATATTTGTTTCTACGTATATCATATACAGATTTATAAAGATATAAATAAGAAATAAATTTTATTTGTTAAACTATAACTTTTTTGTTTACTTCTTGCTAAAGCAATAGTATGGCTATATTAGCATGGTATTTTTGTAAGTCAGATCAAAAATACAGACTACAGAAGCGTGGTAATCTTCATCATCATCATCAACAGCTGGAAGACGTCCACTGCTGGACAAAGGGACGAGGCGTGGAAGAGACGTGGAGGGCTAAGGGGGAGGCCTTAGCCCTCCACGTCGAACGACAACTCGCCACCCGCATCCACTGGCTCCCCGCAACTCTGGCGATGTCGTCGGTCCACCTAGCGGGAGGCCTGCCCACGCTTTGTCTTCCGGTCTGTGGTCTCCACTCAAGGACTTTCCTGGCCCATCTGCCGTCAGTCCTTCGAGCGACGTGGCCTGCCCATTGCCACTTTAGTCTGCAGATTTTGCGAGCTATGTCGGTAACTCTTGTTCTTTGGCGAATTTCCACATTTCGGATATTGTCGCGCAAAGATACCCCGAGCATAGCTCTCTGCATCGCACGCTGAGCGACTTTGAGCTTCTCCAGAAGGACAGAGGTCAGGAACCACGTCTCGGTACCATACGTCATCACCGGCAACACACACTAGTTGAACATCCTGGTCTTTAGGCACTGAGGGTTTTTCGATGAGTAGATTTCGCGTTACTTCCCGAACGCTGCCCATCCAAGTTGGATTCTTCGGGCGACCTCTTTGTCGAAATTGGACCTACCTAGCTGTATAATCTGCCCTAAGTATGTATAATAGTCTACAACTTCGAGGATATCGTTCCCAACGATGACCGGTACAGGTGCAACATGGATGATAGACTCATGTCTATTTTGTTCTTGTATTGGTCTTGTCCATGTTCATTTTAAGACCCACCTGTTGGGAGACGATATCGAGGTCGCTGAGCATGGTGTTTAGATCCTACCGGACACCGCCATGATGACTACATCATCGGCGAAGCGGAGGTGTGTGATGTATTCGCCATTGATATTGATGCCCAGTCCACTCCAGTTTAAGAGCTTGAAAACGTCCTCCAATGCGTTGGTGAACAGTTTCGGAGAAATCACGTCTCCCTGTCTCACGTTATCTGCAATTGGATTGGTTCCGTGGTATCTTCCTGTAGTCGGATGCGCATGGTGGCGTTTCTATACAAACACTTTAGCACCTCGATATATCTGTAGTCGATATGGCATCGCTGGAGAGACTGCAGCACCGCCCAGGTCTCGATCGAATCAAAGGCTTTTTCATAGTCCACAAACGCCAAGCATAGTGGCAAGTTATACTCCTCAGTCTTCTGTATAACTTGCCGCAGCGTATGAATGTGGTCTATGGTGTTAAAGCCTTTCCGGAACCCGGCTTGTTCGGGAGGCTGGAAGTAATTAAACCTGCGTTCGAGACGGTTCGTGATGACCCTCGAAAACAGCTTATATACATGGCTCAGAAGCGAGGTGGGTCTATAGTTCTTCAACAAGGAGTTGTCACCCTTCTTGAAGAACAGAACCACTACACTCCTTTGCTATGCTTTCGGCGTAGTTCCTTCGAGAATGATGGAATTGAATAGTTTCTGGAGGACTAAAAGTATCGGTTTTCCACCCGCTCGCAGAAGTTCTGTTGTGATTCCGTCATCACTCGGTGCCTTGTTATATTTTTGAGCTGTCTGAGAGCCATCCTAATCTCATACAGGCTAATGTCTGGGATATCCTCGGTATAGTGCCGTGTCAGTTTAGCTCTTGGATCCCGAGCTGTACCGACAATGGGTTGCCGTGTCGAGGTGTATAACTGTCCGTAGAACCTTTCGAGCTCTCTCAGAATCTCTGACTTCGACGAAACGATGCTGCCATTTTCGGTCTTCAGTTTCGTCATTTGGCTTTGACCAACAGACGAATTCCTTGCGAATACTTTTGTGCCCTAATTTCGCTCTATGGCATCCCTGACTCGTGCGGCGTTATATGCACGCAGGTCGCGTCGCATAGACTTTGAAATTCGCCTATTAGCTGCAGCCTCATCTCGTGTCGGTCTTTCATTTGAGTGTTTCTTTCGAGAGCTTTTGAGGTCTATTTCGGCGTGGGTTTTGAAAAACTTTGCGCCCACCGCTTGGACAGTTTCCCCTAACCCATTATTTAACTCGTCAATCATTTCACACTCAGCCAGGCACTGGAAGCGTAATAAATGGTAATCTTGCAATATTCAAAATACCATACAGAATGACTATATTACATAAAAAAAATTGTTACCTGGCCAAGTTACAAAAATACCATGGAAGACAAAAGAAAGGTAGTTTTGTAAAGAAACAATGTTACAGTACAAAAAATAAAACAAAAACTACAAATCGCCACGGTGCTTCAATTGTTGCTTAAGAAAAAAAAATAGTATCTCTTTAGAAAAGTAAGTATTGTCTCTCATTGTCATCATCAGGCCGTTTCTGTCCATCATTTTCAATTAAATAATATAAATTATTACTAAATAATTTCATTTGTAATTAATTTCAATCACATTAAGTAATTGCTGATTTAATAGGGTTGTATCTAGTCGATTGCAAAAAGTAACATATTTTTATTAGGTAATAATTATTATCATTATAATCAGTAATTCATTTGTAATTAATTTCAATCACATTAAGTAATTGCTGATTTAATAGGGTTGTATCTAGTCGATTGCAAAAAGTAACATATTTTTATTAGGTAATAATTATTATCATTATAATCAGTAATACTTGCTCAAAAGTTATGACAAAATCAAATTTTCAAAGTACATATTTAAAAAGTATTAGTTTAATTAATTTTGAATAAGATCTCATAGCTGTAGCGATGGCATTGCTGGGCAATAAATGCAAAAAGAAGCAATGCTAATGATCAAAGTAATTTGAATTTTGTTAATAATATAATAATAATAATTATTGATTTTCATTTCATCTCATTGTGTATTATTATTAATGTAAAAAGTCAGTGTTTTCTAACAATATCATTGTACCTGTAAAAATGAAGTCTTCGTCACTGTCACCTAATAAAACTACAACACTGGCATTAAATTAAAACAATAACAACAACTCGTTATAAAACTTTAACAATACACTTTCGTTTCGTGGCTGCAAGTTTACGGACGAAGACGCGGGCGGGGGGGGGGGGGGGGATTGTCTCACGGACCAATCACAGGGTGGCGTCAGCACTACCCCGTACCCCGCATCCCATTTACGTACCAAGGGGATTTTAAATAAAATTTTACACTTTTAGTGGCCTCAAAAAGGACAGCACGTCAGAAATATTTCGGCTGCGGTGTCGAACGGCCGAGGGATTGTTTCTCCCCATACAATACATAAAGATAGTTCCGCTACAATCGTGGGGCCCTGCGTACAACTACACCATTTGGTACGTTGAACTGAATGGCAAGAACCAAGAACAATTGATTAATAATGCTATGGAAACAATAAATTTGGTAAGTGTCTTTAATTACTGAATCAATTACTAATGAATTACTGAAGTAATCTTTTTAAATTACTGATTATTTTAATAAATACCTTCTAGCAGAGTAGGGCAAATTGAAATCTAACTACTGATTACTAACTTCAACTACTTAAAGTAGTTTATAATCATGATTACGTTAAATAATCGTAAAAAATTGTCAAACATTTTGATTACTTACTAATAATTGTAGTTATTATCACGATTACGAGATTATTTTTCATAACTACACATTTAAAATAATACTGTGTTTTATAAAAAAGTTAAAATCTGTGACGACAGATATAACTAAAGTATTATATTTCTATTTGGGCTTAAGGCTAATGTATTCACATAACATGGATTTGCCCAATTGACATATTTTTATTATAGTCGATTCGCTTATTATTCAAATTGTGTCGAAGTTGTGAACTGCCTTAAAACTAAAGATATTTTATGCAGTCAGATCTTGTAAATATATAACAACACATTACAATGTTTATTTAATTGCAAAATATTAGACTAAAAAGACAAATAATCAGTAGTTATAACTACTAGATTACAGTAATCAAATTAATAACTACTTCATGTAGTTAGGTTAGTTTAGGTGAGTTACAGACAACTACATGTAATCATAACTACAAGTAGTAATCTTCTTAATATATATAAATCTCGTGTCACAATGTTTGTCCTCAATGGACTCCTAAACCACTCCCTTCCGCCTCACCCAGGCGGGAGCAGTCATTCGATGATTTTCCCCCCTTAAAAAAAAAAACCACTTAACCGATTATAATAAAATTCGCACACCATGTGCAGTTCGATCCAGCTTGAGAGATAGGATAGTTTAAATCTCAAATTATAGTCGCAATTTTAATTTATTGCTAATTATTTGTCTGTTATTATTTGACAGTCACAATTATCTGTTAACTCCAAATGATTCTAAGGCCCGTATTAATAAACCGATATCAGCGTAAGAGTGAGATGTTAAGATCCTGTTTGATATTCCGACATATTAATAAACAAAACCTAATACGCGGTTTAAGACCTTGTCATCACCTGAGATCGTATTGTTTAATAAACATTACTCGGGTTTCAAGATCGGTATTAGGACGGTTATCAAGACCACGATTGTTAAGTTCAGTCGACCCTGGACTTAATATCGTGAACTCGTACCTAAGTATTTCGCGGGAACCATGAATATTGAGAATATTATTTCCGAAATCAATTATTATGATGAAGTCGACTAATACGATGATATTTTATGGGCTTTTCAAAATATATAAAGTACCTACCTAAAGTTTATATAAGGGACGCGACAAATTCCTTCGAATTACCAACGCAAAACGGTTTCGATTTAATCAAGAATCAGTGCTGTTGATATCGTATCGTTGATAAGTAATAATTTGGTAAAAAGTGAATTTTTAAAAACCCCAGCAGTAGGTACTTTGCCCGACCCGGGAATCGAACCCGAGACCCCTTGCCCGGCAGTCGCACTTGCGACCACTCGGCCAACGAGACAGTCGATTAATAAGTAACTTGTAAATAAACACGAAACACTGATATACATGATTGTATTATCAAGTACCTAATAAACAATTGAGAGAAAGAGACAGATATAATAATGAGGTGACGCGCCATCCCTGGTAGGTATGTGCTTTTGTCACAAAATTAAACGTAACTTTATAATAAATAGTGCTTTTTTATGGTCAAACAAATCATAATGTATACAATATAAAAAAAGTAATATAGTTTCCTAAAACTTCAATCAATTTAAACTGGAAAAAAACTTTTATTCCTATGCATACAGAGTTAAATATTATCGTTCTACAAAGCTATTACTAAACGGAATGAACGAAAGATGTAATAGTTCGTTCGCTGTGACGTAACAAGTCTTAACATCAGGATTTCATTGAGTGTCAAATTACGAATCTTGATAACCCGATCCAAACCGCGGTATCACCTGAGATCGTGTGGATATAGGTTTATTAATTAGCGTCGACATTAAGATGCTGATCGCATCTTGAGAACGTATCAACTGATGCCGGTCTTGATATCGTGATTGAGACTTATTTATTAATACGGGCCTAACAGACCTTTCGACTGGGTTGAGTAAGTAATCAATAGATGGCGCTGCTATGGTGAATCACCGAACGTGTCATATTTTAACAGCATTTTAACAGCATAATTACCACGTGTTGTTGAGGCTATTAGAACCCGTGCGAAGCCGGGACGGGTCGCAAGTTACTACATGACTTTTAATTGATCACAAAATAGTATTTAAATACCTACATTGCCTTCTAATAGCATAATTAATTTAAGCTCCACGTCATACTGCTAGCTACGCTACACTTTCCATAATATTTTAAACCTTCTATAAGTTAGTAGCATTCTGTCTGTGTTTTTAAAGTAGAAATTTAATTTTATTTATCGATAATTAATTTTCAGAGGAAAGAAGAAGAAGCTGTACGTCTGTTGCTAAAACATTTACGGCGGCGACGGTATAAGGACGCTTTTGAAGCATTATCGCGTGAAAGCGGGGTACAACTCGAAGGGCCGATGCAGTCCAAACTATGGAACGCTCTCGTTGAGAAGGGTGATTTCAAACTAGCAGAACAGATATTCGATGAGGCAGTCGCTGGTAAGATATTGTTATTATTACTTTATACTTGTTATACTATGGTTTTGAATCGCAAAATTTGCTTCAGAATGTCAATATAATATTTACAAAATCTCTTTATAAAATTTATATGCAAAATCCAGTTGTTGTGGAAATGAATAGTCTAAATATCGTCATAAAACTTTTGAATTTGGTCGAAATACTCGTAAAGATTTCGGTTTTGCTTGCTAAATGCGCAATGAGTCGTAATTACTGTGCCAATTAAATAAATTGTGTATAACTTTAATAAATACAGTTAGCCTAAATGTCTACTACATTAGTAATATCAACCAAATAATTATTTGAACGAAAATATTATAATAATTATGATAACGGATAAGGTTGTCACTTTGGTAAATGGATGTTTTATTACATAACATCACGCCTTTTATCCCCGAAGGGGTAGGCAGAGGTGCACATTATGCCACTGAACAATGTAACACCCACTTTTCACTATTTGTATATTTGATTTTTTATTTATTGTCAATATACAAGTTGTAACATGAATAACTTTTTAGTTTGTTGACTTACACCTTTAATGATACATAGTGAAATCTATTTCGTTGTCAAACAACTTGCCCAAAAGAGTTCTTTCGATGTATAAAGTAAAAACAAAAAATTTAGATGTCATTTTTTTATATAAAAAAAGTTTCATGGAAATACGCACATAAAACACTAGACGTTTTGTAGACAGTATTCGCATCGCACGTACCACCTGACGAGTATATCTCGTCTGAGAATTACATGGCGTGTTTTTTTTTTATAATGTACTATGAGTTCGTATACGTTGAGTGAGATTACCGGAGGCGAATTACCCCCCACTCGTTTCTTAGCACCTTGTACATGAACGTTATGTCATATAGTTTTCTACGAACATTTTTTTATACCGTTTAAACCGCGGTTAACCGCAATATTACAAGCTGGTACAACAATTAATTTAACGCAATGAGAAATATGCAATTTAGCTAATAAAAATATTAACAAACAAAATCTTATGTCTTAAGAGAAATACAGGCTTTTTAATTTAATTTATTTATTACACCATATAAGATTTAAAAAGTAATCTATCTGTAATTTAATGTTTCAGAGGGTGAACTAGACTGGTACCTAAGTTGGCAGCCGTACAGTCCCCAATGGCGCGAGATGTCGGCGTGTTCCACGCAGGTGGAGGACAGGCTGTGGAGCGGCGAGGCCCCGCCGCCGCCGCCCGCCCGCCAGCACGACCTGCTCTGTGCCGACAGGGACCCCCGCCCTGACACCGCGGTCAGTACTCTTCTACTGATAACATTTAATCATCATCCTCGATGCCGAAAGTGGCGCACGACTATTAAACAGTTTCTTACATGGTCCATAACTCATTTGTGATACCTTCGCTGTTGCAAAGGTACTATAGGCTATAGAGTCTGCTTACCTTAAGGCGGGTAAGTGAACATTGAAGTTTTTTTATGTATTCTGTTTCAAAATCGAGATTAATTTTACCTAGAAGGAAAACATATAATTAATAAAATGTATTTTTTCCTATTAGGTATGTTATCAATCTCACGTTATACGACATGCGCTAATATCATAAAAATTCGTTAAACTTTAGAGTATAACTATTAAAAAAACAAACTTTCATAATTATGTCTGGTTACAATTTCTAAACTTGAAACTAAAATCTCGGAAATCTTAGACTAGGTAGTCCAATTTATTTGTTCATAATTTTATTAAACTGAATTATATCTTATTACCAAGTACTTAATCCCCATTTTCCATTACACAGGAAGCGCCAGTAAACGGTGCAGATATTGGTGAGGGGTGCGAGAGTGCAAACTCCTGGCACGTGATCTTCAACAGGCCCGGGCCTCGGGGCGGACATCAACTCGTCGTGGACTCTACGACTGGTAAATATTTTTGAAAATGAAGATACCTACGTTACACAGTAGTAAAATTTTCCAAATTTGTATTCCCAATATGTAACTGGCCGATTTGAGACCTTTTCTCGGCAGTCACTTTTCCAACATTTGACTGACACAATCTCTGTTTCGTTATCATCTACTTTTTACTGACTTCAAAAAAGGAGGAGGTACTATGTTCGGCTGATTTTTTTTGTTTGTTTGTTCGCGCATTACTCCGCCGTTTGTGAACCGATTTCTATTTTGCTTTTTAGTTTTGACTTTTTGTTTATAGTTATATTTGAGTCCCGTGAAACAGGGGTTTACCTATTACCATACACATTACACTGAATTCTAAAATCCAGGCTACAATTGAAAAAACATTTAGAAGACACGAAGATAAACGTACACTGCACACACTGATGATCGCTAATGAATCCAGCTGACGAAAAATATGAAAACGAATAATAATAATATCAATTCTACCAGGTACCCTATATCTCTTCGGAGGCTGGAACGGAAATGAGGATTTAGATGATCTCTGGTCATTCTGCACGACCAGCGAACGCTGGACTCTGCTGTGTAGGCACAGCGCAGAAGTCGGTGGTCCATCTCCCCGGTCATGTCACAAAATGGTCTTTGACCCCGTCCACCGACGCCTCTTCACTCTTGGCAGGTATGTGTCAAACGTAATCAGAATTGTGTTGTGTAGATAATAGATATACGGCTGAAAATAACCGATTTTGATCCAAAGTGCACGCGTCACATGCATCTGAGTCCAGGGTTTGACTTGAAAATAGTAGAGTTTCTCTCTTATAATTTACTTAAGTAAGCCATTAATTTCAATTAGTCTTTTTCCTGGAAAGATTTAAAAGAAATCCGCTAGGGGAGCACCGGTGGGTGTTTGTAATGTATATAGGTTTTGAATGCTCTATTGACAACAACATCAAACATACGTCTTATTATTATCAGATTAAAAAATATTGTGATAAAGAAATATAGTCATGCCTACAAAACATTGCGCATTCGCAAATTGTACGTCTGATAGTCGATCAACAATACATACACACGAGAATTTATGAACCAACTAACCTCTCGACCAAAACCTTTTTTATTACCTGATACGGTTAAGCCACAACATGCAAGCCATCGTTTCAAGTCCCTGATAATATGATCTTGCACTTTTGCAAATTTTAATTTCGCTTCAGGTGTATCATCTTCAGTTAATTCCACTATAATTCTACACGTTTAACGTTGTTGTCTATTACCCCGGGGTATGCCGGGAACGTAGATATATGCGAGACACAATGTGTTTTCTATTGTGTCTCATAAGAGGTTAATAGAGAATTCGAAACATATGTACACCCCCCCCCCCCTCACCGGTGCTGCCCCTAACGGATTTTTTTTAATCTTCCCATGAAAAGGGCTAATTCATTCACGATTCACACACGCTCAGCTAACATAATGGTTATATCATTATCATACATTGTCGTAGTGATTGACTGATGTCGCGGAGAACCTAGGGCTCCGGCTCGACGTGCAGGAGAAGGAACGGGGTGGTTTTTAGTCAGTAAGGGTCTGACACTCCCTCCCGCCTCACCCAGGCGGGAGCAGTCGTTCGATGATTTTCCCAAAAAAGTGATTGACTGATTGACACACAATTTTAATTTGACAGATATTTTTTTTATCTGTTAAACGACGCGCAGAATTACCTGTCATAATATTTCTACCGTTAAGAACTTTTTGTAATGATTGTCTCTTATTGCAGATACCTGGACAATGCTCAGCGTATTCCGCCGAACATGAATGTAAGTTTATATTACATTATTTACTAGAAAAATAACATTTTGCAGTAAATACCTTAGAATGGTCAATAGAGGTCTATAGAATGTACTACCTATTACCGTACGTTTTTTATAGTATAAGCAGGCAAACGAGCAAACAGTGATCTGTCTGCTCGTGGTAAGCAATCTGAGTGGTAAGGTGCTATTGATATGAGCAATCGGCACCGCTCATAGACACTCGTAATGCCATAGGAAATACGTTGCCTTTTGAGGGTTAGGTCAGGTTACATTGAGCCTCCAGTAACCACACTCGCACAACGTGAGCGTTGTTTTACGTCGGTTTTCTGTGAAGCCGTGGTATCACTCCGGCTTATTTGTACCGAAGCATGGTTCTCCCAACATTTGAAATTAATTATTACTTATTGACCTGTGGAACTTATTATAAGTGGAACTGGGCTGAGCATGTCTGTCGCATGTCAGACGAGCGGTGGGCAAAACTTACTACTGAGTGGAGCCCACTCAACGTCAGTAGACGTCGCGGCAGGCCCAAATGGAGATAGCGGGACGAATTAGACATCTATGACAAGGATTGGCCGCAAAAAGCTTTACATAGAGAGGAGTGGAAGGAGGGTAGGGAGGCCTTTGCCCTGCAGTGGGACGATCATGGCTGAAAATAAAATTAAAACAATAATAAATATTGACCTGTAAAACTTCCCTTGTAACCCACTTGCAGAAATGAATATAATGTTTCACGTGTTTGTTCCCAGAGCGACCTGTACGTGTACGACGTGGCGTCGGGGTCGTGGTCGCTGGTATGCGCGGACACGGCGGCGGTGGGCGGCCCGCGCCTCGTCTTCGACCACCAGATGTGTCTCGACGCCGACACACAGACCATCTATGTCTTTGGGGGCAGGGTACTGCCGGTTAACACGTATGTTATAAACAAAATGTCTTTATTATATTTCATACCATCACGCCTTTTATCCCCGAAGGGGTAGGCAGAGGTGCACATTATGCCACTGTACAATGTAACACCCACTTTTCACTATTTATGTTATGAGTCCCATGTAATAGGGGGTGAGCCTATTGCCATAAACCGGGCATAATTTCAGACTCCGTGCTACTACCGAGAATTTTTTTAAAACCCAGTAATACTTTGCCCGACCCGGGAATCGAACCCGAGACCCCTTGCCCGGCAGTCGCATTTGCGACCACTCTGCCAACGAGGCAGTTTATTATATTTCCTTTATTAATAAATAACTCCTACGCGCGACTTCGTACGTGCAATCCCGTTTTGTTCCGATCCGATTATTTTTCTGTCGTAAGAACTTTCTCTTGACAATAACAACAAAAAAAAATCCAGCGAAATCGTTCTAGCCGTTCTCAAGTTATGACGTGAAAAGAGAAACAAGTTTAATTTTTATACATATAGATTATTCAATCTCAATCCAAAATGTTTGAATTAAGGTCGATTTTTAACTGCCACAGAGTTTCTGCTAAAATCTGAATCAATCTAGTGATTTTTAAATAAGATCATGTCGTGATTTCGTCCTAAATAAATGTCATTCAAGTAATTGATCATTCATTCATTGTACCCTATTTTGTATAACTTTATGCCAGTAATTATATTACATAACTCCTATTAGTAGAGGCATCCGAGTATTGTTTTGCATAATTTCTTTTGACTTCATAAAAACGAAAAGTTTAACATTTCGTCTCTTTTCTAAATGTAAGTTTATTCTGTGTATTAACCTCTGTTCTTTGTTTGTAGCGGAGAGGTGGTAAGTCCGCAGTACTCCGGCCTGTACGCATATTATATTGCGACCAACACGTGGCAGCTAGTGCTGAGTGACAGGCACGACCTCGACGCGCCACAAGCACGCGTCTCGCACTCTATGCTGTTCCATCCGGTAAGTCAATAACACATGCATACATACATCCATAACTTCACGCCTGTCTCCCATGGGGTAGACAAAGACTAGGGAACGCCAATAATACTACGTACCTTTTTCGTTCATTTCTGTATTATAACCAGTGATCGGAAAAAAGTGAACTAATTTACCTAAACTTCAAGGAACAAAAACAAAAAGTGGAGACTTCCTTTATACAACTTTTTTTTCGGGAAAGTTCCGGTTCCAGTTTCGGGATATTTATATATATTACATTTAATATAATTGTTATTAATACAGAAAACAATTGATTTCGTTTCGTGATTTTATTTCTTAAATTTAACACAAAACCAAACAAAATTAAAACTTTGTTTTCAACAATAAATATTAACCTGTTAACAATAAAAATAAAATTATTCAACACCAAAATTAACAAAAACCTAAAATCATGACAAAAGTTGCGGTTTCTTTCTAGCTTTTGTTATTAATAACATAATTTTGGTGTTGAATAATTTTATTTTATGTTCTTTCTTACATCTTAAAATATATGTGTTTATGGTCGGTCGGCAGGTGCAGCGTCGCCTGTACATGTTCGCGGGGCAGCGCAACAAGCAGCAGCTGGTGGACCTGTGGTGGTGGGAGCTGGGCTCGGGCCGCTGCGGCGCGCTGTGCCAGGGCACCGCCCCGCCGCCCCCGCCGCACGCCGGCTTCACGCAGCGGGCCACGCTCGACCCCGACACGGACGAACTCTTCGTGCTCTCTGTAACTCTTGCTTTTGGTTATCACTCCTATATAAAGTATGAAAGATTACCCGATCCCCCCCCCCCCCCCCAGTCTCACCAATCTCCGAATCCCAAAAGGCCGGTAACGCACACTGAAATTTTTGTCTAATTCATCAACATATGTATTTTTATTTATTTTATTGATTAACTCAATTATTTAAAGCCAGGTCATTTCAGGCATTCTAATGTTTTTATATTTTTCTTGAATTTAAATTGGAATTCGGAAACAAGATCATCAATTTTGAATAACCAAGCGAATAAGACTCAAATTAATTTTCTACTTACTAACATTCTACCATTCTTCTTCCAGGGCATGAGCAAGGAGAAAGATAAGCGCGTGTATAACAGTCTGTGGGTGTTCTCCCTGCGGCAACTGACGTGGTCCTGTGTGTACAGGAACGATAGCGTCGCGCCTAATGAACCGAAGCCACGGTTCGCACATCAACTTGTCTATGATCCTGTTAAGAAGGTAAGAATTCGAAAATATTTAGCAGTATATACAGTTAAAATAATTATGTAATCAAGAACTCACGCAATAATAGATTTACGATCTTACAAAGTACCGCTATTCCACAGATCCACTACTTATTCGGCGGCAACCCCGGTCACCAGCGCAGTCCGCGCGTCCGCCTGGACGACCTGTGGGCGCTGCGCCTGACGCGGCCGTCGCTGGGCGCCGTGCTGCAGTCGGCGCGCGCCGCGCTGCGCGAGGCCCACTACCAGGCGCTGGCCGCGCGGGCCGTCGCCGGCCGCGGGGACGCCGTCGCCGCGCTGCACTACCTCAGGAACGACCTGCACGACGCGCTCGATCATAATAATAAAGAACAGGTTAATACTTTTTTAACTTATGCGTTTTAAGTGGACTACACCTTTTATACATACTTATTTTGCATTGGTTGGCCACTCGTTGGCCGAGTGGTCGCAAGTGCGACTACCGGGCAAGGGATCTCGAGTTCGATTCTCGGGTCGCGAAAAGTATTACTGGTTTTAAAAAAAATCTCAGTAGTAGCACGGAGTCTGGAAACGTGCCCGGTATATGGCAATAGGCTCACCCCCTATTACATGGGACTCATAACATAAATAGTGAAAAGTGGGTGTTACTTCTGTGTGCACCTCTGCCTACCCCTTCGGGGATAAAAGGCGTGATGTTATGTTATGTTATGTTATTTTGCATCTTCTTATTTTATTCATAAAAACGTTAACTGTATCCGTGGAAAAAACTTGAACTACTTCCACGTGTAACTTTTTAAGTAATGGTTTCTTTTTGACTAAGCCGTGTTATAGATTCTATGTTGCATTCTAGTCGATTACTTTTTCATGGAACTTTGACATTAAACATTCAAAATTTGAATTTAATATTTTTATTGAAAAATTAACTTTTGTCTGACTGTAGAAATGAATTGTTTTACATGGTTTATATTATATGTCGCAAGACACTTGTATGTTTTAAATGAACAATTTTAACCAGTTTTTTTGTGTGCAGGTGGCTCGGTTCCAGAAGTTGGCGACAGTATTGTTCGCGGGTCCGTCCCCGGTGGAGCCGGGCACGGCGCCCCTGACCCCGCGCCACACTCGCTCGCTCGCTCGCCGCCGCCGCGCCATGCCGGCAGCGAATGATATCGCTTTTTCTCTGGCTCAGGTTTGTACCACTTTTTATTATATTAAGTTTTCGACCATCTTGTAACTGATACTATTTCTTAAGATCAAAAAACAAGAAAAAGAAAATATATTTTTTACTTAGCATCTAAAAATCATTGCCAAATTTATACTATGGATCATCTTAACTAAAAGCATTATCTTCGTTTTCAGGTCTTAGGCGCGGATGAACCGTACTCAGAACCCACGCAGCCATTCGAAGAGTTAAACGAACCTGCACCAGACACATGGGACGTTGGTCAAGATGACGAGCTTCCCCCTGAACAAGAAGAAACCGACGAGTGGAATGCGCGGGCGCAGCGCATGAAACTCTATGATTGGTTGTGTAGGTTCTTCAGGCCATCGACCGTGCCGCCTAAAGGGGATGTCACAGATATGGTTATACTGTAAAAGGTCCTTTTGTGTCGGTCGAGATACTTTTTGGTATGATGATACTGATAGGCAGGTAACGATACGTACGTGATAAGTACGTACTTTTGTACTCTTCTAAAGTCAAAGAATAATGATTGTAATATCATATCCGACGTATGTCCAAATACTCATTCGTCACCCAATTTTAAGACGCACTGAAGTATAGTGCTGTCTCTACAATTTTTTTGTAAAATGACAGAGATGGCACGATATTTAAGTACAATTTAAACATGTGTAGCTTTTCAGTATTCGGACGTTAGATTTTATATTTGTATTCTTATGGCCGCGAGATTGATTTGTTAGTTAGTATGGGATATTAAAAATTTAATAAATAATGTAATGCTACTAAATGTGGATTTTCCGCAGACGAAATTATTTATTAACTCTTATAATATTTCCCTTAATCCTAAAATAAATAAAACGTCACTGTTTTTGAGCAGCTGAGAATTGTACGCCATGGTCGACTACATAAATTAATTCGAATTATAACTGACGAAGTCTTTACAAGTTGTGGTGCTCATTTTATGAAGCGCCTTAATAAAATTATGATTTATTGCATTTATAAAAGCTAATTATTTATTTCTTATATTTAAGAGATGTGGCACTGCCAAAAGGCAGTCAGAAAAACAAATTGTAATCTCGTTCTTACTCTCGTGGCCGCCATACATAATAATGAATAATTCAATAAATAATGTATTAATTATAAACTATCGCAAAATAATTATTACGTAATCCATAATTTGACGTATTTCACTATTGACAATATTTTTATATACAAAAAATGCAATTGTTATTAGTTTTCATTTTTACACAAACATTGTATGAGCATTTTTTTAGTTATAGAATTACTATTAATTAATTTGTTGCAAGACTGACAAAATGAATTTTTTATACATACTTAAACAATATACTTTAATGTAAGACTAAAGAAAAAGCGCTCAAAATCACCAGAAGTGTTCACTCGATATAAAATTCATGCAATAAATACATTCCCTGAAGACATAATACTCACCAGTCTATTAAAATAACCATTTTTTTACTTCTATCTTTCAAATTCATTCGAAAATCGAATTGATTTTGAATTTTTTTTTATATTCTCCCGCTCTAATTACATAAAATCAGAATGCAACAAATTCATTTTGTCAGTGTTGCAAGTAATTTGTACATACAAGAATGCCTACTCGAAGCTAAAGATGAGTGTGAGCAACTAAGTGCAAATAAGAGGCTTCGTAACATTGTAAATAACTTATTATACAAAGAATGTATCTAATAAGCGTGTACGCGTGTTCCCTTGAAGTCTAGTCAGCATTGAATACTAAGTTATACGCGATACATTCTCGATTAATTATTTGAGTAAGATACAAAAGACATAATGCATTTCATTGTTGATCATTAACTAGCATTTGGGTGATTTTTTTATTGTACTTGTACTAATCCTTTTTTGGCAGCTAATTGATAAGTAACAAGACAAACAGCAATGCACATTATATAGTCAGCTTTTATTAGAATTAGAATAATGGGACGCGTAAGTTTACAGTCTGTGATAAAATTGCTGTAACGATAAGTGTAGTTTGACGTAAGGAGCCTGAGCGCGGGCCTTCGAGCTAGGGATTGTTGCCAAATTTTAGTAATACCACAGAAGAAAATGTCTTCTGTATATTTTTATTTTACGTTTTAATTGCGTACAGTGTTACACGTAATAGTTTTAAAATTGTTTTTTAACGAGGAACATTTGACTGTGTGCAGCATTTGGTTTCTTTGATAAGTTTTATATGTAGTGTTAAAATGATTAATATTTATGTGTAATCGTATGTGTAAGGATGGAGCAGTGGAGTCACTTACTTTGTAGTATTTACAATATTGACGTGTTGCATGTGTTACTCATAGCGTACATTATGATATCTCAAGTCACTTAGTTCGACATGTGCAGTAATTGATGGTAAAGCATTCACGTTTTTAGTCAGTCTCAAAAATGTTGATATGCTTTCTGCACTTAGAAATAAAATGCGTAAATTGATATAATCTGTAGTGAAGCTCAATGTGAAATTATATTATTAGTTTAAAATACTCCGGATGTACAAGCAGGTACAGTGACCATACAATGTGCGCACACATTTATGTTGCTAGCTGTACATATATGACCTAAATACTCGACTGTATCTGTATATATTAGTGTTCTATACGTAATTAAGAGAAATTACGTGCGTACGCAAGAGACGTCGTGTAAATATATGCATTTTTATTCTTTTAAGAGTAAATTATTTGTTTTCAATTTGTAACTTGATGCATTCTCAGTCTGTACATAATATTATTATGCGAAATAAATACAGTTGTTTTATTCATACTTCATATTTTTCTAATATAAACCCTAACACTTTTGTGTTGTAGGTTTCTTGAAAATGAACCAGGCAGCGCAGCATAGAGCAACATAATAATACGTAATTTGTACTGATAATACTGACTGCACGGTTGGCGCGGTGGTTGGGTAACTGGCTGTCGCGCAACGTGGCGCGAGTTCGATTCCTACACGGAACAACTGTGTGATCCACAGATTCTTGTTCCAGATCTGGGTGTTATGTGTATGTGAACTTGTATATTTGTCAACGCACCCACGACACGAGAAAATGCTTCTTCTTATTCTTATAGTGCCTCTTCAATGTTGAAGGTCGGCCGTCAGCTTCTTGTATTTTTCCTTGTCGGTAGCCATGCGGAACAATTGTTCGACAGATGTAATGCCCGTCCACTCCCGGATGTTTCGCAGCCACGATTTTCTTCTGCGCCCAGCACGTCTCTTCCCCTCCACTTTACCCATCATGATCAATTGAAGCAGTGAATATCTATCGTGTCTAAGCACGTGACTGAGATATTCGATTTTTCGCTTTTTGATGGTCAGCATAATTTTCCGGGTCATTTGGACGCGCTGTAGCACGGATTCGTTGCTGACCCTTTGTGTCCAGCTGATTCGGAGCATACGGCGGTAACACCACATCTCGAATGCGTTTATACGTCTCGTAGTGTCCTCCTTCACGGTCCATGCTTCACATCCGTACATGACTAGAGGCCAGATGTAGCAGGAGAGTAACCTAACTCTGAGCTTAATGTTTATTTGACGACAACACAGAACTTTCCTCATTTTGTTAAAAGATGCTCGGGCAATTTCTATCCGGGTCTTAATTTCTTGATCTGATTCCCATACTTCATTTACCCAAGCACCGAGATACTTGTATTGTCGTACTCGTTCGAGTGGTTTGCCATCTATGGTTATAATTGGGTCAAGATCAGGATTTTTGGAGACAACCATCAACTTGGTTTTACTGATGTTAATAGACAGACCGGCTTTCTCGCTTGTCTCGTTGACTTTATTTACAATTGTCTGTAAGTCACGTTCCGATGCAGCAACAAGAACCTGCTAGAGAAAATGCTAGTGTGGGACAACATTTAGAAAAAATGGATTTTACCACCCACTTCTAGGCGAAAGATTCACATTACACTGTGATAGTGAATGCAGAGAGCGAAAGTTGTGTCGCGTTCTGCGCGTAATAGTGAATTACCCGGCCAGTCCAACTTTATGGGCCGTTTTGTGACTATACAGGGTGTCCCTGAAGTCGACGATCAAATGGCACCAGGTGATCGGCAAGGTCCCAACAATTATCAGAAAAATATTAAAAAAATCCAAATTTTTAAACTACAAAAACTTGTGTAATCCACGAAAAAGTACATCCTGTGCTAGTCTTTTAACTCTTGCTGCTACAATTCTTTATTTATTCGTCTGAATTTTTGCATATGATATCCTGAATAGTGCTTCAATATTATGGAATCATAAATTCTGAGCCAACTGCTTTAGTGTGGAAAAGAAAGTCGTTTTTGACGGACCAAGTATTAACAATAAAATGTTCACCTCAGTTTAACAGATTGTATTTAAAAAATTGTGCTGCGGCGTCATAGTGGCAAATTTAACCAAAGTTGGCGCATTTAATAAGGATTCTAAATTGGTATACCACATTATTTCTTAAATTCGACACAAAAAATATTTTTAACGTAAACCCCGTTTCGAATAATTTATTTGGACTTACTAAAATATTTATTCTTACGTTCCCAAAGCGCACCTAAAAACTCGTATCCACTAGGTAACACTTTTCACGCAAAATGACGTACTCATCATGTTGCTAAACATGTTGGAAATCAGCAATGGTCTCTAAAATATCATTGTCTACTCATGATTCACTCGCAGCATCCATCGGCAATATTGTTGCTAGAGGAGCAAATACTATGGATCACATTTCACTAAAGAACATTTGATGTGCAACACCTTAATGCATCGCAATGTGTAGTAAAATCAAGCGGACGTTGCAGTGTGTGGCGCGGTGTCGGCGCGGAGGCATCGTGTACACAGCATGGCGGTGCGAAAGGGACGCGGTGAAGACCTAGTGTACACGAGCGCTTTGGACGCTTCAAAATTGAGTCGGGAGGATCCTCCAACCAGGCTATGTGATCATGACTGGTGGGTTACTACTACTGAAAATTTTAACGGACGAAATATGATGCATGGCATGATACTGGTTTCTATACAACTGCAGTTGAACATAAAATATTCTTTGAGAGAGATGTGATACACAAATTTGTTCCTTTAACAATAATATTGTGTACGAATGCTGCGAGGGATCATGAGTAGATAGGCGATGTGGTTTATTAAGAGATCCTCGCTGATTTCAAACATGTTTAGCAAACACTTAAAGTACACATAAACGTAGAGACACTTAAAGGTGAAAATTTAGAACACTTGGTTCTGGACTAAGAGCCAGCGGCCCGCAGACCTTCGGTAAAGTATAAAACCTGTAAGTTTCTCAAAGTATGTCCCCAACACAGGTAAGAACGAATCCCGTCTATGTAACTTGGGTCGCGGTGGCTTTCGCAGGTATCAGGTAATAAAGGTGTGTAAAATTGTGTATTAAATTTGGTAAAATATAAAACTCAGTTTTTACATATTTGACTTATAATAATCCCAAAAGTCATCTTGCCGAAAGCCAGACACTTCGTACAGTTCCAACCCTCTGCCAGACACCCTTAAAGTATATTTAATTGTTACTATACTTACGGTATAGTATAAAATCTGCAATTTATATATGTTATTTGGATAACTATAAAATAATGTTTCTTCAATAGCCAGACAGTTTCTGTGGTTCCTTTATGTTGCCAGGCACATAAAAAGTCTAATGTAGGTGCGAGCGTGAGGGATATATTAGTCAGCGGGTGCGAGTGAAATAGCGCGTTCGGTCCCTTGCGACGTTTTACTGCGCATTAACTGTCATTTATTGTGTGTTATGTGGTGAATAGTCATACGTACAAGAAACGTTTTATTATTGTTTTGTTCAATTTATAAAATAATAATAAGGGAATATCAGTGATGATATATTATTGATGTTGATACAGCAAGATTCCAAATGTTTATAGATTCTTATACAGTCTCTGATGTCAACGAGGCATTTAATCGAAAAAAATTACGAAATTTCGATGCCAGCAGTTTGCCACCTTGTAAAAGTGAGCTATCTCAGCAATTTTTGCGAGCAAATTATATTTGTACCATTTGGAATCATGCTCACCTGAAGAAACCAACAACATACAAACCAGAAAATAATGGTTGGATCCTGCAAAATGATCAATATCATTTTAAATGGTTTGAAGGTGATCAGCTACCAAACTACGCCAGTGATTCTCTAACAACTGTATCAGGTATGTAATTATGATGTTACAATATTATCGAGGAAATTTTGATTATTTATGATTATATTAACATGGATTAATTATTACAGAAACTGGCGAAGAAGAAGACGATATTGATAACGACCAACCCATAGATTGGAGCAGTGATGATGAAGACACTCAAGATATCGACGACTACGATGACAATAATTAAATATACTCTTTTTTTATTAATAAAATATCTTTGAAATGTTTTTGAATTAATTATGATTCCTAAACACGAAAATTTTATAAAAGAATTTTCTAAACATTTATTCTTTGATTCTATGTTATTATACCCTTACTAATGTATTTTATTAATGAATTTTCATAGTAAATCTAGAAAATAGTTCTCATTATACACAATAAATGACAGTTGATGCGCAGTAAAACGTCGCAAGGGACCGAACGCGCTATTTCACTTGCACCCGCTGACTAATATATCCCTCACGCTCGCACCTACATTAGACTTTTTATGTGCCTGGCAACATAAAGGAACCACAGAAACTGTCTGGCTATTGAAGAAACATTATTTTATAGTTATCCAAATAACATATATAAATTGCAGATTTTATACTATACCGTAAGTATAGTAACAATTAAATATACTTTAAGGGTGTCTGGCAGAGGGTTGGAACCGTACGAAGTGTCTGGCTTTCGGCAAGATGACTTTTGGGATTATTATAAGTCAAATATGTAAAAACTGAGTTTTATATTTTACCAAATTTAATACACAATTTTACACACCTTTATTACCTGATACCTGCGAAAGCCACCGCGACCCAAGTTACATAGACGGGATTCGTTCTTACCTGTGTTGGGGACATACTTTGAGAAACTTACAGGTTTTATACTTTACCGAAGGTCTGCGGGCCGCTGGCTCTTGCTCTATTCGTTAAAATACTAAACTTTTTTCAAACTAAAGCAGTTGGCTCAGAATTTATGATTCCATAATATTGAAGCACTATTCGGGATATCGTTAGCAACAATTTAGGTGAAACAATAAAGAATTATAACAGCAAGAGTTAAAAGACTGGCACAGGGTGTACTTTCTCGTAGATAATCCATAAGTTTTTGTAATTTAAAAACTACACGATTTGGATATTGTTTAATATTTTTCTTAGAACCTAACTATTACCAATCACCTAGTGCCATGATCGTCGACTTCAGGGACAGCAATAATTAGTATAGAAAAAAAAACCACAGAATATGTTTTAAATATATAATTTATTATTCTCATACATGATTCAAATCAGTCATTGTGACAACACGGTGTGCCTTACACGTGAAAATAAATCCGCTCTGTCATGATATGTTCCCGGCGCTGGTTCATTGCATCTGTCGGTGAATATACTACACCGCGGTATATGTACGAAGCTCATTGGAAAAGAGATTCTAAAAGACTTGTAATCTGGCTTGATTACACTAGCAAATAAAACAGTGGCCGTCTGAAAGTAAAGCAAAGAGTATTCTGCATCCAGAGTGAACCATCAAACTGTGCAATATTAGGTAATAAAGCGTGGGCCCGGGGGCAAGCACATTGTTTCACAAGTCACATTGATTCTATACATCAACATTCAACACGTTAATGATAATGTAAGCTCGCAGCCGCACCCAGCTTCAATATAATTGACGTTTTACTCAGCTACAGATCAAAATGAGACCACGGATGTGGGAACATTCATGCTTCGAGGTTGTCCAACACCTAAATCATGTCGCAATCCAATACAATAATAAAGTAGCGGGCATTTATAACAAAAGTTCATCTTTAAATAATATAACTCATAATCAATAGTTAATCTATATAGTATAACGTAATATCTATGCCTAGGCAAATAATTATCTAAATGTTATAATGTATAAAGAAAATATTATTTTTGGTTAATCGCTGTGATCACCACCACCGGCAAGTGGCAGCAGACATCGAGCGACACCTCTATAAACAAATACTGCTATAGTAATACACGGCAACATATATATGTCTATGAAACAACCAAATTTAATTGCACTAATACTTCATAATATGTAGCGGCGAAACATTTCCGCCGCCAAGCATATAGTCTGATTAACAATCAACAATACTATCTAAATGAAATAAACGATTTCAAAAACATGTCAAGTGAATGATGAGGCAAACTCAACGTTGTCGTAAAATATAGACAAAATTCAAATCTCGCAATGAATAATAATATAGAGGTTTTATAACAAATAGCATATAAAAATATGATTATGTCGACGCAGACCGAGTCCAGCGCACGCTGCGGCGTACAGTGACTAGATGTACAGATACATAAACGATGTCTGCTGCTAGGCTACATACAACATAATACTAACAAATACATAGTAAAGCTAACAACTGGTAAGTCCATCGTTTAAGTACATGAAGAATGCTCTAATGAAGCTAGTCAATATATTATATCTATAAACAATAAATGCAAGGCGATGGTCCTGCGGCACGCCGCGGCTCTCAGCCCGGCGAGTCGCCGTTGAGCTATGCAACTAATAATTACGCTACGACAGTTAATATTGCAAAGTAATTCCACTACACGAGAAGAGACTCGCTAGATTACCTACTAAGTATACTTGAAGGTTAATGTATCTAGCTCTATCCTAAACCAGTAAAAATACCTACTAGGGCGAGTGCCCACACTACATGGAACGGTCCAACTAGCCTAAGGTCACTGAGACGCTAGGAAGGGTCAACGACTATGTCTCCGCGCGGTCGCGGGAAGCTGCCAATATCACATCCGATAACGTAAACAATAAATACGTAACACTTAATAAAATCTTTTTTCATTTTTTGTAAATTTTGTCTTATCAATAGATTCGCTGGCCGACACCCGTGAGCAAATGTTTGAGCAACAAGGACGTAAACTGATTCAAGTACATGTTACAAGAAACGTGGAGCTTGTAGTTCGAGGTACTGTATAAGAGTGCGCCAGTTAGTTCAGCGGGGCGCGACCAGCTCATGGACAAGAAATGGACGCGAGTGGCGAGGCCACAGGACGGCAGTAACACAACGGCGGCGGGGGTCGAACCCGGGACATTCAGGGACCGACCCACCGCCGCTACGATCTAAACGTCACTAACAAAAAATACTGAAACACTACGAGTACAACTAGAACAAGATGGACGAAAGTATTCGGCAGAGGGCCACAACAACACAACGAACGTATCCACTACAGAACAGATTACATAGTCTTTTGCGCACACAATGGATGGACGTCGACGAATATCTTTTTTTCTTTTCTTTAGAAATTTTATTTGGACGTACTAAACATTCGTATCGAGTAGAGGATTCTATGAATACAATAAGATTCGAACAATAAATATAATGTATATCATAAAAAATAACATCGCACTGTTTCATCGAAACCTCCGTTTACTCCCACACATATAAGAAAAGCTTCCGACAAGTGAGCGCTCGCCAGACCCCGCGCTAGTTGGCAAGTCTCAGGGCGGGGTCTGGCGAGCGGGGTCCACTGCGACATCGTAACAACGGTGATAAATTCATATGCGTAATAAAATACACTGATCCTATTACAAAAATACTCGATAAACATCAATTTGATGAAGTGCAATAGATAGATGATATATTGGGGAAATTCGATATCAACTGTGGATCGGTGGCGCGCGGGTGAAGTGAAGGAGACGTAACTTGTGACGTCACGCGACCGGCACTACTGCCGCACAGTATAAATCAGTCAACTTTAATATTACAACACCAACCGTCTCCTGGCGCGGGACTAGTATAACTCCACGACTGGCTTGGTCCCTCGGGGGGGCGGCGCCCGACTGCACAGTTTGACGGTTCACAGCAGAGTCCGGGGCCCGCGCCCCGCCCCCCCTGCAGGCCTCCGAGGCCCGCGCCGTATCACTAATTACTTTAAAATTTTATAAAACGTATAAACAATGAGTCCGGGAGTGTCAGCATGTCACTAGTGTCACTAGTAGTGTCAGACGCGCGGCGGCGCGGCCAGCAGCCCCCGCAGGGCTGCGGCGGCGGCCTTCAGCGCGGCCACCAGTCGCTAGAAGTCGCGGCCCCGCGCCCGGGCTCCGCCCCCCGCCTTCGGCACTCGCCGCGTGCGCATCTCGCGGTCCACCTGTACATGAAACACAGTCAATATTATTTTGCTTCACAACGTTTAAGACATTATAACTTTGCATATGTTGAAATGCCACCAGGCTATCCTTAAAATATTTGTTTTATACACAGAACACGATGAAAATTTGAGTGTACCTCCAGCTCCTCCAAGCGCTGTGTGAGCGCGAGTTTCTGTTGTACAGCGAGGCGCAGTAGTTGGTTGAGTGTCTTTTTCTCATCCTCTGCGCCGGCCAGCGCCTGCGTCAGCTCGTCCACCTGGGTCACGTACTCTTCGCAACGAGCCGCGAACATCGCGCGAAGACCTGGAAGTAGAAAATGAATGTTAAAAATTATAAGTTTTTAGACAAATATTTAACCAATCAATAACCATATAGAGAACGAAAAAGGAGATTTGTAACAATAACAGGTATGGCGACAAAGAGGTGACTTTTTGCACGAATGTAAATAATTAGAGACCGGATAATATGCATTTGCATATTTGCATATGCATTTGCATATTTAAGCGATTTTCAAGGCTAATAGCATATTTTTACTAATATCTAGTGATGATGCATATTATTGCTATAAATTTACAGTAGGTAGGTATTTTTCGAGCGTAGCGCACTCGGCAGCCGCGCGCATTTGTTTTGGTAGGTACTCAAAAAATGAACAATAATCCAGGCTTTGAACATCTGTGTCAAATTGATAGTTTTATTAATGGACCGACGGAAGTTTGCCAGAAAATATAAGCGCTAACATAGCACCCAAGTTCAAATTCTGCCCAGTTACCTCAGTAGATGTGGAGCGATCATTTTCGACCTATAAAAATATTTTGAATGATCGAAGACATAATCTTACCACTGAACATTTGGAACAATACTTGATTGTTAATGTTTACAAAAATATTAAAAAATAATGTCTACTGTATCGATTAACATCTATCAATGGATAGTTTTCTATAAATGTATGCTGATTTTTTAATAAAAAATATAAAACTTAATAGTTTTTTTATTTTATCAAATAACAATAAAATAGAAAGAAACAGATAATAAAGTAAAACATAAATAAGACAAGTATTTACTAACAAAATACTTAAATCTAAAGGAATAATATGTACAAAAAAAACAAAAAAAACTCATTTAATGTTGCATATTCTGTCAGTTTTCGTGCATATTTTAGGCATTTTTCATGCATATTTGCATGCATATTTCAAGCTTTTTATGTTGCATATTATCCGGTCTCTATAAATAATAATACGCCTGGTACTTACTGGAGAAGGTAGCGGCATCTTCCTTGAGCAGTCGTAGCTCGTTCCTGAGTTTGAGCATGGTCTCGGTGACGATGATCTTCTCCGTCTCGTACTTGGACTTGAGGTTGGCGAGGGCGACCTCGGCCGTGTTCTTGTTGGACTTCAGCACTGTACGCAGTGTCGCGATCTGTTCCCGCTTCGTTGATAGTAGGGACTTCAGCTTGATCACCTGTTCTTGGAGCTCCACTACCTCTGCGCCACGTTCCTCTGAGTCCATAACTGGAATTTTGTTGAAAGTTAGTTATGTTAATGATTTTTTTAAAGTGATGGTGCGTGGTATATGTTAACTAATGCTAAATCCACGATTTTAACTAATTTTATGATGACATACGTACTAGGGTAAGAAACGAAAACAGGTTTGTATATAGAAATCATATTTACAACGATATAAAAAATGTCTACTTAGTTTCTACCAAAAATAACTGCAATACTAATTTATTCTCACTTACAAAGCGTTTCAAATATGAATAGGAACTATTAAAAGCATTAAATTCTTACGTCAGCATCTAAAATGGCTCTCAGATCATATCATCATCGTATTCTTATTTAATACGCAGAACAATACTTAACCAACAAAGACAAGAGACCTTGACAAATGAGGTTTTAGTCTTCATCATAAGATGTACTGTAGCATCATGACACAGGTCACCAAACTTGATTTCAAAGAGGTTTTAATACCCGAAGAGAGGGTCTCTGAACTTCTTTGACTTGGGAGGTTCTTACAGTAAACATTCCCATGTAACATTGTATTCTTCCATACAGAATGGAAGTTTATTCTATTACAAATCACATTTGGATTGTGGGAAGGGATGGTAGTATTCGGAAATGGTGCAAAAGGATGTTGAGTTCGCAAACTATTCTTGTGACTCCAATGATCATAACTTGTGTCTTTTAAATTTGAGTTAGAATCACTGTGTTGAGATGTTTTCGTCATATGTTCAAAGTAATCTGTTATTTCTTTAACACTTCTCGGAGAGCAATTACTATTGTCTTCTTTTTGGAATATTTCAGGTTCTAATGATTGTAAGTGAACTATCAAATTGTGTAGTTTCTTTTTAGTGTCAGCAATTTTTTGTTTGCAGTTGTTTTGTTCTTTCTGTCTCTTTATAGGACTGTAGGGGACTCGGGGCTTGATATAGTGGTCGCTTAGGATACCTAGGAAAGAATAGGGTTGTATGAATTCAAGGAGTTTGAAAGTTAGGGTGGGTTTTACATTGAAGTTACTGGTATGGTATGGCTTGAAGTATGGTATATTTTTATGTTTGATATATGATTGGTGTATGTGGTATGTGTGTTGTACGTACCAGGTTGGTGCCTGTTCCTCGAGTCGAGCGCGGTGTCGAGTGCGGTCCGTAGATGCGTGAGTTGGTCGAGCAGAGTGTCTGCGGAGCGCGCGACGCCGGCGGCGGCCCGCAATCCCTCCAGCTCCCCGGCGGCGAGGGCGAGGGCCTCGGCCTCCGCCCCCCGGCCCTCGCCGGCGCCCGCGTCTCCCTGCCCCGCGTGCTCCAGCAGGACCCGCTCTGGCTGGGTGCCGTTGACGGCACACACGTGGTGGTAGATCTGTGCCAGGGTCTCTGCTGCAGATAACAGCGCTGGACCTGCTGTGGATAGAGCTCTGCCCGCACCTGAAAATTTTTGATTAGAAAAAAGGTGAGTCTGTGATACAATCGTAAGTTAGGTCAATTTAAAATTGATATTTATATTAACTGACTTCATTTTTTTGATTTGATCATAGTCCAAACAACATTGTCTTACCTCCAGCGAGAGTCCGTAGCAGGTCGGCATCAGCCTGTAGCGCGGCGCCCCGTACCTCGGCCTCCGCCACCCTGTCGGCGAGCTGCGCCAGCTGCGCGCGTTGCAGCGCGGCCGCGGAGCCGTCGCTGGCGGTGGCTCCGCTGGCGAGCTCGCTTAGCAGCGCAGCCAGGCCTGACAGCTCGCCGCCGGACACACGCCACCAAGTCAACCATTTAGCTGCACGAGCTGATACACCGCCGTTGTCTACCTTCTCGTCCTCCTGTAACGGTATAAATTAATTAGGGATGATGCAGTAAAAGCCTCTAACTTTTAAAACGCCATGATGAACGATAGATGTCTGACAAAAAATAGGCCAATCCGCAAAATGTCATTTTTAGTACATTTTGTTTGTCGTTCATAGCCAATTATGGCACTCAAAAGGTCCCATTTTTAACAATAATCTTTTTCAAAGAGAAGTCGTCATGTAAGTTTGAAACACAACAACAGTAGGTAAGTCCAATAAGGCGCCACTCACGATGGGCGCGCAGTCAGCGTGCAGCGCGTGCAGCGCGGTGACGCGCGAGGCGGCGCGCGTGAGGCCGGCGCGCAGTAGGGCGGCCGCCGCGCTCTCACTCTCCGCCGACACCTGCGCCGCGCGCATCGACGACTGCAACTGGCTCTGTGCACATACACACACATATATATATGCAAAATTAACAAATATTAGTAATAAATATATGTATTGACAATCGCAATTTCTAATTTGCACACATAAGAATAAACCATTTTAATAATAAGAATCAATGAAGATTGAAATCTCAGAAACAAAACTTCTCCAAACACAGACAGAGGACACATCAGCCTTAATTAGAAAAACAGCTATCATAAATTGTCTACCAAAATTATAACACAAGTAACATCCAAAATATAACTCCTAGACGCTACATTAATCAGAAGTCTCATTCTGCCTCAACTCAACCGTCTGACTTGATCTAATTAGCAACAATTCCCAAATCGCATGAAACATTTCAGGTAATGTGAAGTTTAACAACGAGGTCAATTCCATTAGACGGGACTGAAATATGCATACACTATACAGGTTGAGCTGTGCTCGTGTCTGAATATTTCAACAGCGAAACAACGGCATGTATCTCGTATTTTGCGATGATATGGAATTTTTTAATAGTATTAAGTAGTGAAGTTTCATTCATCTGAAAGTCAAGTATTACGATACTATAGATAGGTATATGAAGAATATTTATAGATGCTTTATACATGTTTATAATCAGTTTAACTCAGTAGATTTTGACTTAATATAAAGAGAGAAAAAGCGTTATTAAAAAACTAAAGTGACTATAGAAATGTTACGCTAATTCCTATAGGTACCTGAATCAAACAGAAACCACAAGAACGAATCATCGAATTCACAGCAAAACCACTCTTATCACCTTTACAATAAAGAGTACAACAACTTACATTTTCGTTGTGTGCCTGTTCGAGTTGTTTCTCAAGTCGTGATATTTCGTGGAGATGTACTTCGGAGAAGAGGTCGGCGTGGTGGTCTCCCATAGCGCTGGCGAGCTCGGCTGATGAAGAGCCACCGGGCTCTCCTTCATCCTCTGTGCCATCTTCTGGCATACCTAGTAGAATACAGTACTTCTACAATAATGAACATTATTTGTTCTGCATTATCCTTGGAATAAGTATTTCTTAAATTTAAAAAACCACGATATTATAATAATAATGAACACTATTTGTAAAGCATTACGAGGTATTATTATTTTATTGATTAATTGAGTTCGAACAATCGCATTACAATCAGGACACATAGCTGTTGCGATTTGCTTTTCAAACATTTTGTCGGTATTTCTGTGTATAACAACCTTAATTATTACCTTTATTTTTTAATTCGGCCATTGTAAAGTATACTTTATGATAATTTATAAACGATTTTAACAACACGAATACAGCAGCGTCAAATTATTTACACGTAATAATTAATTACATCAAGGGTAGATGAAAAACTTACTGTTATTTATCTTTTTTTTTTCTTATTCCAAATTTAAATTGTCTAAAACAGCCAGTAAAGGCGTGTAGTGTAAAAAATAGTACCAGTATTGACTAGTTTTTTTTTCGTTTTTTTGTGAAATAAAAAGGAATTAATAAGAGCCTCTAGACTGTAAATATTTCCTTTGCCAGCTGAAAGAAAGATTCTTATGGAGGATTAATGTTTTATTTTGTCATTTCCTCACCTCGTATACTGTAAGCCAAGTTGGTGATATTGTAAGCAGCTTCCCTGCTGAGGTGAGCATCGAGTTCCTTCTTTGCAGCGAACTTGGCCTCTCTTTCTGCCTGCAGCGCTTCAAGCGCTTCAGCAAGCTGTCGCTCGGCGATGCGGCGCAGCGCTGCCGTCTCCTCAGCCATAGCCCGGGCATTCTCAGCCTCTTCACGTAACTGTCTGACTTCATGTTTAAGACCTTCAAATTCAACCTGAAAAGAGAAATATTATTAAGTTTTATTGTACAGATATAGGTTTTGTTTATGTAAGTGTGTTTCAAATTAAACATCGCGACCTCAATGTTGGTGCTCAATGTCAACTGTCAATGTAGCTATCATCGTTAGAAGTACGTAATGTATGAGAAAAAGCCTAGGAAAATAGAAACATAAATTACTCTTATTAGTTGTGTTTATCCTCCCAATATAGACATGGTAAAATATCGTCAATACATTACTTGAAATTGACTTCGACCCATTGCTAAAATAAGCAATATTCAAAGCCTAAAAGTGTAACAGTTTGGAAAATTCAATAGTCCATAAGTTGCCGATACGATTTGCATGACAATATATGGGGCAATCAATTAGGCGGCAGGTTTCGCGACTAGCAATGGGCACGGCTCCAAGCTCGCCGTAAAATATCAGTACGCTGCTGGACATTAACGCGCTCCACTTTGTCATGAGAAAAAATGTTCCATGTAAAAACTGATGAGGAACAGCTTTATTTTTGGCACTTTGTAAATCTTGTTTCGTACTCAAGAACTTTGTTCTAAATCAATCGTGTGATTTATAATTTTTTTTTTTACTATAAATGTGTTCTTAACCCCTCGAGCGTCCTTATGAGCACCCGGTGGATCATAAGAAAAAATGCTCCATGCTGCTTTCTCTTTTATAAAATCTATTATTAATGTTTTGTTTTTATTTTGACTGTATTTTTTATTTCTATTGTAATGATCAGTGATCGGAAAAAGGTGAGCTAATTTACCTAAACTTCAAGGAACAAAAAGTGGAGACTTCCTTACTACAACATTTTTTTCGAGAAAGTTCCGGAAAAGCTCCAATATTTGTTTTTGTTCCTTGAAGTTTAGGTAAATTAGCTCACCTTTTTCCGATCACTGGTAATAATCCTTGTTTACGAGTGCCAATGGCCAAATAAATGCATTTTCTTTCTTTAATTCTTTCTTTCTCCAAATGTCACGTGTGCACCCGTTGGATCATAAAGGAACGCGGACGCTCGACAGGTTAAACGTGAATGGACTTCTTATCTTGAAGTTAGAACATATCATGATATATTGTGCGAGCGTAAATCGACAGTTTAGAAATTAATGCACCTTAAAACGACAGCAACGTGTATAATTATTGTCTTTATAGTCTGATTCCCTCCCTCTGATCAATAAAAAAAAATCATAAATCACTTTTATTACGAGGTGTTTAAGAAGATTAACCAACTTAATTAATAGGTATACTAACCTGTGATGATCTTAACGCTGAAACTTGTTTCTGTAGCGATATATTCTCGTCTTCCAAGTCTCCGATGTCGACCAGCAACCTCTGTTCCCGTTGTCTTGCTTCTCTGAGCTCAGCTCTTAGGGCAGCTCGCTCAGACTCCCGCGTCGCCTTGTCCTGCCCTAACTCCGAGCTCTCGGCCAGCAAGCGATCCCTCTCACTCACAACGCGGTCCAGCTCATGACGTAACTGCGAAAAAAAAACAATAATATTTATGCTGCATAAAATACGTCATACACTTTGGTAGATATAAAAATGTTAACAACTAATAAATGTGGGTTCGTATAAAGGTGTTCGAAACGTGATAAAAGTTTATTGATGGAAATGTAATGTGTACGATTTATGGCATGATGTTCTCTTTTATGGCGTGAAAAGTATCGACGTTTGGTACACGCGATGTGCTATTGAAATGTTGGGTTTATAGGTAGCTTTATTAGGCATGAATATAGTCGAATTTACTGATCGATAGATTCGGATACCTAGTTATAGCTCTTGTGTATTGCTTTGTTAATTAAATTAAAATAAGTATTGAAGGTATAAATTAGTATCTTTGTAATTTCTATCTGTTACGAGACTTAGCAGTGCTATTTAGCTTTTATTTATTAGATTTAGATTTGTACTCCGGTTGCCAAAGAAGAAAAAAAATTGATTTCTACTTAGTAGTAGTCTAATGTTTAGAATACTTTTTATTTATTAAATGTGTTAAATCCGGAAAATTTCGGCAGTTAACGACGTTCTCAACATGCAAAATTCTGCTTTGTAGTATAGTATACACCGGCAGTGTTTAAGCGACAGATTATTATCTATCTCCTATGGCTTTTATGACGTGAATTTCAATTTCATGTTAATTAAAAATCGCACCTACACACAATTACCACAACAGTAGCCTTCCCAGTGTCTGTAAAAGACTAAAAACGTAAAAAACTGGGCACAATATTATTTTACGACTGCGTTTCCCCAAATATGTACCTACAATGTGGCGTCCAATGGGAGCGCTCAATACGGTTTATGTTTACGGCTTTATAGCGCGTCGTTTTCAACGTTGTATTTTGTAATTAGGCACTTTTTTATGTTATTAATGGAATAGAGCCGACCATACCCGTCGCGATGAGGTTTGAAGATTTGAAGAATACTTACTTGTATTCCCAGATACAGGTTTTTTTTAAGGGGAGGAAATCATCGAATGACTACTCCCGCCTGCGTGAGGCGGGAGGGAGTGTCAGGCTCTTACTGACTAAAAACCACCCCGTTCCTTCTCCTGCACGTCGAGCCGGAGCCCCGGTAACCCGTTAGGTTCTCCACGACTCCCAGATACAGGATAGGTAAATCAATTGTTTGTTTTAAAATTCGTTGAATGAGAAGTACAGATTATAGTTTAGACCCCGATCTAAATTGAGAGATTTTTTGCACTTAATGTAAAGCTACCCATCTCTCGCGAAATATAATAATATAATCAAGCGATGTAAAGCAAAAGCATTTCGAATCCTTTCAGACCGCACCGGCACAACTTAAGACGCAATAATTTGCTTAACCACTTTTGTCAAACAGATTTTCAGGATTGTAACGAATATCATCTACATATTACTATGTGGAACGCAACTAACTAATAATAGTAATATAAACGAATTACTGTTACCTGTAGAAATAACACAAGCTAAGTTAGCATTATGGCGATGAGCCCCGCCTATTTCGCAAATAGGCGAGACGACAGGGAGCGGCCGATCATAAATTGTAACACGGTCAGGTCTCTGGCCAATAAGCAACAGAAAGCTAGTCTATGAAATATTCCTTGTTGACATTTTAAAGTAATATTTATTGTTTAATTAGGCCCTGACTGGGTCAGAATAGGCTGCCATATTGTACAGAAACTTGCTGCTTTTCAAAGTCAAAGTCAAATCATTTATTTCAATTAAACCATAGTTTGGTACTTTTGAAACGTTAACAAATACAAAATAAATAATAGTCTGTCAGTCAGTCCGTCAGTGAAACTAGGTGAAGCTAGGCTTTTCAGAGAAAATTAACACGTTTGTGTATAATCTGAAGATAGACATAAGCTGTCAGAAACAACTGCTAGACTTTTATCCGGAATTGATCAGTAGTAATTAACAATCCAAATAACTTGCTTCGGTAAGCACGCGAGCCAGTGGTTTATGAGTGCATTTAATGAGTATCGTTCGGATCAGATTACAACCAATTGCTTGAAAGATTTAAGACTTCGATGAGAAATTATAACAATTCACGTATAGTTGTTATAAAGTTCAGATTTATTGAGATTGTTTGCTGTAATTTAGTCCAATCAAGGATCCATGGATTAGCGGGCTGAAGCGGCAGTGGGCCGGTAACATTTATCACAACCGATGCCAGTTAGCCAGTTATTGTAGAGTTCTGGAGTGGAGCCAGTGGAGGTCGCGCAAATGTATTACAGGGAGTGAGCACCCTTCCATCTATTTGGAGTGACGGTATCCAGAAAGTGGTTGGCTGTGGGTGGATGCGAAAAGTTCTTTTAAACCCATATTTTCAATGGTTTTATCACTACATAGTATAAAACAAAGTCGCTATCCGCCGTCTGTCTGTTCCTATGTATGCTTAGATCTTCAAAATTACGCAACGGATTTTGATGCGGTTTTTTTTTTAATAGATAGAGTGGTTCTTAAGGTATGTTAAGGAATAAACTGAGCTCTCATGCGATTGTGCGTAAGCGAGACGGCGCAATTAACTCAGAATGCGGGCTAGTTCCAACACCGTCCTGGCGATGAGTTGTTGCGACAGGCATGTCAGTGGAAATACCACCGAGAGTGCTCTAGTATGCCTGTTGTAGTACCAACATATTGTCTGTATCTATTTTCTGTGTATTGATTTTGTTTGTATTTATTTCTTTTGAGTAGTTACCTCGCTGGCCGAGTGGTCGCAAATGCGACTGCCGGGCAAGAGGCTCGAGTTCGATTCGGGGTCGGGCAATGTATTAATGGTTTTTTTTTAATCTCAGTAGTAGCACGGAGTCTGGCATAGGGTCACCCCCTATTACATGGGACTCATGTAACATAAATAGCGAAAAGTGGTGTTACATTGTACAGTGCCATTAACCCATTTGGATCCGCCGTCCCCATATGGGGACAGGTTTTCTTTTACCCGCTGGTTATTAATTATTTTAGCTATCTTCACATTTCATTGGTATTTATAATGAGGAGTAGTGTACTTTCCTAAAATTATTAGAACTTTTGACAAATTGCTACAAAAAAGGGGTCATATTGTCAATTTTATCAAGAGGAAGTGAAATGGGAATTATTATCGAAAGCAGAGGCGTTTTGTAGTATGTTATTATGAAGATTTACAAAACTTTTTTGTGATTATTGCTTGTTTATACTGTCAATTAAAACAATATTGAAGAATATCCTTATACTTTTAATTCCGCTTAGGGGAAAGTTAGAAAAAATGATGGTGTCCCCGTATGGGGACAATGGGCACATCTGTAGTATATTTTTAAAACATTTATACCTGATTTGTATTTGGTTTTCCAATTTATAAAGGCTAAACTTAGTAATAGCTAATACTTGGTGACAACAGACGCTAATTCATGAAGAGCATCACCAATTCTGCGATATCTTTACGCGTTCATATTCTAAAATCTGATGGGCATCAAGACCGAAGACGCAAAAGTCCACCTACAGTATCAAGCGTCGCATCCGATATAAGAATTCAGCAGTAGGGGGCATTTCCTCCAGCTGTGTCGTCACAGCGAAGTCCACCCAGAGGATTTTTTTTTTTTTTTAAGGGGGGAAAATCATCGAATGGCTGCCCCCGCCTGGGTGAGGCGGGAGGGAGTGTCAGACTCTTACTGACTAAAAATCACCCCGTTCCTTCTCCTGCACGTCGAGCCGGAGCCCCGGTTACCCGTTAGGTTCTCCGCGACTCCGAATCGGCATCGGCCCTATTGGGCCCCATCTGTGGTGGTCTGATGGCTCTTTGAGGCGCGCGCGGAACGCGACGCGCCGTACGCTCGGGTCTGTTTCTGGTCGGACGGGGAGCCACCCATGCTCGCCGTCCGCAGGCCCGCGCTTACGGTGGCCGGAGATCGTCCCGCGATCCCCGACGCCCGGTGTGTCCTTCGCGATGGCTGGGTTGCGAGGAGGCAGCGCTTCGCTGCCTCACGCGTCCCGCCTCCTCCTTAGCTAGCATGACTGCTTCGCAAAAGGAGGAGACGGCATCCCAATCCCCCTCGCTCCGCATCATGGCCTGCACTAGGCCCGGACGCGAGAGGTCGCCATCGCCGATCACTTCCCTGAGGACACGGCGGTGCTCAGCCCACGAAGGGCATTCTCCCACCGTGTGTTCCACCGTGTCCTCAGGGCGGTCCTCGCAGTGATGACACCCGGGCGTTTCCTCCCGCCCCATCAGACACAGGTACCTCCCGAAACTGCCATGTCCGGTGAGGACCTGCGTCAGGCGGTAGGTGAGGACGCCGTAGCGTCTCTCAAGCCACTCCTCAAAGAGGGGACTTACCGCTGCGATGGCAGCGAGCCCAGTCCTCGGTTGCGACAGTCGTTGCTGCCATTCCGCCATGAGATCGCGCCGGAGCTCATCCCGCCACGCACTTATCTGGCGCGGCAGCGGAGTTTCGCCCCGGCGACGCCACCCAGAGGATAGAGTAGCATTATGCCCTGTATACATTGACCACCGCCGTGTCTTCAGGGAAGTGATCGAAGACGATAATCTTCCACGTCCAGCTTAGGTTCTGGCTGTGATGCGGAACGAGGGGAACTGGAAAACATCTCTTTCTGCGAAACAGTCATAGTAGCAAGAACAGATCGCCGCCCAGAACCAGACCTGTACCTGTAAGGTGCGTGGCGTTACGCGCGTGCTTCAAAGTGCAGGTCAGACCGTCTTAGATCGAGATGGCTCAGCGGTACAGATGCCCGACTACTATGAATAACCTGGTGGGTCAACAGGGCTTCGGCTTGAAGCAGAATTAGGAACGTGTTGGTTTTTAGCCAGTAAGAGTCCCCCAGGTGGAAAAGGCAATGCATGATTTTTACCCTCAAAAAAAATATAGGCGCGTCACATCAAATTGATTTAGACATTTTCCGCAGAGATTTAGTTAATATCTGTTACGACACGCAGTTCGTCATAAAAAACTGTGATATCAATGCAAATAATGCGTTAGAACCTTATGTGTCGAAAACAGTTACTACTTCGAAAAGTACTACACATGAGACCGTTGTCCCCAATCAAGGACGGCATTTTTTTTAATACTTCTAAATATATTTTTTGAATTTTTTTTGCTGATATTAGTTTGTGGGCGTCATATCATCTATATATATATAATTCAGGGGTGATTGACTGACTGACTGACTGACATAGTGATCTATCAACGCACAGCCCAAACCGCTGGACAGATTGGGCTAAAATTTGGCATACAGATACATGTTATGACGTAGGCATCCGCTAAGAAAGGATTTTGATAATTTCCACCCCCAAGGGGGTAAAAAAGGGGATGAAAGTTTGTATGAAACTTTGTCAGTTTTTAACCGATCGGGTTGAAATTTGGCATGCAGATATATGTTATGGCGTAAACATCCACTGTGAAAGGATTTTGATAATTTCCACCCCCAAGGGGGTACAATAGGGGATGAAAGTTTGTATGATACTTTGCCAGTTTTAAATTGATCGGGCTGAAACTTTGCATGCATAAAGTTACTATGACATAGGTATCTCTTTAGAAAGGATTTTGATAAATTCCACACCTAAGGGGATAAAATAGGGAATGAGAGTTTGTATAAATCGTCTTAGCCATTGAATTTAGATTCATTGAATCTTTTTGAATTACATTCGGTGAACGATGATTTGGGACCTAGGTAACGTTTGATAGTTTCTATCACAGATGTCCCACGGGAACGAGAACTATGCGTCAATGCCCCAGGACTCTCTAACTCTTAACCACTGAACTTATTTTAGAGAGATTCGGTACAACAATAGTCGATAGAATAGTTTTTATTATTCAAACCTTACGTGATCGGGCACTGTACTGATAAGATCCCTGCGGGATTATTTATTGAAACTACGATAAATCATTTCAAAATAGGTAAATCTTACTTGGGCACTGAATTGATTCTGATTAATTCTGTCAGAAGTCATTAATCTACGCGGACGAAGTCGCGGGCAACAGCTAGTTGAGTTAATAAAGTTTTTTTTGTTAAATTATGTGTAGTTTGCATTTGGTCCCAAATGGGTTAAGTGCGTAATATGCACCTCTGCCCCTTCGAGGATAAAAGGCGTGATTTTATGTCATTTTTCTGTATTATTTTTGTCTGTTTAATTTGCTTACTAATGTATAGATATTTGATAAAATGTTACGTATTTTTTTACACAGTGGACTTTTGTTGTATTAAAAAAATGATTATTTAAATTAAACATGATGCACGTAAGGACCATGCAGTTATTATGAACATTGAAATAACTAGTGATTCATCCTAGCAGTGTTCTTAGTAATTGTCATTCTTGCTAAGTCTGCCACGATGTTAGTATTAGACAACTTCCGTCTATGACAGTCTCCGTGTGAGAGATAAACCGTGAGAGCGTAAAGTATTTACGGAGCTGTACGACAACACTTACGAAAGTAAACTTCTTTTCTCTAGTCTTGTTTATCGATTGGCTATAGACCCGAAAAGTAGGATAATAAGACTCTTATTTTGGTAAGTTATCTGGTTAGATCGTTTCGAGTACCATGTAAAAAGAGGTGAGTGTGAACTTTGGTGAACCGAAAATCCTAATTATTAACCCTTTGAATATCGTCATTATAGACACAATTAAAGAACAATAGGTTGCGGTCACTGGTGACCTCGCGGTGTTTGACAGTTTAACTCGATCTGGTTATCGAAATCAAGACCCCATGATCGGCCATCATCAACGAGGTATTTAGTAGTCGGTCGGGTCATGAGTAAAAACGTTACTTAACTTAGTACAAAATAAAAATGAGAAACCCCTCTTGGTATATAACAAAGAAAGACATTAAAATTAATACTTGCATCAATGACGACAGTCCCTCCGTCACAGTAAATTACCTTGACCAAGAAATAAACTTGTCGTTGCGTCTAACAATCGCAATAAAATCATACGTCCTGTCCGTTCTCATCCAATAAAACGTCGCATGATCCTCAATTACTGGTGCCCGGTGCACTGGCAGGCATGACATTGATATTGTGTGCGCACTGACTCAGGCCAGGCATTGTAAGCAAATCTGTTACAGGTGATAAGAGAATCGACCTAGAGCCCGCACGAGCTTACTCATACCGCTCTAACTACTTACGTGATTAATTAATAGACTAAACTGAATTTTATAGTGTAATTAATTGATATTAAGTTTTATCTACAGGTGAAGTGATTGATAATCTAGTAAAGTGCTCGTGTTTATTCAATGGTGCCGTTAAGTTCGAATTACTCTGCTTATTCAGGTAGGTACATAGACATTTCAATAACTTTGTTGTGAAGCTACTTTCAATAGTCCAGGCTATATTTTATCTAACAAATAACTAAGAAAATAATAAATAGCTTTCCGAACAATTCTCTATTGGGGACATTATCTCACAAATTACGACGACACAATAGCTTCTATTGAATGAATTCATAAATTATGTATGCGAGAAACATAAAGTTCGCAACGACACAACTTTATGCCGATAAACCTATAAATGGAGATTAAATCCATTTGTTCCGTACTCGTTTTTCTGGCGGTCTGCCAGCAACTAAACAAGTGTCAACAGTATTCCATTATTACTGTAAACACTGCTTGACGTGAAACACGAGTAACGCCTAAGAACCTCCCTCTTCGGGATAGCCAGTTGAATAAACACGAAATAATAATACAGGAATACCTCGCCTCCTTCATTCATTTTTCAGTGTCGCCGGGAGTCTGCTTGCACTACACTAAAACATATTTACACACATTCACTTGGCACACGCACTAAATATTCGGCATAATTTTAAAGACACTAATGCACAGAACGTGTGTGCATTGCTAAAAATCTACACACCATTGAGTAAAGCGTGAATACGTGAATCAAGGCCGGGCAAATAAAAATGTATTTCTGGATCAGTGTTATGGATTCCCGTCGGCTGCGCTTACGCCATTCGGAGCATTACATCACGTACGATAGAGGTCTATTTGGTTCACGCCTGTATCGAGCGCTGCACCGCCGATTACTTGTGATTAACCACGGTTAAATAGTATTTTGTTCGTGCAAAATAATATTTTTTCGAGTAAAAATGTGTAGTTTAAACAGAATGATGTTAGAGTGTGTTGAGTAGGGGCGTCTCACGCGCACTGCTCCGAGGGTCCGCGGATGATTCACGCCAATTGCTCCCATTTTATTAAACCGAGCGTAGGCATGCTGTCAGATGTGTCTCGGGAAAATTGTCGGATGAGATAATGAGACGCTCGTCATAACTTAAAATTAAAATGTTTTACTTCAGCGATAGAGCGCCACGTGCAGTTTGTGAGTAACCGGGTCGCCGCCTATAATTTTCATCGGTACTATATAATAAAATTAATTTTCTCTTATCAGTTGTGGCAAATTACTCACACTATCAGAAATACGGATCGCCTAGCACATGTTACTCATACCGTATAATGCGCTAAGGACGTAGGCTGATTTCGAAGATTATAACGTGCGTGTAATTTCTTTAATTAAATCCTAGGCTTATCAGGTTTTCTTACCTCTGGTTAGTCATTTAAAGGTATAAATGAAATATTTAATTACTTTCAGTGAGTAGTATGAGTATGCAGTATTGTAGTTGCAGGTAATGTATTGTAATTGGTACTTATGGTTTGGTAAATATTAATAGGGTAGACGACTAATTTTTATTTTAATGTCCGTCTGGTAGATTATTTAAAAACATTAGACACGTATTTTTTATTTTCTTACGGAAACGAATAGTTTCGAAGATATATTGATTTGAAATGTCGCGTGACGTCACTTCTCAGTACATTTTATACTGAGAAATGACGTTTTAGCCCCCACTCCTAAACTTTGATTCGTTTTATCTAAGTATTGTTTTATTATACGACAAAATAAAAAAATACGTGTCTAATATTTTTTCATTACCTAACTTACGGACTAATTAGATTTTTAATTTTCATACCCTGTCATCATCCCCATTATCTGTTGGACACATTCAAATAGAATGACACAGACCGTTTATGGATTAAGTAATGCATTATCAAATTCCAAAGCTCTTTTTCCAATACAAGTACCTAACTAATACTTAAACAATAAACATGTAATGCAAATACACAAAAAAGCTTTTCAACAATATTAAGTAATAAACATAGAAATCCATATAATTCCCATGTTTCATCATCTCAATTATATTATTCATGTTAACTTAAGCAAATAAATAATTCATTCACTCATTCACTCTGTGAATATTAAATGAAGTGGCGGGAAAACGAAATTGCGAGAATCAAACTACCGAGTTTAGCTTTGCCAAACAATATTCGACCTAGTGATGAGTAGACAAAGTTTACTTTTGATCCTGAATAATGAGATGAGTAGGTGTTTACAATGTTTTTAATTTTTAAAAGGAATTAATTTATTTTTCATGCTTAAAGTTTGAATATGGAATAATTGAATTTGAATGTTGACCTGCATGTATCCTATAACTGTAGCCCAGCCAACAAGGAAACAAGGGCATAACAATTTTTTTTTGTTCCTAACTGTAGATTAACCCATAGATCCTCAACTGGTCACCGGTGACCGCTCTCCACTACCTACATTATAGACCTTATTTCCAATGCTTAGAGACTACTTTTGTATGAACAAATTTAGGGGATGAATTTGAACGGGTTAAAAAAATTTACTCTTAAGAAGACCATAGATGACCATTGTACAAAAGGGAACACATTATGGCCGATGATAGTATAAATTATGTTTTGACCTTACCTGTTTAGATTCACTCTCCAGCTCCAAGATCTGTAGAGTGAGGGAGCTCTCCATAGCAGCGGACTCGTTGAGGAGAGCATTTTCTTGCTCTATTCCACTCCGGGTCGTTACTTTCTGTGTTGTGTCGAGTTTCATAAGAGCCTGTTGAAAACAAAAAGATAATTGAGAACATTTCATAGATTATTTATTATTACTATTCGTTGTTTATTTTGTATTATTTTATGGTATATAACACAAGTCTATTTTAACTGATTCTCTACTTAACCCAATGGTTGACTGGAAAAAAATCCCACAAGTCCACCTTATGCACCTTATTTTTGTATGGATTATAAAGTAAAAGTAAATAAATAAATAACAGTTATCTTTCTGAGATTTTTAGGAATGTGGCAACTTTCCCTATAACATACAGACTGAAAGAACTTTCAAAAGTGGGTGGTACATTCTATATTATGTTTACCACTGGTTGCCATTTCAGGGATTAAAAAGCATGATGTTAAAGTATTATACAGTACAATTTCCATTCTATAACAGTTAGGACAATATGAGCAAACTCTAAAATAAATTTGGTATGTGGACTGATAAGCTGAGAGATAATCTAGATTCAAGAAACTTATGAAACTTTCTAAGATTAATGAATATAGGTTCAAAAGATAAGCTAAAGGAATTGTCAACTGTAACAATGTAAATATTAACTGATCAATCCCCAAGTGGTCACTGGTGACCCCTTACCACTAACTCAATTATAGACCTTATTTCCAATGTTTAGAAACTACTTTTGTATGAACAAATTTTGGGGATTCATATCAGGTGATTGATTCATTAATTAAAACTTGTATTTTAGCAGATCAAGAATATAGAAGTTTGTTATACATAACTATAAAAGTTATTAATCAAGTACCTAAGTTAACAAAAATTAGAATAAATATGAAACTTTTTACAATTTGCACATTTCAAATATGCTCGTACTATAAAAAAATACATACAAAAAATGTAAGATAATAAAAAATAAGAGCTATTAAAATGGTCAGTAGATACTTTTTGCATGAGTCATGGTTTGAGAAAATATAATTGTCATTCAGCAGTTAAAGTTATAGCCAAGTAAAGTAATTATTCCATACATAATTAAATATTTTACTCACTTCAAAGTGATTGAAACTTGAATATATTAGAATGGTGAATAAGTTAGCAGAGTAGGATTATTGAAGATTAGTTTCCTGAAGGAAAACTTGGTCAATGTTTCAGGAAAAATATTGTATTAATAAATATTAGTAGTCTTTAACTGATTTATGACTATTTAATAATTAGGTAATTCAACTTCGACTAGACTTATTTAATAACATGGACGGGTCATGTTCAATTTATAATTGTAGTAAACTTATGTTATCACTATCTATAAGTTTCTATTATGTAGAAATGAGTAAGTTATGAATGGAGAATTATTTTTAAAAAGTCTTATTGGGAAAGTTTCATATTGGGAAATAATTTCTTATTGAGAAAGTTGACTTTGTTTTAACTGACTTGAAAACTTAAGCTAGATGTCATTTAAGTTTTCAGAATGATACAGGATTTACAGTAATTGATGTGTTACTAAGACAGCAATAATTCTAATGTGCAATGAATGCTAATGGAGAGAAGATGAACCAGCTAACTGTTACATTGTATGTAGGTTATACTCATAATTTTCACCAGCCACTTTTGAAAGTAGTACATTATATGAATTGTATAAATACGGAGTAAAATGTCCGTTTCGGCTCGTTTTAATGTACCCATTAATGCATGAAGAGTGTAATGAGCAGAATGTAGGCCACTAACCTCTTGTGTGATTTCCAGCTCGTGTTTGGTGTTCTCGTACAGACTCTCCAGCTCGTCGCATCGTTGCTGCAGGGAGCTCTTCTCTTCCAGCAGTACTAAACCCAATTGTGCCGACTGGATCTTCTCGCTGCTGGCTTGATCGAGCTCGCGGCCAAGCCTCTCGATCTCAGCCTTCAGCTCGGCGATCGATAAGTCGCTGTGAGCCGTGGCTGCCATTGTGTGACAGTTAAACGGCTAGATATTTTATCTTCATAAACAAAGTAAATAATTTCAGAAAAACAACTATATAAAACGTGTAAAATCAATTGTTTCTACATTCTCTCAAAGCTAAAACGTCTTGACAGCTCATTTCAATGTTGCCAATGCTTTTGTTTGACTGACTGACATTTTGATGTCACGTACTAAAAGTACCACAGAAAAAAAATGTTGTTTTGAAAATCGTGACCGTGTTTGATATTATTTAACAAATAGAAATAAGTAGTTAGCACCCACTCAATGAATAAAAATTCATAAATAATATATAAAATTACAACAAAACAGTTTTGGTTGAGAGGAAGGGAAACGAAATGAACACGGTATGAATTTTTATTTTTTTCCCTGAGCACACCGGCAAGACCTAGTCATACAGATAATAAATCTATGAAAAAAATAACAATGAAAAGGAATTTACCTACCATGCCACTTTTTATAAGACATGAATTAGATTTTGTGTACAAAAAACTAATCTATCAATAGATGAATTATCTTGACTTCCTTTTTTACAATTTCTGGTGCGGTCTCAACCTTGAACTTGAACTATACCTATTTATCAATGTATGACAATGAAAACATGCAGTAATAATATTAGATACATAGTTTGTATAAGTCAAATATTTTTGTTTTTTTTTTTATTTATGCAGATACGAGCTTGTTTTATGCACTTTCAATTTTCTCTCTTCTAGGGGATCGCAATTTTCTAATTTATTTGAAGAAAAATAAAACAAAGAGCCAATATAATATTTACTTCATGTATTTTTTTAACACCAAATTGACAATAATTACAAATTTTGTTATAAAAATTTACACCGACAAACATCCCAATTAAACAAAGTGTGATTTAGAACTGAATCTTTGAATGAATAATATTTATTTTATAATGAGGGTTCTATCGATGCATTGTTTCAATAATGAATTTAGGTACATACATTATTTAACAATAAATACTACAATTCAAAATTAATTGCTTAAAACGGGTAAATTATAAGTAACTATTTATAAGAATGTAAGATAATGTTAGTACAAAACACAACAAACAGGGATTTTCGCTTGAACGTAACAAAAAGGAACATTCATAATTAATATTTAACACATGTAGAAAATATTCTCTAAATGTTTTTTTCTTTTTAGAGAAGTTGATGCTATAATATAACTATATTTCAGCTGTTAATAATACACTTAAAATTAACCCTGTCATTGTTTTAAATTAAGGGATTATCAAGTTCAATTAGTTGAGTCGTAAAATAATTACAAAAGCTGTAATAAACCGAACAGCTGCTGTCCTTTGCTTAAGTATACATTTGTTACGTTCAAACTCACTATTAAAAAGTTAAGAAAAAAATATGATGACTTTCGTACACCAATCAAATCTAGCCTCTCGCTCTCCTTTGCTAACAGCGAAGATAAGAAAGAGACAGAAAGATTTTTGTCTCATAACATTTCAATAAAAACAAAATTAAATTACAAATATCATTTAAGAGTAACAATCTCTTTCTTTTTTTTTTTTTCTTCTTTGGCAACTGAGTCTCCAAATCTCTTTCTTTTTTTACTGTTAAAAGAATGAACGACATTAATTTAATTGGTGTACAAAGAGACGACACTATACTTCATTTTATTTGGCAATGGTACTGTGATTTTTAGTATCTGAAGTTACTTTTTAGTGGTGATAAAACCGTGTTAAATACATTCGGGAGCACAGAAGCGGAGGCACCAGCGTTTTTTCTTTTTCATTTCTTGATATATTATCTGATACAAATATACGACATGAGTTACCAACTAATAAGTGGTTGGTAACTTATGTCGTATAAACGACAAGTTAGTTACTTTAAAAATGAGAACATTTTGTTGTAAAAGGAATATTTTTTTTATTTAAGTTGAATTCGGATATCAAAAAATTAAAAAAAAAACGGTAGAGTATCTTCGCTTCTAAGTGTATGTATAGTGCTGTATGTCTATTTCATCGTTTAGATAATTTAGTCGATATTTTAATACGATTTTATTGGGTAGCAAATACGAGAGTATTTAAATATTATATATAGAGTTATCACATAATCACAGTATCTTTTCCAAATGAAATCTAGTTTAATGTATTGCATATTTATAAACCAAAATATATTTGGCTTTCTAATTATTATGTTAGCATTAGCACCGGTACGAATATCAGATGATTAGAAAATATAACGATAACTCCCCAGTAAATTCGCTTACACTCATTTAATAATTGACCAAATTATTTTACTAATATTAGTATTACAGTGAGTTTTACTTTAATTGGACTACTATAGATTACTATTTCGTAGTTAGGACATTTTTCTCTTTATACATTCTACGTCGCCATCAATCTATTTCGCCAAAGTAAGTAAACATTTATTTTTTATATTCGATGTGCAGTTATTGTGGTAACTGTGCATATAAAGAGAAATATAAAAGTTTCTTCATCATCATCAACAGCCTATAAATGCCCACTGCTGAGCAAGGCCTCCTCTCACACGGAAAAGGTTTGAGCACTAATCACCACGCTTGCTCAATACGGGTTGGCGATTTCATACTTATAATTAGAAATTATAAGCGCAGGTTTCCTCACGATGTTTTCCTTCATCGTTTGTCAGTGGTGTCTAGATAATCTTAGAAAATACATATAACTTGGATAAAGTCACATTGTTACTTGCCGTTGGTAGGTTTTGAAGCCGCACTCATGCACTGCATGAGAAGCGGGCGTCTTAAACCTCCGGGCCACCATTACGACATACATTTATTTCACTAAAATGTAAACATTTATTTCCTACTTGTGGATCAATTTCGTGCGATAACCGAATCTGCGATACGATGTGCAGTAGATTGCCCAATTACTGTACTAACTGTGCACATAATTAGAAATACAAAAATATTTTTTTTTAAGGGGTGAAAATCATCGAATGACTGCTCCCGCCTGGGTGAGGCGGAAGGGAGTGTCAGACTCTTACTGACTAAAAACCACCCCGTTCCTTCCCCTGCACGTCGAGCCGGAGCCCCGGTTACCCGTTAGGTTCTCCGCGACTCCGGTATATATGAATTTATAAGTATGAATTTTGAAGTTTTCATATAGTCCCATTAAAGTGAAACTCACTAGTCTTATGTTAAAAGGAATGTTGAATTTATTATTGCTGTTTAAATTCACAAAGATAATTTTGGAATGATCTATAGGTATAATAATATTAATTTTTCAATTACGACGATCTAACTATACTATACATATCACTAACATTATGGTAGCTAAGAAAAGAAATGCAGTGAGAACGCGGGAATGAATGGTGGATTTATTCATTATGAAAATGACTTCGATTTTGATGAAACGAATAAATAAAATGGCTTTGCTTTAGAAATGTAAGAGATTCGAAAGATATGATGGCAAATTAGACAGAATATAAACATCGGTACATATGACGACTTCACGAGTAAATTCACCATTGATTCCATAGAAATATAAAGGTGTTCAAACTGCATTTCTTTCTACATACACAATTATTTAACTAACTAAATAATAATATCATTTGAAGAAAAATAAATTCTTAAAAATAAAGATGACTATGAAGATAATGTTATGCTTATAAAATAAAAATTTGTAATTTTTTATTATGGTCACAACAAAATCAATTATTTTGTACTAGTCGGCATTTTAAATATTAATTAGTTTACGAAAAATAATTCATTTATTTTTGCGGGACACTATTAGGAAAAATTGGCACCGTGATGGCGGGAAAGGTATTAAAGCTTGGCGCTGTTTTCAGCGCCATTTTGTTTTCGTATTCATTGTATATGTGAATAAGAATAAATATTGTTTTATTTGTAGAAGGCAGTGATCTCTACAAAAGTGCGTTATCACAGTAAGGCCGTAGTGTGACAAAAGACAAAGTAATTGAAAATAACGGTTTACTCACGTAAATAACTGAGAAAAGCTCTACTAGTTTCTAGTCACAAGGGGACTCTTATTCATCAGCAGCGTGCGCAGACGTGGTGACGTCACGCAGCCATCTGAGGGCCTAGTACGAGTTTGTTTTACGTTTATCGAAACGTTACCGCGTTTAGCCCTCTGATTGGCCGGCTCCAAAGGATCAACCAATTGGAGCACCGAAGACGATAACGTTTCGATCTTGTTAAACGTAAAAGAAAATCGAACTAACCCCTCTGAAGCTATTAATTTAATTTAATTTAGTATGTCTCACGATAGGTATTGTATAAAAATAAATAAGTTTTAAATATTCTCTGAGCACTAAATACAACGATGAGATTATACGTTGAGCAACACAAAAAAAATAAAATAATCATCGTATGTATGAGCAAAATAAGTCACAACACTATACCAATATTATTGCTGTTCTTACGGACGAATCAATTGACAAAATTAAAACAAATAATTATAATATAATATATACTGATAAAATATATTTAATATTTATTCTACGTCTACTTGTACTGTTAGTATTTAAATATTCGACCTGAATTTGAAATCTGATGCAAAGATGGAAAAGTAGAGATAATTACTTAACCCCAAGTCGAATTCTTTAACCGGATAATTATTCAGTAGAGAAAAAACTGTTTAGTAGTTGAAACCAATACTTATAACATAAAATATAAAGTGATAAAGTATAATTTTACTGTTTTTTTTTTAATATAAATCGTGGTCTAAGACATCCCTAGTCTTTGATTTGTGAAAAGTTAAAAGGACGCCACGATGTTTTTGCTGATTTTTAATGGTACGCAAAAAACCTAATGCTTGTTTTAATGTCTATCGAGACTTAAAAAGCTAAACCAAAAATGTTTTAAATTCGTTAATATTTTCTAACGCAACTGTAACCGTTTTTGTTATTTTTACCAGAGACAAAATATTTTTTTTAGTTTTTCTCACCTTTGGCATAATACCTAACACAAGTTTATATAAATAACATTTACTACACATAAATCTATATACCAAATAACTACATAATAAATTCATACTAATATCGTCCAGGATGACCAACCCATAGACTTAATATCTACACTAGCTGTCCGTATTGATTTCAAAATAAAATATGAGATAAATTAATTAATATTAACTACTATGTAATACCATTATTTATAAGTACAATAATATTAAACATTCAAATAGATAATAATAGTGAAATTAGACTAATTTTGGAGACCAAAGAGTAAAAAAATAGAAGGGATGAAAAAAAGAGGTTGCATTTAAAATAGGTTTTAGCTGGCACAATTAAAACAGAGGTATAAAAATATTACGTCGACACTTTATGGAACATGCATTCTTTTTTCAAATATTCATGTTCCTTGCTTCGGCCTCCTCTGTAGATTGGTGGAAATAAGTTATTAAAAGTTAAGAATAGACTAGAGAAAAAATAAATTCATTTACACAAATAAATATCGAGATGTATACATTATTCAGCACCAAAATTATAATAATATATCGTTCGCTATACCTACTTTCATTCATAAGTTTCAAAGTAGCTTTCTACAAGATTCATTTAATTTTACCTAATTATTTACAAAAGAAGTACATTGATTAGTAAATAGTAAACACGTCGAGACGAAAGTGAAGATTTTTTTAATAAATATAGTATAGGAAAGTTACTAGAGTACGAAAGTATGAAATTTATTAATAAAAAAATTTATTCTTAATTTTAATACTATCTAGAATCTCGACAGACGTCTACTAAACTAATTCTACTATTTGTAGAAGAAAATTGTCTAATTCCAGATACAAAACGTTTCATACAAAATTGGGTGACAGCATCAATTTTCTTTTTAATAAAAAACTTTCGCTTCAACGGCCGCCTTTAGACACCAATTCATACAACTATTTTAATAAAATTGATACTGACACTAACCTTTTTACTTACACTACGTAACGTGAAAGCCGTGTCATCGAGACGAAATAAAACCAATACTTATAACAAGCAACTTTAACTATGTGGAACAACGTTCATTTTTCCTTGGCATTGATATTATTGAAATCATACTTCTGTATTAACTTCTTTTAATAAAAAAAAAAACAACTTACTTTAGTTGTTTTAGTATGACGGTCAAATTATTTCGTCTCGGTGACATTTGCTTAAGAGGTTTACATGAGCACACAGCCGGTGGAGACGTCATCGCGCGCAGGCGCAGGTGGGCGGGGCGTGGGCGGGGCCACCGACGGGACAGGCTCCGCGCCCGCTGACTCTTTCCTCACAGCTTGTTTAGATACCTCGGCCTTTTGTGGCGGTGGGAGCTTAGTTTCCTGACTCTGTGGTTTTGGTTTTACCTCTTGTCCTAAAGAGCTAGTGCTAGGCGTCCGAACACGAGACTTTGTCATCGACAGTCGACGCTCTCGAGTGTTGATTATCGATGTTAGGAACGGGATTTGATTGCTGATCGCCATCATGAAAGGTTTGTAGCCGAGACTGTAAAGTTGGGAAATGAAACTCTTAGTTTGACTAGTTATTAAAAGCATATGATCAAAAAAATGTGAAACTTAAACATAAGAATATAAAACAGTACAAGAACATCGAAGAAGATACCCGAGATAAGAAGACTATCTTATTAAGGAGTCGCAGACCAATAGCATAGCTTTTATATGAGGCAAACGAGCTAACGTATCGCCTCATGGTAAGCAGGTAATTTCACCCATGGACCGCAACACCACAGAATGTACAGGTACTTTGCCGGCCTTTTAAAAGGGAGTACGCTCTTTTCTTGAAGGTAATATCAGTTACTCTCATCAACTCGTCGAGTACCGGTTTTATAGACACAATTAAAGAACAATAGGTCGCGGTCACCGGTGACCGCTTGGTGTTTGACAGTTTAATCAACGTTTCAATACATTGATAAAAACTAAATCACTACATAGTATAAAACAAAGTCGCTATCCGCCGTCTGTCTGTCCCTATGTCAGATCTTTGAAACTACGCAACGGATTTTGATGTGTTTTTTTTTTCAATAGATAGAGTGATTCTTAAGGAAGGTTTATATGTATAATACATGTATATTGCACCCATGCGAAGCCGAGGCGGGTCGCTAGTCTATATATATAAAAGAAAGTCGTGTTAGTTACACCACTTATAACTCAAGAACGGCAGAATAGATTTGGCTGAAAGGTTTGGTAGGGAGGTAGCTTAGAGCCAGGAGACCGACATAGGATACTTTTTTTTACTTTTTACCGAAAATCACGAACGGGGACGGGAAAAAATGGGATTACGCGTACGAAGTCGCGGGCAGAAGCTAGTAATCAATATAAACATACCACTCGGCGTCAGTCCACGCACAGATGTCCTGCAGCGTCCGGCGCAGTCGCCGCACCGCGTCGAGACTGACGTCGTTCCCCCGCGCCGCGTTCGTAGTTCGCAGCACGGCCAGCGCGTCGCGGAGTACTACCGCTACTATTACTGCCCACTCGACGCAACTAGCTTCCGTCATTAACTGTAGATAGTATCTGAAATATGTTTAATACATTGTATAGGTTATTTAGAAGATATGGGTAAGTGTTCGAGTGTGCTCGATTAGTTTCAGCCAAGATCGGGGTTCGTAATCTTGATGGCGATGATTTGGCGTCGCGCAATGATCTGGTATAAGTAGGATAAGTAGTTGTTTATGACGTAGTGTACGTATTTGTTTGAAATATTCAATACCTTTTAGACTTTTAGAGTCATGAGCAATATTAGTAGCTAATTCGTATTTATTTCTAGAATGACTGGAACCTACCAAGGAAACTCAAAAATAGATGTGTACTAAACATGTGGATAACGTGTGTGACACGGAGTTCATTTTCATAAAATTACAGATAGGCGACGAAGTATGTACACCAATAGCAGTATTTGAAGACTTCTTAGGATTAGATCCTCAGGTGGGATAAGTACCTGAGTTGTACATGCGCAGTATGCGAGCCTCGCTCTGCCTGGTGGTGATGCAGACGCTCCATGAGCGCCGCGTACCGTCGTTCCTCCCCGGCCCCGAGAGCATCGCCGCCCCACGCCACGCCACCACCCTCGGCTACACTGCCTTCTCCCGCAGAACTGGATAACATGAATATGTTTTAATAGTAAATACTTCTAAAACTGACTGGCGCTGATGAAGCATAAAATCTTAATCCAATCAACGTAACGATCAAAACTTATTCCACGCTTGACAATAACAAATAGAATATTGCTACTTCCATCTATGGACTGTTAAAAAATCAACAAGGAAAGAACTGCTGATGAGTTGACTGCCTCGTTGGCAGAGTGGTCGCAAGTGCGACTGCCGGGCAAGGGGTCTCGGGTTCGATTGCCGGGTCGGGCAAAGTATTACTGGGTTTTTAAAAAAAATCTCAGTAGTAGCACGGAGTCTAGAATTGTGCTTGGTATATGGCAATAGGCTCACCCTCTATTACGTGGGACTCATAACATAAATAGTGAAAAGTGGGTGTTACATTGTACAGTGGCATAATGTGCACCTCTGCCTACCCCTTCGGGGATAAAAGGCATGATGTTGTGTTATGTTATGTTTAAGTTTTTGTACTAAGTTTAAATAAAAAAGAAATTTAGAGATCAAGGAAGTCCATTCCTAGCGATACTAGTAAAAAAATCATGCATAACAACCCTTCATTACATTGAATAATCACTTCTGTCACATTGCTTACCTCACAGGTCCAGGCGACACTGGTACTGCGCCAGTCATCAACGGTAAAGCAGCTCGTAGCGGCAGACTCATGTACCCACTGTCTCCGCATAAACTATCTGATTCCGCTGACGGTGTATATGTACCTGTAGAAAGGTTTTCATTGTGAATTTGATTATAACTATGGCGAACCTAACATTTTAAATTCAATATTGACGCTGTATGGTTATCCCAAGGACGTTCAAATAAAGGTGGACATAGTCTCTTGAAACAACGACTGCGGAACCTGGTTACTATATACTTACACGCTGAATACACACACAGTAACACGAAGGACATCTGTCGCGTGACGTGGCCCGACATTACGTAGTTGCAAGAGACCCACACATATAAATACACCACTGCCATTTTGATGCTTCAATCGTAATTTTTAAGTGACATTGCGTACGTCATTTTTTCTACGTCTTTGGGTTACCCATTATCATTGACTGACTCGATGATGAAAAAGATACACAATACAAAACAATTATGGGATTAACCTCAAAAAATTCTTCTTATATGTAGTTGGTTGAATATAGTGCGAGTTTTGCTAAAACTGTCCAGAAAATACTAAGTACCGTAGATAACACTTACTTGCAACAGTGCTCCCCTTCCGCTGAAGATACTGTTCCGATTCATTAATGACAGGGTATGGCCAAGCAAAGTCTTCATGCAGTTTCTTGACACAAAGTACGGCGTTATCTACCCTGGCCGCTCGTTCCCTTTCACCGGCCAACCACGCAACAAGGTGTACGTCTAAAGCGGCAGCCATTTTGCCAAGCGCATAAAGTCGAGCGGTAGATAGAAGGAGTCGCGCATGACGTTGTATCATCATATCTATGAAGAATTCTTCTGCTGTCCCGCTATATGAATCCCTGTTTGAAGGTGATGTGAAACTGTTAGAAAGACGATAACAAATTAAAAGATTATACAAATACAGTGTAATTAGATAAATGTTCATAGCAGTTGTGCAAACGTTGCGCAATATGCGTATCTATTGTGCAACTTACGTACCCGTTGCGCAACTTGCGCAAAAGAAATAACGATTTTTATGAAACTATATTTATCAAATAAATACTTTTCACGCAAACTAAGTAATAAAGTTTATAATTAAATTCGACAAAACTTGAAAAACGTACCTTTCAGATCTAGCAGGAACAGATTTCTTCCTCTTAACAGCGGCAGTGGCCCGTGCGGGGGGTGCGTGTGGCGGGGGCGCGGGGGGAGGGGGCGCGTGTGCGGGGGGCGAGGGCTCGCGGGGAGATACTGTCGTACTGAAGCTACGACCGCGGCCGCCCGCCAACTAGGGTACAAAGCCAGATTGTTAGGTTATACTTTCCATGAAATCATGTTTAATCATGTTATCTATCTAACTCTAATAGGACTAGATAAAATTTATAATAATAAGCGCGTGTAATGTTTAAGTTTCTACGAAAGCAAACGGTAATCTCAGCGGGGTCTTACTTCGCTATAAAATAAAAATGTCAATGAACAAATTGAAATAAATGCTGAGAAAACAGAACTTATTTTGTGATATTTTTAGAATTAAAAATATTAGAAAAAAAAACACACATTATGTCTGGCCTGGTTAATCTTAATACCTCAATTCTTTCATCTCCTTAAAAACTTGAACCCAAACCCAAATGTTACACAAACCTGTCAGTAAAGCATGCTTGTTTATCAAAGTTTATCAATGCCAACCAGTATTAGTGTTCTAAGTAAGTAGAATTTTCATCACTAAATGTAGACCAAATGTTAGTCCAATAGTTCCCAGGTTTAGTAGAGCTTGCAATAATAATGAAAAGTATGTCGACCTCGATTACCTGCATGCTGCCCAGTATGACGGACAGGTCCTCAGCGTTGGGACTGACAGTTTGAGACTGCACCACCTGTCCGTACTTCGCTTGAACGTTCACCGAATTCCTCGGTGAATCCACGTCGTTTGGATCTGTTGTGGTGATAAGAAATTATGGTTTATTATTATTATTATTTTATATGTAACTTAGTTATTTTTCACTGTAATTGTATACAAGAGCAGTCTTGAATGCAAGAGAACTGGTATTAAGAATTATTACAGTCAATAGAATTTTTTAGAAGGTTTAAGTAAATTACTAATTGATAAAGAGCATATTTTTTTATTCTATTAATTCGCTTTTAAGAGGATGCAGTCAATAGTAGAGCAGAAACCAGATCACGAAGCAGATCACTTATGCGCTGGACTGATCAAGTCAAATCGGCATCAGAAAACCCAATGTCAGACTAGACTAGAAAATTTGCCGAGACCCCTTGCCCGGCAGTCGCAAGTGCGAACTTACGACCACTCGGCCAACGAGGCAGTCAAGAAGAAGAAACTATAGATATTTCTTTAAATACATCTACTACAGTGCATCTGGTAAGAAAATAAATCATAATTAAAATTTTTAATTTCCTGCACATGACACTCACCTATAGCTCTCAAGAATCTGACGAGATCCCTGGCGAGATCCCACCGCTCCTGCTGCAGGGCGGTGTCGAGAAGTTGTGTCGCTAGCTGTCTGCTCACCGCTGAACTTTCCAAGTTCTGTCACAGACAAACAAACATAAAGACATACTGCATTATGAACAGGCACACGATACTAAGACCAGCATGAATTTGTGACACGTGTTTTTAGTTACCTTACAGATTAAGTTGCAATAAGATAAGAAATGATGTAGTTATTTAAAATGTTCATTAATCAAAAACTATGTTCGGCCAATATTTTTGTGATAACTACTAATACTGAAACCAAACGCTTCAATAAGATTTTACAGAGCTAACTAAGGTCTTATATTGTTATATTTCAATTAATTATGACATGACATGACACATAGATAAAAGAGTTTAAACATTTCAATCACCAGTTAGTTCTAAGTATATGGTAATCTAATAGTTAATGTTAAGTAGAATAAAATTGACATTTGACAGTTTATAGTATGGAAAAATAGTCAAATATTCAAAGTTATTCGTCAGTTAAAATTTATTTGCTGTTGGAAAAGTCAGCCCTAACGTGGTAAAGTGTATCGTGTGCCTGTACCACAAAAGAAAATAAGTAAAGCCTTTGCCACACAGCGAAGGCAGAAACCGAAAGCGAGGCGAATAAATAAGTTATATAATAGAAATATTGAATGCAAACAGAGAAGCGATCGCAAGGCGTGCTAGCTACACACGAAAATCACTTTTGCCACGCTACGCTTTCGGTTCACTATTCTATGTGACAAAAGCAAGATTTAATAAAGCTATAGGTATAACATGTACATAAGGTTTCAAGTTCACAATTGTTTGGTAGATTTTTAAGAGTGATTGTGTTAGTGAAACTGTAAATGGATGAAATTAAAGAGAAAATTGGTGTATTATATTTCTATTATTACATCATACCGAATAATAGTTTATGCTCCTATTAATCATCAAAATGTCTTTACCAATATTTTTTGTCTGGAGAAAATGATAAAGCAGTTACCAGGGTAATAAAATTTTAAATCTACTTCGTCCGTCAGTTAGATAATGAAAAAATATTTGACACGTTTTTTTTTTATTTTCTCGTATAATACTTAGATAAAAAGGCGTTAAGATTAGGAGTTGTCGTTACGTCGGAGGGATGTTGTTACGTCACAGCGTGCTACAAAATGTACGCTGTGACGTCAGACGACATTTCAAATTAATATATCGTCGAAAGTATTTACTTTAGTAATAATGTTTTAAATTAACCTACCAGACGGACATTAAAGTAAAATTTACGAAACTACCCTATTCCTTCTCACTTGCACAACCAACTTTTAAAAACACCAATTGAGAAGTAGAATTCATAGTCAACAGTAAACACAATTTGCCACTTAAATTGTACACACAGAAGTATGAGTAACTACCAAATACATTTGATAGGTTGTTTCAAGAGCTAAGGAGACATTTTAGGCGCGAAATAAGCAGACAGTATATTGTAATGTACCTTTACCAGCTGCAAGAAGAAAACATAACATCTTCAAAAAAGTGAAAATTCGTTTCCTTCACCGGGTAGACAGAAGTGATAAAATACTAGCCGTCCCCAGAAAATGTTTTATTTAATTATATTTATTAATAAAAACTGCCCTCAATGATGAGAAATCGAAATAAACTAATATTTTTTTATTATTTAGATAGGGAATTTAACCCTAGTTACGCTCGCTATCATGCTAAAGAAAAATTGAAATATAGGACTTATGAATGTATAATACATTTTTTTTAGTATTGCACATACCTGTAATATGATTAAATAAGAGGCGGCGGTATCCAGCATCTTGCGTTGTAAGCATTCCTGGAACAATTCCTTCGGTTTCCCCGCTGCTGAGAACAAATACGCCCATAGCGCTATCTCTGTCTTTCTCGCACATTGTACCACTGTCTGAAAGAGAAAAAACAATATTTTTAAGGCATAGTGATGCCCTTAACTTAGCAGTTTGTAACATAACCAATGGGTTATGTTTTTCACCATCATTATTAGGAGTCCAATTTGTACACAATATAGGGCCTATTGTCTTATACCCGGTTCATATCTCGATTACGTGTTATTCTGAAACTATTTCCATTGATTTTAAATCTCAATAAAACTTTGTCCGACCTAGACATCGAACCCGGAACCTCGTAGTCGGCATTTGTACTTGCGACTACTCTATTAACTATTAACAAAGCTGCCCAATTGCTCTACCCTGGATATGAAAAGGAACAAGTCAACTAGTTTTACTTTCAGCCACTCGACCAACAATGAAATATGATACATATTCTAATGAATTCACCAGTTTATAAGTAGAAGGGCTGAAACCCATTATTTATAGTCATCCGTCCTATATGCCTAGTGGCGTATGAAATACAGGATATAATCATAATTTGAATGCAATAAACGCATTTATTAGTACATAATTTATTAAATATCATCGTTTTATATACATATGTACAAAGTCTTCTGAGTTGTAAGATATTTTTAAGTATCATTAAGAGTAATAAATATAAAAATAAACTCATAAGTAACATAAGGTTGAAGTTATAAGTCATGCGATGCGAGACTATGATAAAATGGCCCTTATTGCCGAGCGAGGGATCTCTATGTCTACTCAAGAAGTCTACCCTTTGTTCGACATTGACATTAATCGACAACCTGTTTTTCAATAATAATAATTACAATTTTTGTCTCACCTGCAAATACACGGGGAATTCATGAACAAATTCAATAATAGACGGCAGTTGGGCGTCAGGTATGGGTTCCTTGCTGGTGGCCTCTTCCTCCAACACCTCATGAAGGAGCAGTTCCAAGGAGTGAGGGAAGTATGCTAGCTGTGAGCATGAGCGCGCGATCTCCCACGCGTGGTACCCCAGGTTGCGACGGAGCAGCTGCCGCAGAATTTGATGGAGGTAAACTTGGCTCTGATGAAAAAAATAATAATTAGTATAAAATTAATGGTACAATAATGTCAATAAAAAAACTAAATATAACACCAAATACTGCTGTTAATATATGTATAACACAAGGCAAAGAGAGGGCGCGATTATTGAAATAGAGGAAAGACCTTAGACAGACAGAGACATGGCATTTGAAACATTCAGAAACTTAATAGTGCGTACTTTGACTTGAGAATTCAAGCCAAACATTATGCCCGCTTCTCATTCATGAGGGTACAAATTCGAAACCTACCAACGGCAAGTACCAATGTGACTTTATCCAAGTTATATGTACTTTCTAACATTATCTAGACACCACTGACAAACGGTGAAGGAAAACATCGTGAGGAAAGCTGGGCTTATAATTTCTAATTATAAGCTTGTAATCGCCAACCCGCATTGCGCAAGCGTAGTGATTAATGCTCAAACCTTCTCCGTGTGAGAAGAGACTTTACTCAGCAGTGGGCATTTATAGGCTGTTGATGATCATGTCAAAAGAATCTAAAGACACCACACACACGACTTTTAATTAAGTTTTATTCGATTACGGCTAAGCAAGGACGATTATTGTACTAATGAAGAAATTCAATATTAGAGCAAAAGGATATTTAGTGGAAACACAAATCTCCTATCGCCAGTGTAATTATAGTACTAGTGTATATTACATCAACATGTAAAAATTAACGATATGTAATTATTACGCATTGGTTCTATTTGGGCGCTAATTAGGAACATAATTAAGGAAGCATATTATTGGTGAAATGAATAGGTATTCAGTTCCTTTCTGCTAATTGACGGATGTTCGTAATAACTTAAGTTACGATTTGGGTTTTAATATAATGTTTTTCGTGTGTTTTATTGCTTGTTTAAAATAAAGTACTTGGATTCTAAATGAAGCTTTCCGACGGTGTTTTTTAGGACATAAAATGACATTGTTGATACATAATTATGTAGGACATATTATACAGAAGAATAGCTCTATTAAATGTATTGGACAAGGGCAAGTATTTATAAGAATTAATTTATTCATCATCGTCATCAACAGCCTATATAGCCCACTGGTGAGCAAAGCCTCTTCTCACACGGAGAAGGTTTGAATATTAATCACCACGCTCGCTTAATGCGAGTTGGCGATTTCAAACTTATTAATATAATTAGAAATTGCTACCACGCCCAGGTTTGAATTAATTAATTGTCACAAAGTCACAGAAGGGTGTAGGTCCTGGTACGAAATGATTAGCTATACGTTTAGCTTGGTGTTAAAAATCATAATATTAAATTATATTTGTTTGTATAAAAAGCACTATGCAGCTGTTAACTTACTGTTCTATTGACGACACAGAATGGCAGCGAGAATACTGAGCTGGAGTCTGAAGCGTAGAGAGTTGTGTCATTCTCCGCACCCAGCAGGATAGCGTCATCGAATAAAATTGCTGCAATTTAATAATAATATGTTTAATACATCATCTGAAGTTACATAAATAAGAACACTGAGACTATGTTAAACTGTTATTATTATTTTCCCTACTAACCCAGGCTTGTCAATATAAATTAAGCATTAAGGAATTCTTGTTTAAATCCCGACGTATTCATTAAAGTTAACATAAACTATTGGCAATTATTGCATACTTAAACTCTATAGGAAGTAGTTACACTTAACATTCCTATGTAAATTACAGAATTTTGTATCTAACCACAAATTTCAAACCGTATTCGCCATCTATCTTTAAAAAAAATCAAAATCTAACAAATTCACTAATGACAAAAAAAGGATAAAAAAACTTACTTAACGGATAAATATTAAGATGGAAAGGCAGCATGATCCTTTTAGCCATGAACGTATGTCTGCTCGAGTCAGGGTGTCTGGTCGTATCTCGTGGTAGTAAGGGGAGCCAGACTCTCGCGCCTAAAGCGCCACACCAGAGCCATAGAGCTCGGGACAGTTGTGTCTGTGAGCCAGTCACACTGCCACAGGACCAGACACTTTCCACGCAAGATGCTAGAACTGTTGCTGGAAGACAGCTATAGGCCTGTAGACAAGAGATATAGGAATTATTTAGATACTAAATGTACTATGATGTAAAATTGTCCAGTAGTTTAAAAAAATCGCAGTTTTCTGTTACACAAGAGTTTGAATGTTTCATTATAATAATTAATTACAATATCGTGTTTTAATTTTGTAATGAAAGTTTTAGTTTTTCACATAATTATGTAGTATTTTTTACGATTGTTAAGTATGACCTAATTGTTTCATATTATAATTATTACAGGCTACCATATCGCAAAATTAGTGTTATAGTGCTTTAGTGTCAAATAGCAATGCATGTATTATCATTCCTTTGTCACAAAACTATTCGATTAGAGAATTCACAATAATAGTGCCCGGCTTAATAGTAAAATCAAATCAATTACATTGCATGTAAAATAACAAGTTTCTAGAATCTCAGGAATTCGAAACTTATTGTAGCTATCAAATTATATTGCAATTGATGTTTATGTGCCGGGTCATTAATCCAAGTGTGTTTAACACAAACTTGGATTAATGACCCGGCACTTGTTCGGATTGCTACGACTCAATTAAAATAGTAGTGGTACATTAAAACTGTTTAGGGTTGACTAATTAATTGCTACACTATAAGTGAAATACGAGTGCCTATAAACCTTATTTCTGATCGATTGTGACGGGTAATAAGTACTTTGACAAAGTTTAAGCCCTATTACTGTAAAAAATACGGAACTATTTCAAACAACAGACTAAAAACGTCCAATTTGTATGGCACCGTGAAAACAAAGTTCACGATCGCATGTAAATCAGGTGAAAAAGATGAATGTGTAATGTAATACAAGTAATATCTGATAATGATCACACTGACCGACATCCGTTAGTCGAGCGTGCAATCAACCGGCCGTTTACGACGCCCCACACTGCACGCAGACGCAACTGGAGCAAAACGTCGCCGTATCATTAACGCGTTTAACTATATTGCAACAATCCTTCATCCATGAAGATACGATCCCACACCCAATATATTTAGAGATATTAAGATATCAAGAATGGCAATCATGTAAATCATTCCCACAATTGATCAGTTTCCGATCTGATGTTTACATAAAATACCCGCGCCAACCTGTACGTCCTGCCCACCGACGCATCGAGCCCTCTTTACATATTAACTCGCGTTTTCACTCCCCGAAGGCTGTTCTATGAAAATGAGGAAGCCTGATGCAACTCTGGTGATTGTTGTTACAGCTAGAGCGAGTGCGCACTAAACATTCCACATCCGCAACATAGGACATGAAGGTCTAAACCAATCGCCTATAAATGCCTTCAAGTTGCCAATTACTCTGCAGTGCATTTTTGACATCAAGTCAGTGCGTCTCCGGCATAATGAATATTTACGCAGCGGTCGGTGCAATCAGACGTTGCTTTAGTTTTAATGTTAAGGGATACGATTGTGAAGTGGTGTTCTGAATGTTGCAGATATCGTGCCTCCTCGCCTTGACGGCGTCTGTAGCGGCTGACGGACTATTAGGAGGGGGTCTAGTATATGCGCCAGGACATGCCTCAGTAGATTATTATGTGAGTTTTGTGCTATTCAAATTTCGTTAAGTGAATTATTTATGTTATTTTCAAACTATGTGTTTCTTTTCTGAAGGCCTATCCCAGATACGCCTTTGAGTATGCAGTGAAGGATCCTCACACAGGTGACAACAAGGCGCAATGGGAGAAACGAGACGGCGACGTAGTTAAAGGTACTTACGACATATTGTAGGTAGAGAAATATTATTTATTTATCAATTATCAATGAACACCATTTTTATATTTTTTTATTCATCACAGGAGCTTACTCACTAGTGGAGCCGGACGGCAGCCTACGTATAGTAGAATACTGGGCCGACGCGAAATCAGGTTTCAACGCTGTAGTGAAGCGTGTAGGACCTAACTTGCACCCAGTGTCAGTACCTGCATCCATCTACAAGGCGCCGATCCCAGTGCTGGGACATGCGTCTGGAATTGCACCCATATCTGTGGGACCTATTGGTAAACTTGGAGGTCTAGCGGGCGCCCCTCTGATATCGGGACCTATTGTGGGAGGAGCTATATCCACGGCGAACCTTGTGAAGACCGCGGTGCCGATAGCACCCATAGCGCCTATAGCGCCTATTGCTCCCATCGCACCAATAATCAAGACGCCAATTGCGCCAATCGCGCCCATCGCGCCAATCGCACCTCTCTCATCTTACGGGCCGCTTATCAAACCAGTTGCTCCCATAGCGCCGCTACTACCATCATACGCTGGCCTCCCTGGTCCCATATACAAGGCTGGACCAGTCTACCCTGCGCCTCTACCCGCCCCAATTATCAAGTCTGGACCCATATTGACAGGAGGTTTGGGAGGATACCCAGCACCGTTGCCACTGTTTAAGGGTGATGGTCTAGGATATGGTGGATACGCAGGAATTAAGGATATTGGACTTGGATACGGCGGTTACGCTGGATTGAAGGGTGACGGTCTGCTATTAGGCGGTTATGGGGGCTACAGTGGACTGGGCGCCGGTTACGTCAAAGCTCCCCTTGGCGGTCATGGATTATTAGGTGACGGACTACTGAACACTTGGGGCGCGGGACCTTACTACGGCAAGCATTAATTTGTTAAATACAGAAAACTGAGGACTCCCAACGTTTAGATGCCGCTGTCCATAACTGTTCCTTGTTGCCTTTAGTCTCTCCTAGTGAGTCTCCTTGAAGAATAATTTTTAAAGTCGGATGAAGTCGAGTCTTTTGTACATAATACATTTAATATTTATGTTATAATTATAAGTCAGACTAGCACTAATAAAGCATACACCACCGTGTGGTGAAATCCGATTGTTTTACTAACCTGTATACCTATAATATTAGCCTGAGTTTTCATTAAGTTACATGATAATAGTTCAGTCAAGATAGTGGGCAAATAACTTCACTTTTAAATTTTTTGTTGACGTCAAAATTGCCTTCTAGGTGGCGTATTATGACGTAATAAAGCCAGTGTGGTTCGGTTGAGGGAACGAGATCTCGCTAGACGACTTATATAGCTCTGTTTCTTTTCCTCAATGGAACCATACTGACTTTATGACGTCATAATAACCCCGCTGGTCTAATTGAAATAAATGACTTTGACTTAGACTTTGATAGATGTATCGAGCTATGGGACGAAATACTTTACATGTGCGTTATGCTGATCCTAAGCAATCAAAGGGAGTGAGCCTATTTTATCAAGCACTGGTCTAATCACATCACAAGTTAATATTGAGCACTAAACCTTTAACTAAAGTTGAATTATAATAACGCCTTCCAGTTAGCGTAAGATATTGTACCTACCATTGAAATAGGTGCGTATTTAACTTGATTGGAAGTTCTAACATAGATAAAATTAGTACATAATTAATTACATAATGACTGCTGATCCTGTTGGAGTACTACAATAACTGATAACGTGTTAACGGTTGACTGCATTCTGATGATGAATATCCTTTTGCATATATTAATTACAATAGTAACTTTCGTGACGTTGTATTACATTACACCAAAAATATGGTAATATGGGATATCTGGACTTGCTTGTGCAAGAAATAAAGTGAGTTAACTTATTAGTAGACTTAAATATTCTTGTTAGCTTGTGGTTGTTAGTCAGGTTAACGGTAAAAGACCTCGTGGTCGTTCATCTACCCGTTGGCTAGATGCTGTATACGCGTCGCTGGCCTGACAGTTCAGGAGTTCCTGAGGACAGAGGCGCTTGGAGGAGGGTTGTGCATCAGGTGACGCGTGCACCAGATTAGACACGACCTTCAGTAATGAAGATAACGACTAAGAAGAAATATTCTTTAGGAAAGAAAGAAATATTATCATAATGTCACACTTTTTGATCCCCGAAGGGGTAAGCAAAGACGCACATATTTAATGATATATCCACTTATCAAGTTATGTTACGAGTTCCATGGCCCCTGTGTTAGATGAAACTATAAAGAGGGTTACATTTATGACAATACTGAACTTTACATACATATCCATATAATATACAAGACTTTAATAAAAGAATCAATACCAAATTAATTTTAACTTCTTACCCAATGTTAATTGCAATTGATTATGACAGATTGGAGACATGCAAGACTGACAGCTCGTTAATCAGACAATTGACTGTACAATTTATGTATATCAATGTAAATAGAGTCGGTTTTTGCCAAGCAAGTTTAAATAGGCCTACGCCAAAAAGGGTTCTGCTTGAGTATACTTACAACAATATAACTGTCTATAATTAAATGCAATTGAACCTAGTGGGTTTGAGATTCTTAGATACACTAGGTTTAATTGCTGGCTTCAACAAAATACTAAACTTTTTACTTGACTTCCAAGCAATATGATGTTTTTAACAGTCTCATTATTGAATAAGGAGCTGTTTTGATTGTAGTCTTTAGACAAGGATATTTACATACGCAAACTCATGCCTTAACTCTATGGGGATAAGACGATACTACATTCCACTTTGTAGTATATTACGACGTTTCCTACAATCAGCAATCCGCTGTACCACGTGCTTCTTCTCATAAACGAACCCTAAACACCCGTAACTACGGCCATCATCATAAACTAAGCAAAAAATATTTTGATTCGAATATTTTTTTGCATGTATTGGGTCGTGTTACATGTGAAACCAAACCTGTAGTATCAGAACTAGTATCGGCAGTCCTACCACTAAGCACTTATAAAAGCATACTGCACATACTGACAACCCAACATTCTACATATCACTCGCTGACAATATGAATCGATTTTTAATGGTCAGTAATTTTTGAGTTAAAAATCGATGATACAAATTAGAGGCGATTATCGATTATTATTTTAGTATCTGTTCATGTCATAAAAAATGTATATGATTACAGATTGCGTGCGCACTCGCCGTAGCTGTTGCTACTGTTTCCGCTGGTGCCATAAATGTGGTTCCAGTCATAGATAAAATTGTAAGTACCACATACCGACTGAATGATGCAACATCTCTTATAATTACTCTTGTCAGTATTAAAAAGTTTAATGTTACAGGATCACCCCCGTTACGCGTACAACTACGCCGTCAGCGACCCGATAACAAAAGACAACAAGGCGCAATGGGAGACTAGAGATGGAGATACAGTCAAAGGATCGTACTCACTGGTAGAGCCGGACGGTTCCCTACGTATCGTGGACTATGCGGCCAACGACCTCACCGGCTTCAACGCAGTCGTGAAGAAGGTCGGACCCTCTGTACACAGTGTGCATGCACCAGTACTACCTATCAAGCCAATTCTACCTCTATCGAAGCCAGTTCTACCAGTAGCCCCCTTAACATCAATCATAGGCCCAGTGCACTATGGCTTCGGTGCTGCACCCATTGTCGCTAACCTACCAAAACTAACAACACTGGGACAATGGAGTCTCCCGTGGGATCCATTCACGCACTCCTATGGAGGATGGGTTCCTTTAGGCGGCTCTGTGTTAGATAAACCGCACGTCACGATATTCAGTCGAAAATACGTTGATGGCAAAGTGCACAAATGGACGACTGGCCCCATTCCGCTGTACGGTAGAACATTAGTTTTTCAAAAGAAACATTGAATTGTAAAATTAGAAATTTGAATTTGTACATAGCCTTGAAACATTCATAATAATTCTACCACCGTACGGGTCGAGGAGGAAGCCATATTGCTGTGGATTGTCTTCGTAAGTTTGGGCTCTTATTTTAGCCAGTATTAAAGCTAATGTAATAACTAGTCTACAAATGCTTTGTACATATTTTTGAAGTGTCGATTTAACTGTGAATGTGTAAATAAAAGTATTTAAACTGTCTGTGTTTTGTTTTGTTCTATAACAAAAAAAAAAATTGAAATATATTCCTTATCTCCCGTAATCTAATTATTTTTGTTATTTAACCGAAGTGACAAAATAAACTTGAAATAGTCAGGCAAGGGTGTAATCTAATATCCAGAGCCTACATTGTAATGTAAGGGCTCACCAGTTAATATGCAGTTTAGTTTTAGAAAAATGCAAACTTCTCACTTTGGATAGTGAAATCAACTGCTGTAATTGCACTATTATTTATACATATACTTGCTGCTGTAAAATAATTAACGAATTGAATATAAGACGAGAATATGAAATAACGTTCATAATAAACAATCTTTATATATATAATTCTTCTGTGAGTGTGTATGTCACTGAACTTCTCTCAAACGACTGGACCGATTTTGATGAAATTTTTTGTGTGTGTTCAAAGGGATCTGGGAATGGTTTAGATTCACAAACCCGGCAGATGGCGCTGCAGTCGATATTTAGGCTATTTATCCTAAACAGCTGAACTAATTTGAATGAATTTTTGTTTATACATTCAAGTGGATATGCAGGACAACGTCTGTTGGGTCCGCTAGTACTACACTCAATTTTAAGACGCATTAAAGCATAGTTCTATCACTACAAATTCGTCACTAGAGCATTACAGAGATGGTAATGGTACGATATAGTACAACTTAAAACTTACTTTCAGCATTCGGGTATACGACTCACTTAATGATAGTAAAAGGTCAGTTGTTATACATTCAAATAGAGAAATGAGGTCATGAATGAAATAAGTAACTATTAAAAAATGGATACAACATAATTCGGTGTTGTCTTATTGTAACAGTCAATATATCTTTATAGTAGGTTTTTATTAATGTTATTTTAAGTACTCTTTAGTATATACCAGGTTATCTATGTCTAAGCTGTTGGAGTGAGATGGGTTTCAATATCCATCTATATATGTAAATCTATTATCTAATATCGTTTGGTTTTCGAGTAATTAGGACTGACAGGTATTAAATCAACCTTCAATAATGGAGACTAACGCTTTTTTGCTCACAAAATGGAGGTACTGTGTGTAAACCTCTCGTCTTCGTCGTCGTTCGTCCAATTCCAATAAATTCCTTTTTTTTATGGGATAAGCTAGTAAATGAGCAGACGGTCGCCCATGGACAACCGGAACATCAGAGGCGTTACAAGTGCGTTACCGGCCATTTGGGGAATATGAATTTGAGGATTGTTGGGATTCAGCAGGGGTTGGGTTAGGTTAGGTTAGATTGGGGAGCGGGGTTAATTGGGCCTCCTACCTACATAACCTCACTCACACGACGAAACACAAAGCAAGCGTTGTTTCACGTCGGCTTTCTGTGAAGCCGTGGTATCACTCAGGTAGGCCCATTCGTGCCGAAGCATGGCTCGTCCACTCTTATTAAATCTGGTACATACGCGAAAAAACGGTAGCCCCCATTACAGTGTAAGTAAGAGTCTCAATCTGCACTGCACTTTTAGCGCAAAGGTTAGATATCTCGCTGCTGCAATTGTGGTGTGATCCTTAAATATTATTCCGGACGTGACATGCGTGAATTAGTATGTTTGAAACGCAAAGGACAAAATGTTAGCGTGAAGCTACGTTTAAATATTGTTCTGTTCTACAATGATTGCTGAAAGAACGAAGCTCCGGGTAATTTGGGTTCGATTCTATTGAATTAGTTTTTTGATAGCTCTGATAGCACAATATTTATAAACTCTGAAATGTCCATTCATTTATGGAACTTACTTATGCCTATAAATATCTGTTCAGAAGACAACATCTTTCTATGAAAATGTGAAATTGTGTACCTGAAAACATTTTTCTGGCAAATTTTAAATATGCAGTCCTTATGTCTTAGTATAGTGTAGGTATTGAAATAACGTGTTGAGGAGTCAACAAGGTATTCAATGATGAAATATACCTATAAGGGGCAGGATGCCCTAACTGAATAGGATACTAAAGTTCTTTCTAAATCGATGCATCATAATGAGAAAACCTAGGCTCCTGACTGATCGACCCATAAACCGTAAACCAACCTATCAAACGAACACTCGCGAACCAAAGGAAACCGATACATCACTCACACTCACAATCAACCCCAATTAACTCATTAGTTAATCACAGTCTAACCAAACCACTATTTATGAATACTAAATCGGGCAAAAAGAACTTAAACGGACCGGCTCAAAACAAGATGTTTGACAGTAACCGGGGCGCTGCCGGGTCGTATAATTAGTGTAGTATAAATAGGCAGGTGGTGAGTGACAAAGGACAGTGCACTTCGTCTGCTCACTGGAATACCTTGCCAGCAACATGAACATGTATATTACGGTAATTACTTCCTTCCGGATTATCTATTTTACTAAGATTTCTTTATTTCTTTCTTACTAACACTACCTCAACTGCGACTAGACAGTCGAGGAGGGGGTAAGTCAATCGACGTAGTTGCTAATCAAGTTTGTGGTGTTTCCAGGTCTCCTGCCTGTTGGCTTTGGTCGCGGCCGCCTCTGCGATACCGCCTGCGACGCTGTCATATGTTCCAATTGCCACTATAGATAAAATTGTGAGTAAAACTATTTGGTGCGCCACATTTTTACAAGCCTAAAACTATATCTTATTGTTATTTACCTATGAAATATTTGTTATAGCCGAACCCAAATTACGGATTTAACTACGCGGTAAACGACCCGTCGACGGGTGACAATAAGGCGCAGTGGGAGACCCGCAACGGTGACGTGGTGCGAGGAGCATACTCCTTGGTGGAACCTGATGGCAATGTCCGTCTAGTAGAGTACACAGCGGACTCTCTGACTGGATTCAACGCGGTTGTGAAACGTACAGGACCTAATGTACACTCCATAGCATTGCCAGTTGCCGCACCTATTGCAGCACCGATGACGCCTATTATTACGAAGCCGATCGCATCTATCGGACATGGACCCATCGGCCCCATTGGATCACTCGGACCAATCGGACCCATTGGACCTATTGGACCATTCCCGATTGCACCCATCGCACCAATTGCTCCAGTTCACGAGATCACGCCCGTAGCGGAGGTTCATCACCAGCCCATCATAACCCCAGTGATCGATACCCCGCCAGTAATCGCTCCAGTGCCCACGTTGGACATCCTGCCCATCTATCCTCTGCCCCCGGCTGGCCCGTGGGTGCATCTATCAGGCACTTCTTATGGACACAAGGGCAATATCGTCCGCCGCTGGGCAGCTGGCCCCATCTCACTAGACGGTAAAACGCTCACCATCAGAACCGTAAAACATCATTAGAATAATTTAAGTTTCAATGTAAATAATTTCTATAACTAACTTCTCCGTGTATAGGTAACCTATTTAGTTACTCACGGCGCTAGTGTGTTCTTGCATATGTTTGTTCGTGCAAAAATACACATAGGTCATGTTAGAAGTTAAGTTTGATTGGTATAATCCAAAGCAACGAAGTGTACCTGAATAAATAAATATGTTTTTACGAAGGAACTTGTTTATTGGGTCAGTGTGTGGTGCATGAAAAGAGTTCATTTAGTTATGCGTGCCGAGTGCTCAATGACACGCACGTTAGCTTGTAATGTAAGCGTTTTCAATACATAACGACCCAAAGCGGTTAATTACTTGTTTCGCAAAACAATATCTGTCCAAGTATCCGGATTTCCATTGTAATTAGATGTTATGTAAATAACACTTACGTTGTAATATATTACAAGACTTCGATTATTCACAAAAATACATACATAAGTTGACGGCTTTAACAAATTAATTAGCCGATCGCAGCGTTTAGTCAGGCGTGTTATGGCCATCAATAATAGTAGTTATCTAAATCTTACATGAACACTTATGTGCTGTAATCTGCACCTATACTAATCTTTACAATGTAACCAACATAACAGCATAAATGAGTAAGGTAAGGTAGGTTTTATCAGAGGAATAACTTTGTATATTCGACAATTCTTCCATACTAAAAACTGTCAAATGTCAATTTTATTATACAGTTAAGAATAATCTGTTGATTGAAAAATCGACCGTAAAGACAAGGATACATTAGGGGACAAATAATTGGCCCAAGACATGTATCGGCGACATGTCGAAGCCAGCCGATATCGCCTGACATATACGGTGACAACGGGCAATTTATGTCCGTAGGCATTTTGATGTTGCCAGACATGTCAACCAAAGTCCGGCAACGTCGCACTACTTCACCCAACGTCTCTGGCGACACGTGTCGCTGTCGCAGGACATTATGTCCCTTAGTGTATCCTTAGCTTAAAAATAAATATTTTCCTTGTGAAGATATATTGAAATTTAAATTTTACCATTTACATACACACATTAAACTAAATAAGGTAATAATATAAGAACAAGGTGGTTTTTAATACGTAAGAGTCCGATAATCCCTCTCGCCTCACCAACGGCAGGAGAAGTCATTGGATGATTTTTCCCCTCAAAATAAAAGTACAAATAATGTACTCACCGGATTATTGTCTTCATCAACGTCATACTCTTCTCTCTGCACCATCATCAGCTTACCGCTGGCGTTGATCACCTGAAGATATTAACATTATCATCATCATCATAACATCACGCCTTTTATCCTCGAAGGGGTAGGCAGAGGTGCACATTATACCACTGTACAATTTAACACCCACTTTTCACTATTTATATTATGAATTCCATGTAATAGGGGGTGAGCCTATTGCATATTAACATTATATTGGACGAAAATGACATTTACGTATTACATATTGTGGACGTTGAATATAAGTCTTTTCCTATACCTATAAGGTAAATATACTTCTGGGGTCAGGACTGGGCCCCCGGTAAATCTCCATCACACGGCAAAACACGCGGATATCTACGTAATGTGTAAGAAACTTCATTATTAAGCACCTGGTCAGTACTTTTCTTTTGTTCCAACTTTTATGTAAGACACCTATGCGCCACGTGATTTGTCACATATCGTTTAATGAATGTAAGAAGCAACATGTTGTGCATGTGAGTGGCGAGCTCGTACCAAGGAGTCGGGCTGGCGCTGCACGGGCACGCAGACGGTGGAGGCGCGCACGCGGTGCGGCGGGTCCTGCAGCCGGCACAGCTGCGCCGCCACCACGCACGCCGGGTGCGACAGCGCAGACACGTCCACCGCCTGCACGCAGCGCATCTCTATCGTACCCGCTGCGTACCGTACATATTCAGTCATAAAATAAATGATCATGTAATCATCAGACGTACACATCACTTTTGATGTAAAAAGTTTGGGCGGCTGTTACTGCTTAACCCCCTACCGGCACCGCAGCTGACGTTCATATAGTTGCATAATACAATTATCTGAATAATTTTACAAGTTATAGACTGAGAAGAAATTGGTGATCAAAATAGTTAATAACTGTTTTTTTATAAATTCAAATCTATATATATAAAAGAAAGTCGTGTTAGTTACACTATTTATAACTCAAGAACGACTAAATCGATTTGGATAAAAATTGGCGGGGTGGTAACTTAGAACCAGGACACGGACATAGGATACTTTTCATCTAAATTTTTTTTTTTACTTTTACCGAAAATCACAAACGGGAACGGGGGGGAAATGGGATTGCGCGTACGAAGTCGCGAGCAGAAGCTAGTTACATTTAAATAGAACTTTGTATACAGTTATAAGCTATTTATCTAAAAATATGCACTTACTATTATCAATGCAGTTGAGTTCATATATGGTGACGAGGGCATCAGCTCCGAAGACCACGAGCTGGTCATCCAGGATGTCCAGCACGAACACTTGCGATTGTACTCGAACTATCTTCGCGAATCTATTGTCCAACTTCGCTTCTCGGGGATAGAAGCGAATCTCGTCGTGACCGTCTAGAATGCTGTAGCAACCTGAGAAGGGAATACATTATATATGTAAGTCAAGCATACTTTTAGACAATTTTAGTTAGAAATCTCATCTAGTTTTTTTTAATTGACGTGTAAAAGTGTTTCGCTAAATAAATTCAATTGTTTTCTTTGAAGAAGGAATGCAAAAGCTACCTAATTTCATGACAGAAATTTAATGAACAAAACTAAAAACCCTACTGCTTCCGAAGATTACCTGTGTGTTTCTCATCGGCCTGGTTTTAACAGTTAAATCATTGTTAACATGTGCATTAGTTACACTAGTTTTTAACTTGGGAACATCAATATGTTCAGATATTTATGTTCGATTTACCTTAACTTAGACCTTAGTCAATCATGGAATAGTAATAAAAACTTAGATGAATTATATTTTGCAGAGACAGGTTTATTTTTTTTAAACGTTACCCCACATTTGCAAATATTCAAGTTCACATACACAATGACACCCAGACCCGAAACAACAATTTGTGGATCACACTAAGTGTTGATCCGTGCGGGAATCGAGACCGCGACACATTGCACGGCAGCCGGTTGCTTAGCCACCGCACCAACCGTGCAGTCAAAATAATTATTATAGAAAGCGATCATATTGTTGCTAACCTATAACAATATAATCCCTCCACCACAGCATGCCGCCCGTGACGACGAAGTCCTTCTCCTGCGCCTCGTTCCCGAACAGCTTCCAGCGCCGCGCCACGCAGTTGTAGTGCGCCAGCCCCGTGCGGCCCGCCACGCATACGTTCACGCCCGCCTCGTCTATTGCGCTGTACTGAACGGGATATTACTTGGTTAACATACGTATATCAATTTAGTCTGCCAGTTAAATGCGGAAACATTATTCGACAGCAGATAAAAACATTAGAACTACTTGGAATCTAAATTACTAAACCTTATTTCAGTTTATCTAATTCTATAAGAAACGAATAAGAAGTTATAGTTACTAAATTATTGCATTTTAAATCAATTTATCATCATTTTAACATTTGGGAACGTTTTCTACTAAATACTTAGAAATTGCATATGCTGTATGAGTACCACAGTTTATTAAAAATAGTTTATTCATTTCCATTAAGTTTGTTTGACAAACCGTGCCTCGTATACATCCCTAAGACTATTTGATTCAGCAACTAAGTAAAACAAAGAACATCTATAACACTTACCCTCAACGGCCAATTGGTAGCAATATAAGTAGCCGGTAGAGGCAACACTATCCACTGTTTCCTGCACTCGTTGTCGTCAACAAACTCCCTATAGTTAGTACTACTCTCATATTCCAACGTAGGCTGGTCGGGTAGACCATTCTCTGCCTGGTATATTTCTGAAGACGAGTCAATGATTGAGATTTTTGTACGTTTCGTTAAATTATCTTCTAAGTTCACGTACAGTTTGTCATCTGCTTGTAAGTAGAGGTGTCTTTGATTGCTCTGAAAAGTTAATATAATAAAGTTGGTATTAATACTTGTTTTTACATTGGATTATTTATGTCGTGATTGAGAATTTAGTAAGAGAATGGTGGAAAGTTTATAATTATAGGTTATTCGACCAAATGTGAAGATAAAACTGAATGATTCAGAATGGCGAATTTTTTATAACATTACAAGAAGATCAGACAAATACAATTCGATGGCAGCGCCGTCTACAACACTTTAATTATTCATAAACATACCAAACTACCAATTAATACAATATGCAAGCATTCAGAATAGTAATATACGAAAGGGGAGGATGAATAGATGTAAATCATCAGAACTTACCATGCAAGGGTTTACACTTAGTGGACTCTTCACAAAATCCAGTTGAATGATGTTGGTGCTGGAGTCTCCTTCCACTTTCACCATCCAGAGCTGGTACCCTTCAGTCGCCCATTCCTAGAACAAATATAACATGGATTCAGTATATGTTTTGAAAATAGGGTAGTTTCCTAAATTTTATTTTAATGTTCGTCTGGTACATTTTTTTAAACTTTAGACACGTACGTAATTTTTTTTCTCACAAAATTAAATACTTTCGACGATATATTAATTTTAAATATCGTGTGACGTCACAGCGTGTCACATATTGTAGCACGTTATGACGTAACGATCTTCCAGTCCTAAACTTATATCGCCATATTATCTAAATATTGCAACTTAAACTGTCAAACACCGAGCGGTCACCGGAGACCGCAACCTATTGTTCTTTAATTGTGTCTATGAATACGGTACTCGACGAGTTAATACGAGAAAATAAAAAAGAGTTTCATATTTGGCGTTTAAAGGATAAATAGCCTGTGACACGTGTCGCCAGCGACGTTGGGTGAAGTAGCGCGACGTTGCCGGACTTTCATCGACGTGTCTGGCTACATCAACGGCTCTGTAGACATAAGGCGCGCGTTGTCGCCTTATAATATGTCTGAAGAAATCGGCTGGCTTCACTTGACATGTCACCGATACATGTCGTGGAAAACTTGTCGTTTGTATCATAACAAAACATAACACAACATCACGCCTTTTATCCCCTAAGGGATAGGCAGAGGTGCACAATATGCCACTGTACAATGTACCTTCCACTTTTCACTATTTATGTTACGAGTCCCTTGTAATAGGGCTTGTAATAGGGTCCATTGCAGTCGCACTTGCGACCACTCGGCCAACGAGGCATTTGTGTATCCTTGGCTTTATTATCTCTGTCATATACAACGAGGGACATAATATCAATTATCAAAAAATATTTTAAGACATATTTTCTTAAAATACTCACTAAACTAGACACAACCAACGGATTGGACTTGCCAAGGTCCTGGTTGAGTCCGTAGTCCCAGGCCAGCGAGCACATGAGCAGGGCACCGAACGTCGACCACACCGACACCCCGCCTCGCTCCCAACTCACTGCTATTGCACGGCCGTCTGCTGTCCATCTGTAGAGTATTCCTTAATACTTGAGAAATAGAGTTGTTTATTCGATAGCATAATAATGTTTAAAATAACGATTGAATACAACGAGAACCGTAAAAGGAGAGAATTACGTAGTTATTTATGAACTGTGGCCAGCAGGTCAAACTATCCTTTTCTGTCTTTCTCTATTACATCTTAATCTTTATGATATTGACATTAAGTCGTAAATGTAATGAATAATTTTGAGTGGGTTGATCTGAACCTGACCTGACCACTGAACATTTCTTGGTTTCCCAATTTAGTAATCTGCACTATCTATCGTGTACCCTAACCTATTATTCTATTTTGAGAAATAAAAACATTACACTAAGGTATATTTTACAAATTTTAGAGATTAGAAATCACTCCGACTCAGATTGGTACAAAATTCCAGTGTTCTTTTATACTACCTTATGAGACAAACTGCAATATAATACCTCATACACTTGACAGGTCCAGGGTCGCCGGGGAAGTCTTTGGAGCTGAGCACCATCGTATGTGACAGCTCCAAGCCGCCCGTCGCCTCGTCTATCGTGAACACGTCCACTTGAGAACTGGAAAATTTGACATCATGTATTTTATTAGTAGGATCTGATTAATTATTACAGTAGTGATTCACTTAGGGTCATAGAGATCTGACAAGTGAAAAACATCATCACAATTTATACTCACTTTTTCCTGCCAATAGCAATTAATCTAAACTTGTGGTTGACTCTTGCGCAAGTCGCGTCATCAATGCCAGGAGCCCAAATGCCTTGAACGGCCTAAAAACAGAAAAATATGAAAATCTGTAAATTATCGTTATATGCTTGCCATGGTAAACCAATCCAATAACCATTGTATTGAAGATATTTTTTTAATATAAGGTTACTAACGTATGCTGTTCGAGGATGCTCAACTAGTTTCAAGCTATGGTCGGGGCTCATAATCAAGAGCAAAATGTGCGACGACGGACGTCTCACAACACCTTCAAACAGTTTGCGCAAGTCAGCCGTATATTTAAATGATTAAATATGGTCTTACGATAGTTATTAAATAACACAACTTAGGCTTCCTCTGCCTACCAACACCATCACACAGGGAGTCTGGCTGGGACAATAATAAAGTGTAATCTATATAGGAAAACTACAGAGGTATAGTTCCCGGCACGAAATATGACCAGACTTTTCGTGGAGGGGGTAAGTTTGCGAATTGTATATTTTCACATTAGTTTTCGTTATTTTATAGTTATTGTGATCATCAGTGACGTAAGTAAAATGAAGAATAAGAAAAAGAATATGTGTTTAAATGTTAAGGGAGGAATAATCCGTACTAATATATAGAAAGAAAGAAAGAACTGCACTCTTCGAACTCTTCTTTCTTTCTTTCTTTCTCTTTACTAATATATAAAACTTAACAGCTTGTTTGTTTATTTGAACGCATTAATCTAGGGAACAACTAGATCGAATTGAATAATTATTTTAGCATTGGATAGTCCATTTTTGAAAAAGACTAAGCCACGGATACCTCGCCGGATTAGTAGGGTCGAAATAAAATACACAAATGCGCAAACTGACCCACCATGACGCATCATCATCATCATCAACAGCCTATAAATGCCCACTGCTGAGCAAACCCTCTTCTCACACGGAGAAGGTTTGCGCTTGCTCAATGCGGTTTGGCGATTACAAACTTGTAATTAGAAATTATAAACCTAGGTTTCCTCACGATGTTTTCCTTCACCGTTTGTCAGTGGTGTCTAGATAACTTAAGAAAGTACATATAACTCGGAAAAAGTCACATAGGTACTTGCCGTTGGTAGGTTTCGAACCTGTACCCTCATGCATGAGAAGCGGACGTCTTCCAGCTCCGGGCCACCACGACCTTTAATTGTTTTGACGATATGATATGACGCGTATGGTAGCGAATTTGCCCCCACCATAAAAACGTTGGCCATGTTTCGTGCCGGGTATTATTAAACACACGAATTGAAACGAGGGGAAAGTATAGCGTGCTCGGGTACTAGTCGTTAATGTACACAACACACGCTTCAGCTTCTTACCATAAGATCTGTGTCCAAACATATCTGGGATTGTCAAAACACGTTTTCATTAGAGACATACGAAATTACAGGATAATATGTAATGTATGTTCTGTTTGTGTAAATATTGCATTAAAATTCACTTATATACTGGACTAATGTACAGACATTTAGACGTTTCCATTTATTATTCGTAAATAATAACAAAAAATCATTCATGCCACATCTAGTAAAAGTAGTTCATGTATCAAGTGATTGATTAATTTATCATGTATCAAGTGAGTGATTAATTTATTGGTTTACCCACATTTACTTCATATTTTTGTTATAGTTTACTGGTCTGCCCGTGTTACTTGATTCTGTTCTTTGTGTTAATTTATCACTTTGCCCACATTTTGAAATAGTGAAAATTTATATTTGTTCTTTTATATTATTTTGTATTGTTTTTGTTTATATGTTCGTACTACTGTGCGCTCTAAATTGCTTACTTTTGTGTGAAATATTGTTTCTCAGTAAGTGAATTATGTATGTGATTCTTTGTGAGAAATAAAGATATTCTAAACCTAAACCTAAAAATTATTCATAACATACTTACATTAGGATCAAACTTGAGATTAGGAGCCGTGAGATAGGCCGCCCGTCCGTCATTGAGAGTTATCCCAAACCCGCACACCAGCGGCGAATATTCTATGTCATTAACATGTGTATTGTCTTCTAATATCGGCTCCGCTGTAAATTAATTAAGTACTGATGAACTATTACTGAATTGTTTTATGAAGAATTGAATAATTCTTTTTGTATTGAATAATAATAATAAACACTTTATTGTACACCACTTACAAAAGACACGAACAAGAAAATAGTAGGTAGGTAAAAATTAGTTTTGGCATGTTGTACAATGGGCGGCCTTATCGCTTACAGCAATCTCTTCCAGGCAACCTTAGGATGGATAAATAACCGTGAGAGCAGATAACATGTGGGTAGTTCATGGTGTTGAATTAAATACAATGGATATGACAGAACAGTTTAGATACATACATGAATAGTCCATTCATGGAGGCTATATGTTACAAAACATCACGCTAGGATCAATGGGAACAGAGCAGCGAATAAAACAACGCAGGAGTAGAATAGAATAGTCAAGTATAAAAAAGGACAAGACATTCTTCATATCAGATATATGGACAGATAATGTATTTCCGTGTGTGTTTAACGTCAATGTGACTGTCGCAGAAAGCTGTAATGATAAATTGTTTGCTGACATGTAACACTCCTTATAGAACTACACAAATCTAGTCTTACTAATCTTGCTACTTACTTATGCTTAATATTATAAATTCGAAAGTTTATGGGGATGTATGTTGTTAGTGTGTTTGTTTCTCTGTCTCGTCAAAACGGGTAAAGCGATCGGGATGGAATTTGGAACAAGGGTAGTTTATGATCTGGAATAACGCATAGGCTACTTTTTATCCCACGAGAACGCGGGCGAAGCCGCTAACATAAGCCATAATCGAAATATATTTAATTCGAATTTTCACCCATTTGAGGTATATCAGTAGGCCAATTACATCATAAGTGTGGGAGAGCCATGCTTCCACGGCCTCATAGAAAACCGACGTGAAACAACGCTTGCGTTGTGTTTCGGGTGAGTGAGGTTACCGGAGGCCCAATTACTCTCCCCTTCCCCAATCTCCCCAATCCCTAAATCCCCAACAATCCTCAAACACCTAACCCCCAAAAGGCCGGTAACGCACTTGTAACGCCTCTGGTGTTCCAGGTGCCCATGGGCGACGCCGATTGCTTACTATCAGGTGATCCATCTGCTCGTTTACCGGCTTATGCCATAAAAAAAAACAACCTGTAGTAAATAAAAATGTATTACCTTTAGAAACCTGTTGGTTGATGGAAAATGGTATTCTTCCAAGGTCGAGACAGTAATCCCGGTTTTGCGTACCATCCCACCGATACCGCAGTAGATGGGCTCTGGTGGTACATACCAGAATCTCTGTGCCAGATATACAGCACATCCGTGTGATCTGACCATCCCATACTAACACTTCTTTTAACTGGAACGAAGAATAAATAGGTTTTGTATTAAAATTAGAAGGAAATAGCTGCAGGTACTTCACTAGAATCATATAGGTACCATCGCTTACCACCAGGCAAGATAGAGGGCAAACGTCGAACCATCAAATAAAAAAACAAAAAAAAATTATGTTTGTCGATATTATCGACAGTTTGAAATTATGTGTTGAGTTTGACAATTTGGTAATAACCGCGTGTAATATTATAATAACACTAACCATATCTTATCTTATACTATTAAACATATAAAGGTGAACATTTTTTGTTTGTGTGCTTGTTTGTTTGTTCGAAAGCGCTTATATCATAAACTACTGGTCCGATTTAAAAAAATATTTTTGTGTTGGATAGTCCATCTATAGAGGAAAGCTACAGGCTATAAAACATCATGCTTCGACCAACATGATCCGAGCAGAGCGGGTGATACCGCGTGGAAATAGCTAGTTAGTGATAAATATAAGTAAGTTGAATAGAATCAGCATATTATTGAAGACATGAGTAGTAATCATAATTATAAAAAATTGCATAGCAGTTGCATTTCATAAAAATATTTCCAGATTTGGAAACTTAATTTAAATGTTCGAAAAACTGAAGTGTGAAATAGCAGTGAAACTCATTGGTGTAAAAAAGCTACATACATACACAACCTCACGCCTGTCGCCCATGGGGTAGACAAAGACTATGGAACACCAATTGCTACGATTCTTACATACCTCAATCGCTTCCTCAACAGTCATAAAGAAAAAAGAAAGCTGCTAATTACAATAATTTGTACAGTATTCAAATCTTTATTGCACCATCATATAAATTATAATGAATTAGCTTTCCTAAACGAAACAAGCATACACCGTGAATAATGAATAGTAATTTTTTTATCATTGACTATGTGGGCCAGTGCCATAAATTATACATATTACATACTTCATAAGTTATCTCTCGGTCGAATATGTACCTAAACATCAGCATGGTAATAGGAAATAGTTTGATAGTGAGAAAGTACCTCATTTATGTATGTATCTATGTGCGTACAGTGTTATTGATGATTTTAATTTTATATACATATATTTTTTATTGTCTCATTTATGTGTTATTGTAAAAAAATGTTCCTCATATATTTCTTTTTCAGTAAAATTAGTAAATTATACCAGAACCGAATTCAGCTTCTCAAAACTAGTAGATCCTATACAAAGAATATATTTTATGAAGGTATTATGAAAATAATCATAGTTTAACTCATTATAAACACGTACCAGAGTAATTTTCAATGATGGTATGACCTCCTTGACAAATAACTCGGCGGAGTCTCGACGTAAACTTGCAGTGGGTGGATCATATTGTTGGTACGCAGTCTGTTCACTATGAGCTTCCACATTGTACAATATTAGATGCCCTTCTGAGGTCTGGAATAAATTAAAATTGTTTAATTATTTAACATAGGACTTATTAACCAGCAACCATTATATTATATTTTTTTAAATATGTAAATGTAATTCATTGTTATAATTTAACAACAAAACTGCTAGAGCCATTTTGATGAAATTATACACAATGTTAGGTAAAAAAATATAAATGGTAGCTTGACATTGAGCTGATACCGTTACCGTTGATATTTTATTTTACTTTGTGATAATAACAATACATATCTGAAGGTTTACCATCATATTGTTATAATTTTACATTGGATTTTCCTACAACAGATGCTTTTGAGAAAATTATAGATTTATCCTTATTTAGTTAGGGTAAAAAACTAGCTCGACTGCCTCGTTGGCCGAGTGGTTGCAAGTGCGACTGGTGGGCAAGGTCTCGGGTCCGATTCCCGGATCGAGCTAAGTATTACTGGGTTTTTAAAAATCTCAGTAGTAGAACGGAGTCTGGAAATTTGCCCGGTATATGGCAATAGGGTCACCCCCTATTAAATGGGACTCACAACATAAATAGTATTAAATAGTGCAAAGTGGGTGTTACATTGTACAGTGGCATTAAGTGCCAAAATGTGCACCTCTGCTTACCCCTTCGGGATAAAAAGGCGTGATGTTATTTTATGTAAAAAAACTAGCCAAAATGTCCTGTAGAACGGTTGCCACCATTAACTTACCCAGTGTCAATGTGGTAAAAAGAGTAGAAGATTATAGCGATCATCCATTTTCAGTTATCTTTTAACTCGTCGAGTACCGGTTTTATAGACACAATTAAAGAACAATAGGTTGCGGTCACCGGTGACCGCTTGGTGTTTGACAGTTTAAAGATTACTATACTTACTACTAAAGCATTTCCATACTTACAGAGATGCATATCATAGAGGAATCAGGTTTCCATTCCACTCCGACATTGACTCCAAGTCTTTGAAGAGATTCTGTACTCCTCTTGTGGTACACAATGGGGACACTTGGCTGAAACAATATACATTTTGACATAAAACAGTAAATAAATAAAATACATTAAACTAAGGTAGAGCTAATGCCATACATTTGGTACTCTTTACCGGTCAATCTTAGGAGCAAGTAGACAAATAAGTCTACTATGTGGTATTATAAAACAGGTTTTATTTTTTTAATGGAATAGAAGTCAAACTAGCAGACTGATAACCTGATGGTGTTCATGGGTGGTGTTTATCGCTAAACACCACCCATGAACACTACAGAAATGAATGCAACACCAGAGGAGTCACAAGTGCATTGCCGGTCTTTTAAAAAGGAATAAACTCTTTTCTTGAAGGTTCGGAAATGCCGCCGGCGACAGATCATTCCACAGTTTTTGCACATTTTTCTTCATAGATCAGTAAATGTGAGGAACAGACTATTGATTAATTATGTTTAAATGTGTATTAAAGTAAACATTCTTGGAAAATATATACAATGTCTGATTGTTATGATATGAACTTGTGAACATAAACAAACAATATAGGTATTGTTGAATAAATTATTTACTCTCTAACAATAATTAAAACACGTAAGAAGAACTCAACTGAGCAAGTACATTATGTTAATACTTTTTTTAATGATAACAAAACTACAAGTTTAGATTGATAGATAAAAATAACACTTATGTGATTTGTAATCATTTCTAAGATCAGATTTGACAAGCTATTCGTGTAACAAGTCAGATCGAGTGCAAATAATACAATTTTAGTATGCTGTCTACTAACAAAGATGGAATTAACGTAGTTCGTAGCTTAATGTTTACACAAAATTATACCCACCTTACAAAACCATACAGCTAAACAGTCATCACTCAAGGAAGCAAACAATATCTTGTCTCTATTCGACACGATTTGCTTTATAATTTGATTATCTGCTCCCAGATTTTTCAGAACTTTGGGCCAACCTATTGGAAAGTACATTTTGCTTGTGAAACATTTGCCACTCTTGTGAGAAATATGATTTAACAATTGACACTTTTGTCAGATTATGTTACTAATTTCTAAGCAAATTAAGAAATTCTGATATGAATTGATATTACAAATTTAATAAAGCTCCCCGACCAAGAACGTCAACACAATTCGCCACTGCTGTAATGTCAATAAATTAATGTCATCGTCATGTCACTCAGTAGCATACATGATGTATAGGCATTCGTTCAGTAACTATTTTTTTAACGTTACATAAATTATCAGTGCCAAGCACGAATAACTATCGCATTCGTAACGTAATAGTATCGAGCGCGTTCGGCACTCTGATTGGCCGGCTCTAGTGTACCAACCAATCAGGAACGCTTAACTCGCCTGATACTGTTACGATACGAATGCGATAGTCATACGTAATTTGTCGGCTAATTACTCAAAATATATAAGTGAGTAAATACTGGTTATTTGTCCACCTTTTTAGATACCAATACAATACGATTGTGATACCAATACCAGTTATCGATTGAACAAAATGTTGATGTTTTAAAAATATTTGTATTTTATAACTGAGTGAACACTGTCAACACTCATTCAGTGTACTTAGGAATTTTGGTAAAGTTTTATAGCCTTGGCTAGACACTAGACAGACCAAAAACATTGAAAAGGGGCTAGCATACTTAACGAAACTTTGAAATGATTGGTATTAAACAACAAATATTTATACACTTTTCCTATCCTCTATAAAAAAGCCATAAATTATGTAATACTATCCTACGAAACTGTCTTTTTATACCTTTCTTTATGGTCAACTCCCATATTATTATAAAAAACTGTCTGTCAAAATACGGGCCGCATGTTTGTCAATAATGGACCTGTATGCGGCCTGCACGGGTCGCATTATTTTATCAGTTTTGTAAATAGCAACCCTGTTTTTCTGGACTGGGGTTGGCTCAAATGACTGTTTATAAAAATATGGGTGGAAATAATTAATTAGCAACACTGAGTTTTTAGCAATTCAATGCTAACAACAATAAATTCTTATTTCGTTTATTCTATTATAAAATGAAACATAATCGTGATCATCGGCCGGAAATTCTTAATGTGTGGTGTTATTAGTAAGATGTAATGGTTTAACTTTGTTAAATTCAGAACATTTCAACAATATGTCTGAAGACTCGAATTCCATTTCGAACAACCTCTGTATACCTGAGGATGCATTTGAACAGTTTCAAGCAGTTTCAATGTATCAGGAAAAGGAATACATAACACTGCCTATTCAAACATTAGTGCAACTTCAACAACCGGATCCCGGCGAAAATCAGACCCGTTGCGACACTGAGACTGTTGTAAGTCCTGAAAACGAAGTAAACAGCACAGTCAACAATGAAAATGTAGAATCTTCACTATGCCAAGAGACTTTAGGTGTATCTTCTTCGGAAAACTCTGAAAACATCAACGATATTGATGTAAGCAAAAACAACCTCAATCGTAAGCGTAAACCTCAATCAGCCACTAAAAGAGGTAGAAAAAAGAAAGAAAAAACGGCAAAGAATATTAGCGCAGGCACCAGTAATGTAATTATTCTTGGTACAAGAGAAAGTTGTGATAAACAATTAAAACCTACTGAAGAAACAACTGTTGCTAGTAGTACTCCACCTCAAAAAAGAAGAAAAAGAAAGTCGGAATCACAAACCCCTGACGGTGCAGAACCTACGGGAATAGATCAGAATAGTTCTGTTATTCCTAGTCCTCCATTAAGTTCTGACCTTGACAACTCGGACTTACTTTCTGTCATTGTTAGGAGAAAGCGAGGCAGGCCAAGAAAAGTATCTATTACAAGTGAGCCCATCTCTAAACCACCTTCTAGTGACAATATTTGTGATCCAACACTGCCACGGAGGAGAGGTAGATCACAAAAACAGAAAAAAGAATATAGTATTTCCAGCCCTACAAATGACAAGAACAATCAATTAGGAGATGCAACAAACATAGATATAAATAATTCACAGTCTACTGATGTATTAAAAAAAGAACAAGTAGAAACTAATATTGTAACGAAAAATACAGGATTTGATATAAAATGTGACAGTGACAACTCTACTAATGATGATGACATTTGTTTAAGTAAATTGAAAGCACTTGAAAAATCAATTCATAATGATCAAAATGGTAAAATATGTGTTAAAACTGACAATAATTCTGGAAATATGTCTGATCTGTCCAAGCTGTGCAGTACAACTGAAAATGAATCTTCTTCAACCAAAATTGACATTGATTATGAGAGTTCTCAGGATCTTGATAGCAAAAACATCATAACCATCAAGAAGTCAAATTTAATTGAATATGATACGTCAAAACCTGAAATTAATAGCATGGTTAGTAAAATTAATAGAACAATAGTCTCACCTACTAAAGATGTTGATGTAGAAAGCATCAATGTTATTGATGATTCCCTCACAGAAGAGAATAATAAAATGCCAGTAATTACACATGTTGAATACAATATAGACAATACCATCGACAAGGAAATTACAGCTGTCGAAGAAAATACTGAAAATTCCGCACTCGTGGAAGACACATCTAAAAGACCTGTTCGCAGAAAAGTTCCCAAGTTACGTTATGATGAAGGATCTGATGAAGATCCATTTGCTAATATTGAGCTATCTGATGATGATGATGAGCCACTAAGGAGGAAAGGTAACAGGTATTATTCTGATGATGAATATGTACCTGGTAGAAGAGGAAATAAGGATATTGATTCGACAGATAGTGAAGCTCAAGCACTATTAGATGAAAAGGTGAAAAAACAAAAGAAGAAAAGGTTGCGTAAGAAGTCAGAAAATCGGTCTCCAAGAAAAAAAGGAAAGCAGAGACAATTGGACCAGGATACAGAAAGTGATATAGAAATATGTGTACCAGCTACCACTTCACAGTCAAGCGATGTTGAGATATGTTTGCCAAATGTAGCGAGTGGAAATAATGATGAAGCTGAATCACAACCAACCACTAATTCAAGTACTTGGGGATGTAGTAATGAGTTTGAAAATTTCATTGCTAAAAAAATACAGGGTACTAATATACAAATAAAAAAAGTTACTGCTACAGATTCTGCTGAGAACAAGATTCTCGAAATACCAGTTATCGATCCAGATGCCAAGAAAAGCGTAGAAATGTGGTCACAAACTAATAAAATAGACACTGCATCTACTTTTGTACAAACCAAATCACCATTTGAAACCAAGATGAAGACAAATGTTGATTTAACATCGGAGCAATCCAAAAGTGCATGTGCATTCCTCAATGGTATTGTGAAAATGACTTCAGAGTTGGGTACGTTAATGATAGAAAAGTCTGAAGATTTCATGAAAAAGAAAATTAATACAACCCATGTTACCGATACTATGAAAATGGATTACTGTGTACGGAAATCATTCTTATTATTTAAATTAGCTAAACATAATCTTGAAAAGATGGAGGAGGATTTAGAAAGTGAATATGAAAAATTTTTAGAGACCCATAATTTAACAGCCTGTAGAGAAGTAGAAAAAGAAATAGCACCCTCAACAAAAAAAGATAATAGTGACAGTGATTGTGAAATTGTGGACGAACCGGTTATATCGACTCCTATAAATAAATCTAAAGTGAATCCTAAATTTAATCCCAAAACAGTGTTTCTCAACAAAGAACTTTCGATTAAAATAGCAAAAAAACCAACTGAAACTAAAACTCTTGATATCAAGGGACGCCATACGGTTTGGATTAACGACACAGTAATGGTAAAAAAAGTAAAGCCTACTCAGTCTTTTTTAGCCCAGGACAGCCGAAATAAAAAACCTCCTGACAATAAAATCACTACAAAAATGGTAAGTGATTTTTTCAAGAATTATTATCGCCAGAAAGCTATTTCTATTTGTGCCCCTTTTATAACCACAAACTGGTTGAATACGAGCCATGAATGTGTGTGTAATTATTTTGTTGTTAAACAAAATCAATTTAAAAATAATGACTATTCTGCAAATGTTGCAATTAATGCAGAAAATAATACTAGTACTTCAGAAAGGACTAATGATATTAAACCATTATCCAACATTGCTGAAGTAACATGCCCTGAGACACTTCTTCAATTGTGTATTCGGATTGCAAACAATGAGATACATAATAAAACGGCTGTTATAGAAACTAGTCAACACATGCAAAATGAACTTCCAGATGGGAAAAACCAACCAGAAACATTATTCCGACTGTGCTTGAGGGTCCTGACTTGTACACACAGTTACATGAGGGAAAGAAGTGCGACACACTTAAAAATCATAAACCCTTGTGCACCATTGTCATCTGTACCATTTCTCAAAACTCTCTGCTACCAAAAAATGGTGGCCCTATTGCATTATTTAGCTAGAAAGGATCCTAAGGAACATAGAAAATGTGAGGAAACAAGGTGCAGTATAGAGGAAACCAGCATCTTAATTCCTACTTCTCTATCAGAACACTTACTCTCGTCAAATAATATAAATAATGAAAAGTTACCTAATTCTCTTGAGCTTCTAAGCCCAGAGACTCTTTTGCGATTGTGTATACGAATTATAAACAATGATAAAAAACCTAAATGTTTACTCATTAAAGAAACTAGTGAACATATTCAAAATACAATTACATATGTGGAAAACCAACCAGAAACATTACTTCGACTGTGCCTGGATGTATTGACGACTTCTATGGATGTTGACATCAAAGAACAATGTACTACACTCTCAAAAATCACTCCGCAACAAATATTTAATGAATCTCAGAAAATTATTAGTGTCTTCAATCCCAAATCTCTAAAATTATTTGCTTTCGAGTATGTTAAACAATTAATTTTTGGAGATAGAAATGTTTGCTCTTTTGAAACTAATCAGTTTCAATTAAACCAACCTGATGATGGAACAATGATTGAAGGTTTAACTATAAATAGTGTGAATACACTATCGGAAGAGGCTTTCCTAAGTCTTGAACAGGCTCAGGCAGATGACATTGCACCGGGATATTTAGAAGAGTTTGATGAAACTCATTATGATGATGATGACAACTACTCGGAAGCTATGCCTGAAGAAAACGAATCTGAACCTAATTGGGTGTCACAAGTGCAGATGCAAGGACTCAGATCTTGTACTGTAAATTGTGATGAAAATCAAGAAGAATTTTCGCCACTTATTGCTCAGATCAAAATTGAACCTTTGGATGAAGATTTGCCTGACAATGTTCACTCCTTAAATCAAGTGAAAATTGAGCCTATTCATGCACCTGATGAAATGACAATGATACCTGAGGTAAAAATAGAACATCTAGATGACTTGTGTCCTGACTCCATACTAAAAGCCAGCACTAAGAGTTATGACGTAGACACATTTGAAAAATTTGTTTCTTCTAACAAAATTATATCTGGATTACATGATGATATTTTCAGTCAAAGTGCTTTAAGAGTACACAGACAACATGAACCTGATTACGAAGAAGATGATATGAGCATGAGTCTACTCGTACCGCAGACATATGAACCATTAACTATAGAAACTGCTAAAGGAAGTTTAATGCAGAGTAGCTCTGAGGAAGATGATTCTAAAAATAAAAAGGTTGCTGGAAAGAAGAAAGCTGATAAAAAACCTAAGAGTAAACCGAAGAAACCTGAACTGAAACCTAACAAAGAAATACCTACAGTTTCAACTAAAGATAAACCAAGTAGTAATGAAGTTGCCAATTTAACCAAAAGACTGAGAGACAAGATAAGGCAAGAAGAGAAAAAGGATGACTCAACAGACTCTGAACCTGAAACTATACCTGTACGGTCAAGAAATAAGAAGGAACAGGAAAAGACCGAACAAGCTCAGGCCAGTAAAGAGGATGAGATACAATGCAACAATGTGGATTCAACTGATCAAGTTGAGGAAACTGCTTCCAGTTTTATTGGTTTTTCAGCGATCGACCAGAACGAGATATCCACATACCACAAATATATGAAATTTGTGTATGACAAAATTTTACCAGGAAAGGAATCTGACAAACCTAAAACAGAAGATAAAACCAATAAGGTGAATGAGAATGACAAGACACCAGTAAACAAAACTGATGACACGCCATTGATTTCTAATGAGCCTATCGAACTTTTGGAGTGTGAGCCGTTGATGCCTGTGTTCGATGAGAGACTAACTAATAGAAAATATTCTAGAAAGACCCAGGAAAAGGTAAATGCAAAAGAACAAACTAAAGTTGAAGTAACATCTAAACAAGAAACTACCGCAAAACAAGTCAAAATTCCTGAATTCATAGATCGTGGTTGGCACTGCTATCCGGTGAATAGGAATGATAAAAAACTATACCAGAGTTCTTTTGTAGCTCTAGAAAAATTGCCAGAGTCATTTGTACGGACATATTTTGAGTATCAAGGCATAGCAAGCAAAAGTACTGAAGATGAGGAAATTAACAGGTTAGATTTTTTTACAAAACTTCTTTTATTTATATTTTTTTTACAAAATATTGATTTATTTTTACATTTTCAGGTTAACCAACCTAAACTCATTGAATAGAAGTGGACAAAGTCAGAACCTTGGTAAAAATAAATTGAAACCGAAGCAAAAGAATGGGAAGACTGAGCATGCATCGGAAGCTGGCAGCGGATCGGAAAGTCCCACATACTCAGACCATAATGAGTTGGAGCCTTCCGATGATGATGGAGCTAACATAGAAGATGAACCTGCTCCACCTGTTGTAAGTTTCACCCATTTTATTTTTTATTTATTTATATACTTTCTTAATACCAGTAACAGAAGTGGGCTGTGAATATGACGTCATAAGTTACATAAAATTAAAAACTTCACAGTTCGTCATGTGATATTTTAGTCCATGGCATTTACCTATAACACCATAACACATATGTCTTTAGTTGAGTAGTAGCATTTATTTAACAGAAACTTAAATAATTTTGTTCTGAATGACTTTAAGATTTTTTAGGTCATTCGGAAGCCTATTATAAATTTTGATAGCCATACAGATGAATTTTGACTGTACAGTGTAGTGCGTTAACTCTGTATAGATAATTTGTTAGGGAATCTACTATTTCTATTAGTTACACTATTTTTCTTAATAAAAATATCAGGGTTTTTGTAGACAAAAATGGACACAGGGTAATGGCTGGATACGATGTTTTTTAAATAAGGTTTTTACTATAAGGATTTTTGGAGAGTAATGTTTTGAGTTCCATGTAATTAATAGAGGGCGAGACCGGATTTAATTTTACGCTCCGTGTTACTGTAGAGATTTTTCATAAAAACAAATAATACGACCCCAGATTCGAGCAGGAGATCTCTTCTTGGCCATCATACTTGCAACCCCTCCGACGAAGCATTCAAATCTTTTCTCTATTACATGCCCCTTTTTTTCTCAGGCTACAAGAAACACAGACAACACTCTAGCAAAGAACCTATTAATGAATGACAATGAAAGTGACTCGGATGACGTCACTAGAAAAGTAAAGCAGGAGCCAGCAGAAGGACGTTATGAAACTAGACATAGAACTAGCAAGAAAAAGATGGAGATCACTGTGGACAAAGAGGATTTAATGCTCACTGCTGATAAGATGATGAATAAAGAACTGACGTTACTACATGCCCCTGTTGTAGTCACTGATGATGTCAATAGTACACCCATTAAAGGCCCTGTCACGAGGAACAAACAGGTACCTAAAGTATCTCATTAATTGTATCTATTGTGTTGCGGATGCGTTTACAACCACATAACCTCATATACACATCCCATTGGACTCTTATCAACAATACAGTATTTTAGTCTAGATGAGAAAAAAATTAAAAGTATTCCAATAATTGTTTAGAGGCAAAACAATCGGGAAATGTTAGTTTCACTTCATAAGGTACTTAAATAATTATTTTATTGCAGTTTAAAGTTTTAATGTTTTTTATCTGTCTTTGAACACTACGTACGCTGCCATGCTAATGACGTCATTACGGTAGTAAACAAAAGTGTCATCTGTCATCTAAATGTGTATACTGTCAGCTGTTTGCTGCTGTTTGCCGCGTTTTCGAGAAATACGCGCGAAATTACAAATTATGATAAAATAATTAATTTATATTCGTACATAATGCGAGAAGAAAAATATTTTAAATTTTTTAGAGGTATATTAGGGCTATAGAATTTATTTTAGATACATTTCAAAAATGCATGTTTGCCTACATGTGGATCACACAAAAAAATGTTGGGTACGGGAATCCGACCCGCGACTCGCTCGTTATGCAGCAGTCACATTGATTCTATTATTTCACGCGTTTTCAGTAGTTTTAATTCTTGACAAGTTCATTTCTATATTTAGGTTCATTTCAAATCCCATGTGTGACTCGCCAACACGTCAAATAAACCAAATCTATTATAAAAATTCTTCATCTAATCAACCTTAATGTTTTTTGCAATAAGGCTGAAATTATCTTAAATATGTTCATTGTGCTTAACAATTATTTATTTGTTTTACTTCAGAAAACCGCTATGAAATCTCAACCCGGTAGCAGCACTAAAACAAACAATGAAGAGGATTCCTCTTCTGAAGAGGAGAAGCAGTGGGTGTCGACGAAAGAGAAACTTCTCAAAAGAATGAGCAAGAAAGACCAAGCAAGGTATTGTAAACAAAACCTGTATTTAGAACCTAATTATATTGAAACACTGTGGTCGTACGACAAGTTGCCATGGCCACGTTAGACACCATGGTGTCTAACAGCCGAAATTATTATTTATAGAAAATAAACGAATAAATCTCAATTTAAAATCTTTGACATTATTTGTATGGAGTTTCTACCAAAAAGATCGCTTTATAAACAAACATTAATTTAACTTGGTCGCCGGCAACTATTTGGTAGCGCAACCATGTTGACACCACGTGACAGGTGGCCTGGTCATATGACTATGGTGTCCTAATGATGTACGGCTCTTATCATTTAATTAGATTATGTAAATTATGAATTTATATAATAATACTATTTAGTATATAGATTAGTTTAAAACATAATGTTAGATTGTCGTAAATGTATCTAAATAAATAAATGTTACTTAAAACCGATGTTTTTTTTTCGTCAATAATTGTTATAAATATATAACCCCTATTAGTTAGTGAAGTATTCGCATAATTTTATTATAGGCTATTATATTAACTGAATATTATATAATATTCAGTTTTGAATATTATATAATATTTATTATATAATATTCAGTTTGGATATATATAAATCTTAGACGCATTTTGTTGTTTTATTATTCTTTCCAATATTAGTACAGAGTTATACGGAATGATAACAAAAACATATTATGAATTTATTAAATTATGTGTATTTTGCGCAATAGTTATATTACAAATATAAAGTAAGTTTATGCTTATAATAAAAACGTCTACTTGTGAATTCTTTCCTTACGAAAACCATTTTTTTTACTTTTTAATGTCAAAAATAATTGGATAGTTTCCAGGTTATCAAAATTAACAATCTAATTAGTCCGTCAGTTAGATAATGAAAATTAGACACGTATTTTTTATTTTCTCGTATTAAATTGCAATACTTAGAAAATGGCACTAAGTTTAGGATTGGAAGGTTGTTACGTCATAACGTGCTATAAAATGTGGCACGCTGTGACGTCACACGATATTTCAAATTAATATATCGTCGAAAGTATTTAATTTTGTGAGAAAAAAAAATACGTATCTAAAGTTTTAAATTAGTGTACCAAACAGACATTAAAACGAAATTTAGGAAACTACTCTATTATACCGATAATATACAAAAAATATTAAAATGTTAAAAATAATTCCTTTAGCCTGGACGATGCTAAGCGAGCGAAGTTGGTGAGCGAATTCATTGAGCGACGCGGCGACCGTCCGGTCACACAATTACGACGGAGCGGTCGACCGCGACGCTCTGCCAAGAAGTTCTTGGAAAGAGAGAAGCAACTCGGGTATGTAACTTTGAACTCTAAATATAGCATGGTATGATTCAACTTACAAGACCCACCGTGGTTTATAAGACCTGCTCTTATGTCAAAGCAATAAAGGCTATTTTTGCGAATCTAACTCAGTGCGGTAGTTTTCTGGATTTTCGTTTATTATACATACATAACATCACGACTTTTATCCTCGAAGGGGTAGGCAGAGGTGCACATTATACCACTGTACAATGTAACACCCACTTTTCACTATTTATGTTGTGAGTCCCATGTAATAGGGGGTGAGCCTATTGCCATATACCGGGCACAGTTCCAGACTCCGTGCTACTACTGAGAATTTTTTTAAAACCCAGTAATACTTTGCCCGACCCGGGAATCGAACCCAAGACCCCTTACCCGGCAGTCGCAATTGCGACTACTCGGCCACTCGTTTATTATATTTATATATTATTATTGATGGGTGTGTTTAGGTCTACTTTCGTTTAGCGGGATTTTAAATAGAAAGACGTGCGTTGTGCCACTGATTTAATTTGCAACTAAAACATTTGATATTACCCTACGTTTTTATAATCACAACATACCGGCCCCCAAAGGACTATTAAGGCCTTTTAAAAATAACAATAAGAGAAAACATTACTTAACAATTTATAAGGGTGGTACAATTTCTACGTCAAGTATAAAGGTAAGTACAACATTATCAATTCATACATATTGCGTTTAATACACAGGACTTATAATCATCAAGCTGATAATTTAATCTATAGGTAAGTTTTGTTTAAGTTTTAATTCAATTTCTTTACAGATACATGTGACACAAATCAATGTAAAGTAAGGTAAGTACATTTCAGGGAAATTAAGAATCATCGTTACAATCTATAGGTAAGTAACATAATTTAGTAATACATCTTTTTACAACACTTTCTCCACTTTTTACACTATAGACTCTAGTCAGCCCGTCAGGTCCCGGGTGTTTTTCAATTATTCTTCCTAATTGCCATTTTCCAGGTGGTAAGTTATCTGTTTTTATGAGTACTATTTGTCCCTTTTCTAATTCAGGTTTTTGTTTCATCCATTTAGGTCTTTGCTGCAGTCGTGTTAAATATTCTATTTGCCATTTCTTCCAGAAATCTCCTAGAAGTTTCTGCATGTGTTGCCAGCGTGAGAGGTAAGTAGTTTTTACATAGTCTAAATTTGGTTGTGGCACAACAATTGGAGATTCCCGTATGAGGAAATGACCGGGAGTTAGCATTTCTATGGCTTCGATATCTGAATCATCTGCAGGGGTGAGAGGGCGGGAATTTAAACAGGCTTCAATCTGACACAGTAACGTTGTCAGTTCTTCAAATGTTAAGTTTGTTGTGAGAACTCTTTTTAAGTGGTATTTTATAGATTTCACGCCTGCCTCCCAGAGTCCGCCGAAGTTTGGGCTATACGCGGGTATGAAATGCCATTGAGTTCCGTCCTTTGCTAGTGTGTCAGCTATATCTCTTGGAAGTTCACATTGCGCGACTTGTAATGCAGCCGCGAGTTCCTTACTACTGCCGACAAAATTCCTGCCTTGATCGCTCCATAAGTGAGCGCATTTACCTCGTCTAGATGTAAATCTTCTAAATGCACTAATGAATGCTTCTGTCGTTAAATCGCCGACCAATTCAAGGTGTACTGCTTTGACTGCCATACAGATAAAAATAGCTATGTATGCTTTATTGGTTTTAGCGCCTCTTCCTTTTGATACCAGTACTTGAAATGGTCCAGCAAAATCAACTCCACTGTGAAGGAATGGTCTGGCGGGTGTAACGCGTACTTTTGGTAAATCACCCATTTGCTGTGTTTTTGCTATAGCACTATGTTTAGCGCACACCAGACATTTCCTGATACATGCCTTAACTACATCTTTGACTCGTAGTATCCAGTATCTGGATCTGATATAGGCTAACATCAACTGCACTCCTCCATGAAGTGTTTCAGTGTGGGCATTCTTCACAATCAATAGAGTCAGTTCATTTTTGTTGCCTAGTATGATTGGGTGTTTACTGTCGAAAGCAATTTCTGCATTTCTAAGCCGTCCTCCTACTCTTACAACTCCTTTGTCATCTATATAGGGGTTTAAAGATTCTAGAGGGCTTCTTTTCTTTACTTTATTTTCATTTGTGAGTGTTTTAATTTCTTCTTCAAAATCGCTTTCTTGAGCCATCTTTATACATCTATGTAGTGACTCTTCAAGTTCTGTTGTCGTGATATGTTTCTCAGTTTCAGGAATAACTATATTGCATTTGTAATGTAGGAATCTGCGACAGTAACAGATTGCTGTAAGCAATTGCTTTAAATTACTAAATTCTTTAAACTTATCTATCATTTTCATGTCTTCGTCTTTAGCTTCATTTATCTTCAAGTTTGTTTGTACTTCTTTAATTGTTTTCCTTTCTTCATTAGTTTGTGTATCACTCAGCTGACTGAATTTGATTTCTTTTGAGCTCAGCCAATTTGGCCCCTTCCACCACAAGTCACATTTTTTTAACTCGGTCAATAACATTCCTGGAGGCCAAGTCTGCAGGATTATCACTTGACTTTACATGATACCAGTGTTTGTTACTGACGTTTTCTACAATTTCTACAACACGGTTTGCAACAAACGTTTTCCATCGGTTGGGATCACCACATAACCATGCTATAACTATAGATGAATCCGTCCATGCATACATGTTCGATGTTGGAATTTTCATTGCTAATCCAATTTGTTTCATAAGCTTAGAGAGAAGTAAAGCGCCACACAATTTAATCGTGGTAATGATATAGATTTAAGTGGTGCAACTCTGGTTTTTGCAGCAACGAGTTTTACTAGAATCGTGTTATTCATTTCAGATCTTATGTATACTGCGGCGGCGTAAGCCTTTATCGAAGCGTCACTAAATCCATGAATCTGCACACTTGTTTTATTTATTTCAGTTGTACCAAACCATCTGTTTACTTGTATATCATTTACAGCAAGAAAATCTGTTCTTATCTTATTCCATTCTTCACGTAATGTTTTACTAACATTCTGATCCCAATTGAGCTTTTCTAGCCACAGTTTCTGTAACAGTATTTTTGCCATTACTGTACTCGGTGCAATCCAACCAAGTGGATCAAAAAGTCTTTGTATGTCTGATAATATTGCTCGCTTTGTTACATTATAATTTTCAGCTTCTGGTAAAGTTAGATTGTATTGAAATGTGTCTGTTTTTAGATTCCAGACAATACCTAATGCCTTAATTGTTCCATCAAGATTCATGTCTATATGTGCGTTATTTGATCTGTTTGCTTTATCTATAGATTCTAGGAATTTAATATCATTTGACGACCATTTGGTAAGTTGGAAACCACCTCTTTGTAGTATGCTTGTGACAGTTTTAGCCATATCAATAGCAGTTTGTGTATCATCAGCTCCATCAAGCCAGTCATCCATGTAAAAGTTCTCTTTGATGGATTGTACAGCAAGTGGTTGATCTCTTCCTTCATCATCAGCTGTTTGGTGAAGAGTTCTGACGGCTAAATACGGTGCCGATGCTGTACCGAATGTGACTCTTAGCAAACGGTATTCACTTAACTCATCATCTTCATTAGGTCTCCAAATAACTCGCTGGAAGTCTGCGTCCTCATGACTCACAAGTATTTGGCGATACATTTGTTTGATATCGGCCATGAAGCCGACACGCTTCATCCTCCATTTAATGAGCAGGCTTCGCAAATCGTCTTGCAGCTGCGGGCCAATCAACAATTCTTCATTCAGTGAAACATTGTTTGCACCCTTACAGGAGGCATCGAAAACAACGCGAGTTCGAGAAGTCTCCTTGTCAGTACGGACTATAGCGTGGTGAGGTAAGTAGACTGATTTTACTTCCGTTTCTTTTTCAGGTATCTTCTCCATGTGACCTTGTTCTATGTAATCATTTATAACCTTGGTGTATTCTCTTTTCAGATCTGATGACTTTTTAAACTTCCGTTCAAGCTGCAAAAATCTTTGTTTTGCTATTTCCCTTGTGTTCCCTTCAGGTGTTCGTAATTTTGTAGTAGTGATCATTTCATTTAGTTGTGGACTGTATATTTTGAAAGGTAATTTAACTATGTACCTTCCTTCCTCATTTCTAGTTGTTGTTTTCTCGTAAATATATTCACACATCTTTTCTTCTTTTGTTAAGTGTCTATCTTTGACAATATCTATTTCCCACATGGATTTCAAAATTTCGTCGACATCAATTTGGTGATGCATTACAAGGTAGGTATCGTTTTGTGGTTTTTCATAAACATCCCCGAAGATAATCCAACCCAGGTTTGTTTTTTGTGCAATTGGTGTGCCTGGGGGACCCTTTATTAAGTCTGGCTGTATAATCTGTGCATATTCCTTAACTCCTATTAGCAGATCTACGGACCCAGGTGTTAAATAACTGGGATCAGCCAAGTTAAGCCCTTCAATGTGAGGCCATGGTTGTTTGGTAATTGTTTTAGTGGGTATCTTAGTGGTCAGTTGTTTCGACATCACGTAGGCTTGGATTGGTAAACTATAGTTGTGCTTCCACTGTGATCTTATATTAAGCTGTACCACGTGTTTGATCTCTGTTCTCGTAGATCCCACTCCTACGACACTTCCTTTGAATGGTTGTCGCTTTAGCTTCAATAGTTGAGTCGCCTTTTCGCTTATGAATGTCGCTTGAGAGCCCTGGTCTATCAATGCGCGTAGTGAAACGACATGGCCTTCTCCATTGGTTGCGTTCACTATCGCAGTTGCTAGTAGCGCCGTTCCCCGTCTAGTTGTATGATGCGACGCGATCACTGTGTTCACTTGAACTGTTTCTCTATTTTCTACTACATGCTGTGAAGCCAACGGTTGTGAAGTGCTCGGTATAACTGTTGGTTCTGTGTTCTTAGACTCATGTAATAGAGAGTGATGACGTCGATGACATTTCTGACAAGATATCGGTAGTCTACATTTCTTCACCGAGTGTCCAATTCCTAGACAGTTAAAACATAGATGTTTGTTCTTTACGTATTCAGTTCTCTCACTTATTTTCATATCAATAAATTTCTTGCAATGACACAACGTGTGGTTTTCTTTACACAACATACATGATTTCTCTGTAGTTGGTGAGGCAGCATGGTGACAACGTTCTTTCACTTGTTTTTCTTTTAAATGATTGCTAGCAGAAATGCCGATTACTAATTCCAGGGTGCGGAACTTAGACTCCATGAAGTTTTTTATATCATTCCAGGTAGGTAATACTTCACTGTCTTCCTTGTAGGCATATTCTTCCCAGTCTTTGTGTGTCTCTGGGTCAAACTTCTGAACGAGTAGAAATATAATTACATGATCCCAAGAGTCGGTGTTTACTTTTAAATTGTTTAAGTTATTAAGACATTCTGTAGTAGTGTCTAATAAGCCTTTTAACTGGGTTGCTGACTGCAAAGCCATTTTACGTTGGTTGAATAACCGTTTCATAATACAATTCAATATAATGCGTCTGTTACCATACCTCTTATTCAAAATATTCCATGCAGTCGCGTAATTACTGGATGTCACTTGTATATGTGTCAACAACACCTCTGCTTCTCCACTCAAACTGGTTTTTAAATAATGCAATCTCTGTACATCACTGAGGTTATTATTTTCGTGCACCAAAGAAAGAAATAAATCCTTAAAAGTTGGCCATCCTTCGTAATTTCCATTAAATTTAGGTAATTGAATTTTTGGTAAATGCACTATATTTTGCGGTGTACTCATGTTGACACTTGAATTCCTCGAATCCATCGCGGTCGCTTCCGACAACGATATAAGCATATCCTTCAAATCACCTTGTAATGAGCTATATAATTCTTCGTATATAAAGAATTCTTCATTGAGAAAGTATGGCAAAATTCCTTTTTGTTCTTTAGGTGTCACTTTAATTAATCCATCATGAGCGTTCTTGAATGACGTCCAATACTCGTCAATAATTTTCACACGTGCTTCTATGTAACCTTTCGTCAATCTCCCTTTTGGACACTTTTTCAAGTTTGCTTGAGTTTTTCTAAATAAATTAGCACCATCCTCCAGTATAGATAGATATTGTTGTTGTTCTTTAGTAGTATTCATGGTTTCTTGACTAAATTTCACTTTTAACTAGGCTTCAACAAACTGTTCGTATGACTTGATGTTATTTCGTAATGACGCTAATTACTTTGTTGCATTGAAAAACATAATCCATATAAAAACGAAGTAGTTTTTATAAAAACTCCTTATCGCTGGAATGTAGTTCTTTTGTTCGACGGCACCGGTGATATGTTTACTGCTCCGTAGTTATGGCGTTCGGCTCGAATGCGACCATATGATGGGTGTGTTTAGGTCTACTTTCGTTTAGCGGGATTTTAAATAGAAAGACGTGCGTTGTGCCACTGATTTAATTTGCAACTAAAACATTTGATATTACCCTACGTTTTTATAATCACAACAATTATTATTATATTGTGATCCTAATCATTTATTTTGTAGAATACTATCGAGGGAGTTATTTGGAGAATCAGCAGATGCGACTATGTCCAAACGATCTCAAGCAAGTGTATTCAAGGGACGTCGCAATATTAGAAAGGTATGATACTATTTTGTTTAATTAACTAGCTACTTCCGCGCGGTTTCACACGCTCTGCTCAGCTCATATTGGTCGTAGCGTGATGTTTTATAGCCTATAACCATCCTCGATAAATGCACTATCCAACACAAAAAGAATTATTTAAATCAGACTTGCAATATTGCAAAAAAGCAATAATTGGTTATTTGATTTGTTTTTCCAGGTGATTGACAAGAAATCGTTAGCTCGTAGTACTGTGGTAGCTAACATGGAGGAATTCGAGAGAAAAAGAAGACTGAATGCTAAACAAACCAAATTGGTGAGCGTTTATGAATATTCCTATATTATCTGTATTATTATTACTATGTATTACTTATAATTTTTTATTTCGCAGAAATTGATGTTCTGGGTAGGTATACTTTTTCCTACCGTATCTTGTCTTTATGCGATCTTTAAAAATATTTTTTTTATTTTGTTTTTTTTTTCTCAATATAAGATGAATAATCTTTACTGCAAATCCTCTGCGGCGTTTATTGCTTATTATCAAGCGATCCGTCTACTCGTGTGTGGCCCTAACCTTATAAAAATAACGTTAAATCTGCTATTATTGCTTCGTGTGTGTAAATGGTATATTATTTATAAGGCTTCTGCCGGCCGGCGGCTTCGCCACTATAAAAAGCAAACAAAAGATAAAAAGTAGCCCATGTTTTATTCTACACCATAATCTACCCTTGTTCTAAATGTCATCTCGATCCCTTCAGCCACACACACACACACACACACACACACACATACATCCTCACAAACTTTCGCATTTATAATATTATATAGAATAGAATAGTAGGACTAGTTGGTTCATTTTTTAATATTAATTTCCTATTGTCTTACAACAGAGGGAGCTGCTAGGCTGTGAGGAGGGTGTGAACGTGCTAGTCATTAACGACGAGGTGTGTCTGGAGTACGACTTCGAGGAGAACAGGCCCGTCGTCACCATTCACCCGTTCTTCACTAAAGTTATGAAGGCGCATCAGGTACGACATTTTTTAAATATATCCTTAAAAATCTGACAAAATTGTTTTATAAAAAAAAACTGTGCCCCACAGTTTTAAGGGTGGGAGAGCCATGCTTGGGTATGAAAGGGCCGGCTCGACCGGAGTGATACCACGGCCTCACAAAAGACCGACGTGAAACGTTGTGTTGTGTTTAACAATCCTCAAATTCCTAATCCCAAAATGCCGGTAACGCACTTGTAACGCCTCTGGTGTTCCAGGTGTCCATGGGCGACCTCGATTGCTTACCATCAGGTGATCCGTCTGCTCGTTTTTTACCGGCTTAACCCATAAAAAAACACTGTGTCGTGGGTGCGTTTACAAACATACAAGTTCACTTACACATGACACATAGACCAGAAACAACAATTTGTGGATCACACAAAGAGTTGCTCCGTGCGGGAATGCAACCCGCTACAAGTTGCGCGGCAGCTGGCCTTCGCGCTAACCGTGCAGTCATATCAACCTTGTGTTTGACTAATAAAGTTGAAAATCGATTGGTATTTCCGATTTAGCAACGAAGAGATTTCTGTCGTTATCATTGGCAAAAAGAACCCCAGAAGTTTATTGAATCTCGTCGATATGTTGTAAAACCCATAAACGAGGCAATTATCGTTGCAATACACATAATGTCGCTACCCTTTTTATCAAGTAATTTAATGAATATCCATTTTATTTAGTAATCTTACGATAGTAGTAGTACAATAGAGGCTAACTAAAAATCGCGGTTTACTCACGTAAACATACTGAGAAAAGCTCTACTAGTTTCGAACCACAGAGGGGTTCTTCCTCATGAGCACCGTGCGCGGTCGCGGGGATGACAATAAACTGCGCAACATCGCTGTTATTAAGTATGTCTCACGATCACGATATAGTTATTATAAATACACAATAGAGGTTATTAATTTATATTAATTACACAATTTGTTTTACAGTACGAGGGAGTCAAGTTCATGTGGGACGCTTGCTTCGAGAGTTTGTCGGAGATAGAGGCGGGCAGGCCGGGCGGGGGGTGCATACTCGCTCACTGTATGGGGCTCGGGAAGACATTGCAAGTCTTGGCACTATTACATACGGTAAGTAAGCTGCTACTTTTATTTTAACTGACGTAATTTTGTTAATTTATAGTTTGTATAAATTACTAAATGGGCGGTTCATTGTGCTAGTGTATATACATTTGAATTTAAATAGTTTTGGAGAAGGCATAGACATAAAGTGTAAGGTTTTACAAATAGAATAAGTGTTTTAAATACGAAATGAGATTATTGTGATGTATATTGCCTTCAACAAGACTTTTAAAAATTTTGCAAATTACATTGCGCTAACTTTGCGCAAAGTAATATAGGTTTGCGCAACTTTGTAATATATTTATTTTATACTTTTTCAGGTATTAACTCACCCTGGAGTGAAAATGCAACGTGTTCTCGTGTGCTGCCCTCTATCGACTGTTCTCAACTGGGTCGACGAGATACACAAATGGATTGGGCCTGTTACTAATCAGATAAAAGTAAGTACTACAATTTGTAATAGTTTTAAGTCCAAGATTATAAAACTTTGTTTTGTATAATGAAATGTAAACAGATTTCTCTTGTTTCAAGCAACGTAAAATAAAAAGGAAACTGCAGGTATTACATTCATAATTTTTAACTTAAATAAATGCATAAGTGAGTCGATCCTATGAGTGTTTGAAACCACTGTTTATTAGATATTTAGTATCAAAAATAATTCTATATTATTAGTTTTATATAAGAGACATATATAAGTAAAATAAAACCATTGTCACAGGTATTTGAACTCTCAAAGCTAAAGAAAACATACGAACGAGCGTACCAACTGGAAGACTGGTACAATGGTGGCGGAATATTCATCATAGGGTATGAACTCTTCAGGAGTTTGACAACCCTGGACCCGTTCCTTGATGACGTACGACCGACTATTATAAACAAAATACGCACAGCCCTACTGGACCCAGGTCCGGATATTATTGTCTGTGACGAAGGACATCTCCTAAAGAACGATTGCTCAGTTCTTGCCGTCGCCATGAGCAGAGTAGCCACAAAAAGAAGAATTATCCTGACTGGAACACCAATGCAGAATAATCTTAGAGAGTATTACTGCATGGTCAACTTCGTTAAGCCTAATTTACTTGGTACTTATGCTGAGTATTCTAATCGGTGAGTACCTTATTTCTGTAATGAATATAAACTTAATATTAACAGCTATAAGTCTTAAAATGGCCTGTGCATTAAAAACGTCTCATCTTTTAATAATAATTGAAAATCAATTCTATTCCTTCTGCACAGGTTCGAAAATCCAATAATGAACGGCCAGCACCGAGATTCAAGTGATGAAGACATCAAGTTGATGAAGGCTCGCACTCATATTTTACACAAAGTATTAGAAGGGTGTCTGCAAAGGCAGGAGGCTTCAGTACTCTACCCGTACTTGCCAAAGAAACATGAGTACACAGTATTTATAACTCTAACACAATGCCAATGGGACTTGTACAAGCACTACTTGGATAGTTACGCGAAACAGTCTAAACAGAGCATATTGAAAGACTTCCATATACTACAGAAAATATGGTCGCATCCACAAGTGCTTCATAACTTCCAGACTAAAGCCCGCGATCGGGCGGAGGCTAATAAGTTGTTAAAAGGTAATTGAATATTATGAACATCGGTTTTATTTGTGATACTACCAATTTGTCATTCTAAATAGTCTATTCTTTAATGAAATTATAGTTGTATATAACATAACATCACGCCTCTTTATCCTCGAAAGGGTAGGCAGAAATACACATTATACGGCCTTTCAATATTTATGTTATGAGTCCCATGTAATAGGGGGTGAGCCTATTGCCATATACCAGGCACAATTCCAGACTCCGTGCTACCAATGAATTTAATTTTTAGAAAACCTAAAAATGATTAATACTTTGCCCAACCCGGGAATCGAACCCGAGACCTCTTGCCCGACCAGTCGCATTTGCGACCACTCTGCGAACGATGCAGTCATTAGTTGTATATAATCATAGGGAAATGTCGTTGTTCTTAAATATTATAGAGTTGTTGTTATAAATATGTCTCTATGACGTGATCTAAGGTTCGGCTCATGGGTTTGCCAATAATTTCGATGCTTTGAATAACTTATCTACAGATTGTTTTTGGCAAACGGAATTTAACTAAAACTATTAACATGAAACTTCTTTTACAGTTGAAAAGTTAGAAGATGACCTAGCAACGGAGGACGTGGAGGATATAAAGCCGAATGTATCAGACGACCTGTGGTGGCTGGACTACCTGGACGGTGGCAACATGCTGGAGACGCTCGACAGCTCCAACAAGTTCGTCGTCGTCTTCAGACTGCTCGACGAGTGTATTGCACTTGGTGATAAAGTGTGAGTCTCAATTATGTACACATAGTCTCAGTATGATTTACCTACTATCTTTTTTGTTCTTCATATGTCTGTTTTTAAACTGTCAAACACCGCGAGGACGTGACCGCAACCTATTGTTCTTTAATTGTGTCTATAATGACGGTACTCAAAGGGTTAAACCTTTTTATTGTTATATGTCATAATGTATTTTTTTTCTGGCCTGCATGTCTTATGCCGAATAAACGTATTTCATTCATTCATTCATTCATTCAACTCAGTCTTTCTCATAAACACTGTCATCAAAACAAGATGTCTTCCTCAAACACGGTTCTTTTTTTATACTCTTCACACGTCTTTCATTGTCTCACAATCGCTCACTAGCACAAGTCTTGCATTCAGACTTAGTCTGTCGCTAACAATAACTATATTGTTTATTTGTGTTGTCAAGAGACTACTCTTGACTACACAAATACTGTATAGTATCCCGTTGGGGGTACGGTCTTTACATAAGGTCCTTCTTTAGCTTTAATCACATTCATGGACCTCATCATAATTATGTATAAAGATTCTTAATTAATTCTGTATTTTCTAGGCTAATATTCTCCACGTCGCTCTTCTGTCTGGACGCGCTCGAGTATTTCCTAAAAAAGATGAAGGACTGGTCGCTTGGCAACGAGTACTTCAGGTTGGATGGTTCAGTGCCGCCTGAAGTACGACAGAAGTGGTGCCGGGAGTTCAACGCCGATAGTAATACTAAGACTAAGTGAGTTTGTATCCAATTCTTATGTTATTAGACACAGGGCTTTCAGTCCGCCTTATGTACCTTATTCTTATGTGCATTAAGGAGTAAATAAAAAACATACTGGCGGAATTGAGATCCTTCTCCTTCTTAGGAAGTCGGTTAATAAATTAGAGTCGTATTTCGCTATGATGTAACGTCGTTTTAGTATTTACTACGAACTTTTTTAGCTATTCCATTGAAATACCATCACTCCTTGAACTTTAAATTATATAACTATCTATCAGTATTTCTTAAGTTTTTATAGTTCTAAAACAATTTTAAAATATACTGTATTTTGGTAAAATCTATAAAAAGTGTCTATGCCATTAACTAATTTCTCTAAAATGTCTCTTATTTGTATAATTTTCCAATCTAGATTATTCCTGGTATCAACCCGAGCGGGTTGCCTGGGCTTGAACATGACGGCCGCCAACCGCGTGATCATCATGGACACTTCATGGAACCCTGCGCATGATATACAGAGTATCTTCAGAGTATACCGGTTTGGACAAAAGAAGGATTGCTACATATATCGGCTGGTCGCAATGGTAAGGCAAAGTTCATTTAAAAATCTGAACGTATGAATAAGACAGTATTTTTGCTTGCGATTACTCAAATTAAACTGTAAACACACAACAGTTTCATAGAACTTCTTAGAATCTCTTTAGATAAGAACTGGCTGGACACAAACTCGCATTTGTGCAAATTACCAATGTATGGAGCGTGGCGCCTTTTCATTTTTTTGTGACAGTTGATCAGATGTGGCCACGGAATAAGAACAGAGTTTCAGACAGAACCGATTTCGCTTGATTGGCTATCGTCTTTATTTTATATGTATACGGTTTATGGCCTATGATAGATTATCATGACCAATTTCCTCTCAGTCGAAAACCTGCAAGATACTTCACTGAGGCCTATCACGAAATACTATGTTTGTCAACTGCGGCATCGGTAGGGGATTGAGTAGCGGCAGTCGTTAGAACAACATTTTTCTGTCGATTTCTCCCGACTCATTTATTTCGACTGATCACACAAAAATGAAAAAAAATTGCGCTCATCTGACGTTATAGTCCATCACTTTACAAAGTCGACAGTTTCCTTTCTTCAAAAGATAACTATAAAGTATATTAGTTTCTGATAAGGAAAAAAATTTTAGAAAAATAGTACCAACTTTGTTACGTGTTTACGTGGCTGCCACTACTCAACCCACCACTGGTACCGCAGCTGACGCCCACGAAGCTTCATGACACAACTCCTTGACGCATCTCACTAGTTATCGACTGAGAGAAAATAGCTCATAAAAATTAGTGCCTGGCATACCATCCATATGGTAGTATGTTATGGTATACTTGTACCCAGCGTACAGTGGCGCGCAATTTGAAGTCAGGAATTGTGAGAAAAGTATTAATATTTTTTTTAAACGCTTATAACTCAGTCCGGGCTGAGATTTCCACATATGAGTCGATAGACAAAAAAGAAAGGCACGAAATTTAGGCAATGCCATTCGGTCATTATATGAAAAGCTATTTGACTCCTTTATGATAACTATAGAAAAACCAACATCAACTCGATTTCGTCCACTATTTATGTGATAAAAGATAAAATAATTGAATAATTTATAATTTTGTCCCAGGGTACAATGGAGCAGAAGATATACGAGCGCTCTGTAACAAAGCAGGCCGTCGCCTGCCGCGTCGTCGACGAACAACAGATTGACAGACACTATAACAGTACGGAACTCACTGAGTTATACATGTAAGTAGCGACCTTATGACTTATACAATAAGAGTTAATATATGCATGAAATGTATTTGATTGATGAATAATAAAGTTTTGCATGTGAAATAGTGGGTTGTGTAATGTATTTGTGACTACCTCTACATCAGCAGATGTGATAACAGCTGATTGCATGTTTGACGACACTACCTAACTACTAACCTCAACCTTTTTAATTGCGATAATAATATATGCCATAAAACGAAGACTATGGGAAACTTCTCATGGTCCATATGGTTAAATATTTAAACACCACTCAAGTTTAAGACACTCTCAAGAATAGTTCTGTCACTATAAATGCTTTGTAAAATTAAAGAGATAGCACGATATTTAAGTACAAATTAACATCGCAACACCATTTCAGTATGTGATGTATACGTGTGGCAGGTACGACGAGGCGGGCGCGTGCGTGGCGGGCGGCGTGGCGGCCGGCGTGCGCGACGTGGCGCTGCTGCGCGTGGCGCGCGACGCTGTGTGCGCCGCGCCCTCGCTGCACGCGCCGCGCTCGCTGCACGCGCCGGGCACGCTGCACGCGGTGCACGCCGTGCAGGAGCACGACTCGCTGCTGCGCGGCGAGCACGAGCAGGCGCTGCCCGAGCACGAGCGGAACGCTGTCTGGATGCAGTTCCAGCAGGAACAACACCACAAACGTACGTCAACTCTCATACTCAATTAACACTTGATGTTGGCAAATTGTGTAATTTTCACATCTTTATTGAAACACCGTAATAAAGGTATTTACAAAAATTCATCTCAAGGTCTTTTTCGCAGCATAGACATTGGACATTAAACTGTTCAAAATGAGTGAACTAATACGTTAATATTCAATAAACCAAACTATTATAACACTATTAATCAAACTTTCACAGATTTGGAAGGCGAAGTAGATAGCAAGCAATCAAAGATATCGTTAAAACGTATTACAAACGCAGAGACACAGAAACAGACGACTGAAGTTAAAACTGAACCAAAACAGGAAGACCTCGTCCCCGATGAACCTAAAACTAAGAAAGGAAAAAAGCCGATCGCCGCAAACATAAAGAACAATAGTAAGAAAAATTCTCCTAAACCAAGCACCAGCAAACAACCCGAGGAACCACCACCACCACCACCCTCCCAACCCTCCCAACCCTCCACCTCCTCTACCGCAGCAACCCCAGAGGACATCGCCGAAGAAATCCTCGTGGACCAGATCACGGACATACTCCTCAAATATAATTTCCAAAACCGAAAACGGAAACATGTCGATATTGTACACGTAGTTATGAAAGTTAGGAAGATTGTACAGAAAGGTTATTTAGAGAAGAAAGACTGGGAGGATGATATGACGGCTAATATAGCGCAGGTGTTGCTGGGGCAAGATACGTCACTGCCCCAAGTGAGCGATATTGTTTGCGAGTCCATCAACAACTCCCTAGCGCCCAACGCCGTGCTCGAAAACAATGAAGAAAAGAAAGAGGCAATACATAAAACAACAAATCCAAATGAACGAATAAAAAGAAGAGCAGCCATTGCAGCCGAAAAAAGTATCGATTCACTATCAGAAGACGTCATAAGCTTAGACGATGATGAATGGACCGCTGATACAGACTTTATTCCAGATTATCTGGATAAACCACCAAGTTCCAGTAAAGGCAAGAAGAAGGTTAGAAATTCCACAAAAGTTGTAGACATGGATGAAGATACTATGAGTGCTGATGAACAACCAGAAACACACACAGATACTATGGAATCTGCCATTAATTTATTCAAGACAAATGATAAACCTAAATCACCAGAACCAGAGCCAAAAGTGGTTCCAAAAAAACCCGTTAGCGTTACGAAGCCAAGGTCAGCGAAAACTAAACCGCAGCCGGCAGAAATCGAACGGTGTCAGGCAGAAACTCAACCGTGTGCGGTAGAAACCCAACCGCAACCAGCAGAAACGCAACCGTGGTCCACAGACACCCAATCGCACCTAGTAGAAATTAGATCGCGGCCGGTTAAAATTGCACCGCGGTCGGTAGAAACTAAACCACTGTCGACAGAAACCAAACCGCGGTCGACAGAAACCAAACCGCGGTCGACAGAAACCAAACCGCGGCCGACACAAACCAAAGCGCGGCCGGTAGAAACTAAAGCGCGGCCGGTAGAAACCAAAGCGCGGCCGGTAGAAACCAAAGCGCGGCCGGCCAAGCCACCTAGGCAGCCTGAGAACCACGTAACAGTTACGGAACCAATGGAGAGCAGTATTACATTGAGTGACGACGACGACATCCTGGTGAACACTTCACCTGCTTCTTATAATACAAAAGACAAAACACCTACTCCTGCAAATCCAGATAAAGATAAAAAAGTCCTCGATAACGATGATGAGATAGTGCCTTTACCGATGTCGTTGTTGAAGAATCAGAATTTCATAAACATCGTTGCCCACACGTATTTAGTGGGCAACCCTATGTTAGATGAAGACGCGGCTACCCTGGCTGCCCAGTACAGCACGCTGAAAGCTTTCAATGAGGCCGAGCAGACCGGGAAACTCGTGTGCAGTGGACCTATTTACGATATAGCTGTGAAGGTAATATTTTATTGTTAATGTTTAAAATGCTCTACTCCAACCGTTTAATACATTATAAGTAGCATTTAATCCTCTTTTTGTACTAATAGACACTGCCCCCATTTGTAGCACTTTTTACGTTGTAACGAAACTTTATATTTTAAACAGGTCATAGGCAAAGACGTAATGAAGAAGATGAATAGCGTTAACCCCACAGCTGCGTCTGCTTCCGCTGACGATGCGGCCACCAGTTTACAAATGAAGGACCAGATGATAACTACACAGAAGACATTTGAAGAAACTGCAAAAAAATCAAAAGCTAAGGGCACAATCCTCAGAGAGCAATTGATTAAAGACAAGTTAAGTGAGCACATACACGGCGCGAAACAGAGAGTCGACACACCTCCGCCTAGTGCCACTACCTCCTCCATTGTCCCTGTAGGACTGTAAGTACTCCTTGCCACTAAATTTTTGTAATATACTAAATTTAATGACTAATTTCGCATACATTTTATGTTTAGTATCAGAACAACGGACCGGTTGCCTCGTGTAGAGTGTATCCTGCCCGACAATGACGACATCATCATCAGCGACGTGCACTCCGCCGCCCCCGCCCCGCCGACACCCACTCTACCAGAGTCCAACGAGACCAATCACAACAGGCCCATTATCATAAACACTTTATTAAGCAGACAGGAAACGACTCCAACCAATGTATATGTCAGAGCAATGCCAACACAAAAAGGGATCCCAACTAATATAATTTTCAAACCTTTCCGCAATTATACACCAACGAACAAACCGATTGTCACTGACAGTAGTAACTTGACTCCAGTGAAGCCTCCGCCTCTGGCCAGTGTCCCGGCCCCCGCCCCCGCCAGCACCATCTGCCTGGACAGTGACGAGGAGGACGGGCCGGCGCCGGTGCCGGTGTCGCTCACTAGTGCCCTCGCTCCGGGCCTCCAGCTCCCGTTACCAAATTTGACAAACCAAGTACTAGAAAACTGTACTGCCACAGCTACACAGAAGCTAGTGTTACGGCAATTTGCCTCCGGGGGCGGTACTCAATCTAAATATGTCCTGATACCCAGCGATAAACTTCCTTTGCTAAAACTACCTCCGACGCAGACGCCGGTCCCGACCGCACCCAAGCCTCCGCCGCTACATCCGTTTACGACACCGAATATTTTAAAAAATACGATAGTTGAATCCATCAATCAAACTAATAAAACTTTTAAAGCGGGTGATGTACTCAGACTAACGAAAGATGGAAAAATTGAACTGATAAACAATAAAAAAACGGTGGACTCGGCTCCTTCCAGCAAACCGCAAGCTGCAGTTTCGACAAATAGTAATTCTGGGATTGTAGACTTAACTGAACTAGCGATCGCTAATGGCGAAGTACTGAAAAAGCAACAATCGTCCAAAATTGAAAAAAATACAAGTGCGAATAAAGTGGAGGTGCGGAGAGCGCGGCAGATAAGTGTAGCCAGCAGTAGTAGCAGTACGAGTAGTTCTGGCCGGGCCTCTAGTCCTGACAACCCGCTGTCCATACTGAAGGATGTAGTACAAATTAAAGCGGCAGACTATAAGAAAACTGGCTCTGACAAAGGTAATCAGCGCATCGTTAACACCAGTCAAGCCGCCGCCAGCACCTCCAAAGGTCTTCTCAAGCTAACCAAAGTACCGAAAGACCAAGTACCTAAATACATAGGCGACGCTGTGGCGAAAGAGATAAGGAAAAATGCTTTGATTAACAAATTGAGTTCTACAAATCAGCCGAAAACTAAGGAACAACAGAATCCAATTAGTTCAACAATAACGAATAGTTCTAGCAAAGTAACGAGGGGCTCAGTTAGTAAAAAAGTTACTTCTAAACTACTGAACGATAGCAAATCCAGTAGCATAGCTGAAACTGTAGATTTAACGTAAGTATATAAATATTTAATGTATAGTTATAATATTTAATACGTGACGCCATTTTAAATAAGCATTTAATTACAGTAACTTGCCACGGCTTGGAACTGCCGTGAAATCGAAGAACGATAGTATAAAGAGACAGTCTACCACAGATACTACATCTGCTAAAAAGAAAAAATCTGAACGTAAGTATTCATTTTTTGTAAGAGTAACAGTCTAACACTCCCTCTTGCTTCCTCCAGGTTTGCACCACAAGTTCAGTAATGCCTTCTATTTTATCAAACATTGAGGCAAAAAATTTACTACACCGATTAAAAAACAATGATGTTTAATAATTGTTTGACATTTTTTTCTCTATTCGATCACATTATTATATTTACAACAGCGACCCAATGACTTCCACTATAAATATGTTACTACCAACACCAACAAAACAAATAAAAAATGTTACTTTTTTACAGCAATGACGCTAAAGGACTTCGATTTGGACGACATAGACGACATTATTGAATTGGATTAGCATTTACTTATTATAGTTTCGGAATGATTTGGGTTCTAATTAGTAGCCCTCTGTTCATTTCGACACAAAGTGAATATTTCTAAGATATAATTATAAATTTATACAAACTGTTTGACACAGAGCATCATATCATTTACATCATTTTTATTATTTGTTTAAACTTCTTAAATGACGGTTTTGATTACCCTGGATACATAAAATGTATGCCATGACATAAAAATATACACAGCTTTAAGAACCTCTTCGTGATTGGATTTTGTAACTGTAAAATGGAAAACAATTTTGAAAATAGTCTTTATGGCAACTTGACATAATAATTTGATTATGTCGGTCTTATATTGAAATGTAATAGCGACATAACAAATTCATTTTATAATTCAATAACATCATCTTGTTATTGATTACAAACGGACAAGAATATAGGAATAAAAGCAGTGAGTTTTTTTTAATTAACTATGACCAAGTTAATAGTTATTTTAAACACTGGAGTAAAAACGTAATTTCTGGGTCTATCTTCTATTTTTTCTTTTCTTGCTAAATTAGTATTCTTCGGTCTTCTTGTAGTCTTTTGCTAACGTGGTTTATTGTGTCTTAAAATATATCTCTAATGTACTGTGATTACAATTTAATTGACCAGGTTATCCTTTGCCTTCCGCCAAAAAAATTGTTATTGATATTCAAAAATGATTCAAATTCAGTAGTATAATCACTTAATCAGTGATGCTCAACTTTGGCAAAATGTTGCAAATGTCTTTAGAAATAAATCTTAACTTTTTTAAAACACCATCTTCTTGTTCTGGTGCCTTCTTCCATTCTTCTTTATCGTACTTCATGGTACCACAAGCTATGCCACATGCCCATAGCAATTTATGGACCAGAAGACCCATAGTGTATGATCAAAATTCGTGGATTTTTCGTAATCGTGTGAGTGTAATGTCTGAATCACATAAATGAGTATAGAATAAAGTTGAGAATCGCTTATTTATTACATTGAGATAAAATGCCAAATGCGCGCAAGGTTTTTGTTAAAAATATCACAATATTTGTAAACCATCACAATTTAAAATGTTTTCCCTGACTGTGAAAAATAGCAATAATTAGTATTAATTTACTGTTATACCTATTGTGAAGAAAATACTGCCTCGAGAGTTCATGGTTCATATAAATAATAAAACAATTTTGATACATAGACAATAAAAACAAGAAAAGTGTTGTCTTCTTTTCGGTGGATATAGACAAACTATATTTGTAGAGTATTACTAGTGAAACAGTGAAGTGCAAGTCGGAAGTTTCAGAACTGATTGTAAAGTGAATGACTTTATTTCCAAACTTCTTGGACTATGAGAAGTTAAGTACACGTATGTGGCTAGATCTATGGTCTAATTGTGATAAAATTTTCTTTTGTTGTTATAATTGTGTAATAATTTCAGTTTTATTTGTTTAATTATATCTAGTATTTCTCATATAAGTTAGATATAGACAACTATTATGTAAGTATTATAGAGGTAGTATATAACTACATTGCTATGTTGATGTGACTCTTTATATATATAAAAAATTATATTACATGAAGCACTGAAAATCCAGGTCAACTGAGTCATGTTCAGTTTTTTCACGAATGTTTCCTGTAAATTTAAGAGAAATGATTTTATTTTTAACTAATTATGTGTGCACGGTAAAATACTGCATATGACAAAGAAATATATATTTTGTAATAAACCTCAATGGTAAATATTGCAATATGAGGTGTTAGAGTTTACGTAACCCATTTTATTTAGTTATGATCACATATTTTTTTATTTCCTCGCAAAGATTTGCTATGTTACGTTTTGTATGTTTAGATGTAAGCTAACGAATGATAGGAAACGAGTTACAGTTTCTGTTCCCTATAATTATATGTTAAGATGAATGGAAAATAAAAGCCAAATAATTATCGCAACTGTATATTTTCTTACTCTTACAACAAAATATATTAAACATTTATTTATTTTTTATAATTTAGGTACCTTACACTAGGACATTAAAGCTTCTACATAGATATAATTCCAAAAATAATTACATAATAAACCAATAACGTAATGCCTGACCAGTCGCATATCACTTTGGAACTTAAAATTATATAAATTAATAACTTCATACACACATATAAGATCTTGAATTAACTTATATCTAATAATAATTACGTTTCTCAATGTTTTACTTTACGTTTGTTCGAACAAATACCTATATTAATTAATAACACAAAGGTTGCATTGGATTTGTATAAATCGTTACATTGTACTAAATAATTTAATTGTTTGCTTGGTGAGTTTCAATATAAGTAATGAATTTTAAGCACCAAATAAAATAAGCAATCTTGATATACGTGAAACATATTTGTACGTAAAGACCACCAGGCACCGCATACGACGTTTTTATATAGATAAGATCTTAAGTACTATCGACAAAGTTTACGGTAGTACCCTTCAAACAAAATCTTGAGACGAACTCGCTATCCACTGGACGTTTTCCCTGTGGACGTTCGCGTCGAGTGCATGCGAATATCGCTTCGATGGTCGACCGCCAACTTTGTCGATTGTACATACATAGTTTTAATAGCCACAAATTGATCACCATACATGATATTCAAGTTTCATTGGCTAATCTTAACTAAAATAAACATGAAAATGTCGAAGAGATCTGAAACATACTCATAATATCGGTTCCTTTGAATATTTTTCAATAATTTATCTCTTCTTTTACTTTACATCGTTCAGTTTTAAAAAAGGTAGGTAATACTTTAAAAATACCAGCTTGTTTTAGCTATCTATTTTAAAATAAAACGAAATGCGCCGCTAATAAAAGAACAATAAATTCAATAATATCAAAGATAATTTTATTATTGTAAAATAACATTCAATTTTACAAACACCATAGAGGTAAAATAAAGACGCTATTTTGTTTTCCTGATAGAAAACATCAATCAACTAATTTTGTATGAAGTTATTTGAAAATGATTTTCAACATTAGTTTCCACTACAAATGTATGTGAAGAAATATATAACACATCCCTGAAGGCAGACAGGTAAGCAGAGATGCAAAGTTGCATAGTGGATATACGTCCACTTTCGACAATGAGTTGACCACTTATGAGTCCCATGTAATAATTAGGCAGTGGACATGTCGCTATACGTTGGGCATAATAACAGACTAAGTTCTTTACTGACAAATTGAAGAAAGAATGATAGTGAAAATCATTTAAAACTTCTGTACAATACAATAGAATAAAAGTATACATAATAAAAACAATTTTCCTAATTTCCACGCAAACTTTGGAATGAGCTTCTAATAAATCGATAAACTTACTTATTAAAGACTTATCACATTCGAATAACAATGTACAATTCCACTCCATTATCAAGGCCTTTTTCCAAAGTAATTTTTCACCTACATTTTGATATTTCTATACTACAAAAGGTTCTCGAACTTTCCATAACAATGTAGTCTCAATTCGTTAGTTACAAAATTCACCAAATGATATGCTACAATAGCATAATTCCCATGTTTGTTTGAACCCTTCAACTCTACACTTTATTTTAGAATATCTATTTCATTGAATAGAAAATTTCAATCGTCGTGGTCCATTCGACCATCAAGCCATAAATAAACCACTATCAATGTAAGAGTAAAATGTGGCAACATTTACTTTAATACTTTTTCCAAACTTAGCTACCTTATTTAGCGACCATAATATATAACTTTATTGCAATGCAACAAGATTCATTATTCATTAGTATCAAAATTATTTTCATTGTCTTTCGATTTTATATTATAACAACATGTGAATAAAATACATTTTACAGTGACAACGGATTTATATCGACTACAATGCCTTTTATTTAGTTTCATAAACATATATACACTATTTAGCGATGGTACTCCGGAATGAGTTTGTTCTCAAGAACATATTTTAATGGTTGAGAACAGAACTCTTGATATACTACAACATTTAAAAAAAACTAATAATCTTGCTTCGAATCTGAACTACCTAACATATTTCTGAGTAAAACCGACTTACGCATGAATACTGAAAAGCTATTTAATTTTTACTTGTACTTAAATATCGTGCCATCTCTGACATTTTAAAAAGAATTTGTAGAGACAGAACTATACTTAAGCGCGACTTCAAATTGAGTAGCCTTTCAGTATTCGGGCGATACCCTGATGAATGACACAAGGAAACTGCCGAATCCAAAAACCGTTCGATAATTTAAACTATTTCACTGGGACTTTAACAGCCATATAGAATAACTACAAAGCTACACAAATCTCCAGTTACATGTATAAATGCGTATACGCATTTATATAGACCATTATACAAGTTCTGTAGAAGTTAGTCTCACCGCGAGTCCACGACGCTGGCGAGGCGAGACTTGTCGAAGGCGCAAATAGCGGCCAGCAGAGACGAGCGAGCGTCGCACGGACTGGCTGCCGTCTGGGAACCTGTGGCGCTTGTGTCGTGAGCTGTGAGTGAACAGAGAAGTATGGTAAAATAAGTAATAAATCCATCTACAAGTGGAAGAGATCAACCAATCTCTAGACACAGGGTGTATAAAATTTTAAAAAGTCGGATATATTCTGTACATCTAAGTGTGGGAGAGCCATGCTTCAGCACGAACGGGCCGGCTTAACCGGAGTAGTACCACGACCGAGCAGAAAACCGTCATGACATGATGACACAACGCTTGCGTTGTTTCGTCGTATGAATGAGGTTACCGTAGGCCCGAATACCCCCTCCCCTTCCCTAATCTCCCCAATCACTAAATCCTCAATAATCCTCAAATTCCTAATCCCCAAAAGCCTGATAACGCACTTGTAATGCCTCTGGTGTTCCAGGTGTCCATGGGCGACGCCGATTGCTTACTATCAGGTGATCCGTCTGCTCGTTTAAAACCGTCTTATCCCATAAAAAACCTCAATCCATTTACTTTTGGTAGAACGTTTTGAAGCACAAGTTTAAATATCTGGCGAAATGTAAGTAAATCTACAAAGAATATCATCATCGTGGTTTCTAAGGTTAATGTTGTAACAAGAGGTGTAGTAATAAAATGAAGTAATGAGTACTCACAGAGGGCGGGTGGTGTAGGCGAGGAAGCTGTGCTTGCACTCTGCGACCGCACCGTTTCAGCTAGAGACGACGTCGACTTCCATAGACTCTCGCGCTTTTTCTGTAAAATAAATATTCTAATGTATATAGTAGGTAATTTTTAAATTCATTTCAATTTTCTATGCAAAATATGTAATTATTTTTATAAATTTTTAGCTAGTTTAATAAACCAATGAAAAATTGGTCTTACCGCTCTTCGCTTCTGTTTTTTGATTTCTTCTTCGGAACCGAGTATTTCTTGTATACGGACTTCTCTTTTCGCGCTTCGTACCTGAAAATAATGTATCAAATGTTTAATTGCAACCAAATAAGTATATGAATGAATAGAGTATTTTAATGGAAAATACGAAATATTCTACGCCACGATTCAAAATACATACCTAATTGGAATTTTTATTACTTTGAGGCTTTAGTGCAAATTTCATTTTACGTCTCTTTTTTTTAAACATTTCCCGCACTATAAGACTTTGTCCTGTGTCGTAGGTACGTTAACAAACATACAAGTTCACATACACGTGACACCCAAACCCAAAACAACAATTTGTAGATCACACAAAGAGGTACTCCGTGCAGGAATCGAACCAACCACATGTTGCGCGGCAGCAACGTTTACGCAAAGTAATCGAAACGAGACCGCGTTCGGTGCTTTGATTGATTAATTCATTGGAGCCGGACAATCTGAGTAAGTGAGTACCAAGCACGAATAACTATCGCATTCGTAACGTAGTAGTATCGACCGAGTTAAGCGTTCTGATTGGTTGGTTTACTAGAGCCGGCCAATCAAAGAGCCGAACGCACTCGATACTATTACGTTACGATTGCGATAGTTATTCGTGCTTGGCACTCAGAGCGCCGAACTTGGTCTCGTTAACGAAAAATTCGATTCGACGAGAAATTCACAATAAATGATTACCAATTTTTGTTCGCTCTTCAACCTAGCTTCCATACTACACACAGCAGTTTTCAACTCCTCCTTCAGCGCGAGTGGGAACTTCAAGTGCATGCGTGCGTCGTTCTGTGCGCCCATCGTGAGACCATTCAGCGGCGCCCGCGCAAACAGTGGCTGCTGCAGGACGTGCTCCAGGGACGGGCCGCCGTGCTTACATGAACTACTCGATAGACAGAGACGGAGCACTGATTCTGGAATAGATATGGTAAATTCTATAAGATTATAGACATTTTAGACCACATTTTTGTTTATCCAATTTATGAGATACCTTATTAGAATATTTAATATATTCGAAGATATTCCAGGTGGTCTTATGATGACCTTAATAAAATATTAATCGGTTTAAACAATCAAAACTAGTGTATTTCCCGCCGGTATTTATTTTATTTCTTCATACTCAGAAAATTGTGTGGACTTAGGTATGCGACTATTGTTATACCATAAATGTGTGAGCGTACATATTTTTTAAGTACTACTTACCTAAATCTTCATTAACACCATCAGGATAATAATCACAGTAATACTCCGTTAGTGGGGCTCCGAAGGCCATTTCATACAAAGTCCTGCCGAAGCAGTAGACGTCTATGGCCTCAGCGGTGGCTACCCGCCGTAGATGCAACAAGTGAGGTCGGTAGAGGGACGGTACACCCACTAGAATATTCTCCACGTCCATTAGAAGAGCCTTCTGATTGTCTATCGCTATGTTGCCCGGGTGGATGTGGCCTGGAATTGAGAAATAATATTAAATAATTATTTGTAAACTGTGTTTAAAAAAACTGACATCAATTCTTTCTTTTTTATTTTAATAAATTTAATTAATCTTATACTACTATATAAAGCTAAAAATTTTGTTAGTTTGTTTGAACGCGCTAATCTCCGGAACCACTGGTCCGATTTCAATAATTCTTTTTGTATTGGATAGTCCATTTATCGAGGATGGCTATAGGCTATAAAACATCACGCTATGATCAATAAGAGCCGAGCAGAGAGGGTACAACGGCGCGAAAGTAGCTAGTATATACTAAAACCTTTTCCTAAGTATAACAAACACTTTTCTGGAAACCGCATCAAAATCGGTTCCGTCAGTCACGAGATAACCGCGCACTAACACAGATACAGGACAAAATGAGAACCTCCTTCTTTTTTTGAAGTCGGTTAAAAATAGAGTACCTTTGAAAGAACATAATAATATAATAAGTATACGCACCGTGAGGTATGCCCTTTTCATGTAAAAACTTCAACGCGTGCAGTATTTGATATCCATAATGCGCAATCTGTCCTTTTGTGAATGTTTTCCTTATCCTAGGGTTGCCATACTTGGCTAAATGACTCTTATTATACTCCGTACCATAGAGAATGTCCCTCAGACTCCCGTTTTCATGTATCCTCCTAACTACGTATGTTCCCGTTTCCAAATTATGTATAGCTAATACTTGGTCTATGTAAGGATGCTGAAACATAAAAGACATTATTTTTACAACAGTTTTTTTTAAACATATAAGAACGATAATTTTTATTTTTTAACACCTTTCCATGGAACTTCGTAACATATTTATTTATTTTTTAAGCTGTAAATATTTTAGTTTTTAGTTATAAGAAAATTAATTAAAACAAGGCACATTAGGTACGTAAACTGTCGAATAATCTTAGGGCCATCTTCACCAACCTCTCCTAAATTTTAAGGAACTTCTATGCTAAGATAGATGATCTTTATTGCCTTTGGTTTCCAGGAACATATAAGTGACACTGAATGATACAAATAAGGGTTCATTTTAGATGATTACTTGTGCTAAGTAACTCTTAGTTAAGTAAGACATGAATTAGAGGTGGTTGGGAAGTGGCCATTCGATTTTCTAATTAAGAACAAAACGTTAAATTTGTAGCTTAATGCGCTGAACTAGCAATTTTAGCTCTTATAAAAACTAGCTTCTACCCGCAACTTCGTACGCGCAATTCTGTTTTTCCCATTCCCGTAGGATAACAAACACAAACAAATCGGTCAAGCCGTTCTCAAGTTATGGCGTGACAACGGGAAACGGGTTTCATTTTTATATGTATAGATAAAGATCTTTTAACTAAAACCTAAAATGTACTCAAGTTCAATAGAAACGGAAATCATGCAACAATAATAAATATTGACATTATACTTACAGATATATTTTGTAAGCTCTTGTAAGCGGTTTGTAAGTCTTTATCACTGAGATACCTGTCGGCACCATAGCTCTGCCACGACAGCATGCAATTTGTTCCACTCTCCGTATCAGTTACCTGGAACAACAAACATTACATTACAGTGTAAAATAATGTGAAGGTTTTTATGTCAAGCCTTTTTTTTAAGGGGGGAAAATCATCGAATGACTGCTCCCGCCTGGGTGAGGCGGGAGGGAGTGTCAGACTCTTAGTGACTAAAAACCACCCCGTTCCTTCTTCTGCACGTCGAGCCGGAGCCCCGGTTACCCGTTAGGTTCTCCGCGACTTTATGTCAAGCCTAGCTAGCTTCTGCCAGCTTTATTCCAGATCATTATTTCATTTTGATCCCTTCAGCCATTTGGTCGTGATTGAATAACAAATATACTCACATAACTTACAAATATTTTGGAATTATAACAAGTACCGTAGAACGGGGTGAATAGATACAGGAATGGGGTAGATAAGTGTTAGACTATTTTCCCAACATTTATTCACCCCTCTTCTGTATCTATTCACCCCTCGAATTCTATTCAACCTGTTTTACTGTAGTAAGTAAAGAGTAAGATTACACGACAGGGTTAAAAATATAAAACTGAAATATTTTTCTACCTGACTGTCTTGAGAAGAAAAGAAGCAAGCGTGACTGCCGAGTAAAGGGTGTCCAGTGCAATTCTCGGATTGAGCAAATTACTCAGTAGTATAATAAAAATAAACACAGTACGAAAATCGAAAATTTAAGATCTATATGGTGAATGGGACTTTCATTGCGTTATAGGCAAAAAGTCTACAAACTGCCGCGGAACGTGCAGCGGGTTCGATTCCCGCACGGAGCAACTCCAAAAATTGTTGTTTCGGGTATGTGTGTTACGTCATTACGTGTATGTGAATTTGTTCCCACACAGGAGAGAATCTCAGTGTGGGGCAAAGTTTGAAAAAAAAAAACTATTACCCTGAGCCAATTTTCAAAATCCCCGTGTTAGATTCGACGTCAGAAGATATGACGGACGATCGAAAACACGCGTCATAATGGGATTTATAACGTATTGATTACAACCAGCCATAATATGATACTGTGATAAACAAATAGACCCAGTGGTCCATTACATATTACATCAGTATAAAACAGTTATTAATCAATAAAATGTTTTTAATGATCTGCAAAAGTTAAAACTTATATTATTTTCGAGTAATATATAAGCTCATTAAATAATAATTTTACTGAACATATTAATATTAATCACTTGATATAAAGCCCCAAAATTTGTTTATATAAAAGTAGTCTCTAGACATCGGAAATAAGGTCTATAATGGCGCTAGTGGAAAGCAGTCACCGGTGACCGCTTGGGGCCAGTTTTAAATAAAATGTATCTGATTGAATTACTTTCCTTCAATGACACTTTAAACTGCACTACATTTAGTTCTTAATAATATATTTTTTTTGCTATTTTACACTTCACAAAAAATATACATTGGTAGACTTAATTACTAATTAAATCTAACTCGTTTGCCTTTTTTATTTCTTTTTTCTTCTTATATTTTTTTGCCTCTCACTAGGATTTTTTCCTGTGTCGTGGGTGCGTTTACAAACATACAAGTACCAGGAACAACAATTTGTGAATCACAAAAAGAGTTGCTCCGTGCGGGAATCGAACCCGCGACACGTTGCGCGGCAGCCCGTTTTGAAGCCACCACACGTGCAGTCAAATTTCATAAAATGATTTAAAAATATAAGTCCTCTGATTGCAGGTCTTATTATTTTTTGTTTATTTCATCTTTGGAACTATTGAACTTTTTCTGTACTATCGCCATTCCAGTACAAAGTGAAAGTACTTTGAACCTTATTGCGTAGTAAAAATGTCTAGAATATATTTTATCTCTTTATGATAAGCCGTGTGAAGTTATTGTGATTCATGACAATGGATTCTCATTGTATCAAGCATCAATATTCTATTTTTAGGATACCTACATTGCCATTTGCGTACTGTGCAGGGAAAAATATTTTTTATTCTTTTACATAACAACATAATAACTAACAGTCCACCCGCTTGACACTATTATTCGAATTTCCCAACAATTTATTTTTATTAATAAAAAAGAAATTATAACTAAAACAAACGCAACAATAAAAATCAATTCCTGAATTTTGTGCTTAGCAATACAATACATAATACAAAAGTCATAAAAAAGACAAAATAAATAATAGTCTGTTAGTCAGTGAAACTAGGTGAAGCTAGGCTAGGTGCTCATTCCAAAATGTAGATTCGAATGGAGAAGAACGAGCAAGAAACTCCATTCATTACTCTTTTAAAAAAAGTATGTTCTACAATATATTTTTGTATTTATTTACTTAAATAATAAGATGATTCAGTTGCTGTATTTTTTAATTTTCGTTATTAAAAAAACAATATGATGCAAACAAAACTTACTACAATAACATTCTCCGCTAGAGGGTGTTAATCTTGAAAACATATAAACAAAGTATGTCAGTAGGTGACCAATTACACGTATACCACAGCATGTGACAGATTATATATTTTGCCAGTACATTGACCCCATTCAAATCACCAGTGTACCTATCTGTGCGTTTTTCGTACAAGCGTTAATGCTTAATACTTTTCTTTCAAATAAATTGTGGACTTACAATTGAATTTAACCTTTATTTATATCGTTAATTAAATAGAATTCAGAGTACCCAGTAGTGTCCCTAGGCTCCATACGTTTTAGCCGCCCTAATTTAGAAGTAGTAGAAATTATACGTTAACTATAACAATATAAAGCTTATTATCAAAAATTATATTAGTTGATTCAGTTTATGTGATATTCATAAATATTATCATTGACATTTACGAACGAAGCTATCAAGGGCGTCCCATTCGGTAGACGGATGAAGGAACGTCACAGGATCTATTTTAGGAACTTTTATGTTAATCGAGTTTGGTACTACAGATAATGATAACAAGTTGTTAACTAGTTAATCATACGACATACCGTTAGTTATGCCTTTTAATCACCGAAGGGATGGGGAGAGGTGCACATAATATAAAAGTAACAACCAATTTTTACCAGTTATATTATTTTTTTGCCTGCCTGCCTCATTGGCCGAGTGGTCGCAAGTGCGACTGCCGGGCGAGGGGTCTCGGGTTCCATTCTCGGGTGGGGCAAAGTATTGCTGGGTTTGTAAAAACCTCAGTAGTAGCACGGAGTCTAGAAATGTGCCCGGTATATGGCAATATGCTCACCCCCTATTACATGGGATTCATAACATAAGTAGTGTAAAAGTAGAAGTGGGTGTTACATTGTACAGTGGCATTAAGTGCCGTAATGGGCACCTCTGCCTACCCCTTCGGGGATAAAAGGCGTGATGTTATTTTTTTTTATAATTATTGGCTGACGTTTGGCCACTATCTTGCCTGGTGGTAAGCAATGATGCGATTCGCTTGGGCCTTGAAGACATCCAGTAACCCAGGGTATACCCTTCAGGAAACACTGACCATGTTCAAAGTACTATGTAATAAGGGGTGACCTATAGCAATATCTATGACATAAATACAAAAATTTGACCCTCCTTTACCAACGCAAAATAGAGCTGGTAAAAAGTAACTTTACATTAAATATAAAATAACTAAGTTTGTGCTGAACACCGATGACACTTATTACAAATTTTTCGACCTTGAATTCATCCCACTTATGGCTTCATTGAGTTAATATAAGCCCACAAAAACATCATGATGTATAAGGACTGTGTAGTGAGTAACTTACTAAAAAATAATGTTTCCGTATCCGCCAGCCGATGTCGTGCAGAGGGCCCTTTAGCTCGAATCTACCTTCGCCCCGCAGAGCGATCGACACAGTCTGAAGAGCTTGTTCTGTAACAAATATTTAAGTTTAGAACCCGGTTTTATTATCACTTTACGCAAAGTAATGAGAATTTATGAGGCGAGGACCTTTATCCATAAATGTTCATATTCATTGTGCATCATGTCTATAAAAGACACAATTTTGACGTAACGCTTCGATTCCTGATAGGTAACATGATCTTCTTTTTTCAAATTACGAATTCGCAGTTCCAGTCAATTTAGAAAATAAAAAAAGAAAGATAGAAAAAGCATTTATTCAGCACCAGGCACGATGCAGCATAGATAAAATATAAAAAGACAATAAAATATAGTGTAACAGTGAGAATAAGATAAACAGTGTGTAAAAAAAATTTAATAAGAAGAATCAGAAAAGAAATGCTAACAATATGCCTATGCTAAATGGGTTGTCCACGTTACTGTTCCCATAAGGAATATACCAGTGAAGCTGTTTGTAATGCACATTCCTTTCAAGTTTCTATGAACAAAACAGCTATGTTTTATCCATCAGGTAACCACAATCGCAGAGAATTATAGATTTTGATTGATGATTAATTGCTTTAAATTAGTTAGTCACATGACAATGTACATTCTCTTAGTATTCCTATATCTATATGTATGAAGTTCAATATCATTCAATTGACCAATTTATTGAGCTAGCATACAAAGTATATGAGAATTCAACAGTAGCAGATCATGTGCAGCCTTGACCAATAAGTATTGGTTTACATTAACATGATAATATTACTGAAGGTAAACTAAAATCATAGTTCACTTAAGTAAAACATAATATTTTTTAGTTAATTTAACACAAATTGACTGACTGCCTGACACGGCGCAAGCGTGAGTTTTAAGTAAAAGATCTCCGGTTTGAATCTTGGATTGGGCAAAGTATGTCTTGTGTTTATCAATTTTGGTTTTAGTAAAATTCTCGGTAATAGCAGCCCAAATATACCCGAGTCTACAACCCATGTGCTAAGCCTGAGGATAATGGTTAGCCTTCTTATAAAAGGGGCATATAGTTCATAACAGTGAACTGTCATACTCATACGCCGGAATACTGAAACGGTACTCAATTTTAAGTCGCGCTTACTTAAGTATAGTTCTGTCGCTACAATTTTTTTGTGAAATGACAGAGATGGCACGATATTTAAGCACAACTTAAAAGCTCTTAATATGGTATGGCACTACGGGCTTCCTTCTGGTGAAGGGACTTAAACATAAATGAGTGCCAACTTTTCCTAACCCTTTGACAAAAAGAAATATATGTAATTGTTTATTTACCTGCTATATCCAATGAGTAGTTACTAGGATCCAGGAAACTCCTCACTTGCAATGATAAAGCTAACACTTCGTGTTTCAATACCTCATTTATGTAGTTCTGAAATAAAATATTGCATTTAGGGCCTGAATAAGTTCCTGTCGGAATAAGTTGCTGTTACTTTAACTTCTTGTATGGAAAATAATTTATTTATAAAGAAAAACAAACACATTCGCATTTACAATATCATTTTTTTATTTTAATAAAGTAGTGTTAGTTATACTGTTTATAACTAAAGAATGGCTAAATAGATTTGGATAAAAATTGGTGGGGAGGTAGCTTAGAACCAGGAGACGGACATAGGATATTTTTTGTCCAAGGCATTCTTGAGATTCCTAAGGGAACGGGAAACAACGGCATTGCGCGTATGAAGTCGCGTAGTCGTATCTAGTAAATGAATAATATCATAAATGAGTAACAGGATACCAGGAATACAAGTTGCATGGGGAGTAAAATATTGGGTGTTTCCTTGATGAATCATTCATTCACATTTTGCAATAATTTTAAGAGCTAAGTTCAGTACTAGTCTAAATTCAATTGTGAGTATTTTAAATTGTACAGAGATTAGCACAGATGTTTGACTCAAACATTACTATGCAAATGATTTTAGTATTAAAACTTTCGTGAGACATACTAAATTAATAATTATGTAGCCAGTAGCATCACCATAGTCACCGTATCATGCCACAGAATGCAGTTCATGAATATGAGTCAAGTTTTTCCTAAAACAGTTACTTATACGAATAAGCCAAAAACATAATAATTGTTATATTTTTGGCTTATGATTTTTATCAAAATATTCAAGTTTCTTTGTAAATATTGTGCAATATTATAAAAACAGTAGCTTTGATACAGACAGACACAATATTGGGTTCCATTAGTGGATGAACTTGAAACAATCTACATAATGAACTAATTAGTATTAAAATATTAAGTCTTATACCTCACAATCACAACATGGAAGAGGCTTATGTGCAGCAATATACATAATATTAAGGTGATTAGGTCTAAAGGAGTTCACAGTATAATAAGATGGAAAGAAAAAGGAGTTCAAACCTGTAATGCTATTTGTCTCTCAGCAATAAAGGCTGGCTGCATGTTACCAATAAGTTTCTTTGGTGGTAAAGGCAGGTCAATGTTGGCCTGAACAAGACCTGCATGTAGGGCAGCAAAGTCCCTATACCGACGGGACACATTCCAGCTGATATCTTTTGTAGGACCGCGCTGAACACGCAAAATATACTCCTGCAACAAAATGCCATTTTTATACCCATAATACCACTTGAAATAACATGTATAAGCAACATGGTAATATAATGATTGTAACTGTGTATTTTTAAAACGCCCAAGATAATGATTTCCGCATAAATCATGCGACAAAACAACACCCCAAAAATTTGTTTTTGTTTACGATTTTCGCTTTTTAGATAAAGCTTTTTACCAACTGATGTTTAGGATGATGAAGTAAGAGGTCTCCGCAACAGACCGTAAGATATTTTAAGAAAAAAAACTATTACTTACAGTGTGTTTATTAATGTTTTGTGCATTTTCTACGGTACAGCTGAGTTTTTCAGTGTCATCTATTAGAGCTTTGGTATGCGAAGTTTTTTCAAATATAGCCATTGTGCCCGGTATTTAAAAAACATTAGTCGCTAACACAACAAGACAAACACCACTAAACATTTTGCTATCACTAAATAATGTAAAAGAAATTGCGAGTCGTATCAATCACTGAATTTAGTCATGTGTATTCCAGAGACATGTGACATTTACAGAATTCTGTATCACTCTTCTTATCTTCTTCAAATTGCGAGAAAGAATATTCTTGATGCTAAAAATATAAACAACAACACAGCATAGGAACAAAACTGAAATAAAATTGACATTATGTATGACATTTGACTGCATTGACACTGTGTTGTAGCTGCTACTGTCATCATGTGACAATGACAGTGTTGTGCCGTTGCGTTCGAGTTTCAGCTACATGCTACAAGCAAAACAGGATATATAGCATAAAAATTACTTATTTCTTACTTTCCATTTACTTCTCTTCTACAAAAGCTATTTTGCTTCATAAGGTCGTAAATAATTTATTTCAAAATTAGATTTTCTACATTATGGAACCTGTTCATAGACATTTAAAATTTTTGCCTACCTAACTTCCGTTTTAACCTACGCTCTGAAACTTAAATTATATAAATTAGTATTGGAAAATACTCCTTCGGATTTATACAAGTAGTATAAAAAAATGGGCCTTTTATTATCTTGAAATAGTTTAAAAGTATTTTAAATCATAGAAAAGATATATTTTATGTGTTATTAACAAATTATTATTTGAAAGAAATAGCTAAAGGTATGATATTTAGTTATGGTTTTTGACCGCATTCCGAACTGCGGACATAACCATAGACACCGATCGAAAAAGTCACTTCCTGTTCTACCGCAACGAGTCGCGAGCGGAGAACTTCGACTACCACGGGCCTCTATCTATTCGTCTGCCATAGTTATAAGAATTCGTAAAACATGTCGCTCATCTCAGCCCGTATTGCCGGCTCAGTAGCCAGGCGTTTGCCCAATGCAGCTTCGCAGGTAACTATGATATAGATAACGAACAAGAAGTGTGTTAAAATCCATAATTGATAAAATTCTACCGGGTTCCTATCTCGAGGAATGTCCACGGGTTAGGAATCATCAGATGTTAATATTTAGTGAATATTAGCCAGTTATATAACAATAAGTTACCATAAATGACCATTCCAATTAATATTTTACAAATGATTACTTATTACATTATATCTGTTGTGTATGATCGGTGTTATGTAATACGGGGCGATTCAGTTTTCAGGTCTTCAGAAATATGAAATTAGTGAAATAAAGTAGAAAATGTTTAGTGAAATACGTAAAGGAGTGTACTTGTGACCGTTTAGTGCAATAATATGATGTGAAATGTGTTGATGTTGGTTATGTCCGTCGGCAGGTATCGAAGGTCGCGGGTGTCGCGGCACCCGCTGTGGCAGTTGCCTCGCGCAACTTCCATGTGTCTCCCACCCAGAAGGCCGCCGAAATCTCCACTATTTTGGAGGAAAGGATCCTGGGTGCCGCTCCCAAGGTTAGTATCAATGTTACATAAACGTCTTCTTATCAATTAGTATCAGTACACGGGTAATTGAAGAGCAAGAGTTATGCAAGGAACAAGATGTCCTATCAGGAAGATGATATTGATCCATGACCTATTTCATTCATACACAGTTCATTCACACTACATGCATAATATCCTGCATTGCCTACATTCAATGACATAAGAGGACTGCCAAAATTGGAACATGTTTATTTATTAGAACCAAATCTTATATGATTCCTTTTCAATAACAAGGGTATTCTTATTAATTAATATTCCAAAAATTTTTTGGCATATTGACCATATTCCAGTTAGATCAATAAAATAATGAATAAGATTTTCAACTTAAATCAATAATGAGTTGACCTAACCTAACAGCTGATTACTTCTGACATAATTTGAAGAAAAAAAACTTAGTTATTACTTACCCTCTTGTCATAACTTCCATACATGTAGTTATAATCATGTGTGTGTAAGTATGACTGTATGTGAAATAACTAACAAGTTTAATTTTAATGTAACTTTTTTTTTAATTAGGCTGACTTGGAGGAGACTGGCCGTGTATTGAGCATTGGTGACGGTATTGCCCGTGTCTATGGTCTGAAGAACATCCAGGCCGAGGAGATGGTGGAATTCTCCTCTGGTCTTAAGGTGGGTTATTTTTTTTAATATTCTAATATAGTAATCTTGTATATTGGAATTACAAGGTGAGGTAAGGGAGAGATGTAGGATAGCTAAAAATATTGGATAATGGATTGTCTAATCAATGAAAATGAATGGATTAGAAAAATCACACAAGATTTAACATCAAACTTAATTATTCCTTATAGATGTTAGGAACATCAATATGTATATTTGCTACGTTTCTCTAGGCTTTGATGTAATAATTGGAATTTATTAATTAACTCGTCGAGTACCGGTTTTATAGACACAATTAAAGAACAATAGGTCGCGGTCACCGGTGACCGCTTGGTGTTTGACAGATTAACATGTCAGCTAGAATATGAGTACCCACTTATATTCTGAATGATATGAAATTGCTATAAAAGTTATAAGAAATGAGATAAAATACAACTTTGCAATATGTCCCTACTGTCCGTGTTAAGTTATTATGACATCAGTTTTGCCTAAGACCTGCAATAACACTCTAATTTAATACCCTCTAACAACATCCATAAGAACAGCTTTCAAATAAAAAATATGTTTAGGTTTGCAACAGAAACTGCTAAAGAAATGTGAAGAAGTTGTTGCTGACTTGTTTTTTTCTCTAGGGTATGGCCCTCAACTTGGAGCCTGACAATGTGGGTGTGGTAGTATTCGGTAACGACAAGCTGATCAAGGAAGGAGACATCGTCAAGCGTACCGGTGCCATCGTCGACGTCCCCGTCGGTGAACAGCTGCTCGGTCGCGTAGTCGACGCTCTGGGTAACGCCATCGACGGCAAGGGCCCCGTTGACACCAAGACCCGTATGCGTGTCGGTATCAAGGCTCCCGGTATCATCCCCCGTGTGTCTGTGCGCGAGCCTATGCAGACTGGTAAGTAGTAGTTACATAACTAACATTATTGGGGTACTCTGGAAATCATTGTAACAATTTGAGAAAAAGGATCAAAGTCTAGATAAGTTCTGTCTCTTTTTATTACATAATCATTAGGATTAAAAAAATTTAACTAAATGGGTCTTATCTATTCATTAAAATCGTCACAAAATTTACTATAGGCGAAAATTTATATTTCGCATTTCAACAACTTTACGAAATTACATAGGTATCAAGGCCGTCGACTCTCTGGTACCTATTGGTCGTGGACAGCGTGAGCTGATCATTGGTGACCGTCAGACTGGCAAGACTGCCCTGGCCATCGACACCATCATCAACCAGCAGCGTTTCAACAAGGGACAGGATGAGAAGAAGAAGCTGTACTGTATCTACGTCGCCATTGGACAGAAGAGGTCCACCGTCGCTCAGATCGTGAAGAGGTTGACTGACGCTGGTAAGCATATTCTTCTCATATCATTAGATCTATGTAATTATAAATTCTGCTGAAACTACTTGCAAACTTCAAAGTCAAACTTTATTACCATTGTTGACTTCCCTGTCATACATAGTTGTAATTTTGAATGTTACAAAATATATCTGTTGCTAAATCTACAAATATTTTATCAGGTGCCATCAACTACACCATCATTGTGTCCGCCACCGCCTCCGACGCCGCTCCCCTGCAGTACCTGGCTCCCTACTCTGGCTGCGCCATGGGAGAGTTCTTCCGTGACAACGGCAAGCACGCCCTCATCATCTACGACGACTTGTCCAAGCAGGCTGTTGCCTACCGTCAGGTATAGAAAAAACATTTACAGTTACTAAAAAGTAATAAAAAGCGTTCAAAGTAAATTGAGCCTAAAATCTTATTAATTATTAATCTTGTTATCTATTTTGACACTGTCTTTGAAAACTTTCCTTGTGTTACTCAGATGTCTCTGCTGCTGCGTCGTCCCCCGGGTCGTGAGGCCTACCCCGGTGATGTGTTCTACCTCCACTCTCGTCTGCTCGAGCGTGCCGCTAAGATGTAAGTACATGTTTATGACTACACAAATCTGCTGTACGCAGGTGAAAATGAGTAAATCGATGTTGTGTTCATTAGTAAATATTAATTATATAAGATTTTTTTTTCAGAATCGTGATTTTTTTTTAAATAACTGACATAATCATGCTTTCTGCAGGTCCGACAAGATGGGTGGTGGTTCCCTGACCGCCCTGCCCGTCATCGAGACCCAGGCTGGTGACGTATCTGCCTACATTCCCACCAACGTGATTTCCATTACTGACGGTCAGATCTTCTTAGAGACTGAGCTCTTCTACAAGGGTATCCGTCCCGCCATCAACGTCGGTCTGTCTGTATCCCGTGTAGGATCTGCTGCCCAAACCAAGGCCATGAAACAGGTAAAACATCAATTTCGAAATAATCTTTTATCCCTGTCAAAACTTGAACAAAGTAATGAGATGATATTAGTTGTTAAGAAAATTGAAATGAAACATTATATAGATTATATGTTTGATGCTTGTTCACCAGGTGGCTGGTTCCATGAAGCTGGAGTTGGCCCAGTACCGTGAGGTCGCTGCTTTCGCTCAGTTCGGTTCCGACTTGGACGCCGCCACCCAGCAACTGCTGAACCGTGGTATGCGTCTGACTGAGCTGCTGAAGCAGGGACAATATGTGCCCATGGCCATTGAGGAACAGGTAATTTATGCATTACCCGAAAATGCAGCAAGAATTCGTAAGATTTTCTGTATGAGTCTTACCACCATACTAGAGACTCATTTAATAGCTATTAAAGTCAGTCCTTAACAATTGTTTTCGGAACAAAATTGTTACTAAAGTAATCATTAAATGTCTCTGAGTATCGCAGTTAGTCTTCAACATTAAGTACTAAATTTCGTGATTTATTTCGACAGGTCGCCATCATCTACTGTGGTGTCCGTGGTCACCTCGACAAACTTGACCCCAGCAAGATCACTGGCTTCGAGAAGGAGTTCACCCAGCACATCAAGACCAGCCACCAGAGCCTGTTGTCTACCATCGCCAAGGACGGTCAGATCACCCCAGAGTCTGACGCCGCCCTCAAGAAGATCGTTACAGACTTCCTCGCTACCTTCACCCAGGCGGCGCAATAGACGTCTAGCTTTTACGAACTCTGGCTTTGACAAGAGATTGTGAGTCGCATTTAGGACAATTCATCTAATCCCTACGTAGCGCAGTCTCATGTCAAACACCATTGTATGTTTATGGCCGGCTAATGGAAGCATTCTTGTCAGCTAATCTTCAAGTAGATGATGATGCTTCCATCAGCGGCCTAGTAGTAGTTGTCATTTCGTAAGGACTGTATTGAATGTTGATACAATCATGGAATGTATTTATCTCGAACGGCAGGAGTGGTTATATATTATTAAATATCATAAAATACAGTAATTTGAGTCTATTATTTATAGAATAGCCCAAAATTATTCATTTTCTTCAAAAGTTAAGGGATTACACCAAATCAATGGATCACACGGGAGACAGGCGGGACGATCATGATATTACCCAGATGCCGCCATACTATAAGTACTATGCAGCCCGCCCATCGGCGGTCCCGGCATCTCGATTTTGTATTCTTGCCCGTCCATTGGCGCGTTTTTGGCATGAAGGTGCAGATTCCGAGATGAATCCTTTGATATGCTCAGTTTAAACGTACTGTACCACGCGTAAAAGGTGTATCTGCAGTTTTCTGCGATATTTGTGCCTTTGTGATTGTTTCATTGTTTATTCGTAAATGGTTTTTTCGCCCAAGGCGGGCTTGGCATGATAGATTAGAAACGGCTTTTTTAAACTTCAAATATCAGCAGACCACTTGAGTTGCTAATAAAAATGAAACAAATCATTACATATTACTTTCTGACGTCATTTCGTAAAGTTATTGCAGTTTACAGACAGTTAAAAAATATTGCCCGCCGTTGTGCGGGGTCGGCGCTGAATGGGTCTTGTAAGTTGAAATGCATTATTTTACTACCATGTCCCATTGTTGGTCTAATATCTCGGCATTAGTCCAGGTATGTTGCAATTGTATACATTTAATGAAAGCTTAAGAAATGTAAATGTCTTTTTTGTAAAAAGTGCATACTAAGCGTCATAGTAAATTATGTTAGAGAAGCATATTTCTGAGTTAAAAAATCCTATATTCTATGAATCTGGAATCACTGTATAAAATAATGTGTAATTTGCCTCGTTGGCCGAGTGGTCGCAAGTGCGACTGGGCAAGGGATCTCGGGTTCGATTCCCGGGTCGGGCAAAGTAATAATGGGTTAAAAAAAAAATTGTAGTAGCACGGAGTCTGGAATTGTGCCCGGTATATGGCAATAGGCTCACCCCCTATTACTTGGGACTCATAACATAAATAGTGAAAAGTGGGTGTTACATTGTACTGCATAATGTGCACCTCTACCTACCCCTTCGGGGATAAAAGGCGTGATGTTATGTTATGTAATGTGTAATTTGATGAGATAATTAATAAAATAAATTTAAGCACAGTGCGTTCTTAATTGTTTTTTCAGTTTTAGAGTTACCGTGGGTAACAGCACTGACATTCGGTGATTATTTCGTGGCAAGACTTAAAAGACCAATTTTTAAGACACCAATTGATCTTTTGCTTCTTAAAAAATTATGACATAAAGATTGACAGTTGATAGGAAGAAATGTCATTTTTTGACTTTGACATTAAAGTAAAGAGAAATTCACATGCTATTTGTTTCTTTTTGCCGAATTCCTGAGTATTTTTATGAAATTCTAGGCAGTGAGTCCAAAACCTTGTACATTTTTAATAGGGTTACATGTGTGCTAATATCAAGCTTATTAATTCATTCATCATTTCGAAGTAATTACAGTGAAAATGGATTTTTTTGAGAAAGCGCATGTTACCAAGAAGCAACCTTTAAAAAAAGACAGTAAATCAGAAGAAATTGTAAAGAAACAACTCAAACAAATGTTACAAGGTTTTAAGAGAAGCGACAATGAGCTAATTAGGCACAGCGGGGACTCTGGTAATGATATAGTTGAAGCACACAAGCGCTTTGATGATTCGGCTTCTGTGAGCGGTTTTTCAGATCTAGATCTTACACATTCTGATAATGAAGAGGATATTATTCAAGCATCAACTTCTAGAACTATAGATAATACGGCAGGCAGTTCAAGTCATATTAGCTTACCTAATTCGTCAGAATCTAACTGTGACACAGATGATAATATAGACGATTTAAACTTGGAAGAATCTAACAGTCAGGAATCTATATCAGAATGTGATGAAATCGTTGAATCTCTATCAGAGCACATTGAAGTTAGTAGTTCAGAAGGTGGGGATACCTCATTCTCTAACTTAGATGTGCCATCACTAACCTCGGGCAGCACAACTGATTCGGAAGTCTTTGATCCTGATGGAGAATTAGCTTCGAAAATACTTGAGAACCTAAAGAAAAATGAATTAAGCAAAAAAGGTAAGAAAAGGAAAGTGGAAGATGAGCGAAAACCTATTAAACCTAAGAAGAAGGATGTAAAACATAAGAAATCCAGTGAAATTGAAGATAATGAAAGTGATGATACTATGATTACTATGGAAGCTTTGAGTATCTGTGAAGATGATAATGAAAATGATGATGAAATAGAAACTATATCAGATAGTAATAGTGCACATACTTCTACAGCAACAAATGAGTCACTACCATTTGTTTCAATAACTGTGACCGACATGCCTGAACAAAAGATTAATAACTTCTTAGAGGACTACAAGCATCCTACTGTGAGACCATTACAAAACATAGTGTACACTGCAACCTCACCTGCTTTGTTTGCACCAGAATCTGAGCCAATTGAGAATATGTTAAGTTCGGAATTGAATGACAATGAAACTGTTGTAGGTTTAGTGAAAATTAACTTAGATACTGAACCAGCGGAAGACATCGAGACTGATGATGTAATTGAAAATATAGACTTGGATACAAGTACAGACCAACCACTTGAAGAGAGCACTGCAGAGTATGACAACACTTTAATGTCAGACACCCCGAGGGAAGCTGAAGAAGACTTATTAGAATCTGTGAAGTTTTACTATGGGAAAAATTGTTATGTTGTGGTACTTCAACATCCAGCAGAGATATATGTGAGTGGTAAAGTAAGAGTTAAAGGTCTGGGAGGTGTAGTTGAAGTCTATGGGCATATATTGAGAGATGCCGTTGAGTTGTATGCTCCAAACAATTATTTTGCTCAGTGTATAAAGACTGTTGAAAGGCCAAATGATGATTATGGACTGTTTAGAAAACTCACTGCTGAAGGCTTGTTAGTCCGGGAAGCTGAAGAAATTGTGACAACTATAGGACAATATGATGGCATAATAAGCTTGTCTCGGTTACAAGACCCGAGGATGGACTTCGTAGAAAAAAATGTTGCCATGGACTTGTTTCCAAAGTCCAACAAAGGCTATGACAGTCTTAGAAAAGTTTCTGTGGATATTGGTTGTAGTATTATGCTGAAAAAACCTTGGAGACACTTTGATGAAAATGTAGCTTGGGAGTTGGCTGTTAATTGTGGATTTGGTATGTTGTAGGATTTTTCATACTTTATATCTTAACGCATTCGTTGCGGCAAACGCCTATCGGCGTTTTTTTATTTCATATTCAGGTGCGGAGTACGCCTATCGGCGTTTTTTACAATTGTATAATTCTTAGCAAAAAACAGTTATATTATCCATTAGAGGTGCTGAGGTGTTCGTTATAGACGAAAACCACCCTGATATATAAAGTTAATTTTCTTTGCCACAATGAATAGGTTAACATGGAAGTTCTATAAATTAATTTCTAAGAAAATTGTTATGTGAACAAACTTTTTTTTGTTTCAGAGGAAAATAGCAGGGGTATTGTCTGTGGTGGCAAAGGTGTGGGCAAGTCAACTTTCCTTAGATACTTTGTCAACAGGATGCTTATCAAAGGGCCAGTTCTAGTCATAGACTTAGATCCAGGCCAGGCTGAGTTTACTGTAGCTGGTAATATATCTGCAACTGTAGTCACTACACCTCTACTGGGCCCTAACTACACACATCTAAAAACACCAGAAATGTGTGTATTTTTTGCACTTAGTATTTGAATGAAATACTAAATGAAATGCAATGATTTAAAAAACCTTTTTCTTTAATTACAGGATGTTGAACATAGGCATGATCAACACAATGGACAATATAGCCCGTTATCTGAATGCAGTCACTCAGATCTTCTCACACTGTCACTCCAACCAGGCCTACAGTTCAATGCCCTGGATTGTCAACACGATGGGCATGTGCACGCAAATGGGCCTCAAATTCATTTTACACACAATTCAGCACACACAGCCCACTTTCTTAGTGCAAATAGATTCCCAAATCTTGAAAAAACGGTTCGAAAGCCACCTAGACACAGATTCTGTTAAAAGTTTACTTAGAAACTTTGACTGCAATATACTTAGGACTGCTGAGGATACTAACTTGGATTATAACTACATTCTGATGCAGCATGCTGAAGGGCCAGATAAGCATAACACCGCAACGTCGCCGAAAGAATTGAGATATTTGAACTTCTTGGCATATTTCGGCGAGCTAATGAACATACATAAAGGAACCCAGTTATTAGGAATTGTGCCGTACGAGTGAGTATTATTGTTACAAAAGCAATAAGTAGCCCACTTTTTATATAGCCAACTTTATTTATAATTTCTACTCAATGTAAGCCTACTTCGGCGGCTTCGTTGTGTAGATATAAAATTCTCATACAGGTAGATACCTACTAAGGTAAAACAGAATGGTAAAATATTTATTCATTGTAAAGTATGACCATGTTTTAAATTCTAATCCAAGTCGGAAAACAATAACTTCTTATAAAATGAACTGTATCTACTTACCTCTTCTGCCGCCCGCTCTATTATGATTTATGACACAGCTGCATGATACGATAGTTACCTGGAGGGCGACGTTGCTGTAGTTAGTTACCTGCTTTACCGCCTTGAAATATCTTGAATACCCATACCTAGTTTAGTTATGCTTGTGTAATTAGTACTTACGTACCTACATACATACTGGTCTTATTGGAATCTCTGACAGTTACAAAATTAACTGAGAAAATATTTTCCAAACTCAATACACATGAATGCTTGGCTTGAATTTGTTATCGAAATACTAAGGTATTCGTTTTAAATGGCCCGTGGAAGGCATTTTATAGTTGTGTAGGATTTATAGAGCCGCTAATTAGATCGAAAGGTATCTAAAGGTATATTACCTTTGGGTTGCTAGCTAGTACTTAGGTAGGTACTTTAACTCATTGTTTTTTTTGTGCGTATAAACAAACGAGATACCCTCGCCTTGTTTTTGCCAGAGCGGTTGAATAGCTGCAATGTTATTAGCTAATGAGTCTAGTCTAGTCTTATGTGAGAACGAGACAAATTGCTTACCCATGTAGGTGCGAGAGAGAAACAATATTTTTCCATTAGCCTACTCGATAAATGCCTCCATCTGTTTCGTTGATTTCACGATCTCGTGCTATTTCCGGCAACACTCAACACTGGTTGAACTCGGGTACTGTCTGCCGTGTTTCCCTATGGCTTTATCGTCTATGATTCATTGTCCACCTTGGCCTACAACTACAAGTCATTGAAAAACACACGCATTCGTAGAAATTGAGATTCATATGGCTATTTTGCGAGTAATGCCATCTACCTAATGATTTTGTTCAGAGTTGATTTCAAAACAATAAACTTTTTGGTACTGTAGGCAGTAGGGCATTAAACTAAAAGAATGCATTGCGTTTTTCACGGAACTTTCCATTCGTATATGTATTTTGATTACTTCAATTGGTGGATTGTTATGAATTACAAGTTCGATTATCACAATAACTGTGTGCCTCAATTATGAGTAATAAGATAACTGTCCGGGAATCGCGCGTGATTCATGCGAAGGCTAACAATGGCCTGTTAATCAATCAGCAGCTCAGATAACATTTCAGCTTCTATGAAAGTATTGAAATTTCAGAACTCAGCCGGAATGTTTTTATAATCACTTTCAGTAGAATATGGCAAGATAACAAGGAGAATATTGTTTCATAAAAATTTCGCAAAGTTCAAATATTTTGACACACCTAGCGTACTCAATTGAATCACACATACGTTACAATAAGCGCAAGTGTACCCATTGACACACATCTGTAAATACTTTAACAACTTGATCAACTTTCGAAAACATCTGGTTGTGCATTTGTTTCTCAAGAGCAACAGGTGGCATAACAACTACTATAGGTGGATAGGTTACTGAATGTAGCGTCTAATTCTAAACTCTATTATTGTTTTGTTCTAGAGTGAGCATGTCAGATGTGAACGTGTTGACTAACATGAAAGTAGCAAACGGTGCGGTGCTGAAGGTGATCAACGGAAAAATAGTAGCGCTCTGTCAACTCGCCATGAAAGATAAGGGGAAAGTGTTTACCCTGCAAGATAACGCACTGCTATGCCACGGAAACGGTAATTACTTTGTTATTTCAAAAAAATGTTAGGCCGTAAGATCTTGTTGGACTGGAACTAGATTTTTTCAATATTGATTTACTTTTGTTTTTATAAATATGAATATTTATTGCCAAATTAACATAATCATAGAAACAACCACAACAAACTTATCTACATTAATATTCCAAATAGACAACTGGTTTTTTGTATCAAGTTTTCAAACTTCTGTTAAAAATTAGTGCTCTACATTTCCAATATGAATCTTGTTTTCAAATAAAATACTTATATTCACGAATATAATATGCATGTGTCCTAAATGACTGAGATGAATTAGGTGCAATGTTCTTCAAGCAAACAAATTCTTAACAGTTAAAATATGCAGTTTACTCATATAATGTAATTTCAAACAAATAGCATAAAAGTTATGCATAGAAATATAATTAATATCGTAAAATGTGTTATCAATAAGTGTAATAAAGTGCTGATTAAATATGATAACTAAGAACGTGACATACTCAGGCGTTTACTGAAGGTGTTTGTATTGTAACAGGTTTGGTCCGTGGCGTGGACTTTGAGAAGCGGCTGCTGTACATCGTGACGCCAGTGGCCGCGGACAAGCTGAGTGCGGTGGACACATTGCTGTACGCGGACTGGGTGCCCGACCTGCACGGCCCTGAACGGTTCCTGCCTGAGGGCACTGAGGTGCCTTACCGCAGCCTCACTGACTACAGACAGAAACAGTTCATGCAGTCGCCCAGGCGCCGCTTCAACCCGCTACAATTACTAAAAATGTCAAGGAGTGCCTAAATTGAAACTTTCCATTATATTGGTTAATAAATTTGTAATTGGAATAAATCCAAAATAATAAATCTTAAATTATATAAAAGGAAATCTAATAATTATTTTGTTAATTATATTTGACGATAATTTTGTACTTACAAGACTAATGAAACATAACATAAATGATCATATTTAACTTAAATATTCCCCATTCTAAACACCTTTGCTTTATAAATGCTGCATTAAAATTTTATAAAAAGTCAAAAAGAGTCTAGTTAAGAATTGTTGACATGGGGTTCCTTTATTACTAATAAATTATATTAGGAAGTTATGATTTCACACAAACAATAGATTACAATACAACTGCCCTAAAGAATCAGATTGGACGTCTCAGAGACGTGTCTAGCTGACAGGCACTTAGATGAGAGTGGGGCTCACGCTCCGTGTCAAATAAACATCCTACACAATTTATACACCACTATTTTATTGAAAAATTAAAATACAAAATACCGAACTAAACAAGTCTCGGTGAGATGCCACCGGTCGAGGTATAATCTATATGTAGAAGAAATGCTACTCGATTATATAACGTGATATTATAGCATGAAAAATTCCAGTGGCCCTGCCGGAGACGGGAGGTCCACATGCCCCCGACTACTTTTGTTAAGGCATTTACGCTTACTCTTTATAGATAATCTATAAAATATACAAAGTACCAATTGTGAAAGAGTAGCCACACAAATACTGAGTGAGTGTGCGTGCGACGCGGGCCGCGACTTCGCGTCTGCAGTCAGTATCGGAAGGAAGCACTGTGTGGCCGACCTCGCGACTGATGCACAGTCCGAGTCGTTTCAAACTAAGTTATCAGGCAGTATGCGAACAATTCATAAATCAGAGTTCTCCCGACAACAGCACAATTACAGCAGGGAACACCTAGTCTTCTTCTTCTTTTTGACCTGTAATGCGGCGCGAGTCGCCGTCTCGAACACCTCACGCACTCCCTCCTTACTCTTGGCAGAGCACTCCAAATACGCGAACGCGTTGATCTTCTCGGCCATCGCACGACCTTCCTGCGGCTTTACCGGCTCCTGCTTCATCTTACGAAGCTCGTTGATCGTGGCCGGGTCATTACGCAGATCCTTCTTGTTTCCCACTAGGATAATGGGCACATTAGGGCAAAAGTGCTTTACCTCGGGTGTCCACTTCTCCGGGATGTTCTCGAGCGAGTCAGGCGAGTCCACCGAGAAGCACATGAGGATCACGTCCGTGTCAGGGTACGACAGAGGCCGCAGCCTGTCGTAGTCTTCTTGGCCAGCCGTATCCCAGAGAGCAAGTTCAACTTGCTTGCCATCCACCTCGATGTCGGCGACGTAGTTTTCGAACACAGTCGGCACGTACACTTCCGGAAACTGATCTTTGCTGAATACGATGAGCAGGCATGTTTTACCACACGCACCGTCACCGACGATCACTAATTTTTTGCGTATCGCAGCCATCGGTCCTGTGAAACAATACAACGCAAATAATTATGATGGTGTCGAGCGTCAACGCCTTTCATGACTTATAAATATGGCCGCCGTATAGGATTATGGGTAGGGAGTAGTCAGACAAGCCCTCAAATGTGAATAAGCACCTGAACTAGCGGAAGAAGTACAGCACCACCACATAGTACCCTCACATGCGAGGGTGTTATTTATTATATTTTGTAGATACCTGAAGATTGTGGCTAATTTCTGCAGAATATTGGCTTATCGACACTGTTTAATCGTCTTTGCTCATCACAAGCACTTTCGTTCGTAAGTCACTAATGTTGCAACACTACAAAATATATCATTAATTTGATTCGTAACAATTTTTCCTTATATTGAAATAATATTTACTACAATACATTTATTTAATATATCATCTATTATGAAAGCGCCTAATGACAATATGTATCAATTTATGTAGGTAATTAATTTATAAAATCAAAATACATATCAAATTTTATTTGCCATATCAAAAATATGAATGTTTTGACATTTGGAAAATAATCGGATACACGTACCAAACAGATGGTTCATTTTCGTAGAGTATAAATATCGAAAATTTTCATAAAAATATACGTATTGAAAACGTAATCTTATTTTTAATTTAGTAGAATTATTACAGTCGATATTCAGTAGTACAAAACAGGTTACTTATTTTACATACGGACGGTATAATCATTATATAATATGGTATGCCATGCTTTGATTATGTTTAGAAAAATAAAGTAAAGCATAGGAATAGGAATTTTAACAATATTTTACGAAATACTTATTATTAAGTATTTGGATTTAATATATTAACGAAAAATAAAAATAAAACATTTTAATATTTTAAGTTTTAATTGCTAACGGACACCACTCGTCATGCACACATGAATGAATATTGTAACGTATCCATGCTAGTTTACATACCATACCTATGTCCTTCCTATAACGTAAAGTGGCGAGTCTTCTTCATAGACGGGATTATTGCAATGATGTAATGTTCAGTAAAGGCATATAGTATATATGTAATCATTGGTTATGTGAAAATGACTGCATGGATATAAATAAACTGTTGACACCGTCAGTGCGGACTATGAGGTCATACACAATATGAATTAGTACATATAGCTAACGGTGTTCATGAGGTCAAAAAACGTCATGGTCATGTAGACCGGTATTTTAGCAAAGATATGAAACTAGGAATTTTATGACGTAGAGCTAGGTAGATAGGTGCATAATGTTATAGATAATGACTATAATATTTAACGGAAAATTAATGAGTAAGCCCATGGGTAGGTACTTACCTACTTGTTTATAAAGTAATATAAGTCTACTTTATCTGCTTGAAGTATTTTTATTTTTGATAAAATTGCAGTTCAATAAGTACCTAATACTTATCGATGCAAGCTGCTGCCTTTTATCTACTTAGGTATGTTAATTAGCTATATAAGCTGTACTTCGCTGTGTTCTTAAAAATACAGGTACGTAAGTATCTACCTAGTTGCAAAAAACTGAAACATGACTTAGTAAACGTACAAAATATTTGCTAATGCACTTGAACAGTTTCTTATCAGAAAACTAGACAAAGCCAACAATTTAAACTGATTACATATTGAATCTATTGCGGACGTCGTCGTGTCGTGTATGAAGTGAATTAGTGACTCACGTCCTTCACGTTCGTCTCGTATGTCTAGCGGTTGCCATCGCCGTTCTACGGTTTCGATTATTAAGAAAAAAATATCTCATTGACAAACATTCTTTAAATATTCAAGTATTTTGGTTCCAAATAGACTGTATAGTGACTGTTTACGGTACCTATTATTAGATTCCAATTAAATAATGACATCTGCCTGCATCTACCATATGCGATTTCAAGCATTTATTGAACTGGTTCAGCCCATAAATGCCCATACTGTAACAAGTTCGATTTCAAAAGTGTTATTTATATTATGTTAGCCGTCACTTTCGCAAAGACAACTTCAACACTCTTGGACGATCACTCGTTTACAATTTCAATAAAACACATGACTTTCGGCAAAATTTGAGGATTATGCTAAGAATAAATTCCGTGCGGGAATCGAACCTGCGACACGTTGCACAGCATCCGATTGCTCAGTCCCTCTACTAACCATGCAGTTTTCGTGTGCAAGCGGTATTTTTTTGTGTACTTCCTTGTACGAGGAATCGCGACCGGTACCCTGTGTGAAAATTAGTTGCGCTAAGGTGATCAGACGGGGTTGGAGTTAGTAGTTATGCTGACTCTCTACTAATATCGACATAACGGGCTGTCGCCGCCAGGACTGGGCGCGCTTAGTCGCTAGACCGGTCGGCGATGTCTTTACTCAGGTTTCATCAGCGTCTTCTACATCGGCGTTACTTTTTCCTCGTAACTGAGACATTAAGGGTTTTTTAATGGGGCGAGCCCGCCATAACCACCCAAAAACCGCTGCAACTCCTGTAAGCCAGGACCTACAGTAGACAAAACCATGAAAACACCGGAACAATGAAGTCCGGTGCGACCCAGAGACATGAATAACTGTCTGTCTGGTGGGAACCAAGACAGTTATTCATGTCTCTGGACAGTTCTTCTGTCATGCAACGAAATAAATCAGAAGATATTACAAGAGGATAAAGAATTTCGATAGCTTCAATCTCCCTCCACAAATAACTGTAGGAGACAGAATGAATTAAGCCTAAAGGCACAAAAAGAGAACATTAAAGGTAAGTAAAATAAAGAAACATGTTTCTTATTTTTCCATTTTCCCGTTTATTTACAATACAGTTATATGTAGGTATGTGATATCCAGCAACCTTACTTTTAAATGCTTAGTAACTACAATAAAATTTAGATCAACAACATTTTGATCAGAGTTCCAACAAAAATATAGATAATTTAAAAGCAATTTGATTTTTTATTAAATAACATCACAAGCATTAACATAAATAAAAAACATAGTAATTGATTACAATCGTATAAATATAGTAGTAAAAATTAAACTTTTATTAATTAATTCCTCTTTATTACAAATAAGAAACAAAATAAATAAATATGTAAATTGCCAGCGTTAAAAATCAACAAACAAATAATTTTACGATGATTAATAAATGCATTATAGAATTAGGATCATATTGAGCCAACGGAATGCAATAAAAAGGAGCCAAGCATGTTTGGCAAGTGATTTAAATCTTCTAAAGCATGCTTACATTTCTAGAATAGCTTTGCCAAACGAAAACATCTTGGCTAATAAAATAGTATAAAAATAAATGCTTATTTCCTTCAATTATCTTACAGTTAATTGCACAAGAATTTATTATAAAGTCATGGCCTTAGTCGTGCAAGTAAAATGTGCGTGTAAAGAAATAAATACGATTAAATATTGCTTTGAAATTACATCACATAAGGCGTTACTACCTAAATTTGAAAAAGGCACATTATTCCTAATGAAATGTTCTAATTTATATAAGGTATTAAAAGTGATGCTTCTTCAAAAAATATTATTTTTGATAACAATACTTATACCTAATTAAGATTTTATTTTAAATGGTTTTGTTTGTGCTAGCTACTTATTTGAAAGTTGCGATATAAACTGTACTTTGGTGAATTGTTGGCAAATACTTAAAAATTGTTTAGATACCTAGGTAAGGAATAACTAATCAAGGCACTAATATTGTGTTTTTCTTTAAATTCAAGTAACCAAGTTCTTATTTAGTAATTAATAACATTATCACAATAGGGTCGCGGCAATCCTTGCGAAGCCGCTTCAGTCACTCCTTAAGAATCTTCGGATAGCGCCTGGAAATAAAAAAAAAAAAAAAAAATTAGTAAATGCCAAAATAAATACTACGACAGTGAAACTAAAAAATATTTGTCTTCAAGGCGTAGAGTGAATAGGTTGCATATGGGCAGACGTGCTCTATCGTAGACCGAATCATCGCTGATCACCAGGCGAGATAGTGGCAATACGTCGGCCCATCAAATACTTATAAAAAAAATATTCTCGTCTTTTTAAAAGAGAAAAAGTGCCTAAATATATTGTATTTTTTTAAGGGGGGAAAATCATCGAATGACTGCTCCCGCCTGGGTGAGGCGGGAGGGAGTGTCAGACTCTTACTGAATAAAACACCACCCTGTTCCTTCTCCTGCACGTCGAGCCGGAGCCCCGGTTACCCGTTAGGTTCTCCGCGACTAATATTTTGTATAATAAGGCCTACTAATAGGAGAGACATAAAATAAGCCCTACGTATAGGACTACATCTACAACAAACTTACGGACAGACTAGCTATCAAGCTGACTGTCATGCTGGTCTGATCATCAGATCATAATTCATCATAACAATAAAAACATCATAGAAATTTTTCTTAAAAATCAAAAAAATTAACACACTTCCGTGTTATACTATCTTTTATTTGGTTTTACTAAATTCAAAAAAAGAAGGAGTTACTATGTTCGGCTGATTGTTTTTTTTTGTTTGTTTGTTCGAGCATAACGCCGCCGTTTGTGAACCGATTTCCAAAATTCTTGTTTTGTTTGAAAGGGTTCCGACTTCTTACCTATACCTATCAGTACTAATAATAGGTATTTTTTCTTTTTATTTTTGACTTTTTGTTTGTTATTAGTTTTTGGTATTTTTACTAAGTAGGTAGATACTAAAATAAATTATACAACTAGGAACTTAATGATACCTAGGTATATTATTTATGATAATACTATATCTTGCAAATTACATTAGGCAAATTATAATAAAATTCTAATTTGATACATCTGTTTACTTTTCAGTATTATTTTTGCTAGTCTAGGAAAACGACGTGTGGTTGGAATATCATAGTACTATAGAAAAATTAAATAAGATCTGATTGTTTATTAATATTATCTTATCTCAATAATTTCCCTATAAGTGAATTTTTGTTTTTTAATCTTACAGGTATTACTGTCAGTTATGAAGCCAGGAAAATGAAGAGACAATGAGGGAAAATGAGGTATCTGTAGATTACACCTATGAATGTGCTAATTTCCTGAGTTTGTACATTCATGTACTTACTGTACAATAATATTAAAGATAATATTTATATACCAAAGATATTATAAATATTATGGCTTTAAGACTGCCTCGTTGGCCGAGTGGTCGCAAGTGCGGCTGCCGTGCAAGGGGTCTCCGGTTCGATTCCCGGGTAGGGCAAATTATTACTGGCTTTAAAAAAGTTCTCAGCAGTATCACGGAGTCTGGAATTGTGCCTGGTATATGGCAATACGCTCACCCCCTATTACATGGGACATGGGACTCATAACATAAATAGTGAAAAGTGGGTGTTACATTGTACAGTGGTATAATGTGCACCTCTGCCTACCCATTCGAGGATAAAAAGCGTGTTATGTTATGTTAATATTTATTATTTATATTACGATTTCATCGTTTTGTTGCCTATACAGTGTGTCCGTATTACCTAAAGCGTAAGTAAGTGTACTGTCTATAATAATACGACAAAAACATAATACCTTGTGCATTTTAAAACTCATTTACAAATTTTACATAGCCTTTTTACCCAAAGCGTAGGTTAATATCCTAAGCGAAAAATACATAAATCCTATGTACTTTAAAGTCTATGTATTGTGTTAAATACACATGTAAACTTTTCATTAGACAGTTGCCAAGAATATCCAACGCCCAATCGTTTTATGGGATCAGACCGTGGCCATAAATCGCGCTGATGCTAATATTTGTTTAGCTATGACAAGCACGTAAACCCTACTACAGTTTGTTTATGTAATTTCAGATTATAAACTTGTCTATAATATCTATCTACACCATTGGCTATAAGTTATTTGCTCTAGTTAATTTGAAATTGCCACGTCAACACGAGTATTAGATTGGCACAAAACTACGGTGACCTTAACGAGTGCTGCTATACTTTGCCAAAATATATGGTTGTATCATAAATAAATTAACAAGTTATCGAGAAAAACGTGTTTTATAATTCATTTAATCGTTTATATCCGCCGTAAAACATTGTACCATCACGATCAGGTTTTTAGTCGATTAATTTTATTCGACTAAAGAGTTCGTTCACGTGACTTTTTAAAAATATTGACAGATAGAATTTTGGCGGTTTATTTGAAATTGAAGGTTGTTTTATTTTAAAATTTTGTACGAAATATAAAGCGTTTAATCACAACGCAGACATCTTTTAGAGGAAAGCAATATTTTTATTTTGAGTTCCTTGCTAAGTAATTAGAATTTACATTTTTGGCATCATCATTATTTTAGTAATGTACGTAAAACATTGCATAAAAATGAGTTTCTACTCTAATCAGTAGTCTTTTTCATCAATAATTAATAACCAGGTATAATGTAGGTTTTTTCTTATTATACCTCTGTATTATTACTAAAAATTTTTAGAATACTGCAAGGTCATACGTTATTTACTGAATCTATTATAAATATTTTTGGGAAATAAAACAACGAATTATATTTTAAAGATTTTTATAAAATTACAAGTAACATTTCGTTTGGCCTAGTTGTATTAATTAATTTATACAATTGTGCCGTTCACAATTTGTTTGTGTAACTTAAAATTAAAATACTATGTATGTAATACTATCATTACCGACTTATAACCTACGCCTGTAAACAAATAAAGATAATTACTTTTTAAAATTGAATTAAACCTTCATGCTCTCCATAATTAAAAATAAAGCAGATTCTTTTCTGTTCCTTTTCCTAATTGGGTGTGTTATAAAATCATATAATATACTTAGCCAATTTAAGAGAATTTTTATTTATTTTGCTTATTACTTGATGCCCTACTTTGTGGTAACACTACTATCCTATCGATCTGACTGAATAATATCCACATTATCCCAAATAACATATCCGATTTTTCTATGAATGATTTACTTTTTTTTTAAAACCGATGTGTTCAAGAAGGTCAACCTAATTTTGACTGATTTCATCTAACTATATCTAATACTAAACATATCGAGTAGAGAATTCATATATCATTCATCTGAAATTTTAGTAACGAAAAAAAACCAAAACCCACATAAATAAATTTGGAAAATTTTACAACACGCCCTCTATATCACGACACCTTAAATTATTAATTACTTCTTTACCTTTTGCCAAGCGAAGATGCCATATGAGAGTCCGGCGCCCACCGCGAAGCAGAGTAGGTAAGGCAAGAACTTCAGTGATGGACCAAAACGTTTGCGGAGAAGTAGGTTTAACATCTTCAAGTTGCCGTCTGTGTATGGTGGGTAACGGCCACTGTAAAAGAGAATACTCTTATAAATAAATATTTTTTTTTATTCGGCGGCAAATGAGCAGACGGATCACCTGATAGTAAGCAATCTGCGCCGCCCATGAACACTCGCTACATACAAGTACGTTGGTGGCCTTTCGGGGATAAATACCTATTTGATGATTGGGTGATTGAGTGTGGCGGGGGGGGGGGGGGGAGCGTCCGGTAGCTCCTGTTCGCACATACAATGCTCTACAAACATTAGTTGTTTCCGGTTTTCTGTGAGGCCGTAGTATCACTCAGGTTGAGTCCGTTTATTTGTTTCGGCACAAATGGCTTAGCTCTCATATTTAGATACTATACATACTCATTAATAAGTACACTTTCACATCATCAAATTACTCCTGTCTTGGGTGAAGCGTTAGAGTTTTAGAAACTTACTAAAAACCACCCCGTTCCTCTTCCTGCTTAGAGACGGGGTCGCGGTATAAGTCGCCTTTACCAGGCAGATAATTGGGTAGCTACACCATAAGTACTATTTCAATGAAAATTATTATTATAGTGTACTATAAGGAAATTTATTTGTATAGATGTACTACAGGAAATAACGAGTGTAGGTACCCGTTTTAATAAATGTAACGTATGTTCTGACTTGTAGTGGTTGTAAAAATGTAAACAAGTTCACAATGAGTATCCTTATTTCATATGTTTATAACAAACAAGACCTTGTGTGACCCTGTGTGTTTGTGCTTTTCGGTACTCAGTACAGGGTGCTTACTCTTGAAACCAATCTCAACGTCAATGCAATTTCAATCAAATAAAATCTAAATTAACTAAAATCGCGGGTTACTCACGTGAATGTACTGAGAAAAGCTACTACTACCGCGCACGCTACTCATGAGGCAGAACCCCTCTGTGGTTCGAAATTGTAGAGCTATTCTTCAGTTAATATAGTATGTCTCACGATAGTTATTATAAAAACCAATAAAATCTCAATAATTATTCAATGTTAAAACTATACAAGCACTATTGTATCTGTTAAAATAGCATTCAGAGTACGGAATATAAAGCCAAACTCGGTATTGAGTTTGGCTTTATATTCCGTTTATTTAGTTAATTAAATATCCACGCAATACGGATGCAATGGGCGCTAGTGTTGCAACTCAAGAGTACGAAAGTATACAATACCAATGTCGATATATCAGAATTGGATTCAAGAGAAAGCCTCCTGGTTATAGGTATGTTAAAATTAATTAAGTATATCTCAAGATTTAGTATATCTTGAGACATACGTAACGTGAGTAACCCTTTATTTTAAATTTATAGTTTTTTAAATTATTAAAAGAAAAGGGATTTCGTAAAAAAGTAATAGATACTTACGAAGCCAATTTCTCTCCAATAGGCGAGAAGTTCTTGACAAGGCAACTCTTCTTATGTGTGAACGTTTCGAAAGTCTTCTTCCCGTGGTATGCACCTAAACCACTGGCGCCGACACCGCCGAACGGCAGCGACTCAACTGTTTATTTACAATTTTATTACTATGGAAATAAGGGTTGATTTTCAAGAACACTGCTGAGATTTTCATTTTATTTCAGTTTATCATATTTTGAGGTTGATTATTATAATTTAGTTTTTTTTTATTTGCAGTTTGGCAATATTAGAGGTGTGTTCTGCCCTTTATTTGCATGTTGACAACTGTTATTTTTTGTCCTCTTTAAGAGTACAGATTGTTGTCTAATTAATCAGAAAAAAACAATTTAAACTTGTTTATGATAAAACTAACTTGATATGTTTTTCACTCAAAATATGAATCTTAAAGCTAATGTAATAAAAGTTAAAATTAAATGAGAAATCTCAGCAGCTATTTAACAATTTTATACACAACACAGAATAATTTAGTTATAAAACAATTTAAAGTTCATGCTACTTCATGCTATTATTAATATTGGCAGTCAGCAGATAGGAAGGAAGTGTATTTACATCAAAAGAAGTTAGTCTACATACAAATTATATGTACAGGGTTGCAAACATTACCTATTTTAAAATGTTGGTGTTGCAAGTTGGAAATAATTGGTGTTATATATACTAAAGTACATTTGAGATATTTAAGATTAAATAACAACTGCATATTTTTTTACAAATACTTCAGTTTCATACGTCTTATTTAATCTTATTGTCTAAAATTCAAGTTATTTCAATAAGACCAAAATAAGACATTTTTGAGTAATTTTGTTTGATTTTTTTTTAAGATACAGGTGTCAGTCTGTCGGTCGGTTATTGAAGGTATCTCTTCTATTTATTTGTCTGCAATATTAATTTCAATAGATCTATCAATATTCATATTTACGTAGGTAGTCAACTTGCGTCACTTCTAAACATAGAACCAACAACATTGCCTAAACTCTTTCAGTCTTAAGTCGGAATACTGAAACGGTACTCAATTTTAAGTCGTGCTTAAGTATAGTTCTATCTCTACAAATTCTTTGTAAAATGACAGAGATGGCACGATATTTGAGCACGACTTAAAATTGAGTAACGTTTCAGTATTCCGGCATTAGTGGTCACTGTAGCTTTTCCACCTTTTCTTAGAAATTAAATTTTTAAAGTATGCTTCAAATTTTTTTTTAAGTATTTCAGTATAATTAAATAAAATATATTCGTAACCAGTTAAGTATCACTGAAAGAGTTAAACCATAGAGTAACAAAAATAAATTCAAACCTGCGAGGTGCATCATGGTATCGTTAACGCACATTCCGCCGCTGCTAGTGTTGTCCACAATTTGTGACAGAACCTTGTCGCTCTTGGAGAACACGTACAGCACTAGCGGCTTCTCTCTATATACAACAGAATGTGTCAGACCGCCACCCAACAGGCAATTAACTACAGAAGTGTGTAGACTACAACTTATTGTCTATATTTGGTTTTCTGTCAAAGCTTTTTGTTCATAAAAAGAGGATATTTGTTATTATAATGTTTGATCCTCGGAAGGTTGGGCAAAAGTGTACATATTCATTGTAACAACCACTTTTCACCAGCTACATTAGGGTCTTATACTAGATTTTTGTAAAAAACATTTCCATAAAAACTTTGACAGAAAACATTTTAGTCAACAGATTTTTTAGTCAATTTGCGACATAAAATTATTGACTAAGTCAATCTTATTTTACATTAAATAATTAACTAAAATTAAATACAACTGGAGCTTAACCATCACCATCCATCACCATAAGATAAAGTGAAAAGAAACGTGTAACCGAAACCACATGCAGAATGAACAAAAATGTCCTATTTTATTATACAAGACCAAAATAGAGAAATTACCAATTACTTAAGCCTTTGACTGCCGACAGAAAACTGCTGAAGGCAAATCCTCCGCTAACGTAGGTCACCGGTGACCTACGCGGTAGTTAACGTGTTAATTTTTTTTTCTACATTAACTCTCGACTGACATTATTGATTACATTTAACGATTTACCCCCGTATATTGAAAGGCTACTCAATTTTAAAGTTGTAGGTACTATTTTAGTGTTACTCATGTAATTATTTGACGGGGTAACTTGATTACTTTCAAGCTACACCAGGGGCTTATAACTATTAGGAGCATTGCACGAGTAATATGCTACTATGTTAATCAGATTTATGCATGGAAATCAACTAATACTTTTATCCTCTGCTAGTCGTAAGAAAGGAGGTAAATATTTATATACGTATATATCAAAATGGCTATAAAAAAGGAGGGTTACTGATGTCAATTCCTTCTCTGGTCTTGTACTATGAAATAAATCATCATTATATCGAAGTTTCCACCATCACCGTTCGAAGACACACTAAGCTAAGCGCATGTACCACAACCGGACGACTGTTTGCATTACCACACAAAACGTTTACGAATAATGAAAAAATATATACTAAAAAGGGTTATTTTAAAATCTTAGTAACATGAATATGTATGTAATGTCTGTAGACATCTCTATATCACCTACATTTGTGTGTTTTATCTCTCCTGCTCTTGCGCATATTACTCATATAGTTTGTACTTATCTAATGCATACGTAACATTATTGATACATAAAAGTTACACTATTCTTGAATTGACGTTATTTGTAGAAGTTTTGAGTAATCGCTGCATCGATTGATAATCGACTAAATTCGTTATTAATATCGATTATTCGTAAACGTTGAGCATAGTTGTTACAAACAGCCAATGACAATGTTTCCTTACCGGCGTAAAACATGATTGTGTCATTGATATTCACGCTCCCTGACCGGGTCTGATCAGTGAACAACTTTTGTATGTTCTTTTGTTTGCTGAACACGTAAAGCACTAAAGGATGGTCCCTGAAAATTTTCTACTATTCATAATGTGGCCTCACCTCCATGGTTCCCTCCAATGGGTTGATGGCGATGGGACTGGCCATAACCAACTGTCATTAACGTTCCGAATTCGAATCGAATATAACTTTATGACATGATCTTTATTTGAATTTATTTCTTTATTTTTTCGTTACTCGAATAAAATAAAGTTGTTAGCCAGTTCAAATATAGTCGATTCGATATCGATATCACAATAAAAATCGACTAAATGATTCCAGTTTCGATTTGTAGTATAATCGATACGATATTGGTATGGTATTTTATGAGGAATGTTTATCATGTAATTTTTGTGCGTTCCCTGTAAATTAAGTGCACTTAATGAGGTTTTATGAGTCCCAAAATAACCATTTCTGATTCTTTCAGCTCTGAAAGGTTATTAAGAAATTATCGAAGATTTTGTATGAAATTAAACCAAGATTAAGATAAACTTCATTTTTATTATGAAAGTTATTTTTGTGTCCATGGAATTAATTTTACTAATCGATTTTAAAAACTGTGATAACAACTGAGATATGGTTTGTTGTCAAGTAATTATGAATCTCTGTGATTATAATTTATCAGTATTATGATATACCGATGAATATACTTTATATGATTTAGCCCTTTGGTTTAAACTTTAAAATACCCAAAATAGTATAAATGAAACTTCTCCAGATGTAGCACACTACACGAAGGGCACACTCTAAAACACACACACAACCCCACAAAACAACCTAAAGAGAATGTAAATTAAAATCGTAATCAAAGAATTTGATAAAATAAACAGCATTTTCCCTTCTGGCGCGACCAAGCGAGCCGAATGCATTAGTTTCGTCACTTCGTCGCGCGCCCTGCTTGAAGCGATAAAAACAAAACTTATCACAGTTCTGTCTTTAAGCTCGATCCAGCATATTTAGCAGCACTTCAATTGTATTGCAAAATCCGAAAATAGCATTATTTAATTCAAGTAATGTTACTTAAGTAAATTGGCAAATATTCTTCAGTCTCCATTATCGACTTAGAATACATTGTCAAAAACGCCAATTTATCAGAACCCAATATAAAACCTCGTTGACAACACCATTTTGGAGACTCGGTTGCCAAAGAAGAAGAAAAAAAAACCTCGCTCCTTTAAATTAAAAAAAATGTCTCCAAAGAAACTAGCGTAGTCACGCCCGAATACTGAAAAGCTACTCAATTTTAACTTGTACTTCAATATCGTGCTATCTCTGTCATTTTTCAAAGAGGTTATAGTGACAGAACTATTTTTGAGAGCAAATTAAACAGTGGCGTAACTATACCGTTCGGGGCCAGTGGCATATTCATCAGATAGTTCCCAGTAAAAAAATTGAGAAGCTCAGATTTAGCACAATTGACAGGCATTTTACTGACTTGCCACACTTTTTTTTAAGGGGGGAAAATCATCGAATGACTGCTCCCGCCTGGGTGAGGCGGGAGGGAGTGTCAGACTCTTACTGACTAAAAACCCCCCGTTCCTTCTCCTGCACGTCGAGCCGGAGCCCCGGTAACCCGTTAGGTTCTCCGCGACGACTTGCCACTCTGTAGTTACGCCACTGGTTTTAAAATCGAGTGTCCTTTGAATATTTGAACATTGGACTTACCTCTCGTTGATGAACTTGATAGCTTCATAAGCGTTTTCAACAGGGACTATGGGGAGGATGGGCCCGAAGATCTCGTCCTGCATGATCTTATCTGACCCCACGACATTTGTCAGAACAGTCAGTTCAACGAACTTGTCGTTAGCATCGTAGGAACCTCCGATGGCGATTTTGTCTTTGCTCGCGTCCACTAAGGCTTGGAGACGGCTGAAAGAATTTTGTTGACAGTTTTTATTAAAAATACTGAAGTGTTTCGGAAAACTAGATTTTAATTTGAAATTCCCTAAAATATTTGACGTAGACTTTTAAGAAGTTTTTTTTATCTTTAGCAGGTAATTTAAAGTATTCTACAATGCGTACTTAATTAACTTTTTATATGTCTTATGAAAATATTTATTACCAATTTTACATTGAAAAAAAAACCCACATCCAAAATGGCAAAGTATAATAATACATTTCACTCACCTAAAATGTCTAGAATTGATGATTCTGGCGAAGTCTGGAGATTTCTGTGGTTCTGGTCCATACCATTCTTGTAGGACCTTCTTGGCGGCTGCGACAAACTTGTCCTGGGTCTCTTTGGTACACAGAATGTAGTCCGGCGCGATACATGTCTGACCAGCGTTGATGAATTTACCCCAGAGCACTCGCTTTGTGGTTATCATTATGTCTGCTGTGTTGTCAATGTATACTGGGCTGTAACGCAATGGTTTTAAAGATTAATTTTGATTTTTTTTTTTAAAGGGGGAAATTCATCGAATGATTGCTCCCGCCTGGGTGAGGCGGAAGGGAGTGTGGACTCTTACTGACTAAAAACCACCCCGTTCCTTCTAAATTAATTTAGATTAAGATTGGTTTTATTGTCAAAGGTTCTCAAAGTACATTTCGAGCAAAGCCTTCTATTTCGAAAACCGCAGTTAAAGTCTGCTATACCTACTTCTTCTTGTAATATATGAGGGAGAATTATTCGTTTGTAAGGATCATAGGAAACTCATTAGAGAGGCTTATATTTTTTTTATTTTATTTGATGGGCCGACGTTTGACCACTATCTCGCCTGGTGGTAAGCGATGATGCGGTCTACGACGGAGCACGTCGTCCCATAAGCAACCTATTCACTCAGGCCTTGAAGACACCCAGGTTATACTCTTCAGGAAGTATAGACTCTGACTATTTAGCAGTAGCAGTTAGGATGATCATGCGACTGACATATTATGATGAATCATATTATTATTAATTTTTGTTTATTGTGTTTTTTTGATTCATCAGACCAAGTAAGATCGGAATGATCAATCTTAAATCTTGTATTGTTCGACGCCTGATTTTTCCTAGATTTTGACTATCTACAATCTATATCTGCTATCTACATAATAATTATGTGCAAAGTAATGTTATAGCATACTTTGACCCTATGTCTTCTAGTCATCATATCTACGTCAATTGCATAACTATTCATAACTAATTACTAGATTTAAATTAATTATCTAAATACAGATAGATATGTAATCTATAATATTTATTTTATCGAATTTATCGGCTACTGGATGATATTGTATATTCTATATTATGCTGTTCTAATTATTTTATTCATAGGACAACATAACAATTACTTTCATTGAAAAATGACCTCGTGTCCATCAATCTAAAGTTTATTTTCCTTTAAAATTCTTTAGCTACACCATTCTCGCATCTCAATCATAAAATGAACTATATTGTCGTGAGTTTAAGATTTACATTCCTTTACCTTTTGCCTCCAAGTTCCAAGGTGACAGGGGTGAGGTTCTTGACGGCGGCTTCGTAGACAATCTTGCCGATGCTAGTGCCGCCGGTGAAGAAAATGTAGTCGAATTTCTGTTTCAACAGCTCTGTGGTTTCTTGGGGACCTCCTTCCACTACGATAATTGCATCCTGTAAAGAAAGTTGCATAATTATAGGTATATATGTTTTCAAAAAGATTTATTTAATACAATAATGTCACTACGTTGAAAAGACTGACTACAACCTCCTTTTTTGTAGTCACTAAAACCAGCTCCTAACAAACAAAACTAACAACTTCTCTGAAAACTGCATTAAAATCGATTTAGCCAATCGCGAGATAATCTTAGACAAACGTACAAACAAAGAGGTCAAACAGAGAACCTCCTTTTTTAGTCGAACTCCTTTTGAAGTCGATTATAATTAGAGCTGTCATAAACTTTACATTGTTATTGTCGGAATACTCAAACGCTACTCAATTTTAAGTCGTGCTTAAGTATAGTTCTGTATCTACAAATTCTTTGTAAAATGACAGAGATGGCACGATATTTAAGCACGACTTAAAATTGAGTAACGTTTCAATATTCCGTGTCAATTTCAATATATGTGAGCTAAGCTGCGGGCACAGATAGTTTCTAAATACAAAAATCAAGCACCGACATAACTAAAAAAAATGTAGTTCATTCGATCGATCTCTTTCTGTCCTTATCGCCATCGGACTATTTTCGATATAGGTTAAGAACTCATTATTATTACCTATCATTACTGGAATATAATTTTATGAGTATATTTATGTGAGCGTGACACACGTGACTTTACTATACAAATAGATTATTTACTGTGTGTGAAAATATAGTTTTTGAAACGTAACAGTAATAGTAACAAAGTTCAGATTTGTATGTTTTAACTCCTACCTATTACCTCGCCCCTATTGCCTACATGGGACTAATCACATAACTTTTATTGCATTTATTTACTATTTTTATTACATTTTCCTCCTAAATCTAGGCTGCGATCACTATACTAGGGATGATGACAGGGTATGAAAATTGAAAAAAAAAATCTAATTAGTCCGTCAGTTAGATAATGAAAAAATATAGAGATTTTTTTATTTTGTCGTATCAGAAAACAATACTTAGATAAAACGAATCAAAGTTTAGGAGTGGGAGGTAGCTTCGTCATTTTAGAATATAAATCATACTCAAAAGTGACGTCATGCAATATTTCAAATCAATATATCTTCGAAACTATTCGTTTCCGTAAGAAAATAAAAAATACGTGTCTAATGTTTTTAAATAATCTACCAGACGGACATTATAATAAAAAGTCATCTATTAACATATTTGTTTGTAAGTATGGATAAGACCCATTATGAACAAATAGACCTTCTATTAATAGACCTGATGTCCTTTAACCTTCAACTTTATGCTATGCCAACGAAATAAAGGTCATATTCCATGTAAGGAAATACAATATTAAAAACTAAAGTAAAGTAACTAAAAAAAGTGGTTTATGAAACTGGATCAATGCAGTTTTGTTTCTTTATTCAATTGACATTGCTCTACATAAAGGTTCAAAATGAAGGAAGTGAAAGGGAAAGGTTGATAGTTTTAAACAAATTAGTAAGTTTTTCATTATTGGAAATAATTATTTCGATTTTACAGCCTTTATATGGTTGTCTATAGAACGATTTGTATCTAGATTAATATCACTTGAGTGCCTAAGACACAATAGAAAATACATTGTGTCTAGCATAGATCTGCGTTCCGGCAAACCACGGATTAAACACAGCATATAAATACCTTAGAATTGCTTAGGTGTAAAATGAATTTGATACTGGTACTGTTATACAATTCACCTCAGCTTAAAGTGTCTTTAAAATAGAATATCAAATATTCCGATCCTGGATTAACTTAAAATCTAAGGTTTCTCACGTGAATACACTGAGAAAAGGTCCACTAGTTTCGTGCGACTCTGTGGCTGAAGGCTGCGCGACATTCAGTTCCACATTCACGTGTGTAGCCCGAGATTTTTATTCAATTTACTATGTCTTACGATAGTTATTATAAAAACCTTCCGATGCTGATATACTTCTTTCGACTCACTCTCAATCATCAATGACTGAGAGTGATTCGAAAGAAGTATTAAAGTAGGTCCAATTTACATTATCCTCTTTTAATTAACTTGGCCTTTTTGAACACCGTCAATAAAAAAAAAATAGAACAAAATACACAAATAAAACTACTCACATTATCCAAATACTTGGGGATGGTTTCAGCGACGAAGGCAGCGCAAGCTGTGGCAAGCTCACTGGGTTTGACGATGACGGCATTACCACCAGCGATGGCGCCAGACACTGGGAGCAGCAGCAGTTGCAGGGGGTAGTTCCAGGCACCGATGACCAGGGTTACTCCGTAAGGGTCATGGTAGATGACCACGTCATCTAGCATGTTTACGAAACCCTTTTCCGGCTGTGAAAAGACAAGGAGCTGTTGTTAATTTGTTACACAAAGTGTCTTTTTTACCATCTTCATATAAATAGCAGATAAACACAAATTACGTTCTTAATTCAAATTAATCTGGTACACAGCGGCTAGCCAGACATTGTGGACAGGCCCTCATTATGATTAATAAAATAGTTATCATCAACAGCCTGTCAGAGACCACTGGACTGTACTATGGTCCACAGGCTATGGGCCTCCTCTACAAAAGGAAAAATAATTTTAAAAAGTGGATTGGTGATAGATTGAAGTTGGTATTTTTTTAAGGGGGGAAAATCATCGAATGACCACCCCGTTCCTACTCCTTTCGAGCCGGAGCCCCGGTAACCCGTTAGGTTCTTCGCGACATTGAAGTTGGAATAAGTATTATTATTAAAATTAAGACTGTACAAACAAAATTTTGTGTGCTGAGCCCGAATGGCTCTATAAATGCAACTGTTAGGGATTATTTTACAATGACTAATTATCTAATTAATTTGATGTTTACTGACACATTATTTGTAAACATATAAATGCAACTTTTAGGGATTATTTCACAATGACTCACTATCTAATTAATTTGATGTTTACTGAAAGATTATTTGGAAATAATTCGTATGGAAGGCAAATACAATAGTCAGATGAACAAAACGATAATAGTAATACTATATAAAACAAGCACTCAATGTAACGATAATTGATCATTATTAGTGTCCGACCGAAATTTCGGTTTCGGTTTCGGTTTCGGCCGAGTTTTGGCCAAATATCAAGTTTCGGCGGCAGTTTCGGTTTCGGCCAAAATCGGCCGAAACTTTTGCCGAAACCGAAACTTATGTCGCAAGTTCACACACGTTCACGCTCGCATAACTCTGTTTCCCGCGGCACTGTACGACTGTCATTATTTGACAAATAAAATGTCACCGCCAGCCTGTATAAAACTTTTTACTATTAATGCAAAATAATAGGTAAAATGCACCAAATGACAATGACCAAATTTGTATGGAGCTTGGTGCCTTTTCATTTTTTCGCGGCAGTTGATCAGATGTAGAAAATCTGATGCAGAATAACATTACAAACAAAAAAATATATGGGGTCTTATATAAAAAACACAGTCCAAACCGAGTTAAATCAGTTCAAAGATGTGAAAATAGTGCTATATTATTCCTGTTATTTTGTTGCTGGTGACCGTACACAACGCATATATCTTCATTTACTTGTCAGAAATATTTTGTAATAATTATTTATAAACGATTTCAAGGAATATAATAAAGCTTGTTGTGGATTGTTTTACTTATTTTTTTTTTCTTATAAGGCCACGGAATCAGAACAGAGTAAATCAATAACTGGCCACTGCTGAAGTAAAAAAATATTACTCTTGATTGGCTACCGTGTTCACTTTATATGTATACGGTTTATGGCCTATGACAGATTTTCATGATCAATTTCCTCTCAGTCGAAAAATACTTTTCTGAGCCCTATTATGAAATGCTATGTTTGTCAGCTGCGGCGTTGGTAGCGGATTGAGTAGCGGCTGTCATCAAAACACGAAAAAAAAAACATTTTTCTGTCTAATTCTCCCGACTTACTTCCGATTAGTAACTAATCTAGCTACGTTAATTCTTTAATCTACAGCTAGCATAACATTTTGTACAAAGATATCGTCATTCAGTCACAAAATGATGAATTATATTTCGACTGATCACATTATATGAAAAAATTATGCGCTCATCTGACGTATAGTCCATCACTTTATAAAGTTGACGGTTTCCTTTCTTCCAAAGATTCTGCTAACTATAAAGTAGACGAGTCTCCCACCAGGAGTCAACGGCAAAAAAATAATAATTAATTAGATGTTTGGACGGCTATCACTACTCAACCCACCACTGGTACCATAGCTGACGCTCATGAAGCTTCATGACACAACTCCTAGAAGCATCATACAAGTTATCGACTGAGAGAAAATAGGTAATAAAAATTAGTAGCTGACAATATGGATATATTGTGGTGTGATATAGTGTTCCTGTGCGCGGCGTACAGTGGCCCGCAATTTGAAGTTAGGAATTGTGACAAAAATATGAATAATTTGAATAAAAAAACCAAAGTAAAATGTTTGACTCCAGCACCAGACTGAGTTATGAGCGTAGAGCTCATAACTCAGTCCAGACTGAGATTTCCATATATGAGCCCATAGACAATATCGTTAGTAATGTGATTCTAGATAATATTTTCCATAAATCATCGACTGCCGCCAGAAAAACGAAAGGCACCAACTTTAGTCAATGCCCTTTCAGTATCTTAAGAAATTTTATACTTGACTACGTAAGTTTCGGTTTCGGCCGAAACTGAAGCCACGGCCGAACATTCGGTTTCGGTTTCGGTTTCGGCCGGAAAACCAGTTTCGGTCGGACACTAATCATTATGTATTGTAATTTGTATTGAGTTGTATCAATTATTAACCCTTTGAGTACCGTCATTATAGACACAATTAAAGAATTATAGGTTGCGATCACCGGTGTCCTCGCGGTGTTTGACAGTTTAATACCTAGTGAAAAAAGACGTTTATTACTCATAATAATTATAAACTTTTCTGAGATCCCACATAATTAGAACATTTCTATTATACTCCACAGGTTTGCATGATGAATGGGTGCAAAGTTAATTGTTTTCAATGACAGTAGGTAAATAATTGCAAGCAATTTTCTATGCAAGTGTGTAATTACTGATTGGTAATAAGGTTGCAAATAGCGTATAGGAAGTGTGTTGCATATCTAGATTGTTTCGTATGCACCACTTAGGCGAACATAAATTATGGGCAATGAGCATTGCATCATTTTTGGGTTATTAAGTAGACTTCATTAATTTTAAACGCATGTCGTTTGAATGAATCTGGATTTTTCTTTAATATGTGGCCATAACTATACCCTAGAATCGGTCATGTACTCTACCATCTATTACTTATTAAAATATTTACCTAAAAGTAGCTTATATCGAAATACTCCAACACTTCTCAATTTGAAGTCGCCCTTAAGTATAGTTCAGTCATTACAAATTCTTTGTAAATCGCAGATATTTTTTTAAGGGGGCAACATCATCGAATGTCTTCTCTCGCCTGGGTGAGGCGGGAGGGAGTGTCAGACTCTTACTGACTAAAAACCACCCCGTTTCTTCTCCTGCAGTGCGAGCCGGAACCCCGGTAACCTGTTAAGTTCTCCGCGGAAAAATCACAGATATGGCACGATATTTAAGTACTTTCAACTTAAAATTGAGTAGCCTTTCAGTATTTGGATATTAAACAAACAAATTCCTAACGTTCGTTTATTTTAAGGAATCTCATTTCCGAATTTGAAAACCAAAGCCAGATTTATCTAGTTTGAACAAGATTGAAAGCTATGCCATTTTATAAAAACTACGAGTGGTTTATCTATGGAAACCTGTTTTGTGGATGCCTACATAGGTAATATAAAAGTATTCGGCAGTTTCCAATGATTTATGAGAGCTGCCTTGTAATTGCTAGACGCGAAATGACGTCAGAATTGTTTTTAAATACGATGATTACACTATAGGAATTGAAAAAAAATGTAATCAGAAAAAAAAATATTTATTTGGAATGTTACTCATGGTTCTTCGTTAAAAGATGCTTAAAGTAAATTCATTACTAATTAACGTAGCATAACAACACGCCTTTAATCCCCGGAGGGACAGGCAGAGGTGCACATTAGGTACGGCATTTAATGCCACTGTATAATGTAACACCCGTTTTTCACTATTTATGTTATGAGTCCCATGTAACAGTTTCTTTTACTATTTACTATCTACTTGTAATTCAAGTGTTGGGTTTTGTACAATAGAGAATAACTAAACCGAAAAACCAAAAACTTTAAAAACTCAAGAAAAAAAGCGGAAATAATAATATGTTTTATCGTTAACTTTTCATTCATTAACATATATTTTTCTTGTAGGTACCTACTGAACTTTGTGAATCTATAGCCACAATCAAATAATAAAAGAAATAGTCCAAAAATTATAAATAGGTATACAATAAGTAATGACAGCGTAACGTTTATTTTGAACAAATAACTATATGTAGAAGTAAGCTAGGTAGCTGTTATTGAAAACAATTAAAATAAGTAGGTACTTATACACATTTATTTATGAACCCGTTAGTTGTCGCTATCTAAAGTCCACCGCACGAATAGATTTGTAGTATATTCTCTTTATATTATTGTCTTTTTAACAATATTCTTATAACAATCTTTGGTAATAGTTGACAGTCTAAGTAGAAACAAAGAACAATGAATATGTTGAGTATATTATAATATTTTAATGAACAGACTTTACTTAAGGTTATCATCATTAGCACTTTAAAAAATGTTTTTTTAACTAAGTATTTAATTATTATTTATTATGCCATTTATCCTTTAAGATATCTAATTTTAATGGCAACATTTCATGCTTTTAAAAATCATTCTAAAATGTAGATTGTGTTTAATTTTCTCTGTATAACTAATGTTAAAAATTGAGCAAAATAATAATCTTTTATTGGTTTTAACCCTTAACATCTGGGGGTAAAATAAGTATATTTTAAAATAGGTGTAATAGTAATTAGAAAGGAATTTAAAATCATAGAATATTATAAAACGACAAAGCATGCACAAATATTATGTAATGTAGGTAAGTGTACCTACTTACAACAAGTTATGTTCAAGTATAATGGAAGTTCAAGTTCAAGACTTTACGCTTGTGTAAATTATGTAGAAAATTACTTATAGGCTATTAGTAATTAAAAACAACAGGCAGATTTTTTTTTAAACTGATAAAAGTGGCAATGGGTCTACTTCAGAAGTGTAACCTTTCAAACAAAAGAAGAATTTTGAAAATTGGTCTACGATCGTCGGAGTAATCGGTGAACATACATAAAAACTCTGTCTGTCTATCTGAACATAGTACCTCCTCCGTTTTTTGAAGTCGGTAAAAAATATTGAGTTATTTTATACATTTTAACTTTAGTTATCTTTTTGTAATAAAGCAAATATTATTAGAACAATTAGATTGTACAGCCTACCCATGTTAATGCTTGACGCGGTTACTCGACCAGTTTCAAGCCTCGCGGGGGCTCATAATATCTGACAAAAATCAAAACAAAATGCAAAGCTATAGAAACCATTACGAAGCATTTTTTATATTGTTTGTGTGTCATAAAGGTTGCCTGGAGGTAATAAAACTTCGTTCATATATAAAGTTGTTTTGACTGTTTGAAAAATTCGTCAGACACGGAATTTGGACCTTTGGATCGATCGACCGCAAACTATGACACATACAAATTGATACATGGTTCTGATATTGTGACCTTGTAGGTACACGACGGAAAACAAAATATTATATTCTGTAATAAGGAATTATTCAATTTTCTCTGTATCACACAATTTTGCTTTAATATTTGTTACTTTTTCATTCATTTACCGAACGAAAGTAACAAAATGTGTTCAAATTATATGATTAATATATTGTAATTAAGTGACACCTGTTTGACATTCCATAGAATGAATTAAGCTATTTTTCACTTGTTTTTAAGTTTAACGAATTGTGAACATACTATTTATTAAAAGAGTAACGAATGGAGTTTCTTGCTCGATCTTCTCCACTCGAATCCACTTTTGCACGAGCACCTAGCTTCACTGACGGGCATACTGACAGACCATTATTTATTTTATATTTGTTGACGTTTAAATTATGGTTTCATTGAAATAAATGCTTTTAACTTTGAATACCATTACATGTTGATAAGCTATTTTATTAGCAGAGACTCTTTAAAAAAATATAATTACTCGATTACGAGGAACTGAAAGAAATCGTTATAGTAAATAATGACTATTTTGTATACTACAAATCTATTCTCTTATTTTTTTTTGTGAGAATTAAGATTATATTTATAATTATCTTATGAAACCTCAAATGTGTAGCTTAAACGTAAAAACTAGTTCTCTTCCTTATTATTTTGCTTTGTAACTGACAAGTATGCAATGGAAGTTAAATTCAGAAGGTCAAGGTCAAAAAAGTGAAATAATATTTGCAAATACACTTGATACGTTTATTAGCAGCTACTAAGAATTGCATCATTTTATCATCATAGCATTAGCGCTTTAGACCTTAGAGTATGCCTTTGTATGCAATATTCGTGAAGTGAAAATTAATTTATATGTATAGGTAGGTATAATTGTCGAACTGACGTCACACAGACGTCAAGCCAGTTAGTAAAATGTATGGATTTAAGAACCGGTTGCAAAGGTGTTCGAGTCAGGTAGGATTTTAGTTATGCACCTTATTTTTTTCGTAACATATAAAAATGCAGCAGTGTAAATAAGGAAAATATTTGAAAACAAGTCTTTTTAGTTTGTCGAGCTAAAGATCTTTTCTTGTTTTAGTTTCCATTTTTTTTGTAACAGGATTATAAATATATATTTCCATTTGTAAACTTGTTGACCTTTGTTTAGATTTGCGGATCGGTTTTGTTCTATATTACTAGTATAGTGAAGTATTTTACCTTCTCAGGCTTAGCCCAGTCCTCCAAGTTGTGTATGATACTCCTGAGATCATTGATCAGGTATGCCACTTCCAGCATGACAGATTCCATCTTACTTCTTCTCAGATCCTTACGTAGGGCTTCGATCATGGCATTCTGATTTTCTTCGTACATGCGAAGGAGGTTCTTTAGCTGCTGCAGACGCCATTTTAGAGGGCGGGTCACACCGCGGTTGTATGCGTCTCTTGCCCTTTCAACTGCCTGAGAAAAAAAAAGAGAATGAGAATTAGAGTATTTTTGGCCAGTTTTTATAAGTTGAACTCCATTGCGGCCAGTAACCGTTAGAGAATGCCACTAGGCATTAAGTCCGTCATTGTATACAATTGCAAAAAGTGTAAATAAATAAATAACAGGTAAATTAAGGAGGATTTGCCTTCAACGAGTTTATAGTGTTAAGAGTATGTAGTTATGATACTGGCTGATTTCTCATTTTAGTAATTATTGAGGGAAGTTACGTGTTAGAAACTACGGATACGGAAGATGTTTGCCGATTTTCTTGCAACGGTTAAAGACCGAATAGTTTTTTTTGCGCTAATGACAAACAATAAACTGATATTATTTTCTTGTATAAATTGGTCGGTTATTAACAACAATTTAGGCTTTTATTTTGGCTCTCCTATCTCGGTAATGAAATAAATCAGCATGCTAAACACGATGATCTCACAAATATTATTTTAAGTCAACAATCATAGACTAAACTTGTTTTTGAGTGACGTAATGTGATTATTGGACTTTGTATCTTGAAAATGGTAAACTCATTGTGACTGGCAAAGAAATTGTTATTTGGTACCACGATATGAAATATAGGCTGTGGACTTTGATCCTTTATGAAAATCGAGAATATTATCTATTTACTTCGAATTTTACGATGGTCTTATGCAACTAATTCGGTTATTCTGGAATGCCATTTTTTTTTGTTAACAGTATGGCGTTTGGCCACCATCTCGCCTGCTAGTAAGCGATGATGAAGCTGACGATGGAGCACGCCTACTTATGAGCAACCAGTTCACTCGAATCTTGAAGCCTTTTTTTCCAATTTTCAAGCTTTAATAGTGGTTAAAGAAGAGGTTGATTGAGCCTTGGGAGTGTTTGTGTTTCCAAATTCAATTAAACAGAAAGCCCTCACCAGCTCTCCTCATTTACGTCAAACAATAATTTTATCTACTAATCTACCCACGTAAATACTGTTTGTCTTCGATAGTTAGCATAAGATTTGACCTTGAGAATTTATGAAGTACAAATGACATTTGCCCTTCAAGGTGAAGGTTAAAAATTTTTATGTCGTACTTACATTATGGCTTAGTCATCGTTATGTTGTTATGAGAAAATGTGATTTTCGTATCGTCATGCTCACGAGTTGGACGGAAAATTAGAATTCATCAAAATCGGGACAGCGATTTCGGTATTACAAAGAAAGAAACACACTTAACCCGATACACATTTATTATTAAGAATTGTGTATTTACCTAAGTATTAGGTAACTCTAACATAACAGATAATAAATCTAGGTCTTATTACTATTTAAGTACAAGCTTTTATTCAAAGCTTTTTTAATATAAGGTTTAACAAAATAAAATATACATCAAGATTGTAAGCCTGTATCATCGACTACCGTCCGTATCGAACTTTATAAACGTTAAAACTTTAATCGGCTTACCGTAATTTATCATAAACTAAATAAACACGGCGTCAAATAGAGGATGTTCCTTTTTTTTAAAATATTGCCGCCTCTAAATATTATGGAGTTAAGAGGTCATATAAGTCATATGTTTTTGTAATAACATGTAGGTAAGCCAGTAGTAAGTAGGTTGTAATTGTAAGCATCTAATTATTTAGTTGGTAACCCTAATAACTTTTTGTAAGATGTTTCAGTAGTTAGCAGTAGATGACAAATGTAGCAGTAGTTACGTACTTATATTCAGAAATTAATCGTGGTTTTATAAACAAGTAGAGATAGGTATAGGTAGGTAACTAATTATTTATTTATACCTACTTACAATTCACTACAACCAGTATGTACCTAAAGAATTTACATTGTTTGCATGTATAGAATGAATTCCTTTGCTAGATTTTTATGTTCTTGTTTCTACTTTTAGTTTAAAAATGGCCAGTTTCGATTAAAAGTAGGAGTGACGCGAACTTTTTTTTTTTTTATAAACAATTATATTATAGATAGATAGGTACTTCTGTAAATGCATTCACGGAAATAGTAAGTTCATAAGTTGAAAGTAATTATCTCGGAGGCCATTGACCCCATTGTATGGTTATCAGTCAAAGGACATTTACGCTATATTACACTTTAGTAGACCTACAATAGTTATAGCAAATAGATACGAGCCTTATGACTTGATTAACATCATTTTTTAATACATAGGTAGTTGCAATTTTTTTAAACATTCTTCCGTTCGCAATTTATGTTGGATATTACGGAAGTACAAACAACATATTATTTCGGTGGCAATGAACAACTAAAGCGGATGTAGGTATAAGAAGGTCAAACGAATATCTCGAACATCAAAAATGTATTTAAAAGTTTTAAATAGCTCACCTCAGCGACATTCTGCTGCTTGGGTTTCGAATTTGCTATTCCTGCAACAATAGAAAGGAATAAATTATTATAATTTCTCGCCGTCTGACAGTAAATAGCGCGGGAAAGGTTGACGTAAGTTGATATTGGTTATCAAGATGGCAGGTTCGACAACATCTCGGGTTGGTTGCCTTTGCCTCTTTGCCAGTAAGGAAGAAAAAAAAAACAAAAATATGGAAGGTTCATATTAATGGCTAGGTACTAACATTTTTTTTACTAGTAGGTAGGTCCTTTATACTGGCTACAACGGATAAAATTGCACTGCTTGAGTTTAGAATTTTACAACAATATAAAATACTAGGTAAATAAAGGCAGACAGAAAAAATAATACAGAAAAAAGACAATACGCATTTCCAGGTTAGAGGTCACAATTTGCTTTTTAGAGGCTTTGTCTTTTGGTGTAAATTACAGAAAAAACCTGCCAACAAGACAGCAGTGTTACTGCTAGCTTGGATTACATAAAAGTTCATAAAAGCATAGAATTTACAGCATTCACATTTGCATGCCTCCTGGTAAAATATGGCTGAGCTCCAGAGATAAACCATAGTGTACGTTTTTTTCTTCTTTTTTATATATCATATATACAATAAGTACAGGATTGAATTGTAGGTATATATAACATAATCCTATTGGTAAACATTATGGTATGTTCAAGGACATATGTGTTTCTGTAATAAACACCGGTTCATGTTGTATAGTTACTTGATTTTGATAAATATTCATTCACATATTGTACATAATGTCATTGAGGTCACTATTCATACATATTTACTTAATTTAATGTAGGTAGGTACTATGAATATGTAATAAGCTTTAATGATAGTATATAGAGTAGTAAGTATTTAAGTATTATTTAAATAATACTTTTAAACAATAAATATTGTTCAAATTTTTTTTTTGTTATTTCAGGAACAATAATGTAGTGAATGGTTATCAATTTATTTTTGCTCTGAAAGTCAAAATTAATTATTCACATTTAAAATGAACATAATTATTATACCCCATTCATAGTTCAAATTGTTATTTTTGATATTGATTAACTCGTCGAGTACCGGTTTTATAGACACAATTAAAGAACAATAGATCGCGGTCTCCGGTGACCGCTTGGTGTTTGACAGATTAAGGATTTAAAAAATATCTATTAGGTCCACAGTTGACTTTGAGATAAGGGTAAGGCTAAGGGTTGATTTTTCCAATGTCAAATTTTAACCGAGGAGTTGACAATTCTTCTGTACTAAATACTATCAAAAGTTAATTTTATTCTACAGTTAAGAATTAACTGATTGGAAAAATAAATTTTGATTGAAAAGTAGGCATTTAATGATTTTACTATGTATTTAAATTGAGAGGATATAAAATTGGTAAGTTCAGCCTGTTGCAGGAAAAAAAATGCTTATCTTAATACACATACTGCATAAATTAAAAACAAATATAAATAATCAAGTGATTAACAGAACTTAAATACCTCTAAGTCATAAATGTAAAATAACTATTTTGTTATGCTGTATAGTAACTTCTTGGAAAATATGGCTATAGCACCAAGACAGAAATTGAAACAGCTAACATCAGTAGAAAGACAATCTTCACTTTATTTTCTAATTGTTTCAAAATAAGTATATACACAGCCTATTTTAAAACTATTACGTTATTTTATACTTAATAAGTTAATTATGAGCTATATAAACAGAATAATAGTAAGGATGAATATTTGACGATAATACCGTAAGCAAGTAAAATATTCCACCAAGAATCATATAAGAAACCGGTATAAGCCGGTTTTACGACATGAAATTACATAAACGCAGAACCTTATATGTTACATAATAATCATTTAAACAGGTTCAAAACTCACCTAGACTCATGTTGTCGACTTGGTTCTAATATAACACAAACACAACAACAATGGATCAAGTTCAAAATTGTAATGTAACAAGTTGTTTATAAAAAATCGAGATTTAGGTAATTATGTGATAAGTTATCAATTATCAAAGCACAAAGTCCACTATTGTCCACGCAATAGATAGCGTTGCTTCGAAACAATTATCTTAGTGAGCTAACTCAACCAATACAAAAAAGTGCTTTTTCGCAACTAATAATCCAACTTTCCATCAGCTGTTTGACAGATAGAATGAATGTTGTCAAAGTCAAACAAAGTAAGTTGGCAAACAGAAAAAATGGCGATGAATGAATGATTGCAAATGAATGAAGTAGAATTCACCACAGCGCCGTTGTGGATTATCTTGTCAAAAGTTCATATTATTTAGTACAAAGTGTGTATGATAGATGGCGGTGTTCACAATTATGAAAATGCTTTATTAAAATCTTATTGGGTCAATGTCGTTGAGTGGAAAGTCTTGAATGGGATTTATAAAACTTTAAACTTACCGATTTGGAGATATTTGATAGAGGTCCACAGAAACATGGAGATAACAAAAAAAATGGACTGGGTAGGAAGTCTAATTAGGGACAGGGATATTTAGGACTGGATGGTACTGTTCAATTAATGTGAGCGGTAACTTTTTGGCATCAATACTGGGAATCAATGATCAATAACAGTGTCATATTTTTCAGCAGTCTATTATATACTTGCCAATTAATTTACCATTGATAAAATATACACACTCTCGGTGCTGTATTTCAGTAAGTCTCACCAAAAATGTATGTATTAATGATGGTGACTAAGTCGGGTAGGGAAGATTCATCTTACTCAAATGTTAAATAACATTTGGGACTTTTCCTCGAATGCCTTTGGTTGGTTACGGTTAACGGTTAAGTGAGGTTTCCAAAGAAAAGAACCAAACTTTGATTTGACTAGCCGTATCCAGTATAACACATTGGGCGTTGTAATTCTCTAAAACGTTTATTACGGAATATTAATGTTATTATTTTCACTTTTTTATCCCTCACGACACGTCATGAGTATCGAAACTGTAAAATACTCACGACGCAAATTTAGGTAAGTACTAGGATATAATGGGGAAAAATCAAAGACAAAAAGAAGGACTATTTAATTATTTTAGTAAGTGTTGAAGGTAAATGACAGTTAGTACAAAAACTGCTAACTTATCAAAGTGTAGCCCATTTATTGAAAGGAGTAGGTCACTTATGTAACTGCAGTGCTTACCTATAGGTACCTGTTATATACTGTCGAAATAAACGACATTACCGGTGCCCTGACATGAATTAATTAAATAGATCTGCCGCAGATCCACCACCTTGGAAACGCTCAATGCATTCAAATAGCATCATAATGTTTGCATATGTTGAAAAACCGATCACATTGAAATAGGAAATATTAGAACTCCTTTGTAGAATGCATTTTAGATTGATACCATTATTACGAGTAGGTATTTTATTTTGTAAAATATATTAAAACAACGTTAAGTTCTTCTTTGTTAGTACCTACCTATTAAAAGGAGTTACTTATAGAAGTTCCCAGTAAAAGCAGGTAAACTTCTAAAGTATTTTTTAGGAGGAAAAATCAACAAATGTCTTCTCCCGCTTTTTTTAATCGGGGGAAATCATCCAATGATTCTCCCGCCTTGGGTTGGCGAGAGGGAGTGTCAGACTCTTACTGACTAAAAGCAACCCCGTTCCTACTCCTGCACTTCGAGCCGGAGCACCGGCAACCCGTTAGGCCTTCCGCGGCTCCGTAGTCTTCTCCCGCCTAGGGTGAGGTGGGAGAGAGTATCGGACTCTTACTGACTACTTCTAAAGTACATGGTGTAAACGGAACGCTTCCAAAAAAAGGCCGACAGATGATGGTAAAAACGAGTTTTATTTTCAAAAAAGTAGTTGCTCAAGGCTGATGTTGCATGCATAACACGAAAACAATAATGTAAAAATAATTTATTTTTGTCAGCATTTCGGGTGCGTACCGTTTACACCACACCTACCTATAACATTTTTTTTTGTAAGTACCTATCATAAATTGTAACGTAAAATGTAATTTACTGTGATCCCATCAGTGCTTAGTCTATCATCAATAGTTAAATCGCACATGATTTGTAATATACGAATTAATGAATCAGTCCAACTCCAAAAAAACGTTAACAAAAACTGTTATAGCAAAATACATATTGGAAATATTTACTGAACTTTGGTCTTTCAATGTGTGGTTTTTGCTGTTGTTATGGTTGTAAAAAATAGGCTTAAGATGAGCTCAAGCATCGAAATGAGACGTGCTAAAGAGCTGAGGATTTTTTACGTTTTCACGAACGAAACCTTGTAATTTAATTTGTGTGCTTTTCGGAAAATTTCCTTGCCACATGATAAAACCTAAGTTGAGGCTTCAGAAACCTTTAAAATACTACAAGATGACAACAGCATTTATTTTTGTTGAAGATAAAATAAAAACTGAAAATGCCTTGACCTTTTCCGGAAAGTTTCTTCTTAATATTAATACCTAGATATTTTTAAACTGCTGTTGTAGTACTAAACTTCCAAGTAAATTTACGAAGTAAAAACAGAATATCTAGACAGTGAAAGCAATTTGAACTGTCAAACTATTTTGAATTATTTAAAAAAAGAAGGCTACGGGCGGAAACTTGATGCGTTCATTTTAAAAGCAAAGGTGTATTTTTTTTAATAGATCGTAGAAATATTGATTGGTTCTGGGTGACTTAGGATTTTTTCTTTAATTAAAATATTCAGAGTCTATTGACACCAACGCTTATGTATGGTAGTGAATCATGGATGTGGCAGAAGAAGTATGAAAGCAGGATTAATGCGGTGGAAATGAGAGCCCTGATCAGTATGCGTGGACTAAAATTGAGTGATCAAGTGAAAAATAGTGTTAATAGAGAAAGGTGTGGATTGAAAAATGATGTAGTGACAAGAATTGAAAAGGAAATGTTACGCTGGTTTGGATATGTAGAAAGGATGGATGAAAATAGAGTAACGAAAGAAGTATACAGAGCGGATAAGAATGGGGCCGTCGGTAGACGGCGCGCCACTGGCCTACACTGATTTTGGTGCCTAAGATTTTATACCTGGTTTTAAG